GAGGAGTATACTGTATTCGATCATCTTGACTAGTGTTTGATCCATAATCATTCATGACCATTCACAGTGTGTTACTTGACATCTGATTAACCGAAGAGGAGTCGGCCTACGTGTCACAGCACTGAATGGCCCCTCAGGTGGAAGGTTTTGATGGAGCCAGGCATGGGGTTGGAGAGACCTGTGCTTTGTTCCTCGGACTCTCTTACACCTTACTCGCTCCCCCCTCCCCATCTCTCTGACCGCTTATATCGTGGAATGATGCCTGTTAGCAGGTACTCTCCTACTCTTAATTTTGGCCCCAGTCACTCTCACCACGGCTTCTGACTGCCTTCCCGCCACGAAAAGCCACGCAATGCCCATGCGGCTTGACACGGGCAGAGCTCGTAGCATCTTGGTGTGCGTGAATAAAAATGCCTGAGGAAACAACGGGACCGCCCTTTCATTGCCCAAACTGGTTACAACCTCACGAGTCCTAGCCGCGAGGAGAGCAACCGTGACATTCAATAAAGTTAGACTTTACGACAGAGCTGCTCGGACTTGGGAGGCTGGCTCGGCTTTGGTCGTATAAGGGGGATTATGAGTGGTCCTAGAGGGGAGCAATAATTTTGCTTTCTGGCGCCCATAAATAGCCTACAATGATGCCTGGAACTTTGAGGATGGGTGGCTAGTCGCGCCATGAGGGCTGTGTCTGTGCTCTTTCAGCCACTAGCCCCCCGGCCTTCGATTGGGTGCATACCCGAGAGACTCTCAATATCGATGGCGGAACCCATGGTCTCGTACGCTCTGGGTTCCCTATGGGGGGGCCTCACGGCTCAGCTGAGGGCTTGGTGCTCCCACGTTTATTGGTGGGACCCTTTACTGAAAGTTAACTTTGCATTCAAATCGACTATCATGAGGCGTAAGAAGAACATGGAATAGAAGGATTTCGCATTCGTTAACTGACGGGTTTCGGATCCCTTTACTTAGTCTAGTCACGAGCCAAAAGAAGGGTCCTTCGTCCTAAGAAGGAGTGATTCCTGCGTGCATGGGAGGGGGAGGGGGAGGGTGACCGAAAGTACATAATACATACATACCTTCAGAAGTATTCTTAAGAGGTCGCCCCTCCCTCCGACAATTCGATAGACTGCTGTGCCAAGACTGTATTCTGGTTCTTCACTATTCCTTGTATCCTGTTCTTCGAAGATAAAGAAATAATGGATGCTGCCGTCGAGACTGTGCCTACGGCGCCAGAGCCGCAAGTGCTCGAGATCATTGAGAAATCATCTACCACCACAATCACCGTCCAGGGGCCCTCCGAACCGGCCATTCAGGTGGTCGAAGAGAGCACAGTGACGACCATTAAGAATGCTGCTGGATCGGGGACCAGCGAAAAGAAACAGAAGAATAAGCAGAACAAGCAAAAGGCTTTACCTATACCCAAGGCCTCTGAGGTACCTTTCTACCAGCGACTGGGCGAGACACTCTTGCAGGAAAGCCAAGCGGAGACAGTGCTGCTTCCACCGAGGCCCAGTCTCATCTCTCATCGATCATCAGCCGACAAGCAGAAGGCGAAATCCGCCGAACTCCTATCCCCTCAAACGACGTCCTCGCACCACCGACCAAACTCGAGATCAAGATCAACGAGCCGCGTCCGGGACCCAGATAGCGAGGACAGCATCAGCACCGGGTCCCTCTCAGATATGGAAGTTAAAGATCCAAAGGTCAATACAAACCTGAAAGACAGCTTGTACACGCTAGACGACTTCAAGCGCCTCGAGGCCATCAACAGTCTCATCGGCCGGTACGGCTCAGTTTCTCACATGAGTGTCCGAGATCCCAGCTACTCATTTTGGCTCAACAAGAGCTGCACAGCTGCGGTACACTTTAAGCTGCTGAACAAAGTTGCTGTCCTAGCTGGAGATCCCCTGTGCGCGCTATCAGCCATGCCGTCGACGCTGGAAGAGTTCGAGAGATACTGTCGAAAAGCGGGCTGGAAGACGTCCGTCATCGGCGCTAGTTCTGACCTCATGGAGATTGCCAAGCTCAAGAAATGGCCCGTCATGAGGTTTGGCACCGAGATGGTGCTCAATCCCATGACGAATGAGGTGCTGCTGGGCAAGAGCGGAAAACGCACAGTCGTACAGTGTCGCCAATTGCTCGACTCTGCGAAGGGAGGCCTCTCGCTGCACATCTATGTGCCGGCAAAGGGCCGAGATCCTGTCCTCGAGGCTCTACTTACCAAGATCTACGACGACTGGCGGGGCGACCGGAACACCCACCGTGACTGCCAGGCGTTCATCACTGTCTTCGATATGTTCGCGTTGGCGAACCTGATGACTTTTATTTACACCCGCGCAGCCGATGGGCAGATCAATGGCTTCGCTGCGTTGCGCATGATGGCCAACAACAGCTACCATATCGACCCTTTCATCCAAGCGGTCGACGCACCACGCGGCACTTCCGACCTCCTTATTTTCGCCTCGCTCGCTTACCTTCATACTATCGGAGTTCCTTACCTAGGTATCGGGCACGAACCAGTTGCCGAGCCGGACGTCCTGTACAACATGCCCTCACTGGTGGTCAGTGCAACTCGACGTATATACCGCCACATCTTCGGCCGATTACCTGTCGGTGGCAAGGAGACTTTCAACGCGCGGTGGAAGCCCGATGAAGAACAGTGTGCGGGCCTGTATCTCATCTTCATCGGAAGGAAGACGCCCAGCCCCAAACATCTCCTGGCCATGACACACTTCGCCAACATCAGTCTCAGGAATGTAGCCAAGGCCGACTGGAAAGACCTGAAGGCGGAGCTGGCGAAGAACATAAAGGTCCCAGTGCCAGATCCTGCGCTCGCGGTGCAGGGCTCCACGAATGCATTCCTCGATGTCATGCATCAGAGACCTTCCATGACGAAGAGCGCCAGCTCTCCCGCGGCAATGTAGTCATCCCCTAGAACCTGAATTGCTTGATGTCTGGTGAGAATTATGACAAGCGGGAGTTTGGGCTATATAATAACGGAGGACAGATTGTATTTCGAACGCAGGCTTCTCAACAGGGCCTATTCTGGCCTATTCTGGTCTCTTTCACAATGCACAATCATTTGTAAATGTCTCCCTGTCGTCACAGTAAGATTGATTATGCAAAAGCTTAAGTTCGTGCCTGAAGGGATCAGGCAACCATGGAGGCCCAACAGTTAGGGTTGAACTGCTGAGAGTCAGGAACCGACGTTGCGCCAAGGGGTGCCATCAATGGCCACATCACGTGGCTCTGGTTACGATTTATGCGGTACGACTCTGGCTCTGGACATCGTACTCTGCAATCGTACATCGCCAGCCTGCCTCGTACCTGGGAGAATATTGGTTAAGATCAGCCTGTCGAGGGGCTTAGTGCCGTGTTGATCATGAAGACAATTCCAACTCTCTACCTGCAACGTCAATAATTTCATCCAAGGTGTGAGCGGTAATGTAGATTTGATCCTGTCTGTGCAAACGGCTATCGTATCTACACGGTCTCGCCACCGGTCTCCTGATACTATCAACATTACTGGCCAACTTTTTATTAGCGACCAATCACCGAAATCGATAACCTGCTTACGAAGTGGTGCAACAAATAAGCGGCGATGATAGGGCCGTGACAAACCTCGATCCAAAACGCATAAATCTGGAAACAAAGTGAGAAATTGAACATACCAACCGACCCATGAATACGACCAGGCTATCTTGTTCCTTAAGTGGCAGGATTCGAAGTAGATACTTCCAGACATCTGTGCCAGTCGAGAGTCGTGGGTATCGATCTCTTCCGATCAGATTGCTCAGCGATCAACGCAGGCACTCCTCCGGGTGGCGAAATAGTCAGATCCGGCAGGCTACAGAGTGGAAACCGGTTTACCAGAGGACCGCTACTGTCAGGGCTTCAATTAGAGCAATGAGTCGACGAGTTCCGATCGAAGCTCAGAGCGTCGATGCACCACTCACATCATCTGCCACCTTCCTGGTGCTCTCCGTTACCGACGCCCGGGATGCAGTTCCAAAGGTCCGCTCGGCGCTGGCAAGTGTTGCCGACTTGACGAAGAATGTTGCTATCCGCGACCTCAATGCTCAATTCGCAGCGACTGTAGGAATTGGAAGTGGTGTATGGGACCGCCTCATTAGCCTGCCCAGACCAGGGGAGCTGCATCCTTTTCGTGAGATCATAGGGGCCAAACACACGGCTGTCGCCACTCCAGGGGACCTACTCTTTCATATCCGAGCAAACCGCCGAGATTTATGTTTCGAGTTCGAGAGGCAACTCATGGAGCTTCTCGGCGACGCGGTCAAAGTGGTTGATGAGACGGTAGGCTTCCGTTATTTCGACGTACGGGATCTGCTCGGCTTTGTGGATGGCACGGCGAATCCGGTTGGAAATGCAGTGGACGATGCCGTTCTTATTGCCGAGGAAGACCCATCTGGCACCGGCGGTAGCTATGTTGTGATTCAGAAATACGTGCACAACCTGACCGGCTGGAAAGACCTCAAAACCGAGCAGCAGGAAGCCGTCATAGGCCGCACGAAGTTCGATAACGTCGAGCTGGATGATGCAGATGACGACAAGCAAAAGTCGCACAAACAGCTTGCAACTATAGAAGACGAGAATGGCAATGAACACGACATCTTGCGTGATAACATGCCATTTGGATCACCAGGCTCTGGGGAGTACGGAACCTATTTCATCGGGTATTCTAGAAAGCTGTGGGTCATTGAGAAAATGCTGGAGAGAATGTTTATCGGTGACCCACCCGGGATGCACGATCGTATATTGGACTACTCGACTCCTCTCACGGGAACTACCTTTTTTGTGCCGTCGGCTAGCTTGCTGGATAGTCTAGGTGATTGATCACGATTCTGTAGCTTCTAAGATCGGATCAACTGAGACGCAACCAGGCGTGACCCCTTTATCTACGGCACTTACGGAAGAAGATTGTAGCGTTAAATTTGCTGTTTGAATCAACTATCCTGTGGACTAAGACGAGGCCAATGTGTTTTTTGTGGCTACTGGCGGGGAGTTGGAGGCTACCTTATCGATGTCTAAGCCTGTTATGCATATGAGGGCAGTCTACAGCGACCCGTATCCAAGGGTGGAGTGCCGAGATATTATTACGAGGCACAATCCCGGACCACTTCTATGACCCAGGTGAAACTCGTTGAGGGAATTCAACAACGAACCTTTAATTGAGAACGTGTAGGATATACAAACACTTTGCTGGTGCACTGGATACCTAAATTATTTGGGTCCGCGTCCGTCCGCGAACAAGCGAAAAATGGTCCCCCAGAGTTTGTCTAGGTTTGTAGTGCAATTCAGCTGCTTGCGTTACATCGAGGTGCAGTGAGTAGTTTTCTGGACGAGTCCTTGTTTCATGTTTGCGTCACACAGTCATGACCGAACGAGCAGCGAAGAAAGAACGCTCTCGTCACCGAACCTTCACTGGATGCTGGAAATGTCGATCCCGTAAAGTGAAATGTGATGAGAAGAAACCCATTTGCCTTGCCTGCTTGCGAATGGGCCTGGCATGCGCTGGCTACGAGCCCAAGTTAGTTTGGGTCGAAGACGAGAATCAGCCATACAGTTCAAGCGGTCGAAGGTATATCAAGTGCGAATCGGTCTGGGAAAGCCTCCCAGAGCTGCAATCAGAAGTGGTTGACTGTCTGATCCCGAAGTGTGATCGCGAGAACCATGACGGTATCGGTCATTCAAATTTTGCGCAGATCATATCGATCGAACCGACTCATATTCATTTTAGATCTTTTTTCTTTGAGTCAGCCATCGAAACCGCAATACCTCGCAGCTTGCCGTCCCCCGGTTCGATAGACTGCGTTGGAAGTAACATCTATGAAAAACTACTTTTCAACCACTATGTCAACCATGTTGCATTTATTATGATGCCATTTGAGCATATGCGTAATCCATGGAAATCATCCTATCCTGCAGCGGCACTGTGCGATGCTGCAACCAATCCTAATGCACTCTACAGTGCTCTACTTGCACATTCTGCCTTCAACTTGGCTCAGTTGGATGTAGAGAAGAATCAAATACAGTCGCTCGCGACCAAATATTACCTCCTTGCCATTCAGCAACTGAGGGCAGGCATGGAGTGTGGCAAGGGACAATATTCATACACGGTGGCTGTCATAATGACGCTGATGATGGCTGAAGTTTGTCTGACCCAGCCCTCGTACGTTGATGAACAACTATCTAACTGCCTCACTGCAGATCTACAGCGGACATTCACAAACATGGAGACAACACCTCAAAGGTGCATGGGCGCTGCTATGTCAGGACCACCAGTCGGAGCCCTGATTGGAGCCTGATTTTGCTTGCGTCTCGACTCAGAGCCTCTACATTATCACTATCATTAGTGACACCACTGCTCCACTAGGCCAACTGGGGTCAAGACAATCCGCCCCTCTGCCAGGTGAACCATCCTCCTCTGACTACAGTGATTTTCTCAAGGCATCTGTTGTTTCGACAGCCGATTTTGGGTTCACTATCGGTGGGTCCAAGACAATCTTACAGTGTATTTCCAGGATCACGAGGTTGGCTTACTGCCTCAAGGATGGCGGACCATCATCTTCGAACGATTTAGAACTAGCCGATATTGTATCGTGTTTGAAAGAGGCCGAAGAAATGTTGGATTTCAAAGAAGGGCGACTTGACTCAGAGAACTTTAAAAGCCTCCGTGCTGGAACTGATGTGGCATTTCACCAACTAAGAGCGTTTGTCCTAGCGACCTACATCTACCTTTACCGGATGATATTTGACCTCCAGCCGCACAACTTGACCTGACATGTCAGCGAAACTTTTGAGCACATCTCCGCCTTCTCAAAGGGAAACGGCGGCAACTTGTCTTTATGGCCAGCCTTCATTGCAGCTGCTGAAGCGAGCACCGTAAAAAATATGGATCTTGCCAAAGACTGGTTGAATGACACAATCTCTTTTGGCCTGGGCAATCGATTATCGATCAAGAAGGTCATCGAGGAGGTTTGGAGGAGGAGAAAACTCGCCGCCGAGGAATGGGAAACAGACCAGAGTTGTGTGAACGTGGACTGGAGAGAGGTAATGCACGATCTGGAGGTGGACGTTCTTTTGGTCTAGGTTACGAATCGTGATGGAGTCTGAATTCGAATCCTCAACAAATCCAATTCCACAAGACGTATTCCGCAACCGAGCAAAGGGGTTGACTCGCACGAGTCGGCGAACATCAGATCAGCAATTCCATCCCAGCAACCCATCTGGGCTGTACAAAAAGGGCTCTCGATTCAACCAGGACTTGTCCATTGTTCTCACCCACCGCTTCGACAGACCCTTTGACCCACGCCTTTCGTCCCTCAATACGCTCTGTCTCTGCGCGGACGAGAATGACACTGTTGGCTTTGATTGGATTCCTGTAGTCCAGCTCAATATGTGCCGTCACGGCGACCTTCTCTGGTAGAAGAGGGGAACACGCCAGTCCCATGCATTCATCCAGCAGTTCGGCCGAGAACCCTCCATGAACCAATCCTCAGTGACCAGACAAGTCGGCTCCGAGATGGTAGTACGCCAGCAGACATCCAAGCTCATTATCCGTCATGACGCAGGGGGATACTGAGATCCTGCTGGGTCCGGCTAGAGTATGAGCTGTCAAATGGTTTGGGAGGGCTTGTGGGGACACTTTAAGAAGTGTTCGAGTTTTCACGGCTCCCGGATGCTCATTCACAAATTCTTTCCTGGCAGTAGAGCCCAAAAACGCCTGCTCAAGTTGTTTTTCGATGTCGACACCGGTCACCCCTATGCTGGTCTGTTCATCACGAGCTGATGACGCTCTTTCGTTTTGTTCTGTTCTTGCTGAAGACTCGCGTTGAAGACTTTGCGATAGCATCGTATTCTCTTTGATAGTTTCCTGGCTGGACTGTATCGATTGTCCACACCTGGTACTTGACCAAAATTTGGAAGCACTCAGGTCTCGACGACTTTTGCAAAGGAAGTGCTAGCGCTTGGACATGCGAATCTATGATGACCAGTGATGACACCAAGTATTTAAAGGTCAAAAGCCGACTCTCAAGGCACCGAGTCCAGACTCACGGTTACTTACGGTTGCTCACCATCGGGATAGATTGCACACGAAGCACAATTTGGACGATGTCGATCCCATTGATCACTCAACATTTTTGGACGGGAAAGTTGCCGACCATGGCATACGTATATCCGATTTCGTCGGACACAGCGAGCCAATAGGCGATCATTCCCAGACTCTGTCCAGTCCCAGTCGCCTTCAACTTCCAAATGTCCCAATGCCGTTAGTCTGATATGCGATTCTCGACGTTCGGCAACACTCATTTAGATCATTCGCCTATCCGGGTCAATGTCTACTAGGACGAAAGGCCAGCTTTGATATGTAAAGTCGCTATCGCTATCAATTGCTTCCCTCAGAAATTGATCCCGGAATGCCCTAGCGACTGGCAATGGGCAAAGAATGAAGTCCCCATGGCACTGGGTCCGCTGTCCATATAAATCAGAGGGTAGCCGACCAGAGATCAAGATTTTATTCATCCGCCCAAAGGCTAAGCATCTACCTTTACTTCCATTGATAATATAGGCTGTTTGACTCCATTATTTGTGATGAATTCCTCGATGCCCGAGCCAAGCGTGCTGGTGTCTCATCACTCTCAGTCAATTGCAAGAATCACCTTGAACCGACCAAAGCGCTTGAATGCACTTAACATAGATCTTCTGAAGCAGCTTGTTGAGGCTCTACGAGCTGCTCATGAAGTAGGAAAGAGTCTTGGGCTCCAAAGATTGGATCTGCTGAGGAATTGAGAGTCGCCTTTGCCAAACTTCAAGACATGACACGGTTGACATCATCTTCAGAAGCTCTCGTTATTGCTTCTGTCCATGGATATGCTATTGGGGGCGGAGCCGAAATATCTTTGGCCGCAGATCTTGTGATTGGCGGTCCAGAGGTGAAATTCAGGTTTCCTGAAGTCCCAATAGGGCATGCAGCCACTGGAGGAATTACACTGCGCTTGACTCACATGGTTGGCCTACTCAAAGCGAAAGAGCTTTTACTCCGCGGACAGTTTGTCCAGGCTAAAGAGGCGCTCGGAATGGGACTATTGAGTGAATCGGTAGATGATGCGAAGTCAAGGGCTATGGAGCTAGCTCATGAACTAGAGACGTTACCAGCCATTTCAGCGACAAACACGAAAACGAGCCTTGAAAGATTGGTTTTTCCTAACATGGAGGCTGCTCTTGCTGACGAGGTCAACGTCGCAAGCTATTGCTTTGCTCAAATTGACGCTGCCCAAGCTTTCGAGAACTTCGCTGCGAGGAGCCATCGAAAGCACATCACTGCTAGTGCAGTCTCGAACAAAAATGATAAAATGAATGAGCCTTCACCGATGAGCCCTTCGAGCCCTTTCTCAGGCCCCACTCCCGCAGGTGCCAAGATGGTGAAATTCTTGAGAACTATCAAAGACATTAACTCTGCGTTCGATCATGCTGTGAAGGAACACAGTCCTCGTACATTTCTCAGGGTTGCGGGTGAGGATTTATCCTTTCAAAAGATAAATGCTTCTGTTAGTTTGTTAGCAGGAGGGCTACGAAACGCTCGGTGTGATACATGGTGAAAGGGTCCTGGTGATGATGCGCAACAGTGTGGATATGGTGAACATCTGGCTCGCAACAAATAGGTTGGGTGCAGTCTGGGTTCTGATCAATATCGAACTAAAATCTCTTACCTTGGAACATGTCGTTAGAGCTGCAGATGCACGAGTTGCCATCGTGGATCTCGAGTTTACAAGCAAGTTTGGGAGAGCGCAGGCTGATCGAATACAGCATGTCTTCGTCACAAACGATGGGGGCTCAGGAGGGCTTTCTGCGTTGTATCGCTTGCGTACTCCCGTTACAACATCTATGGCAGTTCTGCCTTCCACCACGGCAGCATTCTTATGCACGAGTGGGACCACGGGCAAGTCGAAACCTTGCATCTTGTATCATCAATATTTCATTCTTCAGGCGAGTGCATTGGTGGAGACGTTCGGACTGCACGGTGGAGATGTTCTTTACTGCCCATTTCCTCTATTTCACGCGGACGCGACTGCATTGACCACTGTCCCGGCCATTCTTTTGGGCGCTGTTGCTGCCATTTCGAGGCGTTTCAGTGTCAGCAAGTTTTGGGATGAGATCAGACAGACCAATGCTACTGTGTACGATTTTATGGGTGCTACATTAGCCCTGATGTACAAGCAAACGCCTACCCATCGTGACCGTGAACACAAAGTCCGGTTGGCATGGAGAGTTCCAATACCTAGCTTTGCAGCGATTATGAACAAAGGTTCGGTCATCCGTTGTACACCCTGTATGGCAGTGTTGAGCCAAGTCTGCCTATCATGCAACAGGGCGAGAGGGTGGGTGGCTCATGTGGGACGATACGTTCTGGATACCAGCTCCGCATAGCAAATGATATGGACGAATCGTTGCCAGCCAAGACAACTGGGCATCTCCTGCTCAGGAGCGACATTCCCAATACGTTCTTCAAGGGATATTTCAACGACCCTGCGGCAACTGTTGAATCATTCTCAGACCTTTGGCTCCATACTGGTGATCTAGCTAAGGTCGATGAACCAGGCAACGTCTACTTCGTTGGTCGAGCTAAAGATGTTATCCGCAGAAGAGGCGAGAATGTCAACGCGTCCGAGATCGAGGAGGAGTTGTTGCGACATCCGGACGTTGTGACCGCTCCAGCGTTTGCCATTCCATGCGAACTTGGCTTAGGAACTGAGGACGACGTGAAAATCGCTGTCAAATTTCGTGAAGGGGCTTGTGTTGACGAAGGTGCCTTGTACGATTGGACTGTACTAAATCTTGCCAGGTTTCAAGTACCTGCAGTCATTGAGATTGTGAATGAGATAAAGAAGACACCCACCGGGAAAATTGAGAAAAGAGGGCTTCTTGCTGAGGGCGGCAAGAGGTTTGATCTCAGGAGAGAGAATACTAATAATACTGGTGCAACATGAGCGGAGGGGGATCGTAGCAACTCTCTAGATGATAACCAGCTAGGGGATAGCCTGGCATGAAAAGACCCTTACTCGACGCATTCCAGGTATTTATTTAAACGGTTTCCCAGTTTGGGTGGGTGATGGATCAATTCAATGGCTACCGTAGTCTGAAGGCGTATGGGCTCTAACGAACAAGTTCCTCCAACCTACGATGGCATCCATCTACTGAATGCTAGAAGTCGACCCCTTGGTTTCGGATTCCCAATCAGAATTTACAAGCACGCAGATGATTCAAAGAGCTCGCTCTTGAGGAGGACAGCCATAGAGCTCGGTTTGAGTATGCATTTTTCTATTTAAGGGTCCTCGTGTTCGAAGCCCACGTATCCCCGGAGCTGCGAATTATCAGACTAGTGAGGGCCGGGCTAATTTCGTCCCCAACTTAGACAAGCAACCTTTTGGCTGTTTGCCGAGCATTCTGAAGTTTCACGGTATCGCTGCACAACACTGCTTGGTAAATCAGTGGGATTGCAATTCGAAGTTAACTTCTGCAAGGACAGAGCTTTTGAGGTAAACCTGATGTATTGGGAAGTCCTGTAAGCAAAGATTGGGTATACGAGAGACGGGCTTGGAACACTGCACCTCGATTGTGGCGGGCCTGATCTGATGGCCTTGGCCTGTCAGCTGCCGGACCTTTACGGTTCTCGCCTGGCAGGACCTGGTTGGATATGATTGCTGACTTGTCACTTCTGTCGTGGATCCTTGTTGCGAGTGTTGAGTTCATAAGCATTTAGACAACAATGGATTGCCGAGTTAGGCGCATGGCAGTAGGTTAGCATTTTCCACCACGTTGCCTGACAGGACCTGACAAAGCCAACTTGGAGTACCTTCTGTGCACCCTGCGCGATTGAAGAAAGCGAGCACAAAATCTTCACACCAGAGGTACTCGCCGCCGAGGCTGAATGACAGGCAGTATATCTTCAATCTCGGACTTGGCTGAAGTCCATCGACATCATGTCCAGGTCTAGATCTCGCGATACGCTGCCAAGTTCAGCATAGACGCACAGCACATCCTGCCTACACAATCCCAGAGAGGTAGGTACTTCTGACTCTTGTCACCGGGCCCCCTTCTTCAGATGATATCTCGCTAGAGGCCGACTTTGGTGGTCGTCTGCGGGAAATAAGACACCAACCGAAGCACGGCATTTTCTATCCTAGGCTTCTACATACTGCCCGGGCGGCCATGTAGCGTGTGTCACGAACGTCGACCCAAACTAGGCTCATTTTGACATCGTTCTCATGCTGGCTACCTGCTCGTTCAGCTCTCCTTGATAGGAGTGTCCGATGGTCAATATTACCGGGGGCGGACTAACGACCAACAACACATCCCATGTCAACAAACAAGTTTCTACTTTGTGGTCCATGCCTCAGGAGAGGGTGAGATTTGAACCTGACTGGTCGGACCAATTTCAGGTCCATGCAGTTGATCACCGAATCAATACTTGTGACGACTTGGGCCGAATAGTTACTTGTATATAAGCTCCCTTGCGTACCTCACAGGTATGTTGTTCAACCACCGACAATCGCTCCAGTTGCTGTTCGTTCTAATCTGAGGAGGACAACTGAACGTACTATCTTTCTGATGGCCAATATGGCATCTATCCCTTCGCTTACCAACTACGAGGCACTCGCGGCCACGTGCCTTGTCGACGCCGGCGTGTTGAATCACAAGATCAAAGGGCTGGAAACATCAAAGACATCGTCCGTCGATAACAATGGACCTTGCACGCCACAAGAGGTCAAAAAGCTACAGCTCCGGCTCTTTGAGTCAGCACAAGCTCTGCTTCAGGCGGTCACTCCTCCGGAGTATACCCTGACACAAAGTCTCTCCGCCAGTGTAAGTCAGCATATAACTTGTGGCGCTAGCGAAGGCTAACATTGTTAAGATAATGGACCTTACTGCGTTTCGATACATTAGCCGCTGGGAAGTCGCCAAAGCGGTCCCAACGGAGGGCTCAGTATCATACAAATCCCTCGCAACCAAACTCAGCGTTGACGAGTCCCAGCTCAGGAGAGTCCTTCGATATGCCATGACTCGGCAAGTCTTCACCGAGACACAGATCGGAGGGGTTGCACACACGGCAGCTTCACTTCTCTTAGTACAAGGAGGCATCAGCACATTGAACAGATACTCCACGGACCGAGGTTTCCCCATCGCCAGTCATTTCAACGAGGCCCTCGAGAAGTGGGGTCACGGCTCGCAAGAGCCAAATGAAACAGCATTCAATGTCTTCAAGGGCACCGAACTTGCCATGTTCGACTACTACGAGAAGAACCCAGCGTACGCCACCGACTTCCACCAGGTCATGAGCTTCTTTACCAAGACACCTCCATTGTCACACGATCATATCAGAAGATCATTTGACTGGCCATCGCTTGCATTCTCAACTGTAGTCGATGTGGGCGGCAGCCTCGGCCACTGCAGTATGGCGATCCTGGAAGCGAACCCAACGCTGACGTGCATTGTCCAAGACTTGCCTCAGATAGTCACCAAAGCTACGGACCCGTCCACGTCAATCGTACCCGAGCACCTCTGCAAACGCATCTCATTCCAGGCACATAGCTTCTGGGACCCGCAGCCGGTGACAGCCGACGTGTACTTCATGCGTATGATCTTCCATGATTGGCCGGCCAAGTACTCAAAGAAGATCCTGCACGCACTCCTGAAAGGCATGAGGCCGGGCGCCCGGCTCCTCATCATGGACTACGTGACTCTTCCTTATGGAAAACTCAGCCTCGCTGACGAGCGCCGCATGCGCATCCGAGACATGCAGATGATGGTCATGCACAACGCCCTTGAGCGAGACGAAGATGAATGGAGACAACTGTTCGCAGAGACGGACTCCCGCCTCCGCCTCGTCGCCATTCGCACTCCACCTGGAAGCGCGCTGTCTCTCATTGAAGTCGTCCTCGATGCTGAGGTTGAGACCAGCGCCACGGAAAAGACCGAAGTCACCGTGCCTGAAAGGATTGAGCCTTTTGTCCCCGAGAAGACTGAGACCCTGGGGCTCGAAAAGCTCGACGAGCCGCTCCAACCCATCGTGCCTCAGCAAGCGGTGCAAATGGCAGCATAGGCATGGAGATGGACAGGTGTCTATTAGTGGTATTTCTTTGATCTGATTAGTTGAATGAATACAGCGCATGAGGCCACCAGCAGTTTGATTGCACTAGTGTAGGAGTAACCTCATAGTGGTTGGTGTCTTTCTGAGTCTTTGACATTTAAGTCCTTCTAGGGGCCCAGGCTTTCTTTCTATTGAGAGTCATGTGGTGCTGTGGTGAGGGAGTGAAGTTGCACTCCTTCTAGTAATTAAGGCTGTAGCAAGATATGCATAGCACGGCAATAGCGTTTGCGAGAATCAAGTGTCAGGTGCTTGATTGGCTCCCGAGAGTAATTTACAGCACTTTGAGGCCACAGCACTCCACGGACGCTGCTCGAACGTTGGCCTTTCTACCCCACCACAGAGAGAGCATCTCTTCGATAAAAACTTTGTCAGAAGGACTCCAACTGTCCAACCCCATAGCTGTCATATCGTCCTGAGTAATGTCCACCGGGCTATTTTGATCCAGACTTGAGAGAAGGCCTTGGGTGACATCGTCCTCATTATCAATAGGTGAGTCATGCTCAACAGAACAGTCCGCAACTGGGCTGCCTTCTCTCGACTCATCGTGATACGATGCACTCTCATCCAAGTCGTGCCCATCAGCACGAGCAACTGCTTCAGCAATCGTCATAAAGATGAGATTGGTCAAGCGGTGGAAATAAGCAACAACTGCAACCTCTCTGATCTGTTCTTCATCGCTTTCATCGTGCAGTAATGCCAGATCTCGTTCCATTTCTATCTCTTCCATCTCCGAGAAGCCTCCTCGGCGATCACCGGCTGATGCCCACCAGATCAAAGATGTGTAGGCGACGCGCGACCAGGATGGTGGCTCTACAACATGTTTGTTTTCCATGAACGACGAAGAATGAGATGCCAATGATGAGGTTTCATCATTTTCACCGAGCTCGTGCGTTGAAGGGCGACCTGAAGGATATCTATGGAGCCCCTGGTGGAGGTGCACATAACGATGGAAATCCCTTTGCGTTGACTTTATCCCGGTTTTCGGGAAGGTCTTGGTGAGTGAGGGTGTCGATTCAACTAGTCGAGGAAAGACTTTCGCTCTGGCATGTTCGCTTTCTGACGAGGGCATTAGGATGAGAAGCTCGTACAGATCTGGCTTGGTACTCAGGACATCATCTGTTGTACAGGCGATCCAACCTGGGTGCGGTCCTGAGTCGATCATAAAGCCGGACTTTGGCGTCAGCAACAAATTTATATCCGGAACACCCACTGTGAACAGGGGGCGAAGCCGTGACAAATCTGTGCTCGACTCTGGTAGTAAAGACAGCAATGACCTGGAGAGGGATGACAGAATAGAAATATTGTAAACTGTTCTATTTGTTAGCATAGGTAAGGGGACTGGTGGCTATCCTACCTAGGTCACAACTTGACTGTACTGGAGCTTCGGTGAGTATGAGAATTCTCTTACGGAGCAGGGCAGCTCTGAAAAGAGGAAATATCAGCGGCCCGAATAATTTGATAGAGTCCAGTAAAGTTGACGCAGGATGATGAGGTGTCAAATGGTGTGTCGACCGCAAATAATTCGTTGCAGTACTCATCGATCTCGATTTCCTATAACCGTTGATCCTCCCGAGCGACTCTGTTGATGCATTGATAGCTTGTGTTGACGCATCCGCTGCATCTAGATTATATTTCCGCCAGTAGGTCTCCAACTGGGAGGTATCACCGACGTCCTGAATCTGAGATCTAGGTTCTGTCAGCGTTCCCATTCATCCACATCGGCTGAGGGAAAGCTACCTGGTCAAACCTTTCAAGGCTTCGGCATGGCGCCAGATGCGACCCATCCGGCCGTGATCAAGAGGAACAAGGACGCCTATGGCTAGCATACGAGTTTTGCGCTCAGCATGTTCATCGGGTTGGTTCAAAAATGCACTCAGTCCGGCATAATTCTCGTGAATGAAGTATCTATGTCTTTGCTCAGCCCTCAGCTCCACGAACGATCGCCGTCCGGGCCACCCACATCAGATCCTCCTCGACATTGTGGAGTCCAGAAGGAAGGGACTTAAACTCGACGACGCCTTCGATTTGGACTGCGCAGAGGCGTCAGCAGGGGTATTCTGACTGGTCAGGTTGCCGACTGACCATCGTTGACCGACTGGTGCCAGGTCAATGTGTAACTATTGCCGATCAGCACAAAATCCCATCCTTGAGTGTTTCCCAACCTACCCTTTCCGATGGTCAAAATTGACGAGAAAGGCCGCGGCAATGGGTGGGACTGGCACCTCGTTCGAGGTGTCAACCTTTAGGGCGTTCGATTCCGCCATAGGGTCATGCCAGTACCTTCCGTCCGGGTGGGATAGTAGTCCATTAAGAATGTTTAGGGGAGAAGAAGAGGACGTAGGTATGGTCATCGGCCAACCCTCAACAGCTTTTAGTTCGACCTGGTGTTTACTCCGACGTCGTCTCACCGCTGGAAACTCCACCGCAGCGACTTCCTCCCGCATCAATAGTTTCGCCGGTTCCGCATACAAGTGCACATCAGACAACCCATGGGCCACAATTAAATCTTTTATCGACAAAAAGCCATCCCTGAGACTGGCTTTTCCAACCCTCTTTTAAACAAGGCTTCGCAGTATTTGCCCTACGTAGAGGTATGTGTCTGCAGCACTCAGCGCCGAGACCTTCTATACTTTGCATCATCCCGAGGCACCGGGCGGATTATGTAACCCGCCCTGGTCTTGAGAACTTTGTCAGCTGTCACTGCTCGCGTCCTGCGCAGGCAACCAAGTCCTTAATTACTTCACATTTGTCGGAGCCATTGGGTGCAAGCAACTGCTAACAGAAGGGGAGGCTACTGCCCTATTTCCTAATGCGGCGATTTTCCCATAGGTAAACTTTTGTGCCAAATGCTACTTAGCAATCCTCACAGTCATACACTGATGTTGACAATTGATGACTATGCAAAATATGCTGGGCCAATAAGGGCAATCGATGATGGGAGTTCAGTTCCTGTCCTGCACAGGCAGGATGAGGGCAACGCGTTGACAGCAAAGTATAATAATCATGTAAATCCAGCTAGACAGCATAATTCAAACCACTTCCGAGTAACCTCAGCTCATCAAAAGATTCACATCGAGAACATCACCCGCAAGTATGATCGAGACTTATGTTATGCGTGGCGTGGACGGCGTCGTGACCCGAAAGTCAGCTGAAGTGCCTAAATTGAAGGTTAAAGAGGTGTTGGTCAGAATCACTCATACCGGACTTTGTGGAACAGATCTGTTTTACATACCCTTTGGTTGTGCCTTGGGCCATGAAGGTATCGGAATTGTCGAGGAGGTTGGCAGTGCTGTTACCTTGCACAATGTTGGCGACCGTGTTGGCGGTGGCTATCTTCGATCCGTATGTTGCATGCAGCATCATCCATTCCATTCAATCGACTAGGAAGCAGGAATTGTTTGCTAATAAGAGTATTGAAGAGCTGTGGCAGTTGCACGTACTGCCTTACGGGCCGAGATATCTTGTGCCATTCGCGTGACTGCTACGGCATGGCAAGCTTTTCCAACGGCACCTTCGGGACTTATTACGTCGGCACTGAATCTTATGTTTATCCTGTCCCAGAGTCAATATCATCAGAGTTTGCTGCGCCATTGCAGTGTGCTGGAGCAACGGTATACTCAGCGTTGAAGACTTACTATCGACCCGGATTACGTGTGGGGGTGCTGGGGATTGGCGGGCTCGGCCATTTAGCAATTCAGTTCGCTTCGAAGATGGGAGCAGAGACTGTCGTTTTCAGTACCAGTCCTTCCAAAGAGGAAGAAGCAAGGGAGTTTGGAGCGTCGGAATTCGTGGTTTTGGGTCAGGAAGACCAACTCGCCAAGGCCGTGGATGTGCTGCTGATCACCGCACACAAATCTCCAGACTGGAATATGTATGTCCTAATCCCCTCATTCCCATACTCCGACTGACAGCGGACGGACAGCTTCATGGGTGAAAAGGTGGTCGCGAGGGGTGGCGATATTGTCGTGCTAGGAGCAATTGCAGAGTCTTTGGAAGTCCCGTAAGTGCAATCCCTTGGTTCTGATCAGACTCAACAGAGTCACACCCCAAGGTCTAAGAATACTAACTTCCTAACGACGTTAAGTTTCCAACCATTATTCTTCAATTGCTACAACATCGTGACCAATCTTGTCGCTTCTCGAGCAACACATGCCGAAATGTTGAACTTTGCAGCTGCTCACAAAATAAAGCCAGTCATTGAAGAGTTTAAGTTGGACGAGGCTGGCGTGGCCGATGCGCTTGGCAAACTGAAGGCAGGAAAGCTGAGATACCGTGCTGTGCTTCATGTCTAAGTTTTCAATCTCTATATGTGTCTTACGCAAATTACGGCCAGAAAATCTCGTCAAAAAGGTCGAATAATGATGTCGAAGGTGGTAACCCGAATTCATCACCTATAAAAGTTGTGGCTGGATTTATACAGGCAGAGTCTGACGATTCGCTGGGATCTCCAATCTGAGCGGCGTATTTCGCTTCTTGAGCAGCTTTTATATGCCGTAGCCTAGTTGATAACATCAAAAACACTTGAGGTGGTACGCCTCGCTGTTGGAGAGGTATGCTTGTTTCGTCGCTGTCACTTGCAGTTGGGCTTCGCTCCACCTCAAATTTCTCTATCAAGGTGTCCATCAATCTTGAGAAATCGATAATGCTCCGATTGTAATCTTTATTCCAGCCCTCTGCGTTACATAGGCACAACCTAGAGAGAACAACAAGAGCATGCCTGACCACTGCCCACGTAGTATAGGGTATGTTGTACCACTCTGATGCCGAAATTGCATTGACGTGGTCAAAAAGCAGGCTGACAGAGTTTAGGCAAGCATAAAGCATGTTTAACCGCGCAAAAGGATAGGTCCCATAGCGCTCGGGCTCAATAGTCTCACTTAACGCGATCTCATACAGGAACACTTCGATGGTGCGATAGTGTACTGAAAGGACTGTGATTGATCAGCTCTGTATTTCCTTCCTTTTGTTGACTCACTATACTCGTTTGTCCCTTCTGCTGGCGACCGTTTGAGCTGCATTAACTCGGATTCTAGCGCCTTGACATAGACGCCGATAGGTGCTGAGTTGAGACCAACAGGGTAGTCCCATACATCAGCACATAACGCTTGCGAAATTCGGTCCGCTACGCCGTGAAGCCGCACTAAATGGACAGCAACACTGTCTGTGGGGTATTGCATACCCTCCAGTAAAACTTGACAGCACTCTGCCACATATTTGGATTGTTTGATAGGTTCAATATCGCGAGCACACATTGAGACGCTAAAAGGATCAGGTTAGCCAAATTACAATCATACTCGAAGTGTAGATTCAGTTCCTACACAGATGAGAGAAAAAAGCATCCAAGGAATGTCCTGCATCCTTCCAGGGTTTTGGTGATCGGAATAACTGCAGACCTGTCTCTAGCAAACGCGGGTACTGGGACAGGTCCGTGCTTGCCAAAATATCCCCCATTGGCGTAGGTTGGTCGGCAATTCTTGTATGCCCCACAATTATCAAGTCCGAGATCTGTCATCAATGCCATTATGATATGGATCAGGTTGCTCACTTGGGAGCCTAAGTGCATGTGGAGATGATACCTGTGTCAAAGAAACAGGTTAGTAGAAATTAATTTTTGCTCTAAGCCCATGAATTAAAGACTGACCATGCAAGAAACAGCATGAGCCCCTGAAGAAGGTCAAGGCTTTGCTCACCCTTCACCAAAACGGAGAAGCTTATGATCTCGCGTATCTTCTTTGCCACAGCGCTTTGCAAAACACCGTCGTCTCGACAAGCGACCATCAAGGAGACAATCAGAACAAAGGGACTTTCGTCTCGGAGATTGAGGAAAGTTTTAACAGGAGGTACAGCCACAAAGGGGAAGAACTGAGAAAACTCGAGCCTAAATTTTCGCAGCAACAACTCCCCTTCTTCATCACTTTTCACGAGCCTGCTAATCCAGAGTGCAGGAGAAAAGTAGGCTGCGTTCAGTGCTGGAATCGTGTTTCCGATGAACGGGCTTGACTCGGGATCTTTCGAGGTAAATGACTCAGTATTTTCCACTACATCAAGAACTGAACGTGAGTGTGCTATCGGCCTTTTTCGTCGATGGGCACCCGGAACTTGGTCACCGCAAGACTTTTTCAAGCGTTGGCAACTTTAATGAGCAATCAGCATCGATCCAGGTCAGTCATATCCGAATGGAAGTTACCGTAGACACATTTTCTCTCCCCCTTGAAATTCACATCTGACTTTAGCTGCTGCACAAGGCTGGCATGCTTTCGGGCTACGAGCACCATCGATATCGCTTGTCGGGGTCAGTTGGCTCATATCTTGACTAAAACGGCTCAAACGATGCTTTAAATCTAGAAGGCGGGCAGACATTCCGGCGAATTAAGTGGCAGCGAAGTTGCTTAGTGGAAAGCACTCTCTGGGTTTAGGTGGTAGATCGATGAAATTTGGCTATCACTGTCCTTTGACATACCTGTAGTTAGACACGGAATTCCGTGCTGACATAATGGCTACCAAAGTTAAGCCTATTTAGGCATAGAACAACCTGCACGTGAACGAAATAGAGAAGTGGACCAATGGGAATGCTATTCAACGCTTCAGCCTTGCTCAGGGGGCCAGAGGCATGGGTGCGTTCTGCTCCGACCGGAACTGACCATGGTCAGTAAATTTCCACTTCGTCACGAAATCATGTCCGTGGCCTCGAATACGATTTTAATGTGTCTACCTTATTTCTGATCATCATGGTTCAGGAACACTCATCAGACATGTCAACCCAGGCCACCGTCCACAACGCTCATGCCAGCCCTGAGACAGCACTGACAATGCTCGCCACAACCCCAAGTGCCACGGAAATAGATGCAGTAGGCTCAGAGAAAAAGGATACAAAGCCAATCTCAGATACATCTACTCATAACGGCGGCGATGATTGCATCGAGAAGCCAACTGGGCTCGCTCTTTGTATTCTTCTCGCAGCAGTCTTTTCTTCCGGCTTCTTAATGGCTCTAAATGGATCCATGGTTGCTACTGTACGTCGCTGAGCATTTTTTAGCTACAATGAATGCTTACAGTGGAGACAGGCCCTGCCACAAATTACTACACATTTCCACTCTTTGAAGGACATTGGGTGGTATGGGAGCGCCTATCTTGTCTCTACGTAAGCTGCAAATACAACTTCAAAAGCCAATTCAGATATTCACACGATGTGATCAGGTGCACTATGCAGCCTTTGGCTGGGAAAATTTACACCCATTTCCCCATTAAGGTAAGTGATAGCCCTCAGTCGCATATTCAAGCCGTTAGCTAATCACAGCCTTCCCAGGCAGCGTACCTGGCCTTTTCTTTTATCTTTTTCATCGGAAGTCTTCTTGCTGCCACTGCTACAACCTCTGCAGTAGTTATTGTAGGAAGAGGGGTACAAGGAATCGGAGGAGCGGGAATCGTGAATGGGGCTTTCATGACCATAGCTGCAGCGGGCCCAGAAGGAAATAAACCAAGTAAGAGCATTTCCCCTGGTAGTCATTAATAAATAACTGCTAATCAAGTCATCTCTCTGTTTGCCAGTACTGGTTGGGGTTGCCGTTACACTTGGAACTATCGGCAGTATAACAGGGCCAATGATTGGAGGGGCACTCACAGAAATATCATGGCGTTGGTGTATGCACATTCCTTACCCACTGAATCCTTACCGTATGAATCTCCGATTGACTTTTTTAGGTTTCTATGTCAACCTGCCTGCAGGGGGTCTTGTGCTCTGCGCATTTTGGCTCATCAAAATTCCTGAACAAATGCGCAAACCGCCTGTGAGGCCGAATTTGAAAAAAATAATTACAGAAGAGCTGGATCTGGTGGGTTTTCTCTTGTTTGCCCCTGCTTGCATCATGTTACTCCTTGCGATAGCATGGGGTGGCAACGAGTATAGCTGGGCGTCGCCCACAATAATTGGTCTTTTCTGTGGAGCTTTTGTCACGTCTCTCATTTTCGGTTTTTGGGAGTTCAAAAAGGGCGAGACGGCGATGATACCACCCAGATTCTTACGAAACAACCTGGTAGTCTTCGGATGCTGCACATCATGTTTCCAGAATGGTGGCATGCTTCTCCTCTCATACTACTTACCATTGTGGTTTCAAGTAGTCAAAAATGCTTCACCAACCATGAGCGGAGTTGATGTTCTGCCGACAGCAATATCCCAAGCTTTATCTGCAGTAATGGTGGGAAAGCTAGGTGAGTAATACCACTGGTTTCGATGCACCCTGCTCACCATTTTGATTTTTCCTAGTCCAAGTTATTGGTTACTGTACTCCCTGGGCAATATTCGGAGCAGTGGTGGCATCAATTGGGGGTGGGCTCCTCACCACACTGCATCCGCCCTCCACTACAGCGGACTGGATCGGATACCAAGTCTTGATAGGCTTTGGTCGTGCCCCCGGCGTGCAAATGGTATGATATGCCAACCTCAAATGTGTCAGCACGATTGCTGATTTCATTCAAAGCCAGTTACCGCTGTGCAGGGTCTTCTCAAGCCCAACGAAGTAGCTTTGGCCACCTCACAGATTTTTTTCTTCCAGTACCTTGGGGCGGCAGTGTTCATCTCTGTCGGAGAGACCATTTTTTCAAATACGCTCCGCACTGGAATCCAAAGCAATGCGCCCAACTTGGATGCAGAAGCAATAATTGCAGCTGGTGCATTCGGATTCAGATCGTTTGTCGCTGAGAAGGACATCCCTGGCGTTCTTCAGGCGTATAATCATGCCATCACTACAACTTATGTAAGGAATATCTCCAATAGACCACGATACCCTATCACTCACACTGCTACTATAGTACCTCGCCCTTGGAGGGACATGCGCAGCATTCTTCACCAGTTTTGGAATGGGCTGGCAGAGGCTTCCGAAGAGAAACAAATCAACAAAAAAGGCTGAGAAGGATTCCGAGGAAGATACAGCTTAGCAGGTTTCCAACTGCGACGCAATGTCGAAAGATTTTGATTTCGGAGATTCTTTATGACGGGTAATTCATCAACCGACTCACCTCGGCGTTAATTTAGGCGTGCAAATGTTGTTTCTTCAAAACAGAAAGCCCCTTATTAACAGTCAATCTTCAAGATACACTGATACAACGAATGGAAAGCAGGAGAACTTCCTCACGCAGTTCAATTAAGGCCTGCCATCAAGATCAACCATACACTCTGAGACCGCACAGTAATTTCACATTAAACTGTCCAAGAATAGCTTGTCTTAAACGCTTAGGACGATCTTAATTTTGTGCTTAGCTTACCATAAATATGATTAGCTATATGCGATCATTGTCCTGAATACAATGCCAGTCACAAATCAACGAGTCCAAAATGTCACTTCTAGCACGTACAAAGGACCTTGGGACCAGTCACAAGAAAGAAGCCTTAGCGGCAATGAAACTGTCGAATCTGTTGTCCTTACAAACAAAGAATCATCCTCGATTGTCATGGCTTAGTAGGTTAGTATCGACATAAATGCCAGACACTATACAAGGAAATATCCAAGCGCTAACACTCTCCTCTCCATATTCAACTATAACATCGCAATTCAAGCCAAGCTCAAATCCAGTGGCGTGCTCGGAGCCGAATTTCTACACCCTCTAGAACTCTCAGACAGATTTATGGATATTATCAACTCAGAAGAGTTCAACATCACGGAATTAGAGTTCGCAGCAGTGGCAGACGCAATTCGCATAGATGGCACTTTCGCAGCCGAAGTTGAGAAGATACTGAGCAAGGATATGGAAGAGATGGAGCTAGATTTTGTTGCATCTAGTAAGTACCTTCTTCCACTAAGCGGCAATCTAGATGCTGAAAGTCGCAGGGGTTGCCAGACTCCACGTGACGCTCCACGTATCGAGACCCACTGTTGCACTGCAGACTCAACGGCGCTCAATCATGTTGCGCTCAAAAATCAATGTCCGGTGTATGATGCGAATTTTCTGAGCCCTCAGTGGTGGCCCTGTTCCTCTACTCGCCGTCCAATAGCTGCGGTGGAAGCTCGCAGCCCCTCGCCACCTACAAGTGGAAAGACATTTCCAGGGTTCTACGCAGCACATGCCCAAGATATCCTTCATCCAGATTGGCAGCCTGCCACCAGAAGAACGTTACCAGGAAAACAGGTAAGCTCGGAAAATTTAGAAGCCCTTCTTTTCGAAGAATCGGAGGGTTCCAGAGCGGAAGTGTCACCATTTGAGTTGCCCCAGTCTGGTGCAGGTACCGAGAGAATCAACTCAACTTTTGGAGGTAGTGATGTCTGTGCCGATAGGTATGAGTGGCAGCTTATCTCGGAGGAAGAGATTTGCTCTGAGACTGAAGATTTCGACTTTGAGTTCGTCGAGCATGAGGATTCTACTAACTGCAATTTCATCGGAGGTTGAATATGCTCATAGAATATGTGATGCAGGATATGAACGTAAGTCAACCATTTCGTGTTGGTCAGCGTTTCCCATCCTGCTTTGTATTTGCATTTATTTGACGTGATGAAGCAGAGTTTTGGTATGAGAATCCGAGTCTCGCAAATAATCACAATTTCACACCAAACTATGAATCTATTCCATCAACTCAGGACTTAATCCTTAAGACTAAGATAAGTTCTACCAAAAGTCTAAATGACAATCGTTGCCAAAACAATGCAAATATACACCCATTATTCCTCTTAACCTAAACATCCCCGCTACAGCCTTGACTTCTCAACAGATCGCACTACAAAGCCAATTCTGGGAAAGTGAATTCTTACACTTCCAACCAACGGCTCTCTGCCATCGATTTCCTGGGGTAAAATAACCACTTCTTCGGCAGTGAGAGCAACTAACGTTCCCACTGTGGGGCTTCCTCGACCAGTATCATCCGGGGCAATTGAGACCTGGACACCAAGCGACAGCCCATTTCGGGCATCCAGATCCTTGTGCGATCCAGCCGGTGTTTCAATCAACGGTATTGTGTCTCCCAAAGAGATTGAACTTATTTTGCTGAGGGTTTTTTGGATACCTGTCTCATCGTTCCTTTCAATCCGATTCTCGGTTAGAGGCAGCGCATCAAGATACTCCTTCAGCCTCTGAAACCATGACGAGAGGTTCGGGTACCTTTTGGGATTGAAAACGGACTGCAGCCCTTCTCCGTCTCCATCTTGGGCCCCGCCACCAGTAAGGTCGCGCACACCTTCGCCTCGAGCAATCTTTTCAGCCCATTCAAGCTGGTAGAAGAAGCCAATGTCGGCAGCACTTGGGTTTTCCGTTTCGAAGAGCCACTTCTTCCCATATTGAAGCAGAGGCTCAAGAATACTAAGGTGCAGATCAAGACCACTAAGATTCTCCGGCACCTTTCCTGCAAGCTTTTCGGGGTTAAGTTTATGCCCGATCAAATTGCTTCTATCCTGGCCAAAACTTGTGTGCCAAACACTACCAGGGATCAGTCCAGTTGTCACCCGAAAGAACGGTTTGTCCGTCCAATAGGAACCAAAGCCTCGTATGAGAGGCCGAAGTGAAGGGTTCGGATAGATTGTGCCATATCCTTGAGTCTCTGGAAACTGCGCCTCGAGAGCTTCCAAGATGATGGCTGTGTCGATATAAATCTAAGCCAGGGTTGCATATTCAGCTACATTGGACTTGCTCAGGGAGGTAGATTCAACCACCACACCTACCTCCTTGTCGATTGCCAGAACTGGTATCTTCCGATACGTGATATTGAAGTTTTCTTTCAAGATCGGTCTTGGCATCATCGAGGTAACAATGATGAAAGCTGGAAGAGGCAAGAGTAAGCATCTCACTGCCATTGAGATTTGCTTACTTACTATAAGGAATTTGTTTCATCCGCAGCGCATGTCTCACTTTCTGTGTGAAAGGGGAAGCTGCAGTAATGCAGGTTAATGATCGAACCTCACCGAAAGTCCAGTGTGTCAGAATTCCTACTTACAATCGTATCCAAATAGCACCACATTTGGTGTCTGGGGCTGTCCATTCGCCATCTTGGAAGTGCCCAATAGCACAGTGGTCTTAGGATCTAGCTAAGTATCTTTGATATTCGTGGACGAGGGTTAGGAGAGGCGGCGTTGACTCAAGGGTTCTCTACCAATATTTGAGATATCACTGCTTGCGCTTTACTCGCCGGTGCCGAGATATCTCCTCTACAAATACTTCGCGTATTCGGCATCAGGTTCAATCAGGGCCCTCGACGTTGAAGTTTGACCAATGGAAGCATAAGCCCTCGGTGAAGCGGCTGCTCATAAGTTCCCCTCACCTGCGGTAGAAATGCCTCGGATACTGTCAAGCTCTGTCAGTACACAATACATACCGCACATCAAAGACGACGGTACACTCTCACTTGACCCTTTGACACCGTCAGTACAAATTGAAATCATACCTTGGTAATATTGGCGCGCCTTTCCAAGGATTACCCTAACTTGGCTCCTACCTTATCCTAACAGCGAGTTGGATTCCTTAGAGAGCCTGCAGGAATTTCTGCGAATAGCGTCATGACTCACTACCACCCAAGGGCACGATTACTATCCAGTTGGTATTCTTCGGAAGATGAATCATTGCGGCATGTGACAATTCGGCCAGACGGCGTGGAGGTCGCATTGAGTCAAGTAATGAGGGCAACCCTGGGACCCAGCATGACTTGATCCAGATTCAGGTCATCAATAGAGCACCATTGCAGAATATCCATTATGATATGCGATGTCGAAAGCCGTTTCAAAAGAGTATTTGGCGAGATGACTAGTTATGCAAAGAGCACAGATTCTTCATTGGATAGGGCTGTGGATGCCAATCCAAAGTTCTGCTCGATACAACAGCTCTGAAGCCCGGTGAAAGATTGAACTTCAATGATCTCACGAGTGGACTCGGTACTGGTAAAAGTAACCGATCCCCGGAACTTGGGCCATCAGATCTTCCAGCTGCTTGCTATCTAGCTTCAAATTTAAGGTAGTACACGCGGTCTAGAACCACGAATCTACTAAGTGTTTCGATCCCTTGTGGTAAGTTCACTGAAATGATCCCCCGAAGGCGCGCTGGGAAATCTGGTCGATAGACCCACATGATGAAGCTTTGGATTGTTGCTGGCTGGTCCCGCTAGTTGACTCGGCTTTCGAATGATGGGCTTTTGACGGATCGGCCGGGGTCAATCACGAGCTCATTCATTATGTAGGTAGTTGGATAGATGATGGGCCGTGCTGATGACGGTTGATATTCTGAACTTGGAAGTAGATTCCGAATTCAGAAGTAACGCAAATTTCGAGACGACAACTGCGTGAGAAATCTAGAGAATCCTGTGAGTAATATTTAGTTATAACTCTCCACTGAACACCAACAACATCTTTTGAGTTCCTTGACCTTATAAGTCGATTTTGGTAGCTAGTATCCAAAGGCAGTGATCAGGCCAAACCTGTAGAACCCTGCACTTAATTCCGAGCGAAGCAATTACGATGGGCTGGTTTGGGCGGGTGCACTGACGATGGTACTCCTTGAAAAATGGCCCGAGGGGCATGCCAGCCCGCCTTGAGCTTTGCTTCTGGCTTGCACAGACCATCCTATATCTAGCACAAAGATCAATCGAAAGCATTGACTTTCCTCTTTCAGCGTGACGACCACTGGTTGCCAGGGTGCCCTCTGTCTACGAGGTAATCTGGCGCCGCATGGCCGGTTTGTCCGTAATAGCGATTGCATATTAATGGAAAATCACGCGAAAGTCCTTTTTCTTTAATGCCTGCCGTCCGCTAGACTTCCACACTGAAGTCGTAACTAGATATGTATAGAATCCCAGGGTTCGATTGGTCAAAACCAGAACGAAAGTACGAAAACAACAGTCATGTACAATGTAATGAAGCTGTTTTGTGCCTCGAATGCCCATGCAGCCCAAGTAGATTTTGTGTGCTTGGAATCCTCCTTTGGATAGGCTACACCAGTATCTGGATCTCTGTCCAGGAGGTCCTGTCGGTCTGGGCAGTCCGGAGGAAACAGTGCATAGTTGATCGGCACCCAGCATGACAAGATGCAGGTTAGCCAAATAAGAGGTGGCCAGCCTGCGTGAGTAAGAAGAGAAATCAAGGTTTTCTTCAGTGTTGTTTTGCGCGTCTGTAATGTTCCAATAAACACTCACGATAACGGCTGCCACCACGAACATGATATAGACAAGGTGAAGATAGCACTGACAATCCCACATAGTGACCACGAGACGGCGCCAGACTGGGGCACGCGGTTTCGGGTCACGCTCGTTGAGATCAGCTTTCTGTGACCCTGAGGAAGTGAAAACTGCGACCTTGCCCCCTAACCACTCGGGAAGAAGGAACGTCCGAATGACGGATAAGGCATGAACTATAGAACACTGGGTCAACGATTATCACTTAAATGGGCAAGGGTAAAGACACTTACATGGCGCCATCCACATCATAGCTCTTGCACCCCTTTGGCCAGTCCGATAGCCGGAAGGCAGATACGAGATAAACTCGTTGATGCGATTCAATATAATGGTCAGAAAATTTGATCGTATTAGCCACTTGAGTTGATTCATTGACGTGTATGGTACAAGATTTCCGCCAGAGATGAGGACGATAGGTGCCGTAAACATTGATAACACCAGAAAGACGGTGAATAGAGACGATACTGTGTAGACGAATCCGCAAAGGCGTTGAGAAAAGGTCATGTGCTTCACAAGAGGCCCAAAGATGCTAAATCGCAGCTTGAACGACGTCTGGACGGTGCCAATAGTCTGGGTCATGTCAGATGCGAGGCATAAGCTCATGGTTCTTCGGCAGACTTACCCAACGTGTGCGTTGCTTCAAGTGACTCGTGAGAGAATCCAGTACCGTTCCGAACTGCAAGGGCTCATGAACAAACGCGGTATTCCAGCCTGAGCCTAAGAGCATACTAAAACAGCATACGTCTTCTGCCAGAGAACCGATGGGAAATCCTCCGATTGATTGCAAAGCTGCTCTCCTCAGCACGTATCCAGATCCAGTGCACCAAGCCACACCCATGGAGTCTTTGATGGGTTCAGATATGTGTACAAAAGTGTCCAAGCTCTGGCATAGTGGGTCATCAGGTGGTACATTATAAAAGAGCTACCTTACTGTTAGAAGTCTTTCTTAGTGTGGAATGACTCAACTTACCTGTGGAGGACACGCCATCGAGCACTTCGGGTCCTGCAGCATGTGTGGGAGAAGTGCTCTTAACCAATTGTGAGGACGACCAGGACGGGGCAAAGTCTGTAAAGTATGCGCTTGAATGTTGACAGTTGCTCAATATCATCATGAGCAGCAAGCCGTTGTATGGAATAGTCCTCTACCTTTTCGCTCATCCACTGCCGAGTGTACTCTTCGAATATCGAAGATGGGTTTGTCCTAGCCGGTGTTGGAGACTCTAATGTGTCAACACTTTGAATCGACCTTGAATACCGGAGTGAGTTGAACTGGCCAGGGGCCGCATAACCTGCAGAAGACACTCTTCGGACTTCGTTAATCTCAAGGCCAAGTGGATTACCCCGTGTTGCGATGAGAGGATCTAGCTTTTCGACAGCATCCACGATAGCGATCGAGGCCCTTCTCACAGAGTGAGACATCCGTCGACGCATCTCATGCGCGCTTGAAGCTGTTCGCGTTCTAACAGGGTCAATGCTCTCATTCTACGAGTTCCGATTGAATGGGTGGTTCCACTTGAAGTGTACATTATGATGATGTTGGCTGCCATGGGTAGAAGGAACCTGGTGTATCTGAGACAGTTAGTGCTGCTCGAAAGACAAGAGTGTTGCCCATACATCGTGCTTTTCGGCTATCTCTGCCTCATCCTCATTTCCAGAAGGATTTTCGACATCAGCAACAGGTGATAGTCTCCCATCCAAGGGGTCCCTGGGTTTATGGCAGACCTCCACGAATGGCGAGCGGTGTGACGATCCATGATTGATCGGCTTTCGATAGCTGATCTCCTTTACAGATATCTCACCGTTTATAAGATCGAGGGCATCGAGGGAAGATTGATATATTATCGGTCTTAAATAGAACCTCCCGGGAAGACCTCGCGTACCCGAAACCAAGCAACAATAGTCCACAGCAATAGTGGTAAGCTCAGATCATGCATCCACTGAATCCACTTACTATCCTAAGATGCGAACGGACCATGTTCACTAGGGCATCGGAAATGTTCGTCCGTCTGGAACATCCCTGGCCGTGTATAAATGATCGTTGCTCGCAAGCAAGTGTGTACTGTGTCGGCGGGCCATCAAATCCCAACCTGAGATCTCGAATCCACCCAAAGATTCAGATAGTCTTTCAAAGAAGCAATCTCAGGTGCGATGATCTTCTTTTGACGCGAGTATGATATTTGTATAATTGGTGCGGAAGACAATCAGATATCACGCTGACGCCATCACATAATTGCAATGGTAAAGTCTCATGGAGACGGGAGACGAGGCACGGGCTTCCTGCCTTTGTATGCTGGAAGGGCCTCAACGCATCTAGAAGCTCCTGGGACTTTGACAATTCTGGCCATCCTAAAAAGCTGTGGTTATGGTTTTTTGTTTCCGTCCTTGACAAGGGCACAGACCAAAATAAAGGTAGAAGCACTGTCAAAAGCACAGACATCTTGGTTGCCCTGGGAAGGGCTCCTGTACTCCGCATGGATGGTTGGGCTTGCCAAGGTCCCCGGTCTCGATCTATAGTTGAGCATGATTTGATTTTCAAGATTAATCACAGTCAGGGCTTGGACGACTTGTTTTTGGATGCTGCTGACAGGGATATTTCCCGCCAAGCCAGATCTACCCAGATGGCTTGAAGCCATGGCACGTGAGCATGTCCTCCACACGAGATCGCTTTTTCTTTTTTCGATTGTCACTCTCACGTCTGTGCTGCTTAAGGACGGCACTTCTAATTGCTACTCAGACCTTACGACGACAGCTTCTCCAACGGAAAACAACGTATAAAACTCTCTATTTGTTCTCAGGATTTGAGCCATGGTGTTCTCACATCGTCCAGCTATTCACCATGCTTTGGATTGAGAACAGATTCAATGCTCAAATTGAAAGCAACCTTGATACGCAGTTGAACACACGGTAGCCTACGAGTGATTGCGTCTTATTGACAAGGGAGTTACGATCCACCGTAGGAATTCCACTTTCGCTGGTCTTCTTGAAGCGCCGTATTCAGTTAGCTGAACTAAACCTAATGCGGTCACCTGCGCTCTAAAATTCCAGCTCAACTTTGAGCATCCATGAAGTCAGTGTTTCTATGAACCTCCTCCACTCACCGTCAACAACCCTGCATCATTCTTATCCCGTCTAGAATACCGACTACCTCATTCACATTGATAACCCCCAGCAGACCATCTCTCTGCGCATCTTCAATCACACTAGCCCCCCGCAAACCACCACCATGCCTCCAAAAAGGATCACAGTCCAACCTGCCACACGTCGTGGACCGCCAAAGGGATATTTCAGCTCGGTATATCACACTCTGACGTCGGAGGAAAATGCCAGCGTCGTCTTGAGCGTCGCCATGTTCGGTGTATGTATAAAATCCCCCGGTGATCCTTTCTCCTTGGTTCCCTAGAATCAGCCATTTTGTTGGCTTTTGGCATTTCAGCAGCATCTGCTTGCACCGTCCGGGCCTTGACGATGAGCCCCCTCCAGAGGCGTTCTTTGGGTGCACGGAGGCCTCGTCATAGTTGGATTTTGATATGCGAGACTGGGATGGTTGGGACACCCAGCCAAAGCAGTATTCCAAAAGTTTTGCCGTCGCCTTCCGCCATGACTTTTCACACCGCTCCTCATGACCAGCGAAACTGTCCTCGAAGCTCATCATCTATGTACTGACCGTTGCATTTTTCCAGGCCGCCGTCGCATTCTTCAACTCAGAGTGGAGCGAGGTCCTCCTCCCTGGCTTCTAACCTCCTAGTCCACGCTTCCAAGTTCCCGCAAGTCTCTCTCTCGTCCGTCAACTCCACTCCGCTCCTCCACGAAAGCCGAACAAGAAGGAATTACGATCAGACGCTCCAGGAGTTTCGGAATCAAGCAGCTTCGAGGTTCGGATTTAGAAGAAATCTTTCTAACACTTGTATAAATAGGCCGGCCTGGGGGTTGGAATTTTAACGTCAATAGCGCGGGGGAATGTGCTCGCAATAAACAGCCTCGACTGGGCTTTTCCCTCCGGAATGCATAGATATCATTTATGGCCGGCCGAGTCTTGAATCATCGTTGTCGACTGAAGGGATTATTATCCCGCAACAAGATCAGGAACAAAGACGAATTCATCATGACATGGCAGGGTGAGCCTCCGAGACCCTTGAGGTCATTTGTAACAATATAAAACCCATAAGACGAGAAAGAAAATCCCAATCTGTTCTCACCGTCAACACTGTTACTTTTACTTTTACTTCTTCTTCTTCTTCTACATGTCATATTTGCAGGACAATATGGTGAAAGCCTCGCGACTATCAGGGAGTAAGGTTAGAGAGACACATTCAGAAACGACCAGCTTAGATAATCCATGGCTCATTTTCATTTACAATGTTATATGCCTATATCATCCACAATGTCTCCTTAACCCCCCCCCCCCGGCCCCGTCCGTGCATATGTACAACTAGGGCGCATGTCTCTCATCTCCTGCGACCCTGTGACTGTCTTACGCCGACCCACACGGATATTGATCAATTGGTTTTCTCCTTAAATTGGCTGGGTTTGAGTTGTCGCCGATCGAAGCCCACAGGAGGGGAAGGGCGGGGAGTAACATCATGCTCTTTGCAAGCGATGGGCTGGACACATTTGAGAAGGGCACAGGGCATAGATAAACCGGTGCAAATCAGACTAAGTTCAAGTGTCACCCACTTTTTCCAGCGCCTTGCGTGGACATTGACAAGATAGTTTGCAAGATTAGTCAAGTCCAGCAGTGAAAGGTGGACATGCTCCGGCTATATGCGTTGGTTGCAATCTTGGGGAGGCAGCTCTCCATCTTCTCCAAACCAGGTGGTGATCGCGGCCGAACATCAATCAGAACTCCGTGGTACGTAGAGACTGGATTGTAGGAATTGCTGGAGGCGAGCAGCGCTCATCGTGGTCATGTTCCGTACCCGTTACCATTGACTTCGGGCATCAAACTCTCCGTGGCGGCTTCAGCCTCGTCCTCGAGCTGCTCACGCTTCATGTTGCGGCTCTTGAGCCACGTGAAGGTGACCAGGGACGCACCAACCACGACTGCTATGCTCATCAGCATGACGTTGACGGGCACCGGGTTTAGATCGAACTTGACGTGGGTCAGAGCGTCGAGCGGGCTCTGCAGGAAATTGAATAGCCCGGCGAGACAGATGATGAGTCCATAGACCTTGCCGAAGGTCTGGAACCCAAACACTTTGGCCGCGTAGTCCGAGACGGTGGTGTAGTAGAATGGCCTGTATATGACAAAGAGGCATACGTTGGCGATCGCGGCCCACATGTAGGGCAGGCAGCCTAAAATCCCGATGATCGTGGCCGTGACCACGAGGAAGCCTAGCGCGAAGGGGGTCGACGTGTTGTCCAGGAGCGTCCCGATAAATGGTATGCTCAGCACTCCCCCCAGAGGCAAGGCAACGTCAAAGAAATCGTTGACGGTCTTGGCCCTTTCAGGCGAGCCAAGGAGGTACTGTTCCTGTGGCCGAATGGTCGCCACGAAGTAATTGATTCTAGTCATCTGGACGACGGTAAAGAGAGTGATAAGCACAAACCAGGGCGACTTGATCTGTTCGAGGGCAGTGTAGCCATGCATTGCTCCCCAGACACCAGATTTGGCATTTTTGTTCTCCTCACGCTTCTGGCGTTTTGCGTTTGTACTCTTGTCGAGCAATAGAGAGACTTCTTGGCTGATGGATTGTCGTCGCTCGTTGAGCGAGCGCACCTCCTCAGTTGAGGCATCGGGAGGGGTGGGAGCATTTATCTCTTCCTCTGCCTCGTGCACTACTTCGCTCACAGTCTTGTATGAATCCTTTGGCATGATGAAGATTTGAACGACCAAAATGAATATTGGAACAACAAGATAGGCAAGAAAGAGGTTATGGGTGTTCAGTTTCTTGCCAGTATTCTCGTACAAGATGCGAAAGAGGAGAAACAACGCAGAGGAAGAGTCGAATGCTCCGGTTAAAAGGGCGAGAATCAGACCCGAATTTTTGGGAAAGGTGTTGGACAGCTGGAAGGAGGATATGAAAACAAAAGGACCGCCTAGGGCGAGGAAGAAGTATCCTGGAGTAAATAGATCACCTTCAACCTTAGATGCCCACGAAAATAGGAGGGCTCCTATCGTAAGGCACAGGCTACCAATGATGCCGCAAGCTCGGGGGCCATATCGGTCGAGAATGGTGCCAATGGGCAAGGCAGCCACGTTGGTCGAGACCGCTGCTATGGTGAACATCAGATTCAATCGGATCTCTTGCTGGAGGCATGGTGATGTTCCTTTGCTCGTCTCCTCTTTGGTGCATAGATTTTCAAAGACGCCTTCATCGATTAGTACAGGCTTGATGGCGGCATACCCAAAGACAACGCCCGCTGCGAAAAGGCAATATATTATGGCGATGACCACCTGTACTAGATTCACCTGTCAGCTCAGAAGTTCGATCATCCACAGGAGCACTTACGGATGCGCTTCTGCTTGGAGACTTCCTCGAATTGGAGAGCAGCAGTGACGACACTCTCTCTTCGATCATGGTCTTTGGGCGGCACCCAGTCGCTCACAGGATTGAAGCTCATTCTTCTCGGTGTCGAGACATTCGAGCCTCTACTCTCACGCTCGAAGCCATCGACGGAGGCAACTCGAGTGAGAGACATGGTGAAGAAGCCGCGAAAGCACTGCCACAGCCACGGCCGCTGGGTTGGACGGGAGGATTAAGCGGACGGTGCACGGAATGCGGAGTATCAAAGTCTCAATGAACGAGATGATGGAGGAACGGGGCACAGTTGGAGCCGTCCTTGGATTGTGACTGGTGGGCCCACGGTCTTGTGACTGGGAGGAAAAGTGCAAAGACGTAACCACCGGCAAGATATGAAAGTGATGCAGGTTTACAAATCAATCGGTTGCAGACGATGACGGCGAGGTTGAAGTTGGACGGGGGGTCGGTCGATGGCCCTCTTGCATCTTCTGCCCGGCGGCGACTGGGTCAAATACAAGAGTTGTTTTGCGATGGCAGATGGCTTCAAGCAGCGGTTGACCTGCTGATAACGATAATGAAATTTTGCATCGGAAAAGGTTGGCGGGGAAGATAAGGTCGGAAAGGATTGGCTAAAAGACGAGGACCAGTGAAGATTGGCGCATCTGGTGGCCAGGGAGGGGAGACTAAGCCTAGGAGGGCTGTTGGTCCAGGCATAACATAATTAACCACCGGGCGCGGCGGGGCGCTGAAAAGTTCGCCCCAGGCACCTGAAAAGTCCAGAGCATCCAAGGGAATCGAGAGCTCAAGCCTAAACAGGCATGGAGCTCTGGCTTCGATGGTGGCGAGTGGGAGCCTCCGCCCGAAGAGACCACCTAATGTGCGGGAAGGTCCTACGAGTACGAGTAAATCAAATTTTCGCGTCTTGGACCCCGTCAACTTCTCGTCCTCAATCTGCACTCTCTCGATGCGGCTCCTGCGCAGTCCAGTCATGCAGGACGATGACCGTGTTGTGTGAACTCAACAGCAAGGTTGACAGCAACGGGACGCGCGCAGGAGCGATGTCCGATATGATTGAGATCATTCCAATGGCGCTTGACCTACCTAACGCTACATGGTGGTCAGGGTCTGCAACCAAAGCCGTGCAGTACAAGTATGTACTGCGTATTGCATGCAGGTGCCATTCCAACAGTGGCAGAGGCCAAACCGCTGATCACCTGAAGTGAATGGTGTCGGGCCCTAAGCCAACACCGCCGACATCGTCCAAGCAGGCGTTTCGGCTTTATGCTCGTCTCAACACCACAGAACACAAGCACTTGCTTTCGTCCAGTGGTCCGCCTTGTTAGACGATGCGCTCCTCGTGCGAATCAGAGGCATGGGTCAGGTTGATCGTTTTGCTGGACGGTTTCTGAAACCAGGTGAGCGGTAGCCGCCCCGTGGGCGCTTCAAAATAGGAGCTTGGCGCCTGAAGCGCCTGGTCGGCCGTCCTTTGAAACAGCCTCGTCTTGCACCAGGTCAAACCACCACCACCCAATCCTGTACCCAGATACACAACGCGAGACTCTTGGAGAACACCTGCTAGCATTGCTGCTGCATTGATCTCAGAGACCGTGTGTCTTGCCTTGGTCCATGAGTCTCAGAGTCAAAAGGTTCTCCACCTCGATATGGATATTTAAGCCTGGCTGGACCTTGGTTCTCCATGTCTGTTCAAGATCATCTTCACACCTGGCTGTACAACATTTCCTTCAAGTCCAAAAGATTGCAATATAGTATCTCTTCAGCCTGTGCACTGTCCTTTCCTTGTTAGCAACCAACGGCAACCCTCCATCTTTCTTGAATTCTTCAATCAACACAGTGGCTCGACTCCTCGAGTAAATCCTTCATTCTTTTTATTTTCGTTTCTTTGGAAACATTCATTCCTCTCACAATCAAATCAGATCGACTTTCTGTGTATCAATCATCCAGCATGGGTCCGGATCACGGTGTTTTGGGTGCCACATTCAAGGTTGCAAGGGCCCTCCAGGCTGCATCAATGATAGCAGTGATCGGTATCACATCCAACTTCATCTCTGAGATGGTCAGCGCCGGCGCCACACCCCCACCGATTCTCATTGGAATTTTAAGCATAGTATGGATCCCATTCCATTCCACTGTCTAGTGTGTCGACACTTACGTTTCTCAGGTCTGTATTGCCGTGCTGTACTGTGCTATCACAGTCATTCTCTACTTCGACAGCATCCTCCCATTCTTGATCAGCACTGGCCTCGACGCTCTTTTCTTGGTCGCTTTGATTGTTGTTTCTGTCATCGTTGGCAAACCGCTCTCCTATCTTAACTGCCAGGTCCTGGACGAGATTTCCAATGCCAGCTCGAGTGCATATGACTTCACCTCAGCCTTGGGGAACAGTCTCAACAAAGACGGCAATGTCGACTACTCCCAATGGATTGGAACATCCAAGGCCACATGCTTGGAGATGAAGTCAATCTGGGGGTTGAGCATCGCGCTTTGGTAAGTACTGTAACATCGGGCAGCTTTCTCTTTGGTGGTGCAATGCTGACCAGTGGGCAATACAGCATTCTGTTCACTTTTTCCGCGGTGAGCACCATCTGCTTATGGAAGCGGACCAAGCAACCTCCAGCCGAGAAGCTCGACGCATAAGGGCTTCCACTGCGGGACCAGGCACAACGGGGATGCGGGAGGCATTGACCCGGGCGCAGATTATAACATCTCAAAAGGTCGTTAGCTTATCAGAGTGGATCGACCGGACTCACCGGAGAGAAAAGACCACAACGCCGGGTCGCAGACTGGCAGTCCGGCGGATTCTCGTGGCATCCGACATTGATTCCACCGCGAGATTGGGATCTGGGTTTACATGGGGTCTTCGTCTTCAAGGAGTTGGGGTTGGTTGGGCAGACGAGCTGGGCTCACTGAGACTGCATATTACACGTCAGCATTGGTTTTAGAAGACGCCAGACGCTGCACGATGTGTCACATAATGATAGGTGGGAATGAAAAGAGTTGACGTACCGAATACGGAGTACACACCTCATGCATTGTCCTCGGGGGGTGTCTGGCAAACACCAATTAATACCTCCGGGAAGCCCATTCCGTGGATCAGTGTTTCTGCAAAGTGCTCCAAATGAGGTGATAGCCGTGCCCAACAAGGATGGCATTTTAAATTGTGCAGCACGGTTGAAAGCCCTGACCCAAGAAGTACATCGGTTAGGTAGTTGGGCCTAATTCCTTATTGGGAGCGGCCCCTCTGAAACGGACCGTCTTGAAGTTCTGCATGCAGCAATGACTTCAAACGCGAGTTGGACTTGACAGGTCGATTTCGTCCCTTTTCCAAAACCAAGAGTCCGGGAGGAGGACAACGGGAGTGTCGCTGGCTCGGCGGTGAATCGTGATACAGGGACAGTCATGATGATGCTGGCTCCACGTGCATACGCCTGAGCCAGGACGCTGGCGCCGCGCCGTTGGTCCTCCAACACCTACCTGGTGGGTGTGCTGAAGATGCCGAGTGAGCTATCCGTACAACATCGGTGTAAGGATAAAGAATGCACGGGACAAATCTGTTAAACTCAGTACGGCAAAGAATCTCCGTAGACCGCATTCTAGTCAAGTTGGCTGGTTAACAGTCACCCACTGTAACCAGATCCAGGAGAGCTCATGGGTGGCCCCTCAAGTGGAGGAAGCAGGCAAGCGACCCAGAGCCCTGGAGACCTAACCCAGATAACCCAGAGGTTTGGGTCGCCTCTCGCCAGGCCCGCTCGTGTGCACTCCGTACTCCGTACCTCGTACCTCGCTTGGGCCTACTCGGGCCCAGGGGACTGGAGTGGCATCCCCGCAAATTCCTTAGTTGCAGGCTTCCGGGGCACGGCGTACAGCCTGAAAGGTCGAGCGCCCCAGAGCTCCTGAGTTCTGACCTCTGACCGCTGCATCCCATCAGTGGAAGCTACGGAGCACTGGGCGAATGTCTAGGCTGAGTCTGCTGACAGTCAGTCTTCTTCACGCGCTTTTGTATTTCGCGTGTAGCCGGTGCTATGTGACCTTGTGCTGTATCCGTATACCTTTGCATTCGCAAGCCTGTCGCTCTATTGTGCGCTGGAGAGACCTCCGAAATAGTGGCACAGTTCCAGGACCCATCGTGTTGGGAATTTGGGAGGAGAAGATCACCACCACTACTCGCAGAGACTCCGTCCATACCAACCACCGGATTGGGAGCCGAGCACCCACCGTGTGCACTGGTCCAGGGTCCAGGGTCCAGGATCACTCATGTAGGTCATCCTCCAGGGGGTTGTCCAACACTCGGACCTGGCATCGGTGGTTGTGGTTCATTGGCCCTTGCACCGCCCCGCCATTCACTGTATCCGCAGGCATCCAGCCCATCCTGCAACTCACCGCGCGACAACTGCTGTCCCACTCGTAGTCAAGCGGTTTGACGTGCGAAGCTCCTCCACTAAGCGTAATATCCCAGTCGAGGTCGTCAACAGACCTGGGGTGAGCAAAGCCCGAGTACGAAATGGGCATGCGGGTGCTGCCTTGTTCCTTGTTGTTCCAGCCAGCTTTCCCTGCCCGGGCGCGCCCAGCTCCCAGGCCAAAAGGTCGCAAACTTGTTGGCACTCACTCTGCAGTGGCCGTTGCCCGTCAAAGAGTTACTCTCGAGGCGTTGCCAACTTCCGAGCACCACAAAAGCGCTGTCAGGCTGCCGCACCGGACCATCCCTCCCTTACGGCCCAAACTACATACATATCCGCCGCGCTGCTAGGTGGACACGGGCTCCGTTGTGGGTATTCATACTAAGACTTGGCACCGTACTCCCTCCCCCTCCCTCGAACCTCGTGCGTTGCTCTTCATCTCGCTCCTGGCATCAGGCCACTTCTTGCGAATGGGATTCTCGCATCTACTCCTACAATACGACTGCAGCACTCGGTGCTACTGCTTGGGCGCTGTTAGTGACTAACTTGGGGGAAACCTTCACGCCTATCGCTTCTTAGAGTCTCGAATTTTTACTCTTTTGACCCCGTCCGCTTAATTTTGGCTTTCGATTTGCTCTCAGATTCTGCCGCCTCCACCGATCAAACAAACTCCCAGTCGGTGCCGTGCGTCCGTATCTGTATCCTAATTTGCGTCAATGGGCCGGTTTGTTGCCTCGTTGCCTTTGAAAGGGTGATCCGAAAGATGGAAGGCGCTCCACTTCTTTTGCGAACTCATTACCCTTAGTATCATCTACCTAGTACCTAGATATTCCGTACTCAAGGCCGTGAAAAGGCAACTGCCCCTGGATTGCATTCGTGCCACTCTTCTCAATCCTGCCAAGGTGGTGGAGTTCTCTGTTACGCAACGCCTTGATCTTCCCATTGAATCCAGGTTTCCGATCCTCGACCAGAAGCCACCATTTTCCAACCATTTCATACATCAAGTCACTTTAGACGCCTTCGACGCCTTCCGTTGTAGCTGGTCTGTCTGGGCTTCCACAAATATCTTCCTCCTTGGAACTTGGAATAGTCGTTCTCAGCCATCCTCACCTATCACCAAAATACACCACTACTCACCGTCGTCCGTCATGGTGACGATGTGTCCAGATGATGTGTTACTTTGAAAAGGATATGGAAGATTTACATTTGCCTAGCATCATCCCGGTAGATTCGGACTATGGTCGCTATGCAGACGATAATGAAGATTCTGAAGATGATATCGATGAATCTTCCGCCTACTCAGTTGCCTCCTCGATGTATAATTTCCGCGTCGAGAATGGCCGCAGATATACCGACTACAAAAACGGCCATCCATTTCCTCACGACGAGGTCTCAGAAGAAAACGAGGCTTGCATGCACGCCATGATCAGCTGCTTACTTGACAACAAACTTTTCTTGTCCCCTATCGACGAGTCCGACCTTCATTGTGTTGCAGATGTAGGTACAAGTCGCGGACTATGGGCTGAGGGCGTTGCCGAGAGATATCCAGAGACAGAAGTGGTTGGATTTGATCTGATTCCTCATGAACGATCAACGCATCCCAACTGCTCGTATATCGTGGCAGACGCAACCGAAGACTGGGTTCTCGACCGCCCTTCAATGAAATTCGATCTTGTACACATTAGATCGCTATTTGTGGGCATCAAGGACTGGCCTCAGCTGTATAAGCAATGTTTCGAGTAAGTGGAGTTTGGTATTCCCCGATTTTCGCATTTCATGCCTACCTCGCGTTGATTGTGTTCATTGTTTGATACTACAGAAGCTGATCAATGTACCGATACTATATAGAAACATGAGCTCCGGCGGATGGATCGAGCAACTGGAAGTCGAAATTGCCGCCATGGCTGACGACGAAACCAATGATCTGTACAGTTATATCCAATCTCTCGCTAGATACTCCCAGGAGATGAGTCGTGCTGCCGGCAGAGACTTCCAAATCTCTACTGGCATGAAGAAGATGATAGAGGAAGCAGGGTTCGTTGATGTTCAAGAACAAAAACTCAAACTCCCATTAGGACCATGGTCCACCGACCCAAAAATGAAAGAGGTTGGCAAGTTTTTCGAGCGATACTACAAGAGTGGTCTACAAGGCTGGTTGTTGCATATTTGCACCAGATCCATGGGTGTGGGTTTCATCTGGAATATCACATGACTTCGGTCTTAACTAACAGGGTAATCTAGTGGACAGTTGACCAGGTCAACCAGGCTTGCATAAACGCATTTCAGGAGATCAATGGCCGGAGACATCATTTACATTTTCCACTGTAAGTGTTTTTGAGGAATCTGGAAGTTTCCCAGTTGAATGATAATACTCACCTCCGTACTCCAGAGTCATTGTTATTGGACGAAAACCTTGAGATTCCCTCTCCCGATGTTGACCACTTTTCATACCAACCGCAATAGCCACCAGTGCAAGCCACGTCTATGCGAGAGAACACAGCCCAACTTATGGATTGCAAAAGACTTTTCGGTAGAGCATCTAGCACAGGGTTAGCATTGGGCCTGTACACACCTCGCGATCATCGGCTTGCCCATTGAGTAAGTGAGGAGGGTGCATTTTCATGACCTCAACACCGCTTGGGGGTATTTAATCCACAAGGGCATGGTTGTCGATCGCTGACTGAGGTGGTAACTGTCCAGCCGGAAAAGGCGGATGAAGAGAGCTTCCCAATCTATGAAGCACTAGGCGAATGACCTGAGCTTCCCAATCCTGAGATTATTGGTGTAGTCTTCATCTATGGCTGCAGCTCGAAAGAAAAACACCCCACTGTGAGACCATAGGGCGGGACTGGCTCTGACAGAATGAACCACGGGGACCAGATGGAGGCATCGCCTAGCGGGGAAGAGTATACTCTCAAGAGGCTCGAGAGGTCAGCCAGGTGCTCACGGACAGAGAGCATCGACATTGGGTCAATAGTCAAATGGTAGAGTACGGGGACGCTATCCTCGCCCAGGCTTGTCTGGGAATGGAGGACTTGCACACAATAATCAAGCCAGCTTGGTATATACTAAATACGCACACCTTTCCTGGAGACGTGGACCATGTACGGAGTGATTATGATAGCGGGTGGAATCAGCCCCTAAGAGCTATCATTAAATATACTTACGAAGGCTGCACCTCCCCCTCCACTTTCCTCGTACCAGTTACTCCGTACTTGTGCCCCCGATCGACGTTTGCCCGCGCGCCCGGCTTTTCTAGGAGCAACCAGACCGGTCTCAAATTCTCCCACGCGCGGCGTCAAACACTCACCTCGTACTAACAGACGATCAATCAAGTCGGCTTCCTAACCAACTGAGTTCGTCAGCTGCTCCCGGAGAACGGAGTACGGAGTACTGTGCTTGCCAGCGACAATTTCACAATCCTAACCGAGCCCTTCGCTGCTTGGCCTGATGGTGAAACCTCGGGCAAAGGAATAATATTCAAGGGAAGCCAGCTGTCTAAGTTCCTTAGCGCAGGCCGGCAAGATAGCTCACCCGGGGGAGGTCTCCCCTCTGCCCTTAGAACCCGCGAAGCCGACGATGACGACCTGCAGTTGCCGCCTACCTTCGGGGATTACATGATGGAGTACAGCACGCATGAGATCTCCCCGAGTCTTGTTTCTTGAGATCCAAACGAGAGCTAGTATTCCAAATTGTGTGATTCGAGATCGCCCGAGGGAGTCTGACATGATTGAGATAACGGCACTCAACTCGGTGTCTTGACCTGACATCTTGCTGGCATATCTCTGTGACTCGTTAAACACGGTTACATTTGAAGCCCGGAGGCTGACCATAGATAAGGGTAATGTCTTCGATAGATTGCATCGAAACGCCCTGACGGGGTTATGCACGGCACTCGCGTCGTACCCGGTCTCGCCCTTGGCCAACCCTAATCACCTGCTAAAGCCTTTGTTTCAGCGACCTACCCACCCCGTTGGACGTTGAGGCACCCATGAGGTCCAAGGTGAGAACGCAATTAGGGCGTCGTCTTTGGCTCTCTCTTCCAGCAAACACGACTCTGACACCGCTTTCACGTTACTGGTCCCCAGCACTGGCAACAAACAGGTAGGGGATAAATCATCTTTTCGCTGACTGCAGAACACTAGGATCCTGCACACTTCTCAAGCCCGAATACTGACTTCAAGCTGATTCTGACGGATCTTACAGCATAAGTCTGCTCGGAAGGATCTAGCAAAGTTACTACTAAGGATGGCAAAATGCGAGGAGGCCTTTAGGCTCTCCCGTACCTATATCCCAGCTTCCGACAAGGCTGGTAGCCAACTGGCGTGGAATTGATGAATCGTTAGTCAGACAACAAGCCATGCCTCTTTGTCAGCTTCTGCGATGCCCTGCCCACGCGTAGTATTGCATCCAACTTTCCACTGGGTGTTTTGCGTCGAACCTCTTGGTCCTCCGCGGGATTGGCATTGTCATGTATGGTTCATGTACTCGCACAGTAACGGAAATGAATCCCCGAATAGGTGAGCAAGTCATGATGTCTAATTGACCAAATTGGTGGGTCAGTGGGATTGGGCTGCATGAGGTGCCTGAATCGGTGGGCTGCAAGCTCCAGCAAGACTACATACCCCTCCGAACAATTCCAAATCACCGTTGCTTGACGTCGGGGACTTCGACATTTCCATTTGCTGTGGACTACCAGCTATCTCAGCAACCTTGAAAGTATTAAAGAGACCTTTCGTTCCGCCTGATTCATTCATTATTCCATTTCAGTCAACAGCAACCAGAAGCTCGATTCCCCTCAAACCCCAGGGAAGAAAGACCACCAAGACAGCAACAACATCTATCCCGATATCTCTCGACAATCCATCCCCGACATCCACACAACGATGCCTCAATACGAAGGACAATGCCACTGCGGCCAGATTGCCTGGACCGCCGAGATTCCCGAGGAAAAGCACATTCTCTGCCACTGCGGCGCATGCAAGCTCATGGGCGGTGGTGAATTCACTCTGAACCAGATCATCCCCAAGGACAACTTCAAGTTGACCAAGGGCGAGTTGAAAGTGTACACCTACAAGGGCGATTCTGGTATGTCCTGGACCTGTTGTGGGCCATCGAGCTGTGGACGGCCGATGGTACGAGGCTGACTCTCTTGGTTCTTGAGGCAACAACACCGATTGCTACATGTGCCCCAACTGCGCAAGCAGCCCCTACCACCACCAACACGTTATGGGTAAGTGACGAACCAGCCATCACTTCTCTTCCATTCCTGGGCCCCGAGTCAAATTCAAATCTGACGCGCGCTGGACTGCTACTACATGCACAACACCGCCCCTGGCCGCATCGCGTCCCCGAACTGACACTCTATGCTCAACCTTTCCAGGCGAGGACAAAATCGTGATCCGCACCGGATTGCTCAAGGGCAGTGAGAAATGGGGCAAGCCCGCCGCCGAGATCTACGACAAGGATCGGGCCAGCTGGCTCCCTCAGACCGGCGAGAACAGCTTCGCAACTGTACCTCCTTCCTAGAGACGGCACCGTCGATTCCTGGATCTCTGGCTCGGGTCCGGCGTGAGTGGTGGCATCAAGAGAGAGCGGGGGGGGGGCCGCGAAAGGTTACTCGTATCTCTCAAATGGCTTCCCAGCCTCATCCTCATCCTCATGTGGCAAACGAGAGGGGAGGCGACGCTAGAAGGGAAAACACGACGAAGATAGATGACGGGGGAGGGGAGTCCATCGAAGGGCGGAACCACATATGTAAAAACCCCGAAAATGACGAAACGCTCTTCTTCGAGCCCGACCACGTCCCGTGCTGTGTTTCATCCAACATATGCCCATTTACTATCTTGCATTCGACAGCTCGGCACTTGCACGCATGGCGTCCAGCTCTCTCACGTGAAGTATATTGGCGCCGCCAACCCGAGGCCACTCCCAACGGCACGAGATAGAATGATTTGAACCCGTCTCGTGTCCACGCACGTAGTGCCTCGTTTCTCGTTTGCTCCTTCTGGTGCCTGGCTCCCGTAGCACCAGCCGCCAAACTTCACCAGCATATCCACATCTCCGTATCCATTTTACCATGCACTTGATACCGGCTCCTCCCTCCCCCTCACATACACCCACACAAAGTTGGAGTCCTCCGAGCGCCATCTCCTCCCATCGCATCCCATCTGATGTATACTTAAGCCTCAATCCCGCCCGGACGCCATCACCCACTGCTCACGGGCGGGATAACGCCGACCTCATCGCCGATCTTGACAGCTGTGCCCCACCCCTCCAGGGTCGACTTCCATTCTGCCCACGGCCACGCCATTGCCTCGGCTTGCGATTCCAATTCCGATTCGGAGTCCGCTTCTCCTTGCGGGAAACCGACATCGACGTACTCGAGGTTCAGCGTGACGGCGGCCCCGGCCAGAATTTTGCGAAGGAACCCGGGAAAGCGGGTCTCGAGGGTCTGGAAGACGTCGCCTAGCGTCGTGGGGCCCGGGAGGCTGAGCGACTCCGTGTCCGTGTACGAGGCCGCGGTCGCGAATAGGAGGAGTGTGAATGTTTCTTTTCCTCCACCCGCCGTTTTTGTTGTTGTTGTTGTTGTCGTCGAGGTAGCCATTATCTAGTCTGGTGACTCGAGCGAGGAGAGAGTTCTTCGATCGGTAGTTCGTTCGGGCTGCGTGTTGTTTCCTGGTCGAAATCTGGGCCACGTGCAGGTGCTGTGAGACAAGCCCCTTTAGCCTTTCTCACGACCGCTACCAGCTTACTTCACCTCGCAGGCCACACCGGGCCCCTCTAAGAAGAAGAAGAAGAAGAAGAAGAAGAAGAAGAAGAAGAAGATAATAAAGATATCAATACCCGCCCACACCCAGACCCTAAGGTTCGATTCGACGTCAATGTTGACGGGGGCTGAAGCTCCGGCCCGAGAACAGTCACAGGTAGGCTCGGTTCCCGTGTTTCCTTTAATTGCTCTCCCTCTGGACAACCGATCGATCCCGATTGCCCCAGACAAATAGAGCGTGAGATGCCGGCGATATGATAAACTGGGCCCTACTCCTTGAGAAAGGGCGCCCCTAGTCCAGTTGGTCCTCTCGCCAAGTTCGAGTTGGGTCAAATCAGAGAGTCAAATCCACAAAGCCGTTGATTGTTGGTAGCATTTAGTAGTCTTCAATTGAATGTGAATGGACCTTCTCCTTCTCGGCGTTGCTCCATCAGATCAGATCTTAGTCATACTTGGGTAGTCAAGATATCCCCGGCTATCGCCGGAGAGGATAAACAATAATCCGGCAATGGTTCCGCGGAGCTTCACCCCAGGAAAATTTGGAGGAATGCAAACAATGACGTCATAATCGTTGATCTCTGAGGCATGCGGACCCAGTCCTGTCGATGTATGACACTGGCGCGAGATGGAGAGAGGGAAATAGTGAGTAAACGCGTGTCGCTTGGAGTCTATTTTCAAAACCGCTATTTATGACTGGATGCACACCTAGGGACGGTCCTATATAATTACGGACGTGTCTCGGGAATTTCTGTTTGGGTACCAAGAGAAAATAAAAAGATATCAAGTTGCTATGCTCATCAACCCCGCATTCTTGGTCATCGTACAATGATCTAGTGCTCAAGTAATCTCAAGCTTCCCTGAACCACCACGTTCTCGAGGATTGATCCAGGAGGAATATCGATAGTGCTATTCTCGGTCGCAACGATGATGACGGTACCTATTCATTGTTAGTAAGAGAGGTGGTCGCTGGTAATTGTAGGGACAAACTTACCCTTGAGAACAATACCACGACCGAAATTGACATCACCAGTAACAGTTAGATGATCCAATTCCACAATGTTAGGAATGCTACCAATTCGCTTCTGGAATTGAGCCACTTTCTTGAAATCACTGCCCAATTTGATGAGAGGAGCAGGGCCAAATCGGTTAGGATCAATGACCAATTGACCGTGGCTCAAAGTGTAAAGATTGGACTTGACCAGCATGAGATCGGAGCAAGTCTTGACAGGCAAAAATCGTCTTCGAGGAACATTGACACCGTGAGCGTTCTTGAAATGTTTGATAGCGGCACCAACAGCAGTCTCCAATTGAACAATGCTGATATCTGCCTCTCCCTTCTTGTCTGCTGGGATGGACTTGTCGTTGGGGATGATTTCCATCTCAAGCTCGTTCGCCTCCACAACACGTTTGATTGCTCGAAGATTCATCCAGATGTTGTTGGTGTTGAAGTACTTGAACTTCTTGATTGACTTGAACTCGTTGACGTATTGCTTGGGAACTTGAGCAATTTCGAGTAGTCTGGCCTTGCCCTCGTAGTCGATAATGGTTCCACCCTTGACATCGGCTTTGGTCTTGTCGGTCAACTCCATGATATATTCGGCCTTGGTCTCAACCATGTGCTGCAGAATGCGGAGATCGACCACGGCGCCCAAGTTGTCAGCGTTGGACAAGAAGATGATCTCAATGCCTCGGTCAAGGAGCTGGTCCAAGATACCAGAGTTGTAGAGAGACTCGAACACGTCACCGTGTCCGGGAGGGTACCAATCAGACAAAGGTGAATCATTGCTCTTAGGTGCAGGAAGGAGCGAATCCTTCAACACACGAGGATAGCGGGATTGGTTGAAAGTAAGAATGTCAATATTGTGACCCTCGTACTTCTTGATGATGGCAGCGGTATCTTCGTCGGTGTTGAAGCTGTTCATCAGGACGAAGGGCACGTTGACATCGTAAGTGCGGTTGAGGTACTCGATCTGGCGGACTGAGAGATCGAGGAAGGACATGCCATCTCTGACCTCAATGACAGATTTGGGACCAACGCAACCCATCGATGTTCCCAGACCACCGTTGAGTTTGACGACAGCCAACTTGTTCAAGAAATCGACAGCATCGCTGTTGGGGAGCTTGTCATAGTTGACGACTTGATCAGGGTTGGGAGGGTTGATCTTCGCCCAGTCAATGGTATTGCCCTTCGCGCGGTCATTGAGATATCTTCTGAAGAGAGCAAAGAAGTTGTCCATTTCAGCTTCGAAACGCTTCTTCTCAGCAGGATCTTTGACGGTATCGGCAAGGTTGTTGAGGGCATTTCGCATCTGGCTCGCGGCCACATTGGTGGAGGTGTTTTCGAAGGCCTGCATTGTTGGAGATGTTGTTAGCACAGGTCGCCGAGGAAGTTTGGCGCCATTCGCCGCAGAGGTGCGAAGGTCCAGGTAAGAAGGAAGTTCGAGGAGTGGCATTATGGTGAGTGGGAGGAACGAATGAGGCGGGCAGGCATTTAGGCAGTGTGCAACAAAGGAAATAGATTTCGTTTAATGAAGCACGAGAGGAAGGCCAGTCGAGCTTGCCTGCAGTGCTTTAAATGGGTTCAAGACCCAGATCGAATGTCCCAGATCTCGTGGCCAGTCAGACATCCGAGCGCAGATGATCTGAATATTCGAGATGCTGCAAGGTCCGTGCGGCGGGCAAGGCCCGAACGGGCAGATCCAATGTTTTCCTCGCCCGTCTCGATGCCATATTGGGAGGTTCTGGGGGAAGGTTGTGCAGATGGGTCTGGAACATTATGGATATTTGCTTACCACATGAGATTGTGTCTTTCCATGGTGTCTCTTCTCTGCTCCGGCAGGGGCGGAGCCACCGTTGCTTCCATTAGAGGCTGCGGCCGGACGAAGGTGGGAGGGAATAGCTTTAGAGGCCATTGTATTTGTGGGAACAGTTGGAGGAGAAGCTGTAAACGGCGGTAGAGGTAGGCTTTCAGCGAAGACAGCTCCTCAGAGATATCCTTTGCAATCTGGAGAAGCTCTGGAGGACCACAGAGATTAGCGAGGTGAGGCAGCCAGGTTTGAAAGCAGAGTGAAACAAGAGTCCGTCTCTGGAAGAACAGTGAAGGATGAGGGGGAGGAAGGTGAATGAGCTGTGTGGAAAACAAGGTGTGGTGAGAAGATGATGGAAAAGCATCATTACTGGGAGGGCAAAAGGCCAGACCAAGGCAAGCATGACAGGGTCAATTGGCGAGGGGGGCAGCCGGATTGCTTGGGAAGGCGATGGTGGATAGCTCCAAACAACCATTGCCATTTCATCATGTGCAAAATCATCATGTGCAAAACAACCGAACAACAGGATGGTCCGTAGGAAGCAGCGAACAACCTGACGCCAGGAGTACGCAATACCCGATCGCTGGGCGGGCCAACAGCAGGCAAGGGCAAAAAAGTGGAACGTGGAGCGAGGAGCGAGGCGGTCTGGTCTGTACTCACAAGTCTTGAGCCGTACGAGTGGCTTGTAGATGGAGGCTTGGGTATTGAGAGAGGCAGGGGTCCGGGGGAGGACAGTTGAACAGCCAGTGAACAATGCTTAAAACCAAGTGAGTGCAGGAGTCAAATAGTATACAATTCCAAAGAACAGAAATGGCCCGTCCGCCCGTTTGAAGCTTGAAAGGGAAAACACAGTGCTCGTAGATGTGAGATGGCCACCTGCGCAAGACCAACGTCCTGGTCCTGCTCATATACACGCCCAGTGCCCACGACTCAGTCGGGGCTATCTACAAAATGTTGGGCAGTTAGCACTTCGGACTGTAACGCTGTGGGATGCAAGAAATTATCTCACGGTCGATACCGACGAGCTTGGAGCTCTAGAGTCGCAAGGCGAGAGTCGATCGGGGAACTGGACCTGAACCGTCCGACGAACAGGAAGCCAAGCTCCCCCCACCCTGTTCCCAGCAAGCCGTCCATACATCCCACCGCCTCTGGCAGGATCCAATCGCCCCAGTCGAAAACTCAGACATTGACGGCTGTTCTACCCCTCCTTCGACGATCCCCCTCACGGGTAACTGCGCCGGTGCTTGACAGTGGTGGTGCCTTCCCCTAGCTTGCCCGCGTGGCCCTCCAAAATCAGAAGCCCGCCATCAGCGAAGGCCTAAGGGACGAGGGTGTCGCCATATCCGAGCCCACAGTCCACCGGCCTACACCCCTACGGGCTAGAGGGACCGCCAGAAATACAATCCCCTGCTGCGACGGAGCATCGCTCCTCGTTGGCCTGGCGTGGAGATCCTTTTCGCTGGGTTAGTTGCGGGAATATCTCGAGCATACCAGGCAAAGATAGACCGACCTCTTGAGTTCTGTAGTAGTTCTGAGAAGCCGGCATCGAGCATCCTCAATGTTCCCATCTCCAAGTCATAACATCCCCATTTTCTTTCAGTTTCTCGCTCTCACGTTCAATTCACTCCGCAAGCTTCCTGGCATTGGACCGGCCTGTGCTAGTCAATCTCCACAGATGCATCCGCACCCGTTCCCGCTGATGTCTCGATTTGGAGAGGGAATGCCGTGCTGGAGCTTCGACAGCTATGCGGATCCAAAAAGACCGTGCGCATCGACACTATTACCTCCTTAATAAGGACATGGGATACGTACGACAGAGAAATCAAGTACTCCGTCGTCCGACGCAGATGATCGAGATTACCTTGATGTTGGTGACGTGTGTCAGCCTTCCCTTCCGCCTTCCCTTTCCGCATGCCACGCTGGCTCGTCCGCAAAGTTCTGAAATCCTGGTCAGCATGCTTTGAATGCTTGCTGATTAAGTGGCGGAAAACCGGTCGCCTTGACAACCATTAGGCTGCAATGGTTTTTCGGTTCAACGACGTCTTCAATGAATGGACCACTACCAGAATCACGACGAGTAACTAGTGAAACTTCACCGCCTCCGGTATCCAAACACCCTGCATCCTATCGTGTGCCACTACGAGCTACTTAGGCACCTGTTAGCATTCCATCATCCGAAGGATGGATGGCCAATTCATTCTGCTAGCCGTACTCTGGTAGAATAGCATTTCGAGCCCAGTCTTCCATGATAGCAGGTAGCATTGAATTATTCATCTTCTTGGGCCACTCTTTTGTTTTAAAAGGCACGGCTAACCTGTCCGCTAGCTAGAGCCCCTGACGCTAGGTCTCGAGGAGCTGATAAATAGAATTTTTGGTATCATAACAATTACAAAGCATTCGCTCTCGCTCCAGTGCGTGTTGAAAACTAAAAATCCCCAGGGAGGTGCTTTGGGTGCTGTACTGTTTCAGCATGGATATCAAGCCATGAAGCGGCCTCTGTGTAGCCGCCATCGCTCAAGATGCCATGTTCAACACAGTATTAGGAAAGATCACCACACCGCACTCTTACCAAGTCCACTCCACTATTGTGCCTCATGTTTTCCGCTGACGTCTCGCCTTCCAAAGAAGCTTCGTCGACCCTCGCGCCTAGAGTCGGGGCTGTCTCGACCGCTGGTTGCCGGCCTGAGGCTGTCCGAATAACTTCCAGTTCCGGGAGTGAAGCTGCTTCGGATTGTGACACTTCCCACTCCAGCTTTGACCGTCTGCTCCGACCCTGCTCCCTGGTCGGAAATAAAAAACAGAGCTTCGCCGAGATCTTTGGATCGGAAGGTATCATGATCCTTCACCACGATCTGGAATTGTGCGTCAGGTGAGCAAGGCACCTTGAAGTTTTCATGACTCGTGTCAAACTCCACCGACCCCGAACTGGATTTGATGGCCTTCGTCTTGAAAAGGTCTTTACCTTTACCTCCCGCCAGCTTGAACAGCACTTGGACATCTGCCTTGGGCGGATAACCTGTCGCCGAAACAACGATGAAATTCCCCGTGCCCGATTCACTGGTGCCTTTGACACCGTTTGCAGTCATTGATGACTGGTTGCTCTTGGAGCGTGAATGCAGCGTAGGCGTGACAGGCGATGCCGCACTCTCAGCAAGTTGGCTGGCTTTGGTCGGCGTCGCCGCGGTTGGGCTTTCTGCGACTACATCGTCAGTGGTGAGGGACCCATTTGTATCACTTCGAGGAGATTCGTCCTTGCTGCCACTCCTGCCGAGGATCCCTCGCTTGATGAACGATGCACCTTTCACAACACCTCCACCCACTTTTCCAACTCCCTTTACAGGAGCGCCAATCACCTTGCCGGCCGGTGCAAATGTTCCTGAAAAGGTCGAGGTTCCTTGACGTGATCGGGTGATGTAGTCGGGTTTGAATAGCATTTTCAGTCGAATCACACCTGATTTCCCATCTAATGGGTAATGAATTTCCCTGGGTTGGAAAGGTTCGAGTATTTTTAGGTCGATTGCAGTGGCGCCAAGGAAGTCTGCTTTATCGCCAAAATCCCAATCGTAAACATCAACCTTGAAATCGGCCGCTGTCCGAGAGGGAACCTGAACTTCGAAAAATTCATTCCAGGCTGGATGCAGTGTTTTCTTCTGCGTCTTTGTCTTGTATACCTCCTTGCCATTGAGCTTGAATTTGCAGTACGGATCACTGAACCCATTTCGATCAGCAGATGGAAGATCTGCTGCATCCAAGACATCCACACGCAAAGTCCCCATATTGTTGATACTTTCACTGGGATCAAGTTGCATCTTCACAGGTAGGTATTTCAACTCAACCACCACTTTATTGATTCCACCCCTGTCGCTCTTCAATGTCAGAGCAGTCGGCTTATACAAGCACTGCTGCAATGTCAGTAGAGTGGGGCCTTGCAGTTTGGCAATAATGTCGTCTTCGTCTTGCTTGCCGTCCTTTTCAGTTTTTTCCACCAGTCGCAAAGTGATTCGGGACATGTCCAACTCACGGACCATGGCATCGCCGGTTTCTCCGAAATGATGCTCTCTTGTTCGGACCTTTGATGAGACGTAGCTCGGGAATAGTTGGTCATCCATCAGAACCTCCAGTCTCAGGTCAGTCTTGGAGAATGAGCCCTCAACGATGTTGAAAACAACGAGCCCAGACTCTGTGAAGCATTAGCGACCATCCACAACGTAAAAAACCATCAATTTGCTCACCATATTTGGGCAGATCTTCCACTGAAATTCTGATTTTGGGAGCTTCCTTCTTTGCCGACACCGTCGACCCATTGATAGAGGGAGAGGCTCCATTGACGGAGCCAAGCCGCTGTCCGCTTTCAAGACTCTTACGTTGGTCAATACTTTGCCTAGAGACATCAAGGGAGGTTTTGACATCAACCGAAGATTTCTTGCTGTGTGTCGAGATAGGTGTCGCAGGAACAGATTCCATCTCCGCTTCAGCTTTGCGATCTTCTTCCTCCTCATCTGGGTCTACCACGTTCAAGGTTGGGTAGAATGAGACCGAGTAGGTTACAGTCCCTTTCTCTTGTCCTGCTCCTCCCAGACGAAGACCTGAGGTCAATTCAGTTATCTCATGGACCTCGTAACCTCCCTCCTCACTTTCCTTGATGTAGTCCGACACGGCAATCTGAGTTAGACCTAAAGAACGATCTTTCCCAAGCTTTTCTTCATCCATGACTTCCAGGGTCAATCGTTCAGTTGAACTATGCATAGGAACATAGATGACCTCGTCCCAGCTAGGGCTAAGCTCGTTTTTGAAGGTGACAGTTCGGCCTTTGGGAATGCCAGAAAGGAGAACTCGGGCATATGGGTCGGACTTGCCCATGGTTTCGAAGTTCCTTAGGTTCGCTGCACTCTTGACGTGAAGACGCATCACGCCGATAGGAGTTACATATCCGCCAGACCCAATGGCTCCCTTCAGAGCTACGGGTTTCCATTCCAACTTCAGTTTAGCTTTGGCAGAGGGAGTTCCATGGAGGTTGAACCATTCTTGACCCTTATCCATTACTTTCAGAAGATCGTCCACCTTCATCTGGTATGTGCCCAAAATCGGGTCTTTTGCAAGGTCACGGTCGTCTTTGATCACTAAGCCAAATCTTGCTCTCTTTCGGTCGGTGATCAGAATAGACTTAGTATTGTCAGAGAAGACAGGATTGTTGGTTCGCTTCAGCTTGTTGGTAATATGAACCTCCTTGCCATTAAGGAGGAGAACAGCATAGGGGTCAAGGGACCCGACCATGCTCCGACTACCATCAAGATCCTTGGCTTGTTCGATGGTGATTCTAGCAATACCTGTGTTGGACTCTGGAGGTGGAAGAACTTCACCTGTGGGAAGTTTTTCAGACTCGATGACAGGAAAGAAGCGCACATCTGCCGATATGACACCTCTGGATTTGCCGTTAGACAGCACCTCCAGGTGGAGATTTTCATGCTCTGTGGCAGTCTCAAGCCTGTCCAGGGCAAAGGTCGCTGTCCCAAGGTGCTTGTCTTTGCGAACATCATTATAATCATATACCTGTAGCGTCAGGGCATCCGTGTAATTCGTGATAATAACGTACAAAGTTTCGTTCCAGCGAGGATTGGCGTCTTCATGAATAGTCTTGGTCCTTCCAAGCTCCTTTTGGCCATTCAATGAAACAACCGTGTATGGATCAGGGGTGCCAGAGAATTTATCTGGGTTTTTGAGACCATGAGCATTATGAAGAGTTACTGCAACGACTCCAATGGCAAGATCAATTGGATTGCCCGACAACATTTTGGCCACCTCAATGGGAAAGACGTTGGGGTCGTACATCATGGGCGCAAGGTTGCCATGAATCTGCTCGGTGATGAAGGACTCCAGGCCAGGAATGAAGTTGATGTCAAAACCAAAGGTGTCTCCACCAAGAGGTTTGCAGACATAATCGATTGTGGGGCGGCCCAGGAAGCAGATGTCAACCCTTTCGATATGTGGGAATGGTATTTGCAGCTTCATGCGCACGCGCATGAGCCCGGAGAACTCGAAGTCTTCAACAATAACCTTCATAGATTTGCTGACCACGCCCTTCCCGAGTCGGATTTCAAGCACAACTTTTGGGTTAATCTTTGTCTTCAACTGTCGGGCGGTCATGTCCATGGTGTCAGTTGGGGTAAAACTGAATTTCCAGTCCATCATGACAATATCATCCTCACTCTTGGGGTATGTCTTGACAAAATCCATGCGTGGCGGCTTGGTACCTAGAATGAACGTCTCGAGTCTCATGCTGTCCAAAAAGGCAGGTGTGGAGGTACTCAGGACTTGGTCAACCGATTGAACAATGCCTTTAGCGAGTTGAGGGGCGTAGATGGGCCAGAACTTGACGAGGAAGCTATTCATCCATTCAAGACTCTCCGTGTCTGTCTCCAAGCGCGCTTTTGCAAGCTCTCGAGTGATGTCGTCTCTGAAGTTTCGACGTACTCGTCGGATTGAGGTCCTGTAGTAGGTGCCGCAGGTGGCCATTATAATGAAAACCCAGCCGAGCCCACCTCCTAAGAGTGCGACTAGCCATGACGATAGGCAAGCGAAGATTATAACGCCAGTATTGTGGTACCAGTCTGCCGGAGTGTTCAGTGAATGGTCCATACATATTATAGGAGGAGGTTGAGCAGGTTAGCACGCACCACCGAAGAACTTCTCATCCAATTTTCCTTCCAACAGTGTTTGATGGTCGAGGAGGGAACCCTCTTCTTTATCTTCTTCCGTCTCACCAGAGCCGAACCGAGGGGTCCATCCAAGCTTCGACCACTGTACGTCGTCCTCGACAGGGGCTCCATCTTGGGCAGTCTTGTCAAGGGGGGGGGCATTTGCGGCTTCGGCAGCGGCGGCAGATTGTGGTGGAGGGAGGTCGTATTGGTCTGGAGTGCCGTCGTCCTGTGGAATGGGTCAGTCAGGGTCAGCAGATGCGGAGACGATGCCTCACCAGATCAGTGGCCACGCCGACACCTTTTGCAGGGCGCTTAGTATCGTTCTGTCGCTAGATGGATGTTAAATTTGGGCTTGTACAGTAAATGGGAATGCAGTGGAGCTATACCGAACGTGCTTGCGCGGCCTTTTCCTCTGGCGAGGCATTGGGATCGAAATGGAGAGCTGCAGAGCCAGCCTTCTCGCTCTCTTCTAGCACGACATGTTCCGCATCCTCCGCTGTGACAGAGCTGTTGGGATCTTGAGCAGCTTCAATGGCACCCTGAGACTTGAGTTCGTTCGTGACCGCGGATACGGACATCCTGAGTGGTTATGCAGCAACCCCGGTCCTCAGATGGACTAAGCGACGAGGGTCATGGGAGACAAGGGAATAGAGACGAAAGAAACGAAGAGACGGTGAGGAAGAGAAGAGCAAGCCTGTCCCACAAGAAGCGTGTGAAGGAATGTAGCGACAGAAACAATCACCTCGTTTGTACTCAGATTGGGCGCGAACAGCGAGGAGCAGAGCTGTGCCAAATACTCTTGCATTGACTGGACCTTGTGCCTTGGTTTTTGTGGCTGGCAATCAAGTACTCGTATACTCGTAACTTAAGCACCAGGTGCAGTGGCTCATGCCTTTGCGGACTGGGCATCCACCAGAGCTGTTGGCAAGGGCTTAGCGGCTGGCCGAGGGGCTAGGAGCCAGGGATCAGGGAGTGCCGCCTGCGCCTGCGTAAGTCCCTGCCGCCCCTAAAGCACCTAACAGCGTCAGTAGAGCTGAAGCTACGCAACTAAAGCCAACCTTTGTTCCAATCATGGATTGCCATCGTAGGCACCGAGTCTGGGGATCTTCGGTTGCCACCTGGAAGATAATGCACGCCTCCCTTGGTGCGGTGCTACGGTGCTCACCAGGCATGGCTTCCAGCTCGGTTCTCCCCTCCAAGCGCGGACGACAACATAAACCCTGCCTTCCATGCAAGAGATATTTCTCGCTTCATTCCCTACTCGCTTGGTGATGGGGTCAAGTCAATTCACCTGTTTCAAGAAGCCTCTCTTGCGTCACTGCTCGTTCATTCAAACACCTGAGGAGCCGCGTTCGATGTTCGATGTTCCAACTTCCAAGTTTTTGCAGCCACCCCAATTTCGAATGACGTTGATTCAGTGGCACAGGTCCTCCCAGGTATGGAGTACGGCAGGAAAGATTCTGTCTGACACGTGTCGCCGTCGTAACAATAAAGAATTAGTCCAATGCGTTGCAGGGCCGAGGGGGGGTAGGGATTAGGCTTGACAGAGGTGAATTCTAGGAGCCAAATAGGGCCTAGGTCGCTGGAGTCCTGCATCCTGATGCTCTATTTTCCCTTGGAAGCAATGCCTGCATCACAGTGTCGGTCAAGGCCATTATTCCGTAGAGATGTCGAGAGTGCTCCCTCCCCGTTCAACATTCGTGGTGCATGCCCATTCCAGCTCCTTGGATTGCCCCGAGAGCGGTGCCCGAGGGGCCTAATTACGGAGTACGAGAAGTTAAATTCCGCCCAAGCTCGGTAATTACCAGAACCTTATCAACTCATGCCAACACCTCGCCGAGTCTGAGTCTACTGAGGAGCCCGGGCAGCAGTCACCCCAGCCGTCCAGCTGCCAGTGTTACCAATTGTCTCGCGCCGCCCTTGTACTGTGGTTCCCGTCGTTTTTCCAGCCATCCCGCATGTCTAGCTCTAACCTTCCCGCATTTTGGGTATCACAGGCCAATAGCCTGGTAAGATTCAGCTGGGAAGTGCAAATGTTTGATATGCATTTCCCTTCAGGACGTTGGCACTTCAGTCTCAGCCTTTCAGCAAGAAAATCTTGGGGGTTCACACCTCAATTTTGCATAAACAGCTAGCCAGTGGAGGATGTAGCTCAGCTACCATGATGTCCCGCACCAAGTGACTCTGCAATGCAATGCAAGTGCAATCCTTACTTGCGTCCAGCTGGCTTCTTTTTCATTTGCACCTTGGCAATGATTTCAGGCTTCTCTCGGCAGGTTGGGCAATACCAGTCTTCATCCTCATCCGGCACTTTCTTCATATTCAGGCAACCAGTATGGAACCATTGATATGGGCAGTCGTCGTTCTCACACGCCACCATTTCACCATAGCTGCGTTGATTACAGAAGCAATACTTCTTGTCATCTTCTGCCTCATCGTCTTCCATGTCCTCGTCTTCTGCAACTTCCGCCTCTGCTTCGTTCACGGCCGGCTTCTTGTTTCTTCGCCTTCCTCTTGACTGGGAAGCATCCGTCTCGGATGCATCAGCAGATGACAGCACCGAATCTGCATCTTCCGAAGCCGCGGTCCCCCCGCGATTGCCCCGGACAGAGGGGGATTGGCCCTTTTTGCGGCCCGTTGATAGGCGGCCCTTGTTGGCACTCTTTTGTTTTAACTTATTTACTTGCTGATGTGATATGATCTTCTTCGATAGCCCTGACTTCTTTGTTAGAACTGTGCTTTGTTGAGAACCAGTCGTGCGAGGGATACTGCCTGCTCGGCTTTGACTAGTAGCTACAGGTGTACTTGGTTTGGGTGTGCCAGGTCCAAGTGATGATTGACGAAGATTGGAGGGTTGCGCAGGCAGATTAATGCCGGCCAGGGGGTTGCCTAATTTGCGACGTTTAGTGTCGGCTCCCAGGGAATGTTCCCGTTCTCGTTGTCGTTGCTGCTGCACTGCAGAGGCTGGTGTTGCCGGTGCGGAACTTCTCTGGACCGGTGCAGTCGCGGTCACGATCTGAGGTAGCTGCCTAGGCTGAGCTTGGGGTGTTGCACTGGTCATCTGAGCATTTAGTCTGTGTGCGCTTGCATTCAAGGCACTGATAGAAGCGGTTTGTAGAGGAAGATTTGCTGGAGGGTCGATCAACGCCTTTTGAGCCTCAGGCTTGCGGTTGAACACACTTGGCAAGGCTGGACCATCAACGAGTTGACCGTCGTTCTGTAATTCACGAATCTTGACGTCGAGTCTTTTCACTTGCCGCTCCAGTAGGTTGCACGCCTTTTCACTCAAGCTCACTTTCTGATTCTGCAGTGAGAATGAATGTTCAAAATTCTTCTTCACCAATTCAGCATACTCAGTCTCCTTAGGATGAGGAGCCAGAACACCATTGACTTTGAGGTGTTTCTGTATGTTGGTGTCCTTTTGGTTGATGGTGGATATCAATTTCTGCAGGTCCTTGTCTTTAGCCTGGATTTCCTCCATCATATGGCAGATCTCGGCAGGCAGATTGGCCGCATCGTAGATGAATTGTTCCAACACCGAAGCACAGTCTTCATTTGCCGCCATGGCGATGGATGTGCAGGTTGGTGAACAAGTTTCAAACAGCTTGGCCTTAAAGCAGGCGCCAAAGCACAGAAGGAAGCGATTGCGAGAATGAGGCTTGATACGCGTTCACTCCGAACAGAAGGCCAAAATATGATCAATTCTTAGTCTTACTCTAGCCGGAGTCGGAGCATGCGATCAAGGATTCTTCGTTTGATGATGGTGTATTGGTTTTTGATGAAGTTTGCCGATAAAAGAAGTGGTTGAAAGGGCGACTTGCCCATCTGAGATGTTTCTTCACGTAATGATATCAGACTAGGCTGAAAATGGAAGTAGAAGTGGCGATTCCCGAGTCCCGATGAACTTTTCCTTTTTCGGCCACGCTAACATGCAGGAACAACCAAACCAGCGAGCAGCTGGCAGTGGCACAACTTTGGAAGGCTCAGCGTGGCACAGTCACCAGCCACATCTCGCCTGGATCCTCAACTTCTTTGCCATCGTCAAAACTTCAATATTCCATTCACTTCTACTCCGCACATCAATCTATCACTCAGTGTAAAGGTACAAGTGCGGCATATCTACCAACGGCCTCCATTAATCGCCACTCACCGTTCCCCCAGGCTCTCACCTCTGCGACAACCTGCTGATATTCAGTATTGTACTTTTCACTTTAGGCCTGCCGAACCCCAAATCATCAATTCTGTAATCATGTCGCATCACATACACAGTGCAGTGCCTTCCTAGATCGATATATGCAGTTCTACTTCTGCTTTCAGATAATTGCGACACCACACAATGGCGGTCGTGCCGATAGTCCAAGAATATGACTTAAGCGAGCCCGCTTCCACCTTCACAGTCCATTCGAAGATCCAGAGGGAGGCAGAAGCTAACGGTATTGTTCGTCCCAAAGGATACACAGTATCATGGCACTATAACCCCGAAGTCGAAAACCATCACTTTGGACAAACTCATCCAATGAAACCATGGCGACTCACATTGACCAAATCCCTTGTGCTATCCTATGGTATGCACACAGCAATGGATGCCTACTTATCACGACCAGCAACCAAAGATGAAATCAAAGAATTCCACAAGGACGATTACGTTGACTTTCTCAACGTGGCAACTCCCCAAAACATCTACGAAATGTACCCGGAACTAGCTACTGGTCCTCAGGGCTATTCTTCCGCCATTTTCGGTGTAGGAGACGACTGTCCTATTTTTGATGGTCTCTACAATTATTGTTCCTTATATGCTGGGGCATCTATTGACGCCGCCCGCAAGCTATGCAACAAGCAATCCGATATTGCCATCAATTGGAGCGGTGGGCTTCATCACGCTAAGAAAGCTGAAGCATCGGGCTTCTGCTATGTGAATGACATAGTACTTGCGATACTGCAGCTGCTTCGATACCACCCCCGAGTTCTCTACATTGATATTGATGTCCACCACGGTGATGGCGTAGAACAAGCCTTTTGGTCCACCGATCGTGTCATGTGTGTCTCATTCCACAAATACGACAAAGAAGTCTTCTTTCCTGGCACAGGTCCTTTAGAGTCCACAGGTCCTGTCCATCCGAATAATCCTGGAAAAAACTACACTATCAACGTCCCTTTGAACGACGGCATCGATGATGAGAGCTATGCATACCTTTTTGCCAATGTTGTTGAGCCGACCATCAAGATTTACAAGCCTGAAGCTATCGTACTACAATGTGGAGCTGACAGTCTAGGCCACGATCGTCTGGGATGCTTTAATCTCAACATCCGTGGACATGGTAATTGTGTCAGCTTCGTGAAACAATTCGGGATTCCTTTGCTGGTGGTTGGTGGAGGAGGCTACACACCTCGCAACGTGGCGCGGGCTTGGGCACATGAGACGAGCATCTGTATTGGCGCAGATAAGACACTCAACCACGCTCTTCCAGAGAACATGCCATATCGTGATGCATTTAGACGCGAAGGGCTGACGCTTTTCCCCAACCTGGGTGGGTGGCGAAAAGAGAATATGAATAGCAGAGCGGACATTGAGCGAATTATCAAGCACGTCCGAGACCAGCTGGCAGAAATCCGGGGTGCACCGAGTGTGCAAATGAAGCACATCCCGCCGGACCTGCAAATGTGGCGGGACGATGCTGAGGAGGAGTTGCGAGAGAAGAGACTAGACAGGGAAGAAAGGATGGAGGAGCGTGATGGCGCGGGTGGACTGCTCGCGAAAGCCAGTCGAAGAAGGGAATTGGAACGTACGGGACTAGGAACCCTGCAGGGTAGTGTCGCAGGCAGTGTTGCTGGTGGTGGAGGCGGAGGAGGGGGAGCAGGGAGTGTCACAGGTAACGGGGCGGGAGGCGCGAAGTATGGTGATTTTCTAGGTGTGGGTTGAATGCTTGCTTGTTTGTGTGTTTGCTTGATCGCTTGATCGTTTTTTATTGGTGAAAGATACCCCAAGGAACAACCCACGATGAGCGTGGGTCTGCATGAAGGTCAGACACAAGCAAAGAGCGAGATAGACCCAATCCAACTATTCGAAATGATTTTCTCTTTTCATTCTTGCAGCTCGCTGCAGAGGATAAGTGCGATGCCTCCGTCCTCCGTCCTCAATCTTCATCGTATCAGACAGATGATCTATTCCATGTCGCTCTCAGAGCTCGACGGCGCTTGCAACGATCCTAGTTGTAGTCCTACCTAGCTAGTATATGAGATACCTGCACAGTTCACGAAAAGTAGTAGCCCAGGGGATACAACTAGGAACAAAAGAATGTCGCAACGAAGTTACGTATGAGATTGGAGATTCCCATAAAAGACCCTTTCAGGTTTGAGATATTCGTTTTTTCTCTCTTCCATTCTACATAGTTTTTGATTAGATGCTGGATGTCAGGATCGAACAGCTCAATGTCAGTTTCGTGGAAGGGCATTGTGCATGCACAATCCAGGTTGCTTCCTGGAGACAAGTGAAGTGAAGATCAGCAACACAGTCTTGCTCAAGGTTGGGTCTCGGGGTATCGTAGTTTGTGCTTCCCTCTTACTCGTGGTAAAGTGGGGGAAGGAGCAGTTGGTAAAGACTTGTCGTCTTCGACGGCTGTACGTGTTCTGGAATAGCTACACCTGACAGGCCGTTGGCAAAAAGGGATTTAATGCCAATCCACAATCTTTCTCGTGCTCTGCAAGCAGAACAGAACGCCGTTGCAATGCAGAAGCAGAAGCAGTACATGAAGCAATCGAGGAGGTACCGTTCAAGACATTTCGGTGTCGGCCTCGATCTCCACCTCGATGGTGGCGTTTTCTTTCCCTTTCCCCTTGTCCCTCGGTTTCCCTTTATCTTTGGGCGCGTAGACACCAACGCCAACTTCTCGATCAGCTTCGGCAAGGACAAGATACCATTGATCAAAGTATTTGCAAGTATGGACATTTATGGGGCCCCCATCGTCGCAAATATCAAACACGGGACAGCTCATACATGGAACTTCACTGGTGCCACCAGGACCAAGCGCTTCCAGTTCTTGTTGTCGCATGGCAGCTTTCTTGACTTCGTATTTGTGGCTGCTGGCTCGGCCAACTAATTGGTTTTCTTCGTTTAGATCTTGAGGAGTCTTGAAAGAGCGGTACATAACGATATGTTCAATATCATCTGGGTCGGCGTCATTACCACTATCGGGTTTACGGCTCACCTTAAAGAGCCTGTTATCGTAGACCATGACATCCAGGAGTTGAGCAATTGCATTTTGTGGGAGAATGGTTCCAGTGATCTTAGTCTGGAGAATGTGCCGGGAGATTTCAGTAAGAGTCGGGTATTTAGTGTAGCCGGCATGGAAGGGACGGTAGGATTTTGGAGGAGGGGTGGGTTTCCCTTTGTGATGGTGGGAATTGTCCAGTCGAGCTGACTTGGATCGGGAATCGGGTTCATCGTCAAACCCACCATCGGGAGCCTTGCGCTTGTTGTTGACGGTGGGACATTCGGCAGGATCCAATTCCTCCCAGGATTGCTCCGAGACATATTTTTCAACAACCGTGGCGACGGCTTGGAGCAAGGAGGTGTCAAGATCGCCGTTGGTGAACCAGGCGCCGCCGGTGGCTTCCTCGTTTGGTTGCAAGCCAGCTAAAATCCACATTTTCCTTCCCGGGTTCTTGACGCTTGACATTGACTTGATGAGGCCTTTGTTGGTTAGGCTTTTCAGGACGCGTTCGAGGACCTGTGCATGCGCTGAAATGCGGTTCTTGATGGTCTTGTTCCAGATTCCGGCGGTGCCAGAATTCTCAATGCAGGCGTAAACCATCTTCTCGTCGCGGGACAGTCCGATGTGGCTGTGAAATCAGAGTTAGGAACAGTTTCGACGTGCGTTTAACAGGGCGAATTGAGGCAATACTTTTTGGCCTTTTCCTCTTCAACAAGTTCCCAGCCGATAGAACCACCGAGCCTGTCATGGAGTTTAAAGAGGGCACGGTTGACAAGATGTTGGGTGGAAGTAAGGAGGATCTCGAGCTTTCTGTCGGGGATGATGCCTGCGTTGAGCAGTTCTTCTTGAGAAAAGACATAGCCTGGCTCGTGGTTTTGGATGCACCAGGCATAAAGGGCTTCGGCTATTCGATCTCTTTTACGACCGAGACCAGAAGGCCCCGGCGTGGGAGATGCGGAATGAAGAGGAGGAGGCATGGCGTGGAAATGGTAGGGACGAGAGTGGTGCTACCGATGGGGATAGATATCGCAGAACATGTTTGGTCAATGGAGCGCTGACCAAAGGCGATGGGAGAAGTTAAGAGCCGTGTCACCGCTGCATATTGATATTAGAAATGTTCAAGAAGTGTGGGTGTGGGTGTGCAGTGCATTCGAAAAATAAATCAACGGCAAACGCAGGTGATTGAATGAGTGGATCAAGGCCATGTCGCTGGCAAAATTTTGTATGGAGTAGATGCAGTTTGTGGTGGGGTACAAAGGACGAGGTAACTAGGTAGCCTACTGGCCAGTGCCACACCATGTATTTACGATTCAACTACCACGACAATATGCCATCTTATTCTCACAGTATTACGATTTCAGGTACTTGACAAATGGAAAAGACCAGGAGTTCAGCATTCGGGGTAAGCAGCAGGAGAGTTGTAATGCAGTACGAGTATGTCCTCGGTACGGAGTAGTCAGTACCGCCAACGACCGTCGGCAGGTGCGATGCAGCCTCACGAGACCAGTACGAGTAGGCGCCAGTGAGCCACCCAGTAGTACCGATGTGCTCCGTACTGTTCGCAAGTCATTCTCCCGCCTTCCCTTCCGCTCCAGATGGTCCGTGCACCGAATTTTCTAGACAACCGAAGCCTTGCGCTTCTCTTAGCTGCCATCTACACTCCAGTATTCTTTACTCTACTTCGTCCTCCTTATCTTATTCCACCTTTTGCCCTCCCATTCTCCATACTCCCATTCCCGGATACTCGTCTCTCTGACACCTTCTCAGTCCAACCATGGCCGACGCCCTTAAGGCAGAGGGAAACAAAGCCTTTGCCGCCAAAGACTTTGAGACTGCTATGTACGTAGACTCACAGAGTACCACTTCGTCCTCACACTAATACTCCCACCAGTGAAAAATTCTCCCAAGCAATCGAGCTCGACCCTACGAATCATGTTCTCTACTCCAATCGTTCCGGCGCATATGCTTCCCTTAAGGAATACCAGAAAGCTCTAGACGATGCTGAGAAAACCACCGAAATAAAACCTGACTGGGCAAAAGGCTGGGGACGGAAGGGAACTGCTCACCATGGCCTTGGTGACTTGATTGGGGCCAAAGATTCCTTCGATGAAGCCCTCAAACTTGACCCGTCCAATGCACAAGCCAAGAGCGGTCTCGAGGCTGTCAACAGAGCAATTGAAGCTGAAGCCCGAGAAGACGGCGCTGATCTTGGTGGCGGCGGTCTCGGTGGTCTAGGAAACATGTTTAACGATCCTCAACTTATCCAGAAGCTAGCAAGCAACCCAAAGACGGCTCCATACCTTGCCGACCCAACTTTCGTTGCTAAACTTCAACGCCTGGCCCAAAATCCTCAAGAGATGGGCCAAGAACTCGGTGATCCCAGGTTTCTGCAGGTCATGGGTGTTCTCCTCGGGGTTGACATGCAGCTGGGTGGCCAACCTGGTGGTCCCGACGTTAGTGCCGGAAGAGACGCCGAACATGAGGAAGACGTTCCCATGCCTGATGCTCGCTCTCAATCCAGTTCTGCACCACAACAAAAGAGAGAACCCGAACCCGAACCGGAGCCAGAAGATGAGGAAACCATTGCAGCTAAGCAGGCAAAGGAAAAAGCCGAAGCGGAAAAGAAGCTGGGCACCGAAAATTACAAGAAGCGCAAGTTCGACCAAGCTATTGAGCACTATGCCAACGCTTGGGACTTACACAAGGACATTACTTATCTCACTAATCTCGGTGCCGCCAAGTTCGAAAACGGCGATTATCAGGGTGCTATTGAGGCATGTGAGAAGGCTATTGAGGAAGGTCGTGAGATTCATGCCGACTTCAAGATCATAGCCAAAGCATTCGGCCGCATTGGCTCCGCCTATGAGAAGCTAGGTGATCTCTCAAAGGCCATCCTCAACTACCAGAAATCCTTGACCGAACACCGTACTCCCGACATTCTAGCCAAGTTCAAGGCCGCAGAGAAAGCACAGATCAAGGCTGAAAAAGATGCCTACATCGATCCTGAGAAGGCTGAAGAAGCTCGACTCTTGGGCGCCCAAAAGTTCAAGGAGGCAGATTGGCCAGGCGCCGTTGACGCTTATACAGAGCTCACCAAACGCGCACCGGAGGATCCCAGGGGTTATAGCAACCGTGCAGCAGCCCTGATCAAACTCCTTGCTTTCCCAACCGCCATTCAGGATTGTGACGTTGCCATCAAGCTGGACCCCAAGTTCATCAAGGCCTACCTGCGTAAAGCACAAGCTCTTTTCGGTATGAAGGAGTACAACAAGTGTCTTGATGTCTGTACTGAGGCAGCGGAACATGACGAGGGAGGTAAGAATGCCTATGAAATTGAACAACAGCAACAGAAAGCCCTTGAAGCCATGTACTCTGCACGCCAAGGCGAGACTGAAGAAGAGACCAGTGCCAGAATCCAAAGAGATCCTGATATTAGTAAGTCAGATCCTGCTACCCAGCCAGACTATTCAGTGTCGTTGCTTTGCTAACATTTGTCTTCTCTCACTAGTGCAAATTCTTTCTGATCCTATCATGCAATCGATCTTACAGCAGGCCAAAGGTGATCCGCAAGCCCTTAATGAGCATATGAAGAACCCTGGCATTCGCAGCAAAATCCAGAAGCTCATCGCCGCCGGCGTTATTCGCGTCGGTCGGTGATCGCAATCCTACAGATCAAAGATGCTTCGGAGGTAACGGCACGGAAATACGCAGTTGATATTCAAGAAGCAGTAGGGCACTGGGGAGCCTTGTCTCCGCTTCAAGGTGGACCTAGAACCAAACCATAAGGGCCTCGACATCAAGACTCGACGATCTTAAGGCACGACTGAAGGAGAGAATTCAACCGGAGCCGTACTTTCCTCGAAAGGCGTCTGCTGCACCTCGTACACTAGTGAACTCTGATGAGAAATTAATGTAAGCGTAGCTAGCCCCAAGATAATTAGTCAAAGCACCTACAAGTTTGTCCAAAAGTGAACCAGTACGAGCGAGGAACACGCTCCAATTGTAACCCTCCTGTAGACCTACCGAACTTCCGTTTGACTGACTTTGAGCAACGCCATTTCAATGCACAGAGGGCAAGCCATCCAACAAAGCAAGATGTACTGTAGGAACCAAAACCAAGACCGAGTCGCGCTGGTCATTTTCAATTGACCACGAATCGCCATATGACAGCGCGTAAGGTAGCTTGCCACTTGCTTCTCGACGCCCACTGCGACTATCTAGGAGACTAGGACTCGACAACACACTCTCTTCCTCATACAATAACAAGGAGGAAACCATGCAACCATTTTCTCGCCTGACTAGGAGGGATACCTCGGACGCCGAGCTCGCAACCCCTGGTTCAAAGTCAGGTCAATTTCTCGACACGTATCAAAGCCAACAAGGCTGTGCTGAATGGGATGGTGACAGTGATTATCAGTGTAGGCCACCTGTCTAGTAACTACTGCAGCGGCAAAGTCTGACTTCCCTTGGATTGGGAGCCAGCCTTGATACGTGTACCATTGATACCCAATCCGATTCCGCGTTTGATTCAGCCTTACCTTCGGCAGGGACATGAGACAGCCGTTCAGCAGGAATATTCTATCGCCCTCCCAGAGCTGCTTTATCGTCTCGATGGTCTGACTTGAAATTTTTCAGTCTAGAAATGCTCGACTTGGACAGTACTGTAGTCTCGCCCCTCTGGGCCATCCGCAGCTGCACTGTCAGAGTCATATCGAACGATACCGCGGCGCGATGCCCTCAGAACTCGGGGCTAGCAATTGACGGAGCCATTCGGACCACCGAACCCATAGAAGACACATTTTACACATGTCTACCCCGAATCAGACGCCAGTGACGGCCTCACCTCTCACGTGGAGGAGCTCTACGAATGCTGTCACAGCCCAAGCTTGAGTTTGCTCCTCTCAGACTTAACGCAGACGTACCCTGGCCTGGCCTGTGAATATCGTTGATCATGGCAATTGCTTCGAAATTGGAGTCTGGTGCCAGGACTCGCCAGGGTTATGTCCGAAGACCAGCACGAATCGCACGTCTGGCGGCAGCTAACGTCGAGGACAGATTATGCAAAAGAATCAAATAGACAGCCAGTCCTCAGCAATGAAAGCAACAATCACTCCCGCAAGTCTCACAGCTTCTCTCTGAACAAGCCCTGCCATTTTCGCACGGTAAGCTCATCGCCCATCGCCCATCGCCCATCGCCCATCGCCCATCGCCCATCGCCCATCGCCCATCGCCCATCGCCCATCGTCACAACTCGCATCCGATTAGGATGGGATGAAGACCGACAAGCAGATTCTCTTCCGGATGTTCATGATGCCCGTGGCACAGACCGTAGACTCAGGCGTTCTTTTCCACGCAGCCTAGCCCAGTCTCGTTCATAGAGCCGAGTTTCAAATCCTTAATTGCCCTGTCGCAAAATGATTTCCCGGTAGGATTGAGCCTATTATATCCATTCCCATTCCCAAACTCCAAGTCCACGTCCATAACCTTTAGTATTGCGCATCCACGCAGACAGATAGAGTTAGACCTATGTGGTGTTACATATATATATCAACCATTCATTGGCAGGCTGCCTCTAAACCAGCTTAATCCAAGGGAAAGCCAAATTACACATTAGTGAGCGATCGATCAATCGTCACTCATCTGGCTCGACTTACGCATTAAGTGATGATTTCCAGCCGGGACAGACACACTGCCTTTCGCGTCTTTGGCGACTGGGACAGCTCCTGCGGTTGCAGTAGCGGGACCCACAGCCTCATCGTCTATCTGCCTACGCGCCTGAACCACAAGCAGCGCAGTTGCGAGGCCCTTCTCACGCACGGAGCGCACGAGCCGGGTGGCAAAGGGCCCGAGGGCTCTGGAGTCACCGGCGACAGCGGTCGAAGAGCTCCCTCCGCCGAGGATGCCGGAATTAGACAGCGAATTGAAAAGCGCGCCTGATGACGACGCCGGCGCGCCGCGGCCGATGAGTACAATCGTCTCGGCGGCGGAGGGCTCAGCGATCGCCGCGGTGATGGCGTCCAGGGGCGAGATGTCCAGGTCAACGAAGGTGACGCGCCGCCTCAGGAAGTGCAGGAGCGAGGTGCGTATGGTTTCGAATTCGAAGTCTGCGTTGCGGGATTTTGCAGCCCCGCCGTTGCCAGAGTCTTTGATTTCGAGCACGTGGTCGCCTTCGTCGTCGTCGTGTGGTACGGGGGTGGGGCGGACGTTGAGGATAATCAGGTCGACTGCTTCGTTCTTCACAAGCTGCAGGCCGAGTTTGACGGCGTACAGGTCATCGTCGGACCCGCTGTACAGCACGAAGAGGCGGTAGCGGCTGGAGTCGGAGAGTTTGAAGTGCACACTTGACTTCAACTGCTCGGCGACGCTCACTCCTGTCAGTGTGCGGGCTAGGGGTCTCGGTGCTCGCGCTTCAGCTGAGCTGTCGGTCGTGGAATTTTCGGCGGTGAGTGCAGTCTTGTCAATGAGGACGCCCACGCTGCAGGTGTCGTGTGCCTTGCGGAATATCTCGGCCGCGAGGGATGAAAATTCCATGTTTGCTAGAGGATTCGCTGGTTTGGCGTCGAAGAGGCTCGGATATTCGCTCATCGTGCCGGTTTCGGACCAAGGTAGCAGGATCAAATCACTTCTCAGATCTCGGGCGCGAGTGAGTAGAGTACCGGAGAAGGAATGATCAGGCACGACGGCGATCTGTCCTCCCACAGCGATATCTCGAGATTGGCCGAAAGTGCCAAAGGCTTTGATCACAGGATCGCGCGAGGCGAATTCCTCGATCTCGCTGACTCGCATTACAGACGACTCTCGCTCTGTCAATTCCATCAGACGAAGACCGTGTACCTGCAGTGGCCGGCGAAGGGTGACAACGGAACTCAAGGCTTGTGGTTGTGTCATAACAGCTTCAGCCAGCTCACCCTCTCTGGTTGCCACTGGAGAGCTTGGAGGTGAAAGTGTGTCCAAGTCCTCACGTTTTCGAGCAAAGAGGGATACCATCGTGAAAAGAGAAGGCAAGCCGTCCAGGCGTAGGTAGACCAGTACTTTCCGTGCCACTTCAGCCGTCCTCAGAGCGTTCTGCTCACTACTGTCAGAACTCTCGTCCTCGTCGTCATCATGATGAAGGCGATTTCCATCCCAGTCAATCTTTCCTTGCTTCCACAACTCGAGCTTTTGTTGATACCATGGTGGGTAAAGCCACACGACCAAAGGAGTAGTGGCGAATGTGGTGACCAATGCCATGACGACGAAGATTGTGAATGTTCGTGTACTAAGGATACGGGCTTGCAGTCCGATGTTGAGGACAATAAGTTCGACGAGACCCTTGCAAGACATGAGGCATCCAATGGTAAGAGACTCTCGCCAGACAAGTCCATTTAAACGGGAAGCAAGCGTGCCGCCGGCGATCTTGCCGATGAAAGCGATGGCACACACACCAACCACATAGGCCCAGGTGATTCCGCTGTTAAGGAGACCCAAGTCGGTATTTAAGCCCGAAAGAGCGAAATAAAGGGGTAAAAACAGAATCGATATTAGATCTTCGATTTTCTCGGTGAGTTTAATAGCAAAGCCGCCTTCGTGGGGGCAAATCAGACCGATCATGAAGGCACCGAAAATAGCGTGGATACCGATGATTTGAGTGAAAAATGACGAGGCAAGTACGAGCATAACAGTGACGGCAACCACTGTTTGAGTAGGGCCATTAGCCAAACTACCCGTTCGACGGAGGAGGTAGAGCAAGGCCCAACGGATAGGGTAGGCTACGAGAAGACTGTACCCGACGGCGACGAGGAGGATCCACAGAGCGGTCAGCCCAGCACCAGAATTGACTAGAGCAACACAAAGAGCCAGGAGAATCCAGCCCACAACATCGTTGCCAACACCGGCAGATAGAACAATCACTCCCACAGGCGTACCGAGTAGTTTAAGTGATGTGAGAATACGGCACAGGACAGGAAATGCCTTAGATAATTAGCCAGCATTTTTACGGGAGGGGGGGACAAAATCGAGAACATACCGTGATAGCCATGGCAACACCAATGAAAAGCATATAGATACCGAAACTGATAGGAGCCAGGCCCGAATCATCACGGAATTCATGGAAAAGACCGTAGGCAATACCAGCACCGAGGCCAAAAGGGAGAGCCATTCCGAGGGCTCCGACGCTCAGGGCAATCCGCCAATTGCTCACGAGGAAGCGGATGTCGACTTCCAGACCGACGAGGAACAAGAACAGCACGAGACCGAGATTGGCAGCTAGGGAGAAGGCCGGCATGGAAGCAGGTGGGAAAATATGGCTCGTGAAGCCTGGGATCCTACCCATGACTGACGGGCCGAGCAAGATGCCGGTGAGGACTTCCGCGATGACTCGGGGCTGGCGGAGCAGGGTCAGGGGCCAGTGGATGAGGCGAGTCAGGACAATGACGATACTGGCCTGGATGATGAATAAGGTGATTGGGGTTTTGGGGTCATAGTGGGTCGGGTTGACATGTTCAAAGATTCCGCCCTGGGGGGTTGCTCTGTTGGAAGCGGTGGCAGTTGCCGCGGTGGCATTGACGGTTCTGGTCACGAACTCGGTGATGGTTGCCGTGGCCATGACGAGGACCAGGATGAGGACCGTCCGGGAGGAAGGATCCTAATCACTTATGGCGGAAGAGGAGGGGAGGGGGTGTGAGGAACAGGAACGAAGGGCGAGAAGGTGAGGGATGTGAGGAATAAGATATCCCAAGGTTTGAGATTGCTTCACATCAACGAGTTGACCTCCGGATAGAGGTGGTGGTGGGAAAAAGGCTTGATGCGGTCAGATAGATGCCAGGGGTCCAGGTGCAGGTCCAGATGGGCGGTGATGGGGTTGAGGTTGGAACAGAGTTCAGCAGGGGTGTTCATGTCGTGATTCTCGTGAATGCTCGTCGGGAGAGGGCTCAATTAGGCATGTCTTGATCCAATCGTATCGGACGCCCAAGGTGTAAACCAAGGGGCACTGCCCACTGGCGCAGTGGTAGGGAAAGGCAGATGACCGATCTGGGCGACTGCTTGGTAGAGTAGCTCGTAGGGTAGAGTCTAGGAGAGGCTATCAGGAGCAGATCGTGTCCTCGGTATGATAGTCGGTGAAGGATGCCAGAGATGGCGGTAGATAGAACGCCTGTGACAGAAGAACAGGCACACGCACAACGGGCACTTGTCACCGCTCCTCAGAAGATGGAGTCGGTTGACGGGCCAGACGATGTGAATGCCTCCGGGCAGGTGCACATATAAAAGCACAAGACACGAGATAGAATACCGACAACAGGGAGTTCTCTGCATCCGTACATTGTACTGCCTCGTCCGGAGTAACCATATCTACGTTGGTGGAACGGGGCCAAAGAATGTGGTTGCCTAGAGGCCCAAGGTGTATAGCATTTGGCCTGTATGCTTAATACGAGGTACTGCGTACTGCACTGCCTGGGGCACGTCGCAGAAATTCAGTCAATTGAGAATAACCAACTTGCGAAATATCCACCCCGGGAAGAGACCTAAATTAAATGCCATTAGAGGGTGTATGCATAGTAATAACAAAGAAGATTAGGTAAAGACCTTTACTTAAACGCGATAGCCCCTCGGCGTAGTTAGCCTCCCTAAAGAAGTCGCCCACCATCCCCACGATGCCTAGTTGCTCAGGCCCAGAGAAGAAGTACCTCCTTTGCCCCAGCTCGCCCAGCCACCAGCCCGATGGTTGCATCAACCTTCTTCCCTCCCATCAACCTCACCCTTCAACCTCCCGGTCATTCAATTAATAAACACTCCCATCTAGCCTGGTAACCTTCTAACCTAACAACGTCGCCTAGTGCAGACTATTGAACTCCATCATCGCCATGCTGACTTGGTCTATGTCGGGTGTGGTATAAAACACCGTAAACCCCCTGATGTCCCCTGCCCAGTGCTACTACTAGCATCATCCTCGGCCACAGTCGCAGACCAGTACCAGACGATGCGGCTGCACGAGTGAAAGACATCCAGCGTTGTCATGGTGGGTATGGCGGGAACATGACCCATTGCGTTGACGAACGCGTCTTTGCTTGGGAACGTCGTGCTGCCCAGCTTTTCGGCCGCCACCGACATGTCAGCCTTGTGATGGACAATCCTGTGTACGAAACAGTGAAACGACTTACAGGAAGGCCGCTCAGCGAATTCGCCGTGTCGCTGGTCTCGAGGAACTCATCCGCGATGACTTTGCTCGCTGTGCTTTCCGCCATGCTTCGGTCTGGGTGAGTTAGGATCGTCTTGAATGAATCGACGATCCATTTCGCTTGCTCGTCGCTCAGGCATGCTGCCGTGTTGCCGTTCGTATTGCTCGTGTTCCCATTGGGATTGATACCCTGAACTTCAGGCGCAGGGACGCCCACGACAGAACAGGTGGGTATACTTGACACGGTGTATGTTGTCGTTGCAGTCACCGTCGTCTGGTGCAAGGCTTCGATTGTCACCGTGGTCGTGGTGTTCGTCGTCGCCGCGCAGGGCTTTTTGGGACCGCCAGGAAGAAAACCATCAGGAAGAGTGCCTGCCGAAGATAAGCCTACCAGTGTGAGCAGGCTCAGCACCGAGGTGACTGTGTCGGACCGCATCCATTCCTCTTTCTTTAGCACCCAGCGACTTTTCAAAGGGGAACCAGGTGTGTTCACTAAGCTGCTTGGCCAGTTACTGCTTACCGCCTTATATACAAAAGCTAGGCTCAAGAAACCGCCATTCTTAGACTCCTTTCTAGTTCTTATATGCTTTGGTGCTGATGCAAGGGAATGTTGAGCCTCGCCTGCGTTGCCATATATTTCCGCTCGGTATGTAAGGGCCACACCTGTCTCACCAGCGACTTGGTCTTTACGGACTTTTATTTCTGAAACATGAATACCACCCGGCCGGCCTTTGGTCTCATCTCCGAGAATGGTACCCCCAAAATGAATCGTGATATTTGGGTAGTCGGACTTCGTTTTCGTAGGGACATATCAGACAGCGTCTCAGATTTCAGGCCAGCGCCGAGTTATGCTTGTTCCTTCCCAAAAGGAATGGTCGGTAACCCTGGATTTCGGTCTGCTATATCGACTTCGAATTGCCTCAGAATAACTCGTTGACGTAGCGATCATCCCAGCTATCGATCTACTCGGTATCCAGCCTTATCGTTTGGTAGACATTCTGGTTCAATATACAGTACATCAAGTGCAAGATGCGTGTCTGGCTCTGGTTTGACTTGATTTGTCTACTCCCCGTTCACAAGGCCAAGGCAGCCGACCTAATGCGGACTGGAGGATTTTACAACTGATGCCTTTGCAGGACCACGGCAGCCTACCGGTCAGCCACGTGCTGATTCCTTGGCGAATAGCACAAGCTGGTACGAGTGTGGCAACTCTGAATTGGTATCGCTTTGCAGATGCACTTAGCCTTCGTGCACGAGGGAAGTTTCACAGAGACGTGATAATCTTGACGGTGAATTCCCATCAAAGTTGATACTGTTGACGAAGGGACGTCCCGCAAAGTGCCACCATCGATGACGACTCCGAGATGGCAGCTACTGGTTCTATTAAACAGGAAAGACCGAAGGCGCAAGGGGCTCAAACCAAGGCTCCTGCCTCCTGCCTGCTGCCTGCTGGAACGGCGAACTTACTCGTAAAGCAGCGAGCCATCTCTTTAGCCGGGCGAGGCAGCCTCACGCCTTCATGACAAGTTATCTCCGCGAGGCAGAAGCAAGGAGCTGAAGAAGGGCTGTCACGCATTCGCCATTAAGCCTCTTGATACAAAGGTACATTCAGATTACTCAAACCTCCCCCCCACTCCCCCCAAAAGCAGTCACTATATGCTTCCAGCGCAAAGCATGTGGAGCAACAGAAGAAGCATTTACAGTAATGATCGCTCTTAACACTCCAAGGATCCGGCCGCATTGTCGGTCTGACTTAGTAAGCATTGCCAGCCTTGCGCAGTTTGCGTTGTGTTGAGACCTTCACTCAACCATTCTTCTCCCCAGTTCTCAATCCACCTCAGGTACGGGCAAACCCTCGACGATCTTGACTCTCCTGCCTAACTTTTCGAGCGCCGCGGCACTGTTTTTGCTTCGGAGGTCAAAGCTCTCCTGGTCCGAGACAAGAACAAAATCATAAGTCAGCAGTTTTGTGCCTTCTGGGACGTTGTATTTTTCTGAAATCGCTTTGTCGGCTTTTCCTAGCTCGACGATCAGGGTGTCCTTGACGCCAAAGACCGCGTCGGAGGTTTCGTATGGGTCGTTTTTGAGGTATAGGGCACTATCGTAGGTTCATGCAAGTTAGTGTTCTAAGATAACGAACGAAGAGGTATTGTATGGGGGAGTCTCCGTCAAATTTCAAGATGGACTTACGTGATCAGATGGTCGTAACCGGGTTTCTCGAACATGAAATGCATATGTGCGGGTCTCATTGCATGTCTTTTCAATTGCATGAGCAGCTGTCCCACAGGGCCATCGTGAGGGATTGGGTAAGGGATAGGCACTATGGCATTGAACCAGAAGACACCGTCCAGGTCACTGCGCATAACACATCTTCCGTCTGGGCCTTCGCGATCGGCGTGCTGGACATCATAGAAGCCGTCTGAATCGGTCTCCCAGATGTCGATTTTGACACCTGCTATAGGTTTTCCCTGGACGTCTTTGACGGTGCAGATGGCAAGCAAGGGCTCGCCGTTCTTGTCCTGAGACATGTTGGACCCATGTGTCATGTCGGGTGCTTCATGGGTATGGAAGGGCCCTAGGACTGTGCCTTCGGTGCTGTGGGGCGGCTTGGGATGATCGATGCTGTCGACCAGTAGGGAGAGGCCGAGAACATCGGAAAGGAGGATGAATTCCTGGTCGGAGCAGTCAATAACAGTGGGTCAGAGAGAGATGAGAGAGAGTCGAGCTTGAGGATGCTTCTTCAACCGCGCCACATACCTGTCGCACATCAGTGCAAATCTGTCCTGTTGCCGTCAAGAATAGCAGTCCGGCCATCCATTCCCGCGTACTTAACCGAGTTTCTCTGGCAAAGTCGTGGAGATGGTGCACCAGACGCTCGAGGATGTATTTGAACCTGGCATCCGGATTGGCAGAATTGATCGCAACGACATTCTCAGTGATATTCTCAATGGTCAGGTTCTTCAACTTTGGGATGGTGACTTGTGAAGGATCCATGGCGGCGGAAATGGAAGCAAGCAAGTAGGTGATCCGAGAGCAAAGGAGGAGGGAGATAGTATTACTCGGGAAAGGCGGTCTGATCACTAGTAGTAGATACAAAGAGGACCAAGGCGGAATTGAATTGTTTTCAAAAACAGGTGGGAAGAGGGTTCGTAGGAACGACGATGCGGACTGTTATTATTCTTTCAAAGCCAAAAATGCCAGCAGGGGTGGCCGTGTTCAAGAACAGATCCGGGACGCACAGTCGGTATCGGCAGCAGGCGAATCAAAGATGGTGCGATGCAAATCCAATGCGGGGGACTCAGCAGTTTATGCAATCTTGATCACGAGAGAACGAACAACATGCGACTCTGAGCAAGCAGACCGTGGTATGAGCGGAACAAGGCGAAGGCGAAGGTCCTGAGGAACAGTATTGTTCCACACCAGAGCGCCGTATGAAGCAGGAGCAGTAGTAAGCTGCAGCGTCTGAAAGCGGATGCTGTGTGCTGGGTGTGATCCGAGAGGCTCAGCAGCCTCAATAATCCATGGATGGCAGTAAGATGCAGTGCACCATTACCTCCTCGATCGAATATTTGCAAATGCATTATCGGAAGAGAACCCAAGGCGTCCCCACAGTGAGGGGCACTTCTACAGCGTGACGGAGATACTTCATCTTGGTGGCTCAGGAATCGAAGGCCGAGGAGGGGGGATTTCCTCAGTTGGTGCCTGGGCGTCGTGGGGATCACCCGAGAGCATGACAAACATGGTCGGTCTTATATGGAATCTATTCCGTCAACTCATTTGGCAATAATACTCCGTACACAAGACAAAATGGCACAGACACACCGACACACAGACCTTGGACCCTGAACCTTGCCATAGCCTGCTTGTAGTACCTCAAACCAAATACAACAAGAAGACAATACGCTTTTAAAGTCCCATTTCCCAGAAGACTGCTTACCATACCCCTCAGCACTGCCTTGCAACAATCAAAATGCAATATTCCTGCCCAGCCTGTGACCCCCGTTGTAGACAATGAGCACCAGTCCCTAGAACCGAAAACTCCCGTAACACACATGTCCTATATTCGATGTCCGCTCTGTGATGCTGTCCGGTAAACACGCGACGCCATGGCTTGCAATCTGTCTCCCTGATCATCATCCTCGTCTCTTTGCGAACCAACGGCTGATCCGCCTCCGAATGATCTATGCGCTCCGAGCCCAGGCGGCGAACGTCTATTTGCAGCTTCCTGTAGTTGCTGCACCAATGGTGGTGGTCGTACGTCAAATCGAGCAGATGAGGTGCTTGGTGATTGAGCCGACTCACTCCTACGTCCAGGCTCAGCCTTGGGACCACTGTCATTCTGGGCTTGGCCTTCGCGTTCTTGTGCAGACCCTAGGGATGGTCGGGCCAAGCTCGGAGGACGGAGGCCATCTGGCGGACGAGAAACTTCAATCGTAGATCCAGCGGACAGCGGAGGCGCGGGTTCCAGTCCCGAGGGTGCAGGACCAGAAACTCTCTCGGCGGTCACTGACTGGGAGGTGCCCTGCAACTCGGATGCCTTGACTTCCTTCCATGAGCACTTGGCGTGTTTTTTGGTGCATCCCATGCATGCAGTCAAGTTCTTAAGGCAATCCATATGCAGCCTTCGGCATCGGTCGCATGGCGGGACTACTCGATCTCCCTTCCACATATTGTCCATTCTCCTCACCATCTCGGATTTGAAAGGTCCACCATCATCCCTTTCAATAGTTGATGGCTTTAAGTGAGGCATCAGTGATGCTGGTGTATTCGGAATGGCCACTGTCGGTGGGTTTTTGCTATTTCCCGCCGTCCCTACAAGTTCGAGAGAGTCCGATCGTGGTTGTTCGGCCGGGGGGTTTTGCATAGCCGTAGTTCGAGTGGCGCCAAATGAAGAGCGTCGAACAGTATCTTCGGTCAAGCCGGCCTCTCGCTCACTAGGTGTCAGGAACTTCTTCATCAGTTCTGCTCGTACGGTTGGCGAGGCATCCTTGACAGATTTGCCATTGATGATGGTGACATTTGGTGTGTTTGGGGTGGAGAAGGTTTCTGCTGTGTGATTGCTGACGATTTCATTACTGGCGATTACCTGTGGCCGCTGCTCGATTTCCGCAGCTTCGGTATGCCTCAAATTGACAGCAGTGAATCCCAGGGGAGGAGACTGAGACGGCTCTATGCTTCGTACTGGCTTGTTCGTCACACCGTTGGTGTCAGCAGGTGACAAAGGCGACCCCTCAGTTCGAACCGGGGCTTTCCTTGACTCGACCTCTTGTTCCCGTCGACTAAGGATAGCTGTTCTCCGATTCTTCATCTTGTGGATCATCTGTCGAGCTCTACCAGACACTAGAGATGTTCATCAGTACAAAGAAATTCCCCGCCCATATACGAGTTCGACATACCTTGGTCGGCAAGTTGGATAATCTGTCCGATGTTCCTATCAAGTAAATCCATAACTCCCAGTTCCTTTTCTTCGTCTTCCAAGATTGGTTGTGGAGGAATGAGCTTCTGCGGCATGCCACTGGCAATAAGAACATAGTCTTCCTCCGAGATCTCCACACGACACTGTTTGGTATAGAACTGGCAGACTCGGATTCCGTTGCGGGTTCTCTCGAGGTTGAATTGTTTCGGGTTGCTCTGGGCGAATTCAACCACGTCCAGCCAGCTTATGGTCGAATCTTTTGCATGAGACTTCAACACCTTGGGGGGGCCCTCAAAAAGTCTTTCGAAGCGCTTGAGCAAGATAGGACCTAGAGGGCAAGCCCCGAGGTTCCCAGCCATACTCTCATGGCGCTGAAGCACACCATCATATTCCACTAGGAGTCGTGCGATTTCAGGAAGCTTGTCGTTGACCGTCACCAGCGGGATGGTTTCCTTGTGCTGACGAGCGAGATAATTGATCTGCAAGTGATTGGTAGCCGTCCGAGGGACTTTGGTCGGAGGCAGAGGATGGTGCTCCGAAGGTGATCGCGGTCGCTTGAGAGAGGATGGTTCGGCTGTCATTGCTGGCGAATAATCCATGCTTTCGACATGGAGGTTGAGGCTGTAGACTGGGGTTTGGAGGGAGCCCGAGGCGCTGTGGTTGCGCAGCTCGGGCTGTGGGAAATGCTTAGCTAAGGCGCGAACTCTGTTCCAGAAGAGGAGGGGCGGAATAGCTTTGGAGGGGCTGTATTATCAGCTCCGAACAGATGTACCCGGGCGGGCAAAGCTGTAACGAAGCTGCAGCGCCTGTAGCAGAGGATGAAGACGTTGAGTATCGCCGGTAGCGTGAGCAGCAGCAGGCGGCAAAAGTTGTGTGGTGTGAGAGGTCAGGTAGCAGCAGGTGTGGGAGAAGTTGGGGTCTGGATTTACGAGGTGGGGAGGGAGTTCCGAAGGGCGGACGAGGCAGAGGGAAAGTCCGACGGAGCAAGAAGAGATCAGCTGCTTGAGGAGCGATGTCAGAAGATGAGGTTGAGCGTAGAAGACTCGTGGAGTGAGCACTACTATGGAGGGTAGAGGAGGGCTACAGAAAGAGGCAAGATTGAGAACTGGGGAATGAGAAGGAGGGAACAACAACGGACGGGTAGGTGGGTGGGAGGATGGGAGGATGGGAGGAGGGCCCGAGGGGCCCAATTGCATTGGTCGGGCGGTCGGCGGCGAAGGTGTAGGCGGTAGGAGTAGTACCTGGAGCCGTGGTCATTGCACTTGTTGGATGATTATGGCTTTCCGGAAGAGTTGGTGGTGGTCGCCATTTTGGTGCCAGTCTGGCACTGACACTCGCACTACTCCGTCCTGGCTCGGGGTTAAGAGTCAGAGAACGCTGTACTTAGTGGGATAGGATGTGATTGCATGGGCAAGGGCAAAGTGTGAGCGTGAGTGGTTCAATTCCTGCCTGGATTGTTCGGTGCTAATTGGAGCCGAGCGCTGCGTACAGCGATCTGGCTACCCTGCGTGGGCTGGACTTGGGCGCGGCAACCAACGTTCACACAATCAAGAGGCGCGGAACTGCTGGTGGTAGCAATCCGGGGCCGGGGCAAGAACCTGAACAATCCGAGGCTCGGTTTTGGTTTGAAGGGGTGGGAGACTGTGGGAGAAGTGGCCTGGTTGGAGGCTCTATGGCTGCCACTGCGGAGTACGGAGCACATACGGATACTGTAGAAACTACTGGCACAGGGGGGATGTTCTTAGCTTCCTAATTCCTCCTACACCCGTGTGCGTGCCGCGAATGCGGGCAATGCGGGAATGGTCCAGGAAGCAGCGTTTTGAACAGGACACTCAGGGCATTTAATCGGCCAGATAATAAAGGAATCAAACAACCCACAAGTAGATAATTTTCCGCTTAACATACTAGTAGACACCTACTTATAGATACCTAGGCAGGTACCTCCGGATAGAGGGGTACGGAGTAGATATACCTGCATCTAAAGGGAGGGAAAGACAAAATTGAGACAGGCATGTGTGTTTCGGCGGACAGCTAGAAGCTGGGAGCTGGGAACAGTGTGTGCCGGGCATTAACTCGCAGAATACCAGTTAAAGTAGTGCGGTGGTCAGACTCGTAACTCTGCCCCACACCCGTACATCGCTTTCCTGCCTATCGATCGCGTTCATAGCCATTGAGTCCAAGCCTGATCAGGGACAAGGAACAAGACGCAGCGTGGAAAACGGGAAAGGCGTCCCTCCACCATCTCCCGGTGATCACTTAGCCTGGTTGACCTGTTCCATGAGATTCCTCCCTCTTCTGATCTCATGGGAGATGGAGGGGAACTCGCAGGCTGACCTGCCTTTCCTGCATGTGTCACAGAAAATGCCCCCCACGGCGGCGCTCCGCCCAATCGAAAATCCCGGCGGAGCTCAGCTTTCTGCTGGTCCCTGCCAGCATGTGCTAGCCATATTATTACTGCGCGTCCCGTGGCCCCATTTCCTTCGCATCACCCAGCCAGGCCAGCCATGTTGAAAACATGCCAGGTCCTGGCCAGTCATCTGTCGTTCCGATGGCTCCCCCCGAATTTCCCCATCGCACACTCACACTCACATCCATTCCCACGTGGGTTTCCATCACCTGACGAGATCGCGTAACTTCCCTCAAACGGCTGTTCACCCCAATTCCCGCTTTACTCTTTTTGGATCCCGGAGTTTTCTCCGCCGACCTTCTCCCACACCAACATACCACAAGTCACTAGGTACATCAAATCACACTAGTCTCTTCACAACCAACCAAACCAAGCAAGAGGGCTCGGTCAAGAATGTCCGAACGAGGCCATTTTCGTGGAGGTGGCAGAGGAACAGGTGGCCATGGCGGAAATCGGGGTGGGCGGGGTGGAGGTGGAGGGCGAGGAGGACGTGATCAACAGTCCAATCAACCTCATGAAAAACCCAAAAAGGAAAACATCCTCGACCTGACCAAGTACATTGACAAACAAATCAACGTGAAATTCAATGGAGGGAGGGAAAGTGAGTGAATCCTTGGGTTTCCCCCAATAGCATACTGACTTCGGACCCGTACACAGTTGTTGGCACATTAAAGGGCTATGACCAATTGATGAATCTGGTGTTAGACGACGTCAAGGAAACAATGAGAGGTACACTTCATCTCATCATCACAGACCCCATTTATTAACCGTGCAACAGATGACGAGGGCAACGAGACGACAAGATCACTCGGCCTGATCGTGGCTCGGGGAACACTACTCGTCTTGATCTCTCCTGTTGACGGCAGCGAGGAGATTGAAAACCCTTTCCAGCAACCCGCAGAGGACTGAAAAAATGAATTTCAAGCCCGGAAAACAAATCAATGGCCCCTGAGCTGCCGGGAGGCATCCACTCACCCTTACGGCCTGAGGCAACTCATCTACCCACCACATGCTTTTCCAAAGCAAAGCAGCGCAACGCAAATGAAAAGGGGATCGAAAAGCACGAATATTGCGAAAGTGCTCCCTTACCAGACCACCACCATGTCTTACCTACTCCCATCTCGATCGCATACAGTGGGGATGGTCTGAATCCAGGAAAAGAATAATGAGAAATCTCTCACAGCCCAAAGTCATCCACGCCTGAATAGACTTAAAGAAGACCCCAAAACACCCGCTGGAATTGCCATTCACTCTTCCTGAAGCCCTTCGCGCATGTTTCTGATCTGACTCTTTTATCCTCTTCCGACTCCTTGCCCTTTGCTTATGCCGTCTCCCGCGTTGCCAAAGGCCCTTTCGTCCTAAATCTCTTCGAGTCTGTAGACAAATGGATAATTAGCATGGACTGGCATTGCTCACTAGTACTCCTGAGTCCTGACACTCTAAGCGAGGGACATGCGTGCCTCAAGGCTCGCAATGATCGATCGACCGACATTTTCCCCATGGTCGCATCCACTCTACTTGACTACTAGTCACACATGAATGCAATGGCCACCTCCAGAACCAAGCAATTCACAGAAGCTTGCATCCATGATCGCTGGCCATTTTTGAATTGGATTGGATTGTGTTTTGTTGTGTCGAACCGCACGCCACAGCTAAGCTATTGCCAGAGGGATCCAAAGCATCCGTCGGCGCATAGTAGGACTAGGTAACCTACGTGGGCTCTTTTTCATCTTTTTTGAACGTCTTTCTGCACCATCTGCCATCCATCCTTCTCCCATCGGTTTCTCTGAACGAAAGATGTACATTCTTCTCTTCTTTCTCCCGATGCGCAAATGTTTCTCTTCTGTCCCGTTTGCTGACGCTCTTCCTCTTCACTTTCAAGTGATTTCTTCAACTTTTCTGCTGTCAGATTCCTTCGTGTTATCTCCTCGATCCAGGCATCCATATCCTCCGCCACAAAGTCCTCAAAAATGTCCCGTTGGAGCTTTCCTAGATTCGACTTCCGACATCTCTACCGACTTTTACCCCACATCATTCGGGGCCTTCGCTTTTTCCAATGGAATTCCAGCCCTGGAAATCGAGGCACCCTGAAGCCGATGGATCATCTCACCATCGGCGGTGAGCCTCTTTTCAACAATTCCGAAAATGCACTTTCCACTCCCTTTTTTACTTCGCGATAGCTGACCACAAAACAGCTTTGTTCATCTCTTGAAATCAGTGTAATCTTTTCATCTGTACCGGCATCCAGTTTGTTTAGCGAGGTCAACACGTGGCCGAGATCCAGCACGGGCCGATTTTGCGCATCGACTTGATGGAAGACATAGTCGCGGAACAATTTAAGGAAATACCTCTCTCCATTTTCCGACCATGCCCGGTCGTGTTCGTATTCGGGTCGTTCAGTAATAAAATTCAATTTCGCAAGTAGTCTGACAAGTCGAGCATTCTCAACCTCGCGAGAGAGTTCGTTATGAAGAGTGTCGTCGTTGTGTAGCGCTCCATTGAACGCTGTAATCATCTGGTTTGAGATCAAACTTGTGAACTGGTCTATCGTCCTTTCCTGATTCTGCATTGCCGAATACAACCAGACCAGTGCGTCCTGTAGATCTTTCTTGAAGTATCGTTTAAACAGATCCATACTACGGGCAAAATTTTGGCCCGCTTCGGCAGTCCCGCTGCCAATAGAGAGAATGACGAGGGCAAAGTTGACAAGATCCTGGCGCTGGAGTTGAGCCAGAGGCACATTATTGTCAAACTGCACTACATCTAGTATACCGCAGCCATTCAGCCGAATTCGATTCTTTGAAGTAACAAGGATCTTGGAGGGGTCGACAACACGAGCCGCCAGGCCAGAGGAGTGAATTACTTTTAGTGCCGAAGCAATCTGTACAACGTAGCTCCATAAGACAGGCTCGCTAACTTGGTCCTTATTATTTCGAGCAGGACGAGCCCAATTGTGGCCGATATGATGATGTTCCAGAAGCGTTTTAGAGAGAGGATGATAGTCAGTGACGACGAAAAGGGAAGAATCTCCGAAGCCACGGTTGGTGAATACATCCACAATTCTGACCACACTGGCACTGATCAGGTGTTTCCAGGCCTGCCCGGAGCGAATGGCCAGTTCGTTGGTCAACCGGAAGCCTAGAAAATATCAACCCTGCCCAGCACGCAAATCGCGTACACATACCTTCTATTCTGCGGAGTGCAAACAAATGGCCATTCGCACTTGACTGGGCTTTGTAGACCCATGATGTGTAGCCCCCAAATATGGTTGAGCTTTTCTGGTTGGTGTCGAGGGGAACAAGTGAATGGTAGGATTCAATGTGATTGGGAAGCTGAGAGTCTGAAGGCATATAAGTACATGTGCTAACGCAGTTTGGATGATCAATTCCGTACTAGGTAGGGTCTGCAGAGCCGCCGCAGACTTCTTTTGGATCTCCTCGCGAAGATCGTCGGGAATAAAAAGGTCGTGGACAGTGCGCTGGTAAGGGGCTAAATTGGTGCTATAGTGTCCGATCGGGGCGTATTGGTGATATTGCACCTTTTGACATCAGTATTCCTTTGGCCTCCCAATCACTCCTCTCCAGACTCACGGGTTGTTGAAAGGTAGAAGGTCCCTGGTAAAACGCAGCGCCATTCAGGCCATGATCAAGGTAAGGATTGGCCGCATGCGTAGGTTGAAAGGTCTCAAAGGAGTGGCCAACCGGTATCTCATTTTCATTTGTCTGTTGTTTTGGTAAGAAGATTGTTAAAGGAAAGCGTCAAATGGTGCCAGTGATCTCGTGGAGGGATGCTCACCATGGAGGAGTCCTGTGCTCGCCTTGGAACAAACTCTTGTACATCAGCCATAGCCCAATCTGGAGTTCTTGCATCTTGGCGGAGAGGGGTTGTGGTCGATGATCCTGCCATAGGTTGTGAGTTGATGGCTGGAAGTGGGTTGGAGCATGGAGGATGATCTCACGGGAGATGATTGCCTTTGGCATGAATGGGGCAGCACTGGCTGCCTTTGGTGAAATACCGGCAGACTTCTTGGGGGTGGTGTTGTTTGCCCCGTTGGGTGACAGGAAGGAAGGGGTGAAGCTGGGAGAGTCGACGTTCAAGGCCTTCTTCTGCTGGCTGGACATTGGGTGTAAGCCGATCAGGTCACAAAGGGCCGGGTTCCCCAGGAGTGGTTACCCATCGCTCTGGCTGCCATCAGCGGAGGCAGACTTCTCTACATTGTGGTTGAAGGCACAGCCTGGTAATGCGTCAGTGAGCAGGGGCTCTTGCTGTCAATGGTGAAGTGGAAACAATACCCTTATCTTCATAACGGCATTTCCCATAGATTGTGACGTTGCGACACAGGGTGTCCTTTGCATTTTCTACAGCCAATGCAACCCATCAGCATATGATCTCCTGTATACTGGCTCAATACAAGATAATCGCACCTCGACCTTTGGGTCGGGGAGAGAGGGTGGTGTTCTTCGAATCATCAACACTGCTCTTGATCACGGCGGCCATCGTCAAGCGGTACTATTGGGGTTTGAGCATGGCATCAGGCTCCATCAGGGTTTTATGGAATTAAGGATGCCGGGAGCGATTCAGCGCATCTTCTGAAAGGAAGTGGGCGAGTGGTCGGTGGGGGAGGGTTCGGCGTAGTCGTCGGCGTAGGTACGTTGAGATGGTTGGGGAAGTCAGAGAATCGACATGGCAAGTAGATGAAGTATCCAAAATAGAAAAAGGGAAATGATAAGAGCAACACCAAAGGATGAGGTGTGCTTTGAGCGCGAAGGCGCTGCCGTCAAAGAGGACGTTGAGTTTAGAGCCGGTGATGATATGCGGACTGCGGATGAGTGAATGAGGTGGTGGTAGTTTGGTTATGATTATCTGTCACCCACCAGGGAGCACCAAGTACCACTCGCACTACTACTGCTGCAGAGGAGCGGGACATGAAGAAGTACAAGCACCTGGCAAGCACCCAGAAGGTCAGGAGCTCGGGGGTGACTAAGGCGCACAGAAAGGTCCCTACCCAGTCAGGACGCAGGAACCGCCCAGCTTGGCCCAGGCTCAGGGTGCGGTTGTACTTACTACTTACTGCCTGCCTATCGAGGACTCATGGTTTGACTGATCGGCCTGGGCGGAAGTGCTAGGTAAACACGTAGCGACTCTCAGGCCTTGGGTTCCTTACCTATCCAAGCGGCACCCAGCTATCTTGAGCAGTGGGCCTTGAGCACCCACATACGAATACGGAGAGTCGTGGGCAGCCTTCGGCCAGCACTTGCAAGTTGAGAGGAACCTCCCTACACGGAGGTGGTACATTATTGAAGCTCAGTCCGTCGTCCATCCCACCACACCTGCCTAGGTAGGCAGCTAGCACGAGTCGAATCACTCGCTACTACTTGTAGTCGCTCACCACCTGGACACGAAACCACGACCAAACTGCGACTCCAATCATATATTCCGACGGAGGTTCTGTCAACAATCCAAATCTACAATTTGTTCCTTTTCGCTGCCTCGTATGACATAATTAGCTGGTGGATCTCCTTCTGGGGCGCAGGCAGCTGGCACTAACAAACTGTCATCATCCCCCATCCGTCTGCACATTTGGTTATTTTGATCTTTTTGGAGACTACACCAGCCTCGCAGTCAACACTGAAGGACCAACATGTTAGACTCGACAACCAGGCAATAACAGCGTCGGATCCTCAACCTGCTCTCTTATCCACCTCTGGCACCCGGTGGTGGTTGCCACCAGCACCATGTCAACTGCCGACATCTCCCAGCTGTCCTCCACACAACAGGAGGCACTGCAGACCTACACGGCTGTGACGGATCAGGATCCTATCGCAGCCATTCCCCTACTTCAGCGGGCAGAATGGAATGTGCAAATCGCCATTGCTCGATTTTTCGATGGGGAACCAACCACCGACCCCGTGGCCGAAGCCCGCGCTCAACTTCCATCTACGTCTGCAAGACAGACTTCTAATCTACAATATGAATCTCTTCTTGCTAGCAGCACACGACATCCGGCCTCCCGGGCAAATCCTGAAGATGTAGTGGACAGAGTCGACACTTCTACCGCAAACGAAACCCATTACCGCCCTTCCTTCCTCTTCTCCCTCATCTTCACACCGTTTAGCATCATGTACCGCGTTCTAAGCACAGTTCTTTCTCCCTTTGGATTCCTCGTTCCCGCATTCCTCTCGCGTCTATTCACCCGTCTAATGTACCAACAATCAAGACCCATTCGCCGGGCGTTGCCTCCAGGAGAAAACACTCGAAGATTCATGCGGGAATTCAGTGAAGAGTACGGAGAAAATACACTACCATTTGCAGAGACTGGGTTCAATTTGACCCTGGACAACGCCAAAAGGGATCTGAAATTCATTCTCGTAGTGCTGCTGTCCCCCAGCCATGACGAAAACCACACATGGGTTCGAGACACATTACTTTCCAGCCAATTCAAGACTTTCCTCGATTCTCACAAAGACGAGATGATTCTCTGGGGTGGGAATGTTCGAGACTCGGAGGCATATCAGGTGTCCACTAGTCTGCAATGTACCAAGTTTCCTTTTGCAGCATTAGTCTGCCAAACCACAGAATCTGGCTCGTCCAATATGACAGTCATTATGCGAGCGGCGGGGCCCACAACAGTGTCGGAGCTGGTTGCTAAACTGGGCACAGCTATGACTTCGCACCAAGCACAACTTGGAGCAGCTAGAGCTCAACGTGCTGAGCAACAGGCATCTCGAAATCTTCGACAGGAACAAGATTCTGCCTACGAACGCTCGCTAGCTCAAGATCGTGAGCGTGCTCGTCAGAGACGGGAACAGCAGGAAGCTGCTGAACGAGCCGAACGCGAAGCCAGAGAAATCGCTCAGGCGGCGGAGAAGAAGCAACAGAACATCGCACAGTGGAAGCAATGGCGTGCTCAATCGCTCCCAGACGAGCCTGGAGCTGATGTCAAAGATGCTATTAGGATTAGCATTCGCATGGCATCTGGGGAGAGGGTGATCCGGAAGTTTCGAGCCGATGCAGATCTGGAAGAATTGTATGCATTCGTCGAATGCTATGATGTTGCAAAGGCTTCTGATGAGGAGTCTCCTGACGCACGTGAAAAAGGAATTGAGGAGCCAGCGAATTACGCACACCAATATAGGTTTCGACTAGTTTCACCCATGCCGAGGACGGTTTTTGACTTGGAGAAGGGCGGCTGGGTGGGGGAAAGGGTGGGCAGAGGAGCAAATCTGATTGTCGAGCCCATTACCGAGGATGAAGATGAAGATGGAGATGACTTGGATGAATGATCACGGCCATCGTGTTGGGGCATCGCAGCAGTCGAGATATACACAGATGTTGGAGCGTGAGGTTGAATGATACCAATCGATGATTCCACATGTTCAAGCATGGACTGGGATCCCAACGAGAGATGAACATTCCGGCCCGAGTACGAACCCTCCATAAAAGCAGGCTGACATCAGCCCCCTCTTTCACAGCGCCCACCTCTCGTATCTAGACTTATTTGCACCTACTGTGGGCGACCTGCCTAGGTAGATTGGCAAGTGAGACTCCCGGAAAGAGGATAACTCGGCTACTAGGATTGATGGCTGCAGGGTAATCGGAATATTGTGGGGTAAAAGGAACCATGACTGGCATAGACGAGAGCGGTTGGATTTTGATCCACCTTGTCTTGAACCTTTGCTCCATATGAGTCGATTGGGTGAGCGCTGGCCTGGTGGCCTTGGTGGGGACGGAATCGAAACCAGCCATAATGGAGAAGGAAATGGTGGTGGGAGGAACGAGGTTGATATCAAAAGCCAGACGACCCAAAGTGCTTAGGAAGGGAGTGTGACATTGATAAAGACTTCATCTCTCTATTTTATGAACGCTCACCAATTACCTCGGAGCCTCAACAAAGTCTATGACGCCTCACGAGCTAGGGTCTGCCCAGGAAAGGTGGAGGTGGACCAGGACATCCTCGAAAAACGCCGAACCTGTGGACATGCAATTGTTCAAGATGGCGACCGGAGAAGAACTCAGGGGCGTTTGGCCAGGTGGAGCCCCTGTTCGCTAATCTTGGATGCATCAACATTAGTCGGTACTTCGTACAGAGTATATGCATGAAGAGTCAGAGGCACAAGTCAAAGCATGTCATTCGTCATTCCAAAGTTGAGAACCTTGCATCAATTAGTCGAGAGGCCTCCCTTTCGAACCGACAATACAATGCTATGTATTGTTTGCGGCAGTTGATCATCCGTCGACCCTGTGCCACAGTTATCTCCTGCGTCTGCTCGGTATCGTACTCCATACCTCAGACTCCATAGTCTGCTTTCCAAGAGCCAGAGGAAATAGTCTCCGCAAGCGAGATACAGATATAGTATCTGCGAGATGCGAGATGCGGACACGGGAAGTGCTAAGTGGATGGGGATGCCGATATCAAAATTGGGATAGATTTGGAGTGCCTGCATGGTATCGATAGCCCCCAAGGATCAGCAACGGCAGGCAACCCCCCACACGGTGGAAATTGGGCCAAAAAGCCACACAGCAGCAGAAGAACGATGAACGACCAAGAGATAAAAAGTTGGGGAGAATTTACCGACCAAAGATACGGAATACTCTGTAAGGGAAAGGGATGGATGTTTGTGTCTTGTTTCTTCTTCACAGATGAGTGATGCACATGACGACCCTATCCTGCTCCCGTGTCAGCATGTATCTCTCGAGGGAGATCATCGAGGATCTGATACAGTAACCCGAAGTACGGAGCACTAAGTTCATGGGGCAAGTTCTTGTACGTACATACAGAAACATTACTGGTACTCCAACTGTGTATACTTTACAAGGTAACTCCGTACCGTGGGTATGTTACTCGCACTTAGTCAGGTCCATCTGAGTGCATTTGCTGCAGGCACACGCACGGCATTGCGCCGGACACCCTTCCGCGCACAAATGACCCTTCTCTTTCTTCAATCAAAATCGACTCGGTAAAGCCATTCGCAGTACGGCGCACGGAGTACCTATTACCTGGCACTCCGTAGTTACGGGGTGCTGGCTCGCATGGTTGTGTTTTGCTCTGCCGGTTCGCTCCTGTTCGTTTTTGCCCTTTGACTCGATGCAGAACCGGTGTTCTCTTTTTACAAGACATCGCCGTGGTTGGTGGCCATTGTCCTGGGCTGCTCGGTTCCTCGCGTGTCCATCAGTTCATCTTAATTCGGCATCTACCAGTAATTCCCCATGCTTCTTCCTCTTCCTTCTTCCTCCTCTCCATCTGCATGGGCCAGGGTCAGCTTCAGGCCGCCGCTGCCATTGCTCTCATAGGGCTTGGATCATCTTTTTTTTTTTTCGTAAAGAGTCCACTTCCACCTACCGCCCACTACCCACCACCCACTAACCTTGCCTGAGCTCGTTATCCGCTTCTGCCATGTGTCACTCATTCGCTCTATCGAACTCTCTTCTACCTTCCTTGCCTAGCCAGGCTTCATGTGCCCGCTCCTGATCCTGGTCCTAGTGCTACTCTCCTGGTCCTAGTCGTATCCTCTTCTTCAATGATTCCCTGTCGCTAACTTGTCAGAATCTCTGCCTGCTCCCGTCCCCGCCTAGCCTTTTCTGCTCTTTGCCTTGTCTCTGCCTGGCCAATCACACTATCAATGTCTTGCCGACATTCAACTGACTGCGGCTGTATCAAGGGGATAGACACTTCATCCGTCGAGGGCACTTCCTTCCTTTACTCTTAGATTCCATTGTCAAGAAAAGTCACCTCGGCCGTAGTCGAAAGCGTTGCATGTTCTTGTTGGCATTCTTCGTCACAACGAAAAAAATGCCACCTTGACCGCACCTTATTCAGCACATTCCACACTCCAAAGGTGTAAGTTGCTCTCTTCCAAGAAAGAAGCACGTGCAATGCACGAAGCTGAACCCAAACCCAGGTCTCAATTCTCAATTCTCCTCTTCACAGGTCCGTACGTGAAGATCCCAAAATCTCGGTTCCAAGGAAGTGGTCAAGGCCACTTTAGCACCGCATCTGCATGCTGCACTGTCCACCCATTCAATCAACTTGGCCCGGTGGATACTAGCAACCGTGGGTAATGGACCCTCCAGGAAAAAATTATTTGTTGTTTACCACAGACATCATACTGACATAGATGCAGACTCGTTGGCTAGACAGGACATATCCACCAGACCCTCACCAGAAATTCCCTTCAGTGGATGAACTTGCCGTCACCAAGACACAACCCCAACCCATCCTCATCCCACGGACACAAAAGGACTCTACGTACGCATGAAGACAAAGGCAAAGAGAAGGAATCAAATCGAGATATCCTCAGCTTGATTTATCACGCCGGGGTTCTCACAAGATCTCTCAGGGTGGATTCCAACCCAAGGTCTCGGCCAGTTCTGAGCAAGTCAAGACAAACATCCAGCCCCCATCGAAACCACAAATAAACTCGAGTCAGAACGTAAGGACTAGATAAGCGTCCTACTTAACCTCAACCAGGCACAGGGCTACCGAACTTGATGCAGCTACATTTAGCTGCAATTCAACGTCGGCCATGTCTTCAAACCAGAGGCCCCCCATGGGGCCTCCAGAAACTCCCAGCAGGTTTATGCACCAATCTCCAAATCTCTTCCCTAGTTTACAATTCTCTCCCGATCTATATGCCCACCAGTTCAACTCGGGGCCAGCTACTGCTCCTATCTATCCTCAGCAGCGACTCTTTTGGGATTCTACCAGCATGCCATTCGAACAGCCAACTTTGCCTCAACAGTATCAAGACCCCTTCCAGATGAGCCCGGTCGGCATCAACACTTCCTTTGCCTCTCCCTCCACAGTCGTGCCACAGTATTCCCACCAGGATATGTTTCCTGACGAACAGCAACCTTACGACTTGCCCAATATGCCTCGTTCCATGAGCTTCACTCAACCTGACCCCAACATCTTTCTCACCCCTTTCACCACTTCTCCTCGAATCCCTCCGCCACCTATGGAGAATCCAAGCATGTTTTTGAGCTCTCCCGCTCGGAGATTCGGCCCAGCTGATCATACTTTCGTTAAGTTTGGCCACCCTCCCGCCCCTGACCGGCCCGCTTATGCACATCAAATAGAGGAGTCTCGAAGAGAGCAGGAGATGAAGCGAGTCCGCAGGATGGAAGTGAAGCAACCCTCTATAACACGCTCGGTCATGGAAGCACTCAAGCGGCCTGTTTCTCCCGCCAAAAAGGATGGTAGGCCCGGTCTGAAAAGAAGCCTCACCCATACTGGTGTTCGTAACGATCGAAGCCTCAAAATCCAGACCCAAAATGGCCACAACTCCCCGGGTCCTGGCTCATTCAGGCCGGGTAGATCACCCCCTCTTAAAACTATTGCCGACCCAATATCAAGAACACTCACTTCTAGCCGCAATACCAACATAAACACCAAACGTGGATCAATATCATTGTCAATTGATGAAAATGGAGTAGCCAAAACAATTCTGATCGACCACGAACCAGACATGGACCTGGATGAAGCCTTGAGCAGTGGCACCGACTCGTTTGATGAATCTGACTTCCAGATCTTGCATAGCCAGCACAATTCCTTCGCCTTCCACAATGATGATCTATCAGGGCCAGGTCATTCCTCATTGAATCGACCTTTTAGTCACTCCAAAGCCAATTCCCATTCCACCATGGGTTCAGCGGCTTCTACAAAGCAATCGTCGTACCAGAGCTCCCAATCGAGTTACACCAACATTCGTGCATCTGACGTCGTGTCTAGTCGGAGAAAAAGACCCTTATTAGGCACAACCCTCGAAGATGATACTCTAATGGAAGACGAAACTTCATCAGGAAATGCTCAGGCAGCTCTCCGTGCCATCATCCAGGATCGATCCCGTTCTACATCGGCTCAGGGAGACATCACGAGTCATCATCTCCATTCCTCCCCGCCGCAAGCCCATTCCCAATACGCAACATTCAATGGTTCACCAACCACAATTACCGACCCCGATCTTGCCACCCCGAGCACGGATAGAGACAGTCTTGGAAGTAATATGAGCACACGCTGTGTGTGTAACTCATCGCTCCTTGACGGGACTGTGCCCGTTATTCAGTGGTGAGTTTCTTCTCTGGCCGACTAGCTCGAGTACAGAACACTAATGATATGATTCTATAGTGACTCATGTTCAAAGTGGCTGCACATGGGCTGCATTGGAATTGATAGTCGCCGTGTCCCGGAAGTATATGTCTGCGTCTACTGCTACCAATCATCCAGTGGAGTTCGACACTCTCACAGTCATGGCCGAGCTAGGAACGGGGAGTCCTCCTCTCATGGACAAGGCCTTCGCGCATCCGTTCTCCCAAACACTGCAAGTCCCCTTGCACACAAATCAGCAAGGCGTCACTGATCTATTGCCTTACCCACAGTCAAAGCGACTGCCCCAAAGATCCTCTTGTCTCATAAGATCATGCTTTCTCCCGATTGATTGATTTGATTTGATTTGATTTGATTTGATGAAGCACGTTTAGCGAGCACGTGTATTCCTCTGTCCCAATGCATCACCTGTGTATGGACACGCACACACACACATACACATATATATATATCTGGGTGGCTGAGACTCTTGTCATTACTGTTACTATCTTCCCTTCTGGTTCCCCCGTTGAACCATACCATTACTTATTAGTTGGGTTATGCTAACGTCAGAGCGATGAGGAAAATAGAAGAGAAGGAGGAAGAGGAAGAGGAAGAAGAGAACCACGACTGTTCGAGTATATACTTTATACAAAGGTACTTAAAGGTACATACAAGTAATCTGATAGGATTATGATATAAGACCATATGTATCCGATGGCTGCCTAGCTTTAGATAACTACAGCAGTCAGGCGGGTGTGCCCTTCCAGCTAGTCGTAGACTGGAGCCCTGTGTACCTCCGAATCATATCATCATGTCAAGGTGTACGGGCGGAGCACACCCAGCGGGACCAGTTCAAAACATTCATTCGTTGGTTGTTCAATCATGCTCTCTACGGGCTAGTGAGATCTTTATAATCCCTCCCGTCTTTCCCAGATCTTCCCAGACATGGACTCTCTCAGTATCCCTCGATCGATCCACTTCCCTCGGTCCCCCTTTAACCCACCAGCTTCAATTCCCATCCCCCCGCCTGAATCTCAAGCATGGTCAATTGGACTCGGGCCCACCCCAATATCCAGCATAAACACATTAAGCGGCAGCTGAATCCCATCAACACCACCATTGAACGGGATCCCGCGCGTCAACTGCGCCGCCGGCACCCACAACTTGCCCGCCGCGTCGATCCACATGGCATCGACCCAGACCAAACGATCATCTTGAACAAGCGTCTTCCTCGTCCCGTTCGGCGCGATCACCTCGATCGCGAGCCTGTCCGTGTCCTAGCAGTAGATGTTCCCGCGCACGCCGATCGCCGTCCCGCCCGTCGATGGCGTCAGCGCGAACGGTTCGACGTATCCCCCGAGCATGGCGTTGCTGTTGAGGGACGAGTTGTAGAGTGCCGCGTCGAGATACCGCGTCTCTATCCGTGGGAAGCCCCCGTTCGCCGGCTGGAAGTAGTAGTATTGGCCCGAAGGCGACACTTCGTGGTGGTCGGCGTAGACGTACAGAAAACCACCGTCTGGGCCGTGCACGAGCGTCCCTTCCGAAGAGACGGGGAAGTCGCGCCGCGTGGAGAGGTGGTCGTCTGGATCGTGGGATTGTGCGCAGTAAGCCAAGTGTCCCAGCGGAAAGGGGGGGGGGGTGGTATGGTATGTATTCCGATCATAAGATGGATATCCCAGATATCCCACCCTCTTCCTCCGTCCGCCTCGCCTTCGACGCTCTTTATTTCCGGGACAGATGTGGCATATCTAGGGGGTGAGAAACAAGGTAAAATTGAAAAAGGGGAACCCAAAACTCACCGAGAACACGCACCGCAAACCCCGTCGCCAGATCCAGGACAATCAGCCCAGGCGAACCTGCATCCGTGAGGTATGCCGTTCCACTCAACGGGTTGAACCTGACATCATCCAACAAGCTATTCGTCCTTGTGGCGTTCCCCAGGAAATATGTCCTCTGGACCTCCATCGTGGTTAGATTAACCTGCACCAGCTTGGGCCCATCCGGCAAGATGACGGGCGCGCCGAAACTAGGGCTCCCGACGTCGACCAGCCACAGGGCGCCATCGGGGCCGACGAGCCGACTGTTCGTGCGGATCAGGTGTGTCGCGGGGTCTTTGCCTTGGATGTAGGAGTTCCATTCTGCGTTCGGGATCGGGCTGGTGCGGTTGGTCGAGTTCCATTCGACGACTTGGGGACCCGTGGAGCCGTCGACGCGGGCGTAGAGGAGGAAGACCCAGCCGGAGCGCGCTGTACTCACACCGTTGACGGGTGCGTCTGGGCTGAGTGCTATTTCGAGCGACGGCTGCTTTTGGCTGCGAATGCTTGCGATGCTGCTCAGGAATGCCAAAGCAAGCAGGCTGGCTTTAACGACGGCGGGCATCCCTTGTTGAGGCTGGCGAGTTACTATTGGATAGTACTGTTAGCGGAATGCTCTGGGAGGTTGTGTTGTACTTTCGTATGTACTATGTACTGTGCTTGGCCTTGATGAACTGTCGCTCGGCCAAACGGGGGGGGGAGTTCATTTCCCTGGAAGCTACCTCAGGTGGGTAGGTACATAGTAGACACTATATGGATGAGGTCCAGCTCTGTGGCTGGAGGTCGGACTTCTGCTTCCAATTATGGTGATGACGAGATAGGTGCATGTGAACAGCTACAACCCTGGTTGTTGCATGGGGAGACTGTCGCCTTACTACCATACTCGGTGCATTCTGTCCTCCCTGTCTACACGCGAGTGAGGTCGGTTGCTGCGCATGGAGATGCTGGTTCGCATGCATGCATGCAAGCATGTTTTCAATGAGGGTGGTTGCGATGTTCACGGCAGGGAGGAGAGCTGTCACTCCGGCTCTGAGCACTTCACGTTCATCGTAGGCCGAGAGATCCAGATTATCACTTCCTGGACACTGCTTCTGGAAGCTGGCATCGACCTGGCATCGATGGGGAAGGTCTGAACGAGAGGTCCTGGACGAGATACGCCCGCTCTAACCCCAGACCATACGTTCGGTTTTCGGCTAGACATGGTAGGTCTGATGGGTAAAGCACTTCATCGAGTGATTTCCGCCGAGCTCTCCTCGCAGGATGATGCCATTTCCGCTATGGTATGGACAGGTGCTATTAGTGAACTGATGTGACGCTTCTGAGTCCCGTTCCGTTAGATTTGAAAATAGGTTACGGAGAAAATATCCTAATTTAAAATACCGAAAATACATGGCTTCGGTAGTCGGTAAGAGTACAGGGTACTTGAAGTAAGCCAGTGCTGCTCACGGCGCTGGAACGGAGACGTCTGGAATAAATATTCACACAAAGTGCTTGACAAAACAAAGCCCAGTCCAGAGAACCACTCGGTCTGATCTTCAATAATTCTTTCCACCATCTACAAAAGTCTCTCTGATGTCCTTGCACACAAGAGCATATGCAGTCAACCCAGCCGCTCGTTGCGCTACCCCGCTCTAAGAAACAACGCCGCATCAGCTCGTGATGACACGATCATGCCGGGCGGTGCAGAAACCCTGCCTTGAAATTTAGACTTTGTTCCCGTTGGCCCCTGACGGTTTCCCAAGCTCAGAGGGAATTTGTATAAGCAACAATGAAGTAATTGATGATTCCTAACCATTATACACAAGACCTCGTAAATTTGGGATTCCAAATGTATTGCCTTTTACGTGCTCAGGTACATTCGTGAAGACCCAGTCTTGTGTGGTGGGGATCGAACAGAGGTGCATTGCCGCTCCCGCTACGAGGTACTTCGTATCAGAAATGACCAGTTGGTGTGGTCTCTCAGCGACGCGGCAGCTACATGATTCTCGTCCTATATCTTACAAGTTGGGTCGCCCTCATGGTATGGTTTCCATCGAAATAATATCACCACCCCTTTTGACAGGCTATTGATTTATCAGAACAGCAGAAACCGGCGACACGGTTCAAAGCCAACAGGTCCATCCAATGGACTCGATATCTCGTTTCTTCCGTTCGTCCATGAATGGCATAGGCGACAAGAATGCTTCCTTACCTGACAACACTGGAGCAACTGGACAAAAGATCACTCTCCTAGAACTTTTCCAATCACAGTCTTGTGATTCTTGCCCGCCCGCCAACGAGACACTCATCAACTTTGTTTCCAAACCCGGAGCTGAAGCTTCATATCTCTTGCTCACATACCACGTCACGTACTGGAATCACTTGAGCTGGCGTGATACGTTCTCATATCAGGACTTCGATGTGAGGCAGCGCGAGTACGTCCGCCGGCGTGGGAATCCACAAGGCGTCTACACGCCCATGCTCATCGTCAATGGACGTAGCATGGGCGTCGGGAATACCAAGGAGGCCGTGACTAGGCTTATCGCAGAGGGACGACCGGAAGATTCGAATAGCGGTCCTTTCCCAAAGGGCCAGGCGAAACTGGGGGTGGAGACCAACCAGTATGGGGAAAGAGTCGTCAATGTGGACGCTTCAACTTTGTCCTCGGAAATGGGAGAGGGAGATCTCCATATCTGGGTTATCCGATATACTCATTCGCCAAAGGATGTCCTAGTAACCAGGGGGGAGAATGCAGGGCGAACACTTCGCCACCGAAATGTGGTCACCAGTCTGACTAGAATAGGATATCTACAACGTGGGTGTGTTAAACCGTACACCCTACCACCAAATGATAAGCCCAATGGTGAAGGAAGAGCTGTTGTGGTGCAAGATGGTACAGGTGGGGAAATTATGGATGTTATCGTGCTATGAGATGTCCCGAGTCCCGAAGGGGTGTCGTGTTGTCGTCCTGTTTTGGGCCGAATAATTTGTTGCTGGGAAGGAATTGAGCGTGTTTGGACGGATTACTTCCAAGCAAGAACTTCACCCTGCAGTGCTGTGTACCAAGCTTCTTCATTTTCTCCCCACAACCTCAAATCTCGCTTCATGATCTCGATGTCGTCTTGTGACTTGACCGTACCACTATTCAGCCAATTGGAGCCGATCTCACCTTCCAACCGGCCGATGCTGACTTCCGCCCACCACTTTGCTTCTGCGGCAACATGGCATGTAGTTCCTGCGCTGACCTGCATCTTGGCCTTGCTGAAGCCTGCCTGGGCAGCCCACGCATGCAGCCTTCGGCCCGACTCAGCTCCTTGGGCTCCACTGGCGGAGATTGAGCGATTCAAACCAGCAGTATATGCATCGACACCGGGGAAACGTGGATACCAACTCATATGGTCATATTCTCGCATGGCAATCAGGCCACCAGGCTTGAGAACCCTCCACGCTTCTTGAACCACAGGAACTGGGGAAGGAATGTGGCACAGAGTTTGATGTATGTAAATCACATCGACAGAATCGTTCTCGAAAGGAAGGGGGTGTGTGATGTCAGCGACTAGAAAGTTCAGGTTGCGGCTGCCTAAGTCAACAGCCCTCCTTCTTGCTTGCTCAATTATTGTACTCGAGCCATCGACTCCGATGACGCTGCCCTCAGGCACCAGGGAAGAAAACCCACAGGTGATTGTGCCCGGTCCACAGCCAAGATCGATGATCGTAAAATTGGGTTTGATATGAGGAAGCAAGAAAGCCGCTGAGTTGTATACTGTTCGACTGGTATGAGAGGCGATGGCACTGGCAGAATGGCCTTGTGTATACGTTGAGGCAGGAGGTTGGGACGACGCCATCACGAATACGTATGTCGAGGATGATATGGAACGTCGTCCAAGAGAGACTGATCTCCGGGAAAATACCACAAACGGCGGGCAAACGGGCAAAGGAGTATTGGAACGCGAACGATGCCCGTCTTGAATGAACGACCTCAAGTGTGATTGACAGATAGGGACCAAGCGATTTCGAGAGACGGGTGGTCTGCAGCGGCTACTGCCTTGGCCGCCGAGGTTTGAATGCTCTTGGTGAATTAGGGGCCAGAGCAATTGAGTCGAGCCGTCGTCGAAATAAGAATTAGATTGCACAATGAAGGAACACAGGGAGCCTTGGGAAACACTGTGGTCTGATGGGAGGCAGGTTGGGGGCGAAGCGTGCTAGGTGGTGCTTGTCTTTTTTAGAGAAGTTTCCAAGTAGAATCTGTTAAGCTTAATGTACTTAATGTGCCCGCTGTCAAGGATCAACAATGACGGCAGCCTGCCAGCTTCTCCACGAATCCTGCTGATTGCTAAGTGGTTGGGTGGTGAGAATGGAGGATGGAGCCTTGGGGGCGGACGAGAAGATGGCCCCTTGGCCGACGATGATCCCTGGTATCCCCGCATGTCGTCCCTTGTCAGAGCGTGACGTCGAGCACAGGCATTGGCAAATATGAGGACCGAGTACCAGGTACGTAGTACACACTACTACTGGCAGCTGTCTGACAAATTAAACCAATTTAGACTGCAACGAGAACAGGCCTGTTAGCAAAAGTACCAACCTACAGAGAGCAGTCCACCCGTATAATTCATGTTAAGATTCTTCTAATATAAGGACAAATATCTGACGAGGATGAGAGAACCTTGGGCGCTGGAGCCGTAATGTACATTTGCGTTCAGAACTGGCTTATTTGGATTGTCAGTCATTTGTGGACATTCATCAGAATCCCGTCAAACACCCGAAAGACACAGAAAGATCAATATTGCAAGTAAAGTCGTTGATCATTCCTTGTTAACATGCTCGCCCAGATATGTCGAATGCAACCAAAGTACATGAAATTGAAACCCTTTTCCTTTCCGAAAACATGGTGCCATTGTTGCGTGCAAGTGAAAATTATGCTAGGCCTCGCGCTCAGTCCCATAGTCTGCCATAATGTTTTCCGGAATCATTCACTTGTACCACTCCACCAGATCCAACATTTAAATCCGCTTGGTATCGAAAGATCCCTTGACGGAAGGCGGGTTGATGGCACAAGTCTGGCCGAAAGATTGAAGCCAAGCACCGCTGTCGAACTCGGCATAGTTGCGGATGAACTTGCCGGAGTCTGGGCTGACGGTGAATCTGTTGATACCAACAACGGGGAATCGAGTGGAGGTAATGGCCCATCTCCAGGTGATGGTGTCACAATCGTGCCACAGGTTCAAGGTCTGGACAGTGACCTCAGGTTGACCAGCCTGGCCAAAGGGAGAATCGAAAGCAGCCTTGCTGGGGAAGGTGGTGGAGCCAAGCTAGAATTTCATTATCAGCACGTATCAAGCACAAAGAAACGGTGGACTTACAGGAATGCCAGCCATGAAGTTGATGGAGTCAGAGATATCAACGAAGTCGACATCGAGCGTGGCGTCAGAGACATCCTGCTTGTAGCCTCGGCCGGCAGGAGGGAAGGTAGAGTTGGCTGCGGGGACGTAGTTGGTGAACTCCAAAAGGGTGATGAAGCCGCTGACAAGAGCAGATGCCTTGGCATCATCGACAACACACTTGCTTGGGACGGCGCTGGTAGTCGTGGTGGTGGTGTACGCGCAGGTTCCGGAAACGGTCTTCGTGACGGTGGTACCGGTGACGCTTCCATAGGCACCAGAGACAGTGATGGTCTTGGTGATGACGGTAGCAGACCCAGCGGGAACGGTAACCGTAACGGTCTCCTTCCCGCCCCAGCTTGATCCGGAAACAGTCTTGGTGATGGTGCTAGCAGCAGGGCAGGTGGTGCCAGAGACGCACACTCCGCCGGTGGGCTTGACGAACACGGTCTTGGTGGTGGTGGTGGGCTTAACGGTGGTAGTAATGATGTTGGTGAAGCCGAAGACGGAGCAAGCGCTGGTGTAGTGAGCCTCGTCGCAAGCGCTGGCATAGTTGGGAACCTCGTTGGGGCAGACTGCTACGGTCTCACGCTTCTGCTTCCATCCGTTGCCTCCATCAGCGGTGATGGTGACGGTCTCGACGACGGGGGCGGGAGTAACAGTGGTGGCGAGGAAGCTCTTGCAGTGGAATGCACGGAGGCCGGAGTCTCCGAGAGCAGCCTTGCCGGTGACGGCGGCCAAACAGGCATCATCAGCTGGCGCGGCGTCCCAGCCGGGAGCAGCATAGATGCCGCTGACAAGAGCGGCCAGCGGCAGGGCAACAGAGAAGACTTGCATATTGGGGGTATAAATTATTAGTATGGAAGAAAGAGTGGCTAAGGTCTATGACCTAAAATCAGACAGCGAGCTCAAAAAGAGTGGATGATTGAAAAGTCAATCAAGTAGCGATGAGAAGTTGTCGAGCTGGGGAGAGAGCAAACAGGCCTACCAGGCAGGGAAGCAAGAGGTTTTATGTTACCTCGCCCTTTCGGCCTCCCAAGATTCCACAACGGGCTCGGCACTGATGCCAGAAAGTGCCCAAGTAAGCGGAAATACTGTTCAGAGACGCTGCTCGTGATACCACAAATGTAAAGACGGGTCCAAACCCATCGCAAGGAGGGCCCTTCCCGCCAGAATTGCACTGTGATTTCAGATTAGTGTTGTTGTCGACCGTACCAACAACGGCCCAAGTGACAAGCCCAGATTGGTCTGGCAAGTGATTATGTGCGGGATCAAGTGTGGTGGGTCGATTGGGACAAGCTGATGCGCCACGAGTCCACGACAAGGTAAAAGTGGATGTGGTGGCCAGGGTGGCGGATCAACCAGAACCCCCAGGCAGCCACGAGGGCAAACAGACTCCATGGCTGAAGTATGAAAACAGTAAGCTAATTTCAGAAGCGACGTCTTAGCCTGGTTGAAATTGCTCAAAAAGGAGTTGGATCCGCTACACTGCCGTACTGCTAACAGTGTAGTTCACGACTATGCCTGGGGGAATCGATGAGAAGAAGTGGTCCCGAACTTTGCGGAGAGGCAGATATGAGTATGCGGGTAAGACGGCTGTAAACACACTCAGTGGCAGATTTGATGGCTGAAGTCGGAGATGGAAACCTGTCTACCGCTTATTCTTATAAGCATGATGGATGTCAATCAGGCTGTGCACGTGTTGGGTTGAGCACCCGTGAGTGAAGTTGACTGTCTGCGGTCCGAGTGTTCTCGTTCTGTTGTCTGGATCTCTTATCAGCCGGATTTACGTGACCCTCGATAACCCATCACCAGAAAGACGCGCTGCAATCCTGCTGGGCCCGTCCCTTGGAGAGCGCGTTCAGGGGCAAGGGGAGATCAAGCCTTGATGCACCCCACCAACACGGGTGCGGTTAATATTGACCAATCAGCGGGCATTCGCGTGTCTGAGGCTGAAAGCCTAGAGACCTTTTCAGACGATGGCTTAATCTCCCGAAACAAAGATCCTTATTCCAGCTGCCGTTGCGGCGCTGAAATCAAGAAATATTTGCCCCAGATGTGACGCTACCAAGCAATAGGACACGTTTTGTGGGAGGCCCATCGTGGTCTAAGTCATCCTGCTGGCTGGGCGGTTCTACTATACTCCCGAGGAGACTTCCGCCGATTTGGCTTGTACACACAAGGTCTGGAGTACGGAGTACAAACCTCTTGAGTCTTGATACCCTGTCGGCGCTCCAATTGCTGTGTTTCTAAACGCATACTTTGTCCGTTGCGGAGTTAGTGTGGCAGGATATGATTGCAGAGTGGGACGTCAGGCGGGTGTGTGTCCCTCGTAGTGTGTTCCGCGTGCAATTTCGAGAGCCTTTTAGATGTAAGACCTTGTTTCTGCTACTGTTTTTATGCATGTCGGTTCTGGGGGATGATGCATCAGTCTGGCGCGTAGAGAGGATTTTCCCAAAATACCATCAATTGCACCGGGTGGGTGACTTGACTGGGATGGGCAATGAACATGGTTCATGGTAGGGCTTCAGGGGCGGGGGAAATTAGCAAAACCTAGCGCCAAGCATGGAACTATCGGTCTGAGCATTCCCCCATGACGCATTGCGTCCTTGGTGTTTCGCATTGCGTTTTCACCTTCTGTTCTGCGTCAGCCTCCTGTCTCTAAGCAAGGTCTGAATTAAGCTGGCGCAGGGTGATCGTGTCGATGCATTGTGAATTGCCACGGGATGCTAATTGCTTTGCATGCCCATATCAACAACCTGGCACCCTGTTGAAAGCCATAGGGTCAAGCTTCGGCCAAGGCGGGAAGCCAAGAACTCACAGAGCAGGCAAGATTCGACCGACAAAACTGGGGCAGGTACCAGGTATGAGGCCCTTGGGACGCAGAGTCAAACGCACCAACCCATTGTGCCTCATCTGGCCTCCTCTGTGTGCGAAGCGTACACCGAACTCCTCGGTATCCTCCGATTCACACTGAGTTTGCTCGCACGGCATTCAATCAATTTCCAATCATCGAACTCAAAATCTTGCCTGAGTTTCAATTTCCGCGGGTTCAAGTTGGCAACGATCCCCAGCGTGAAACCGAGAATCGCCTGTTTCCATCCTCGGTTGATCATCGCTACGGCAAGGCGTTCCGTCATTCTCGATTTTCTGCAATGTCACATTGATACATATCAAACAAGGGACATTGTTCACATCAGTGGTGGGCCGGGGGACAGGAACCAAACCGGCCGCATTGTGTTAAAACACCGTTTGCTCACTATTAAACGAGCATCCACGCTTCACGGAACATTCGAGTCCACCGGTATGGCCTCTTTTAGGGCCCCTATATCCCCAGTTTGGGTTTCGACAACTGAGTCGCCTTATGAACCCCTTCATGGTAAGCCTGAATGAGATTGGTTTCATCCTGCATGATCCTTCCGTCCCTGGTGACCACAGTTCCCAACCCAACATGATGGTGCAAGCAGTACATGATCTACCTCAACTATACCAGAAACCGTCGGCATCTGCCCTGCTTGATGCATTAGCTCTCTTATCCCTGCAGCCATCTGCGTTCGTCATGAGGAACGGCTCCTCTCAGTCTCAAATTGCTGAACAAGGCATCCCACGGTACCTGACTTCGATCGTCGCGTCAAGCTTGGCTTGGATAGACGATGATGATGTCAAGGAATCCATTTGGTCTGCTGCAAGCACGAGATTGAGTGAACGCTCCGGAAGAAATGCAATGCCAGACCTGACTCGAACCTTTGCTGTTGGTGACGGCCTCTCCTTCCATCTGCGTGAACCTTCCCTTACAGGAGACAACTTGGGCCTCAAAACGTGGACATCGTCTCTTCTCCTTTCCCAACGGCTACCTGATCTTCGTAAGTATATCGAGAATGGCTGTCCGAGTGTTCTAGAACTGGGTTCTGGAACAGGGCTTGTTGGCATGGCAGCGGCCTGTGCTTGGAATGTGTCTGTGCTGCTCACTGACCTACCGGAAATTGTACCAAACCTCCAACACAACCTTGAACGGAATAAAGACATGATCGAAGAGAATCACGGTAGCGTCGCAGCCCGCCGGCTGGATTGGGACGATGAAGCCGACCTCCCTAGAGATGACCAGGAGAAATTCATGGTAATTCTTGCTGCTGATCCTATCTACTCAAATGACCATCCTCAAATGCTTGCTCGTACAGTCCGTCGTTGGATTCATCCAGACGCGGGTGCCAGATTCATCGTCGAGCTGCCCCTGCGAGATCGTTATGATGAAGAGAGGCAGTCGTTGAGGGACAATCTACGAAAAGAAGGTTTCGACATGATTGCCGAGGGACATGATGTTGGACATGATGATTGGCATGGTCGAGATGGTTTACTGGCTGAAGTTCACTGCTGGTGGAGTGTCTGGCAACTTGTCTCCAAACCCACATAGTCTGCCTACCCATTGTCCTGAGTGCTTGCCTATCCATCCCCATACGTGGACTTCTGGCATCGCAAGACTGGAGCAAAATTGCAAATGACACCTTCCAGGGTCATACGTCCTTCTAATCCATTCAAACGAGTATGGTTGTGGCACTGGCTCGCAAGTGTGTGCTTTGGGATGAATCGATAGACCATGGCACCTTCTTGAGACTACGTTGTTCTGCAATATGCGCCATGATGTCGTGTAGTGCCCCAAAAACTGACCACCAGCGCCCTGCGATGAAAAATGAGCCGCCTGTTGATCGCCTTTCAGAGTCTTTTGGTCTAAATCCCCCACAAAACGCCTCGATTCATAGCTTAAACCATGTCTGATCGCGCCAGAAGTTTGTCATATCTTTACTGAGCCTTGAGTCTTCTCTCCGCAGGGTCGTACCTATACGAGACAGGAGTGTTAGTGATGGGTACCCCGGAGACAGATGGTCAGTCTGGGCTCGTTCTTTGACCGGACCGAATGGCTATCATGAGGCAAACATACTGCAATAGCTTCTCGATCAAATCAACATGGGTCATAAGCATGCGCCGACAGCAGTATCGCTTTGCGCCAACTTGGTCCATCGCTTCTCTGTTCGCATTGCGTGTCAGAATATTCCTCTTTCCAATTGTAGTTTCGACGTCTTGAGTGATAGAAAGCGAGATCGACATACCCATCAGCCATGCCACCTTCCAGCAACTTCATGTATTTCTCCCATATGTCAGCGATCACCTATGTTAACCGACATGTTAGCGTCCGCATGCAGTTGGGGAGGGATAGGTCAAGGGCCCATCTTACCTTGCCACACGAGAAACAGCGAATTGGGATGATCATATTGAGTCCCGTACGCCAAAGGGTTAGGAGCCACGAAGCGGCGAAAAAGGCTTTGATGGTTGATAACTCGAACAAGAATGTCTGCGCAGCCTTCAAGTTGCGACTTCAGAGAAATTCCGTAATAAGGCTTGGCAGAGTAGTCCCATGATACGGTGCGTCATAGGAGCCGGATGGAGCTTCTATACGGTGGACTATTTGGACCCTAAAGCAAAGCTTTGGGAGGCCAAAGCCAGCCTTGGCATTGGTCGCGTCCCGGCCAACTTTCCACTCTAGGTAGCCTGCTGGTGCGGAGAAAAAAAAGTTCGGTGCACAAGAGTTCAACATCTACGAGATTGAAACGATTGTACCGCAGGCATCGTGTTGAATACCAGTTGTGCGGTCAATCCTCTTGAAATTTCTCCCGATGTCTAAGTCTACGAAGCGTAACGCAGAAATCGCTTTCGATTCGAAAGAGAGGGACGGTTCCCACAAGCCAAAGAGGGCGAGAACGAAGAGGATCCGACCAATCGAGCAGACGACCACTCTCTTACCCTCGGAAGAACAATCGCTTGTCGATAGACAGCTGTCCGAAAGCCTACCAGAGAATATAGTCGCAGAAGGTGCAGCGGAAGGTTCCATTGCTCGAAAACGAGTCAGAGCTAGAGGCGACCGTAAAAGCAAAGGAATACAATGTGTGCAGGATACGAGAGACTCCCCCGGCAATGCCAGTCCGCCAGTCCCCAACGGATCGCAAGTCATCGGGAAGGGAACCCTGAGTGCGACCACTCCAAAGCAAGAATATAAGAAGAAGAGGGGGCAGAAAGGGCGAAAAGAGCGACTAGATAACAGTGAGGAGTCTTTGCGTCCTTTGGATGAGTTGCCTGCTTTGGAGGCTTCTGAACCTACAACGATACCAGTGAAGAGTTCGTCAAATCTAGAACACTCGATTTCAGAAGAGAATAACAGCTTTCCTGAAGATTCAGTACAGCAAAAGTTTGTACAAGCAGCACAGAAGGATGGCCTAGCAGTATTCAGTGCTCCAACTGAGTATGACCAGCATGCTCTAGTTACTACAAAGAAGAACGAAAAGCAGCGACGAAAGCAGAAAACATCTTCAGTCTTAACAGAGGTTAAGGGGACGGGTACTACCCTCAATATCAATCGCTGGTCTTTGGCTCCAAGTAAAGGCGGTATTTTCATCGACCAAGACCCCCTGTTGACCAACGACGGACAACATTTAATTCTTGCGATTCATTCGCAAGTGCGAGTATACTCAACCAAAACTTCATTGTTGGTTCGGAGTTCGCCCATAAACCGCAGCTCAATAGTCAGCTGCGCGTTCTCCACGGTGGAGCCGACCAAAGTGTATATTGGATACACAAACGACACCGTTGCATTGTGGGACTGGACAACAAACCAAACAACAACTCAAGCCGATACACAAAGACGTTTGCGCAGGATCATCCCTCTGACATCGCATGGGGAGGAGGAAGTAGTCCTGGTTCTGCGCCAGGGGGAGGATAAAAGCAGTTCCGTGATTGCTTATCTTATGGATCACAAGCAGCAGAACTTCGAAGTTGCTCGCACAGTGCTGGAGCGGCCTTTCAACGTTATGAATCTCGAGTCATATGCACAGGGGAGTGTGCTCATTGCTTCGAGCTACGGCAAACTCTTGGTTGGGTACTCTCAAGATGTCATTGAAAATGGAGCACAGATGACTTACACCTGGAGGGAAATCAGTATTGCAGGGTCTGTCACTGCATTCGACGCACAAGTGCGCCCAAACAAACCAAATGCTGGAAGAAAGGTACCAACCACGGACTTAGCGGTTGGGCTCAGTTCTGGTATGATTATGCTTTATCAAGATCTTCTCTACAAGTTGATAGGCAAGGAAAAGAAGAACCACAACGAAGACATCATTCCTCGAAAGTTGCATTGGCATAGGACTGCGGTCAACACAGTCAAGTGGTCACGCGACCAACGATACATCATCTCTGGCGGCAACGAGACCGTCCTTGTTATTTGGCAGTTGGACACGAACCAGAAGCAGTTCCTACCTCACTTATCGACTTCGATTCTGAATTTGACTGTGTCAGCAAAGGGATCGGAATATGCGCTGCGCCTCGGCGACAACTCTGTTATGGTTTTGTCAACTGCAGACTTGTTGCCATCGACAAACATTATAGGGCCTGCATTTCGTGAGGATGTAAACTTGGCAACGCCAATGCTGCTACACCCAACGATCACCAACCGCTTACTTGCTGCTGTTCCGACTAATGCCCTCAACAAGAATCAAACACGAGAGAATAGTTCCTCTTCACTCCAACAGTTTGACATCGAGTCAGATTTGCAGATCAGCCGCCAGGCTCTGACACGAAACACGACTACAACGAAAAATGTCGCGCCAAATGGTCAATTGATTTCGGAGCCTAACGTTGATTGCATGACGATTAGCCATGATGGTAAATGGCTTGCTACTGTCGATGTATGGAGGCCTCCGAGAAAGGATATTGAGTCTATGCATCTCGATGGCGACTCACCCGAGTCTCGTGGCCGTTCCACCGAGACCTGCTTGAGGATATGGGCTTGGAACGGTGATGAGAATGTCTGGGAGTTGGTCACTCGCATCAACGAGCCTCATCGTCCCGGTGGTCGTTCCGTACTTGGCTTGGTAGCAAACCCTTGCAAGGCGGAATTTGCAACGATTGGTGTAGATTGGGCGATACGAATTTGGTCACCTAAGGCGCGTCATCGAAACGGAGTCGCGGTCAGGAACAAGTCAAATGAGCAATTGTACACATGGTCCAGCTCAAGGTCCATCGACTGTGGGCACGAACATCTTCACAAGGATGCCCAAACAATCTCCGCGGCATTAGCTTACTCGGATGACGGATCAACAGTAGCTGCGTCTTGGTCTCGGCCGGGGTCAGAGTCACGGATCGTGCATCTTATTGATTCCGTGAGCGGCAAGATTACTTTGTCTCTCCCGGATCTACTCTCGAGCCGAGACGCGAAGCTAGCATTCGTGGGACGACATTTGTTGTGCCTGTCTGACAGGTTCTGCGTCTTCGACACACTCACAGCACACAATATCCTTACCATCAACTTGGACCCAGAGTTTGCTGGACAGAGACATCTTGCTATGAACAAATACGATGGCACGGCTGCCATCAGCATTTCACAGACGGAAAGCTACAAACCAAGCAAGTTACTCGTGATGAACGTCTCGGCACGGGAGGTCAAGCCTGTCTTCGAAACATCGGTACCCGGATTCATCCAGGGATTGCTGGCGTCGACCACCGGGACGGGCTACGTGGTGATAGACAACAAGGCCAGGATTAGTGCATTGCGGTCCGCTGGGACTCAGGTCCAAGAGTTGTCGTCAGCCGCAATGGCGAAGCTCACCGAGCCAGCTCAAGTCAGCAAAAGCCTCGAAGGCATTTTCGGCCGGCCTGGTCGACCTTCCTTGGCGGTGGGTGATCGTGTTCATGATCAGGAAGAGCTCAGAGCGGACGAAACGAATGCGGTTTCTTCGTCGAGTTTGGATCATGTGTTGAAGTTTATCTCCTCGAGTCATGTGCCGAGTCCGGTACAACTATTTGAGCGAGTCGTTGGCGTGTTTGGTCGACGACAAGAGACCCAGAATTCCGTCGCTGCTTCTTGACGAGGACCTTGGTAGAATTCGCCTTGTGTGAGTGCAGCGGTGTATATAGATTCAAAACAGAAGCATATGGAGCTTTGGACACTGAGCGTCAAAATTTTCCTTCCGCGATTCCTGGACACTTGTTCGTTCTTGACCTAGGCTAGTCCTTGGTTCATCACAGTGCACGCAAAGTCCCTTGTGGATGACGAAGTCGTTTACAGAATCTCCAAGCTGCATGAAGGATGAGGCTTGGCCCTGCCTGCCTCTGCGGCTCCACTGATCGAAGGCTCCTACGTCGTAAATATCACCCGGATCGATCAGAACACAATCACTTGGTTTGCTCTCTACGCTACATCGCCCTTTTCGCTGATCTTATGGATGCACTGTTGTATCCTTCAGGATCTGATCAGTAATAAACTATCATTAATCTGATCGCATATCTACACAATACCAGCCTCTTCTGCCGTGCAGCAAGTAGATGATGTCCAGCGCGACTCGGATCAGAACCGCTGACTCATTCATCCACAGTGCCTTGGCAGGCTGTTGTCCACATCTTCTGACTGCTCTAAGAATGAGCTTGATGAGGTGTCATTGGCCCTGTGGGCTTGATGGACATACTGCGTAGTGTATCAGTGATTGCGGCATGCCTTGCTTAACGATGCTAGGAACTGGATTGATGCCGCCCGTGCTATGCTCGTTCAGACCTGGCGTGCGAGCAAGGAAGTAGGTGCGGGGGAATGAATGGATCTCGGATGTGATTGTTGTTGCCCATGTCTCTGCGGTGCCCCTGGTATGTCCTCTTTGCCTACTCGGTACTAATGATGGAGCAAGCGTACCTAGGTAAGAATCGGCACCGGAATCTGACGCATCTGTGTCAGACGAAGCATACGCCCGCGCTGCCCCTCATTGATCATCTATTATGCCACGTCCTCTACCGCTTTCTCCGCGAGACCGAGGGGTAAAACGGCCACCGAGGGATCGCACAATTACACTCGAAGGTGCTTCTTCTCTTTTCCTCTTTCTCTACCTCCCCAAAGCACTTCTCTTGAATAATTTCTGTGTCCCGAGCAGATAGGAAAGGAGTTACCGCAGCAGAATAGATACGCATCTCAAGCTCAAAGATCCTTGAACCCGGAACTTTTCATCAACACGAATACGAACCATCTATTTCGCACAAAAATCAACATGCCTGCCAACGCTACAGTCCTCTACGGCGGGGACGCAAAGTTTGATCTCAAGTATTACCTCGAGTCGCACATGGCTCTGGTTGGCAAGGAATGGACATCTTTCGGACTTCAGGACTGGAAGGTTATTCAATTCGAAGCCGGTCCTGATGGCAGCAAGCCTTACAGCATTGCGGCCATCCTCACCTGGGATTCGCTCGACAGCATCCCGAAGGCACTTGCGTCCGACGCCGGGAAAGGCATTCTCGCTGACGTGGAGAACTTCAGTGACAAGAGCCCTGTCTTCTTGGCTGGTAACATTGTGGGGGCATCGTGAGTGGGCAAGCATCTCTCCATCTTCCCTCGACAGTTGTCTGTCTCTTGGTGGCTTCGGCCATCGAGATGAGGCTTTGGCAGGTGGATGACCTGATGTGTTTTAGCAGGAAATTGATGAGCTCGTTGTGAATAAGATGTGCCGGATGTGTCAGATGTACCAGTGTGGATAGATGGACGTGGTCATGAACTGTCGGACGAAGTCGACCGAACACTGTTCAACCACACACATATCTCTCGACTCGAGATTGAAAGCAAGACCAACCCGAGATAATTGATGATCGTTCCTTCCAGTGCGATCGATTCCCATCTTCATCTTCTTGTACATGCATCTCTCCTGCCATCTTCGCGATATCCTATCCAAATTTTCTGCCAGTTCTCTGCTTCTTTCCATTGGCATTCCTTCAAGGCATCGTCCATTGGGGTATCTAGCCAATTACTGCTGATGACTGTGTTGTCTGAGGTATGCAGTGGCCCCATATAGCAGATGTTTGAGTATCTGGTGCGAGTTGCAAGGCCAACCAGATGGTGCGTCGCAGTTTTGTATCCTCGTTCACATTGCTGATTACCTTTGCATCAACGATATCTCCAGCACCAGCACACTTCAATGCATTTTGCACAAAAGGGCCACACCATGACTCAGCCTGTTTCAACAATGCCGCACCAGAAATCCCTTCCAAGCTTCCTTCTCTAAGTCGACCAATGTACACCTTGACATTTACCCTTCTCACAGAAGAGCGCTCTCTCACCGATATACTTGAGAACAATGAATCCAGACAGATGCCACTGCAGATGGTGAAAATCTTCGGTGAGCGTACCATCATCGGATGCACTTCGTCATAAATCGCCCGGCACACCCTCAAGATTCGATTATCACAGTGCTCGTGGAGGTCAAACTCTCCGAAGCATGATCCTAAGTGTGTGATGGTACAGTAAGATTGTACAATGACGCATTTGCAGGGCTTGAGCTTGCTTGGCCCAAGAACATATTCCCAGATTTGACGACGAATATCGTAGGGAAGTGTGAGCAAGTCCTGAACCATGTTAATCCAGCTGAGCGTTTCGGTGTGCTGCGTGCAATGTATGCAAGGGCTGAACCAAGAGGTGCGAGTGTGGTGCGAAAGTGTCAAACGACAAAAAGACACTTGGCTGGTAATCGACCATCGTCAGCTCACCCAAGACAACTTTCCTTCTATATGCGAACCTGATCAGCCTCGATGAGACCAATTTTCTCTTGCGGCATTGTCTAAGTACAAGTGGCGGACCGCTGACTCACGTAGGAACCCGGTAAGCATCGACAATTGGCCATCGCATCGGAGGTAGATCTCAATGTCGGATCAGACGACTGACTTGATGATAGCCTGTTCCTGTTAACAGGTTGGTAAGCTTCATAGCAAGGGACATTGAATGCGCGCTGTCAGCACTATCTTGTGCCTCATTGTGAGAGCTACTCAGTAACGCAACCCTTTTACGGGAATTATCCGTACAGTGGGGGGTGGATTCAAGGTCAATTTAGGTCAAACCATCAAGCGCGACCCAAGAAGCGTAGTAACACTACCCAATAGTGGAATCCACATGATAGGTGGCGCTCGGTTGTTAAGAAACATGGGTTGGGAGGCTTCAGAGTTACAGCAAAGCAGGGCCGGAATATCACCGCTCAAGGATAGAGGTCATAGGAAACGGATGTAAGATCAAGCAGTGGGACCGCCCCATCAGGCTGATGCCACAGAACAAGGGACCTTACTCAGCAGTTTACGGAGTTCTGGCAGCACTAGGGTGGAAACGTAAGCCAGTGAAGAAGTGGGTAAGTAATCATAAATTGGGTTGTTGATGCCGGTTAGACCATCCATTCTTGACGAGGTAGAAGCACTGCAATAGAATTAGCTAAGGTACTGGCTATCTAGGTAACTTAAGCTACGTAGGTACCCTATAGACTACGGAGTATTCATTCCGTAGTCATCAAAAGCATGGCTGCAAGACCCTAGTGCGATTCGTATAAAACCATTCCCGCAGATTGGTGCTCATATCAAGCGTCGGTATTGGCGGGGTCAGGCGCATACTGTACAGTAGGGCTCGGTATGTCTTAAGCCTGATCTACTCCCAAACGTCCCCCTTTCTTAATACATGCCTGACAAAAAGCGAAAGAGAGACTGTAGCATAATTTCAAATGGGTGACCAGACCTACCTGATGGCTCCGGTGCCTGCGCCGGAGCTAGGCATCCCAGATTCGTCGTCGACGGTAGACGTGCGAATCATCGACACGACAGGCTATGGGAAAGTCGCGGCGGACATGATGTTCACGCCTCCACTGCCAGGACACGAGACCTTTGTGTTCCCATCCTACTCAATCCTCATCAGCAACCATGAAAAGGGCAAGCACGTGCTATTCGACCTGGGCATGCGAAAGGACTGGGAGACGTTCCTTCCCGCGCCGACGGTAGGCTTTGTCAAGCAGATCATGCCCTTCTCCGTGGCATCCAACGTCGATGAGATTCTCGACGCCGACGCCGGGAACTTGGGCATCACGACGAAATCCATTTCGGCCGTCATCTGGTCGCATCACCATTTCGACCACCGCGGCGATCTGTCTCGGTTCGACCCGAGCACTGAGCTGATCGTCGGGCCTGGGTTCATGAGGGCTTACACTCCAGCCTACCCGACGAATCCTGAGAGCAGCATTCAGGAGTCGGAGCTCGCCAGCCATCCGGTGCGGGAACTCGACGATGCAGCGTTTACTCTGCAGCTGGGACCGGTTCCAGCGCATGACTTCTTCGGCGACGGTTCCTTCTACATCCTCTCGACGCCAGGCCACACCGTGGGCCATCTCGCCGCGCTCGCCCGTGTCACTAGCAACGGCAATGGTAGCGACAGTGACGCAGGCCAAAACCCATCCTTCATCTTCCTCGGCGGCGATTGCGCACATTACCCAGGCATCTTCCGTCCCACAACCTACAAGCCGCTCCCCCAACAAATCCCCGAATTCCCACGCTCAGCATTCGGCACGTCCCCCTGCCCGGGCATCTGGCTGCAAAACTATATCCACCCGCAGAAATCCGCCACGGAGCCCTTCTTAAAACCCAATCCGCGCGTGAACGAGATCCCCGAGAAGGCAATGCACAGCCTCTCCGCGATGCAGGAGTTCGATGCTAGCCCCGACGTTTTAGTCTGTATCGCTCATGATGGGGGTTTGTTGGGGAATGTTGATTTCTACCCGGAGAGGTTGAATGGGTGGAGGAAGAAGGGCGTGAAGAACAAGGTGCATTGGAATTTTTGTGGGGATTTTGATGTACATGCCGGGAAGGAGAAGGTCGAAGCTGACAATGGTGGTAATGCTTGAGGTAGTCAGGTCTACTGAACTGTTCCGGGCCAAGTTGATAAATGCATCATGTATGAAGGGATATGCTCTTCGTCTATGTACAATAACTATGTAAAAGTCTCCGTCCACCTGCATGCGTTATTGGCGCCGTCCGATTGTACGCACGTACTAGAGCTGGCGGGATTAACTGGAGCTAAAGAATCCTCGGGAACATAGTGAGAGACGTTTAAATTGATTGGGGGTGGTGGAGTTGCGACGATCATACTTATAGAGGAAATATTAGCCTAGAGACATTTACGTTCGAGGTCCTCTGCGACGTTGACGGCCCCCGCCGGGCTACATAAACGGGTGAAGATAGCCATAGCGAGGCTATGCAGGCGTAGATGGAGTGCCTACCCTGGTTGGCTTCTAGCGACGGCGTGGGAGTCGGCAGCGAGGTTATGTCTATTCATGCACATAGGAATCAAGCGAGACAGGATACGGTCAGGCGCATGCGGGCTGTGATCTATACCTAATTGGCTGCGAGTCGACACTACATTAGTGTCGGATATCGGGTCACGATAGAGAACGCATGTCTTGCCACTCAAATAGCTGCATTCTGGTCTATATAGCTATCAGGCCGCAATAACAAGTGTTAATCTAGACGAAACAGAGAGTGGAATGAGCAAATAAACCATTGCCCATGCTGCGCACAATGCGATTGTGAAATGACTGGCTGCTGATCTCAATCTGCGTATCAAACATATCAAAATTGGGCATTAGGGGCACCCACAAAGCCTAGCAGGTCTGCCTTTCTGTACAGCCTGTGGGGAGCACTAACCGACAGGAGACAAGCAATAAGCCTCCGTGGGTTCTCGTTGGATGGGTTGTTCGACCGCAGCATAAACTCCTCCGCTTAGGACTGTGGTCATCTATATCGTCATGGCTGATTGCCCCACCGGCTACTTCCTGCATATTCCATATCGGCAGCACAAGTAGACCGCCGGCATGGCGGATCGCTTTGTGGGCGGAGCGCCAAGGGCCGTGGTCTGTGTATCGATAGGCACCATAAGCTGCGAGCGTGATCTAGCGGGAACCATTAGCTGTATTGAAGGACCACCGCAGTGGCCGGGTGCCTCGAGTTGTGTTTCAGGGAGCTTAACAGATTCCATGAGTCCTTTTGGGGCGCAACTAAGAGCCACTCTCCTCGTCTCACAAGGACTGGGAACTGACATGGACTCTGTGTTGACAGATTCTGTCAAATCGACGGGTTGTGTTGTGGTACCCTTGGAAGAATCAATAGGAGGGGCAAAATCGGTAGGCCGCCTCGCAAGCGGCTTAAACGGTCCTATCCGTTGCATGGTGGAATCATTGGCTGAGGCCACTAACGGCGCCGAAGATTTCGGAGAATTCATTGACTGTTCTGCAGAGGAATTGACTGTGACAACAAGTTGTGTAGTGGGACCCATAGGAGCGGTTGATTGGACTAGGGAGGATTTCGTTGAAGCTAAGTACCTTTTTGCGGGGGCATCTGCACGGATCGACTCATTGGCAGCCACTGTAGTTTTAGGTGGGCCATCAGAGGCCGTTGGCTTCATTGTATGAGTAGTTGAAATGATTCGACCGATCAGAGATGGCCCAAAGGGCGACCGAGGCCGTTTCGCAGGAGACGTATCGGGAGTCACTGGCGGCGTTGCCGGAAGCGCACCAAAAGTCATCGGAGGAGTTTGAAGAGGCCTAACAGGTCCTGAGCCGGGAAGCTCAACCAGTATAGGATATTCGGTCGAGGCTAGTTCAGCAGCTGTTGTCAATCTTCCTGTGGACAATTTGACAGGTGCAGGTGACAATTGAAATTCATCGGTCAGTGTCTGTAGCACGGCTCGACTTTGATTCTCGTGTGAGATATCGGGAGAGATTTCGGCCAATCTGTTGAGCCATTCGCTTTCTGGTACCTCGCCTAGGTCGGCTGGCTCAACGATATCCTCGCTGTCGATTACGATGCAGTCGTCGTCGCTCTCCCCTGGCACATTCAGATCCGAGGTGACAGATGTTTCAGACTTGAGCATTCGTTCCTCTTGCTCTGCTTCCGCCTGTTCCTGAAGATTGTGCAACATACGGACCCGTAGCAGGAGCTCATTTGCTGCGGATTGTTCTTGTTGAACATCAAACATGAACTGAGCTGAATCCGCAACACTCTGCCTTCGAACCTGGACGGTAGGCTGAGGATTTCGCTCAGATCCCGATTCCCTGGAAACCATCAGAGAGACTATAACAGCGGCAATCCGCATTCAGGAATGTAGAAGTGGGCCGAACGTACCTAACATTTTCAAGCTCGCTTGTTTTATGAATCTCATTAGCCACCACCGGAACCAGGAGGAGGGCCACCAAGAGCGTAAGCGTCTTCACTAACCGAAGCCTCTGTTTATTGATTTTGTTCTTCACCCCAAATGTCCATAAAACTTTCGCATACGTATCATTCGTTCCACGCCTCTGCTTGATCTTATTTTCCATTTTATCGAACTGATCCGAAATGGCGTTCAGCTGCCTCTTGGCATCCTTTAGGGTCAGCTCCAGCGAAATTTGTAGGCGTCCAGACATTGGGTTGCCTCTGATGTCGTTTGGAGCACGTGCGAGAACGTAACTTAACCAGGAGAGCTGTTGAGCGATTTCTGAAATCTCGTCGGCCGAACCGCGGAGGGTGGTACAAAGCCTATAGGCTTTCAACGCTCCTGCACGAGCCAAGGGTACCATTGCGGTGGCAGTAAAGGCGACACTTGCGACCGCCATTGAGTAGGAAGCATCCAGGAAAGATTACTGTATGTACAAGATGCAAGGATTTTAGCGATCCCAGCAAAACGACTTAGTATGATTAGGGGAACAGACTCCTTCCGGAATATTTTAAAAGGTGCAAATTTATCTGTAGGCTTCATATAGAGAGATGGCTATATTACCCAGTAGTTTCGACTTTCGGCAATGAGTGGCCTGCTGGAAATTGATATTTCTAAGCGCTAGGATGTACTCTGCGCTCGAAAACAGCAGTCTTGTAGAAGAGGAGTTTGGCTGATCGTGGAGGTTGCAACGAAGGCACAAAGGAGAAAGCGAAAAAGGGCGTGGCTTAAAGCACTGCCACCTTCGATACGGTAAAGAGGAGGCAGCGCCCAGCTGCTGGGGTAGGCTCTGCCTCTGCCCTGAGATTGGCGGCAGCACCTTGGACGAGGGTCCAGGTAACTGATTTCACGCAGCAGAATTTCACACAATAGAATCTACATGTCTGTTCGAATCACCTGCTTTGGCGAGAGCTAGCATTTGATCCGTTCGAATAGCCCGGCAGACAGTGCTAGGCACATCAGCTACAGTCCTTCATTCCTTGGCAAGGTGGCTCTGGTCCAGGGCACCGGATTGCTTACCGATTTCTTCAATTTTCCATATAGAACGAGTGCTGTCAGCGGTCCCTTGTGCGTCTTGACGTGAACTCGTGCATCTCGGAAGTTCTCCTTGTCCAACAAAGCAACTTGGGCCAAAGATTTGTCGACAGTCAATGTCCCTTGAAGCAGGTGTTCGAAACGCAAGAACAATGTCGGCCTCTGATGTGCAAATCTCAGACTTGTTGTTTCCTCGCATGAAATCTCGGACGGCATTCTTCAGTTCGTTGAGCCAGGTAGAGCGTCTGGCTGCGTGTGCTAACCCAGCTGCCGCAGGAAACTCGAGGATAGGTTCGTTTTCGACGGTATGATTGTTTATCGATGTACCGCCCCTCGGAGAACACCAGATTCCAACAAACATGCAGGAAAGGTCCTGTTGCTTCAACAGTCACAGGATCGAGCTCTCCGAGTCTGTCTGGGGCCACTATGGCCATATCCTAGGAAGAGCAATGACAAGTTGTAAACAACGATGACGACATTTCAAGGCGACACAAAAGGAGGCTCGCCGAATGATAGACATAGCGGGGAAGCAGACCTTTGTGACCAACCAGCTCTAGAAGTATATTCGTAGCCCTGGCTGGGTGCATGGTGGGAACACGTTGAAAATCCGCCCTACCTTCCGGAGGATCTCATTCATACTGGCCGATAAATGAAACACTGGAAACCCCAATACATGCCACGTCACGCCCCCGTAGACGGAGATGGGGTGAATCATCGATCAGATCTCACCGCAATTCTGACATTCGATCACATGGAGGGTGCAGAACTGCGCTAACTCAAGAAGAGCGTGATCTATCTAGAAGGCTGGTCAAAAGAAAATAAACCCAGATGTAGGATGCAACTTACAGTAGGTGACAATAGTAATAGATACGCGATGAATCAACTCGTGGTACATAGTTCTATTTCTGTAATTAATAAATTTTCCTAGATTTTACCCCATGAATAAAGCGTCGATACATAGTCGAACTAACGCCCCGAGCCGAGCCAGCTACCTGTACAAGTAGGTCTAGTGTCGATGCAATGATAATCCTCGGTGGATTCAAGGCGAATAAACGGGGAAACTCACGATATCGTCTACATGTTGAATCTACCCCATACCCCATGTGGGTTCAAGGTGTGGACGAAAGTGCAAACCCATCTGATTGCTCTCAGGGAGGTGCCATTTCTTGAATATTACCTAGTAGAGGAACCGAGACGCAAAGGATGAATTGTTCCAGCCCTTTAAGGAGAATCCTGTCGTTTTCTCAATCATATGCGGCGGGCTATCACACTTTACGCCGCTCCCTTGTCCTCACAAGACATGCAGCACCACCACTACCACTGCAGCAACGATCCCATTACGCTCGCAATCGCCCGAGAAGCGGGAGAGGGAGCACCCCGAGGAAGATCAAAGACATCAACAACAGATCACAGCCCCAACGCCGCTATGGATCCTCAACGACAACAGCACCCATCCAGCTTTCAAAGGGAGAAATCGAATGCACCATCAGCGCCGTGCCGGCCGTGCCAGGAAGCCTCAGCGAAGGAACACATGCAACGATCACGATCCGCAACGCTGCGCGGCTCAACAGCCTCAACAGCAGTCTGATCTCACAGCTCACATCAACGCTCCGATCGCTTGCCTCGCTGGAGCAGCACCCAGACCTGCGCGTTGCGATCATCAAAGGCGAACACCCGCCCAACTCCCCCAAGACCCCGGCATTCACGTCCGGCGCAGACATCTACGAGATGTCCTCCCTCAGCTCCGCCTCCTCCGCACGGGAGTTCATCTCCCGCCTGTCCCAACTCTGCGACGCATTCCGCACCCTCCCATGCCTGACACTCGCACAGATTCACGGGCTTTGTATGGGCGGCGGGCTCGAGCTCGCGGCGTGCGCAGACTTCCGATACGCAACGGCAGGGTCGTCGTTCAGCATGCCCGAGACGAAATACGGGATCCCAAGTGTCATCCACGCGCGCCTGCTGCCGAATCTTGTAGGATGGCAGCGTGCGCGCGAGATGGTGTATCTCGCAAAGGTGTACGGTGCGGAGGAAATGCGTGAGTGGGGGTTGGTTGACGTGATGTGTGCGGATGAGGCGCGCTTGGAGGACGAGGTGAAGGGATTCGTGGAGCGGGTGGCGAGGCATGGTGTGAAGACTATGAGGGTTCAGAAGGAACTGGTGAGGGTCTGGGAGGAGCGGGACCTGAGGGCTGGCGTGGATGCTGGCGTGGAGAGTTTTGCGCGGATGTTTGAGGATGGGGCGCACGAGCCGAGGAGATTCATGAGGGAGTTCACCGAGAGAAGGAGGGAGAAAGCAAAGGGGGCCCAAAGGGGAAATTGATGAAAGGGAAGGCAAGATTGGAACAAGGGGAAGCAATTGGACGACCGGTTGAGGCCCTGATAAGATGAAGGCAATGGCTTGATTGCAGGAGTGAATATAGGGTGATCAGAAGAGCCAGTGATAATATTCGTCGTCTATAGCTATCGTGTTAAGGGCCTTCCTTAAGGGGAAAATATGAGAGTACACGGAGCGATTCGGTATGCAGCTAAACGAGGAAGAAAAATATGAGGCAGCGCTCCCACAGGGAAGTGGAGGAGGTTGCGGGATATTACATGTATTGAGAGCACAAAACACCCAGTTGGTCTGGGTTGAACTCCGTTCTTGCTAATATCTTCAATGCAGCACTGCAAGATACAACGAGCTCACTTCCATGTAATCCCGAAGAACAACAAACCCAAACAACCAAGATATCAATATGGCCTCAGGGATTACCTAGCAGGTACTCTATTGCCCCATTGACACTGCCTCCTGTTCTCCGGAGGGCCTGAACATTGCGATCAAAATCATAAAAGCCCATGTCGTTCAATTGTCGCAACTGAACTTCATATCTCTCCTCTGGTGGACGGTTATCCGGTGGCGATGTCGGTCGTTCACCACCACCAAACATGTTAAATAGATTGCCAAGGTTTCCAGGGTCATTTCCTTGTGCTGCGCCAAAGCCACCACCTGCGGGGCCTCCGGGGCCTCCGGGGCCTCCACCACCGCCGAGGGCTTGTAGAAACTGATTCGCTGCTTCTGGGTTCTGGAGAAACGGATTGTTTTGCATCCAAGGGTTACCAAACGGAGAAGGCGAGGTATTCTGGTTTCCACCTTGCTGTGGCTGGCCAAATAGTGCCGGGTTGAACAAGGCTGCAAAAGGATTCTGCTGCTGCTGCTGTTGCTGCTGTTGGGTCTGTTGATCAGTAGTCGAAGAGTTGGTCTGAGTGCCTGGTGATGAAGGATTTTGCTGGGTGGTGGGGAAAGGTGGTGGGGCGCCAAACAAACTCGCAAATGGGTTGGCATTCATGTTACCCAAGGCTGCAAAAGGGTTTTGCTGAGCTTGTTGTTGAGACGATGGCTGTTGCGTCTGATCGTCCTGGGTAGCGCGAGTCTGACCGTCTCTTGATTCTGTGGTATTGGTGACACCAGGTGCTGGGAAAGCTTCTTGTCCGCCCATGCCTCCGCCCATGCCGCCGAGCCCTCCCATTCCCATCTGCTGCTGCATTTGCATCATGGATCGTAGAGCCTGGGGATCGGTCATAAGCCGCCGAAAATAGTCGGATTGTAGAACCTGTCTCGCCTGAGGTCCCATTTGGCGCAGTCCGGGATTTGCGTTGATCATCATATCGATGAACTGCGGGTTGTTCATGGCCTCTCTCATCATTTGCTGAAAGTTCGGGTCCTCTAGCTGGCGCACTACATCTTCGGGGGTCTGGGGAGTGTTGAACATGCTTGCGCTTGGCAGTTGGGCAAAGCCGGCATATCTGGCTCCAGTTAGGCCTGCGAGGGGGTCGTTCCCTGTACCAGCAGCCAAGTTCTGGGGGACGCCTGTAGCTTGAGGTGTAGCAGAGGAAGGATTGGCTGTGGAAGACTGGGTGGCCGGGTTTTGTCTCTGATTGCTGGCAGCACTCTTGACCAAGTGCATAGTATTGCCCTCCTTAACATTATGTGTAGCCAGTGTATCGTTATCCTTCAAGACCTTCCCGCTGTAGATCAAGCGCTGTGCAGTTGTCGGAACATTGGCGTATTCTTCAGTGGCGAGTTTGACCTTCAAATCTTGGGTGGTGGTTGTGAGCGGAAGGGTAAGAGTCCATTTCTGGCCACCAGAGGACTTAATGTGGAAAGTGACGGAGGCATCTTCAGAGCCTGTAGGCTCGGTCATTGTGTTGGAGATGGGAGTAGGGGCCTGGAAGTGGCCGATCAATTGATTGTTGATATTGCGATAGGAGAGAAATGGATGGAAGATTTAGGATGAGAGCCGCTAGCTATGACGTGGAGATGTGGGCAATGAGTGTGACAGGTGCTGGGGCGGGGACAGAGAAGAAGACAAGGTGAGAGGAGGAGGAGAGAAGGAGGAGAGAATGGAAGAAGTGGTCGATCTTGATCACTGATGGCTTGGGTGTTTGTCGGAGAAGTTACATGAATTGTAGATTGGGTGACGAGAGAGGCAACCTGGCAGGGCTTGTCTCTGCAAGTCGCACCTGCTCGATCTGCGCTTGCACTTCTTTACGTTGAATATGTTTGGTGGTGCAGGAGCGACTCTGGTGAACCCCCCCTAATCATTGGCGTTGCCCGGCCTCGGCGTCATCGCCGGCTGCCTTGATGACCTCAATGGAACAGCAAAGACTCAGAGTGCAGGTGCCCCTCGGCTCAAGCACCAAAGCTCTGGCCAAGCTTAACTTTGTCGGGTCCCTTACTAATAGGCCCCAACTATGGGGCCTGACCCGCGAGAAGCACCGTTGAACCATGCCACCGCACAGTCGCTCATGACTCTCATATGAGGTACATATCTGTATTTTCATCCTGCTGAAACAGTTTGCGAATCCCTACATCGGACAGAAACGCAAGAGAACCACGACCCTTATCTATTCGCTTCAATAGGACTTCTTGGAACTGGTGGTGCCTGTTGATAAAGCAGCGTGGTAGGGGCCACTAACTCAGTCACGAGGCATGCCGCTTGAGATATAAACTTGCTCCAATTTCGGAGACGGGTGGACTTAATTCCGGCCTCGAGCCTCTTCACTTTTAGGGGTATATTTATGTAGACGGCCATTCGATTTGACGGTCATGTTTATCCCGAAGAAGTCCTCTTCACTTCATCTTCATCTTCTTGCGCTGGTTTGAGATGAGAAGTTGTGATGCCGAGACATGGCTCCTGAAACTTAGTTAGGAACTTGGGACATTGAAGTTGATAACCCTGACTCTAGTTAGCAGAATGCGGTTTCTCGTCTCAACCCCCGACAAGTCAACCATATTAACGACAGGATCATGGCAGCTAACGTTATTTGTAAGTTCGAGCAAAGGCCCTTTTTTTTGGCCTTAGCCTCGTTGTAGGTATGGGGTACCGATATTAGTCTAGGCGACAGGAGTGAGGCATCTTAGTATAAAGTAAGGATTCCCTTTTGTGGCTGTATGGTCTCGGTCTTTGCAGTGCGATCGTTTAACATCCTTAGCTAGTTCTCAAATGGGCCATCAATCTTGAAGACCACGCAAAGTTATTCTCAGAACAGTCGAACAAGACGGTTCCCTGGGTCTCGAACCGCTAGGGCCTTTGTATCCTTCTACTGTGGACCTACCATGACTTCAGGCTCATCAACAATCGATCATCAAAGTCAAGCACTCTGGCGATAAACGATTGTCTATCCTACATACGGAGTACTTCTGTATGGAGAACCACAGATTGTTTTCTTCACAATCGATCCACGAGGTACGGAGATACTCACTATTTGAATACTTCTAGTCTTGGCCCCCAAACACTCCTTGACCGGGATACCAACGTCTTCAATTCGGTCTCGCCTTCTGGATCAACCTGCGATAAGGCAAGAAAGGATCATACCTGGGATTTACCCTTCACCAAGGTAGTCATCCTAAATCAAGCCAACGGTACACGCTCCAATAAGATTTACTCTAATTAGCTCTTAACTACGGAGTAGTTGGGTGTCCTCCATACCGGAGTGCAAGGTACCGAGGACTGTGTGCTTCAGTAATGATTTTTGGTGACTGTTGCACTTGGCAGCCAGGAGCGCCCTTGGAGTAGATCCCCAACTGTGCAGCCGCGATGGAGCTAGGAGTCCCTGACACAGACGCTACCTTGCCTTAGCCTATCTCTATTACCATAGGCCTGATTGATAACGGCGCACACCCACGAGCCATACGGAGTACTAACTGACTTTAGAGAGAAGGATTCTGTCGATCCTTGCTGGGCGCGACACATATGCTCCGCCACAGCTAGTAAGTCACATAAGGGGCCATCGTCTTCCCGTTAACTATCATTGACAGGACCGTGTTGCTTGTGTGAAGTCATCGTCAGGACCTCGCGACAAATATCTGAAGTTTTCCTTCTACCACTACTTCGTCCACCATTATGCTTGGATCGATGACCAAATCCCCCCAATGCAAAGCAGCCTGAAGCGTCGTGCTGCAATAAGCTCAGCATTCCTGTTGTTGGTGGGTATAACGTTTCTCTGTAAGTAAGTCGAAGTCGCTACTACGTCTCGCTTCCTGATATGTTTTGCGAAGTTATCCAGCCACCGACTCGATTGTCGGAGCGTATCGGTCTCCCAATCACTGTACAGATCCCCTCTGTGCAGCGAAATTCGACCGATATAGTTGAAGAAGAGACGAGAGATAACTTCAATGTCACACGCTACACTCGGCGCAGGAAAAATGCGACATCTGACCTTCTTTGGCTATCCCTCACCCATGATGAAGCCTCCTGGGGTCGCAATCGACTTAGATGGACTCGGACTATCGATGACTTCCTGAAAATCGTTCCTACACAGCACAATGTCGAGACTGTTTCGCTTGGCCTTCTCACGAGCTCAATAGATGAGTACAATAAATACAAATCTGCCACCTCGCAGTATCCTTTCGCCAAAGTCGACATATTCTTTCACCCAGGTTACCATCAAGGACCGACAGTTGACCGGGATCATCGCCACGACGATGAAGTACAGGCAGTCCGCCGCGCTGAGATGGCCACTCTGCGCAACTATCTCATGCTCAAGACCCTAGGTGAAGAAGCACATATCCTCTGGGTCGATGCTGATATCTTTTACCTCGACGATGGCATTACGAAGCGGATGCTGCAGCATATTGAGGAACGTGATGACATCGGTATCATCACTGCGAGATGTTCGCGAGATGGAGCGGAGGACTATGATCGCAATGCATGGCGCGGGACCAGAAAAGGACCACGAGGCTGGGATCTGGATCAGAAAGAGATCAACCGGGGAGAGTTAAAGACTCAAGGTCAATATCATGTCGACAAGTTGATCGTTGGCACTACCGACGATGATCTTGTCGACCTAGACACTGTTGGCGCAACCATTCTCTACCTGCGAGCCTCACTCATTTGGCGGGGTTTGAACTTTCCGCACCAGTTTGTTGTGGGCACGCGATGGAGAAAAGACGGCTGGGACGGCATCGAGTCAGAGGGTCTCTGCTATCGGGCCAGGGGCTTGAGCGGTGGGAAATGTGCCGTGTTAGGAGGAGACTGGCATGTACAGCATACTGATTTTTGATGAGCGTACAGCCCACCTAGGGGCCAAAGACGGGTGGGTTCCCACCAGGCGATGGTGTCGGACTCAGAAAGGAGTGCATACTGTATTTCACGGACTGTGCCCAAGAACCCGACTTCTAGTTTCCTGTATTTGAAGCCAGCCGACGTCTCAACCACTAGTCCGAAGCAACTCGTTGTCGAACACTGAGCAAACATTCAGTTTGTACGCCATACTCCGTGGTTGGGGGCGTTGTGAGTGTTGTGTGAGTGGGGATCTTCGAAACATGAAGGATGAAACAACTCTCGAGAATACCATGCACTAATGAGTAATATGTCAGATCAAACTTTGGCCTAACTTCAGGTTACCTAGTTACCTACTATAATTAGGTTGCTATTCTGGGAGACTGGGTGATCCCGTAGTACGGGGTACTCCGTATGTATGTACGAGAGCCCCTTGGCACATACCTGAACTGATATCGCGGAGAATAGTACCTTGCCTTCCTCGGCACCCATGTGGAATACGGAGGACTCGGAGGCGCTTACCTGAGTGGTGGTCAGCGTCTTCTTCCAATGTCAGTCTGCTTATCTACTCCGTACTCCGTACGCGAGTAATTATGTTATGAAGTAGCATACCCTTCTGGTTCTTGCTCACTAGCTCGTCGTTATCATTCATGAATGGATTACGATAGGGCACCAAATACCGATAGTCAGAAAACACTCAGTCGAAAAAGTTCAGATCCCATCCACTGTCAAGATCAAAGCGTGGTTCATATTCGAAAATGCTATTCGGCAATACTTCCTCGAAGTCTCCGCTGAATCCCACGGAAGGGATCGTAATCAGATTCTCGATTTCGGTCAGGAGTCCTTGAGCCTGTTGGCCGGATTCATACTCGTTGCTTTCTTGGATTGCCAGGCCTTCAGCTTGCGCCGGACCATCGCTAAGGTGTCCTGGAAGTTCATGGTGAAGTTCTTTTCCCAGGGAAATTGTGATCGTGCCAAAACAGGGAATGGTGATCTTGCATGACCTCCCTTGTCCAAGCAAGCCTCCATCCGACCCTGTCTCCTTTCGAACTTCGAGCAACTTTGACAGCATTGTGGAACCCTGCATTGCAACATTCTCCTCTGAGGCTCGGGCTATTGAATGAAGTATGTTGGCGACTTCCGTTATAAGATCCCAATCTTTCAAGTCTCCTCGTCGACGATCAGGCCCGCATTTGTTTTCTCGGCGGGTGTTATGAACAATCAATAAGATCGCCATCGTGAAGACTTGGAAATCAGCGAGGATCCCGAGATAGGGGATAAGTCCCACGCTTCCGCGAAGTATTCGGTAAGAGTTTACCAAAGATCGAGCTGACTCAACCGCCGTGTCGTAACAGAATCTCTGTTTTGGATTTAGCGGTTCTTCGAGGACGAATGGCAGGTACAGTAATGCTCGGATGAAATGATGCTGCATTTGAATGATGAAGCGGCTGCCGGCCGTCTTGTTCGAGTGTGCCGGGTCAAGGTCGAGATGCCACCACCCGGCTGGGCTCTGGGCAGCTAGTCTGTCCAACTCTTGATCAATTTTTAAGGTTTCGAGAAGATCGTTCGAATCGGTCTGATTGCGAGTGATGATCTGTCGCATGATTGTCGTCACACCGAGGAAAAAGATATGCGCGTAATCCGTCTTTCCATCCAATGTAACATTTGGCTGCCTTGCAACATGTGCACTAAGTGCGCAGTACGGGAATCCAAGGATAAGACTCACGTAGGCGTCATAGTGACACAGGGAAGTCCACAGTGCAAGGTTATCTCGCCTAGACCCAGCCAATGCATTACAGCGAGGCATGTGCATGCCAAACAATATGGCATACTCAATTGTTCGACGGATCAGGTGCCATGCGCTTAATAGATGCCCGAGCTTGACCAAATACTTGGCCAATAGTGCCATACATTCTGTGCCAGGCACGGTCCTTGCGAATTCAATGTCTTGTACCACCAAGCGTTCAATCTCGGCGATGATGGAGTTTCTTTGTTCCCTGGTATTACTTCGAGAGTTAAGAGATTGTATCGGAACGTTGTCGATGGTAATGAGAAGGAAGATGAGCATTTTTGCTACCTCCACAGGCTGAGACGACGCAATTCGCCGCCAAAAGTCGGCTCTCAAGTCATCTACCTTGGTTTCACACCATAACTCTGGAAAGTGCGAAAACCAGTCGGACCAAAGATCGGTGCTCGCAACAAGAATCGCATCGACCTCTTCTGAAGCAGGAAGCAGCCGCCTTAGATGGCAACATGTATTCTCCCCTTTGAGTGTCGAAACAGGGACGTTGTTTCCAGACGCCGATTGAGTCATGATGTCGTTGTGGAAGAGGCTGAGAATTGGCCCTTTGTTCGGTAGCGGTGCAGCATTAAGGTCAAGTGATGTCGAAGCAGCAGTGGCAGCTTCGCTAAACTGAACATCCTCATAAGCAAGCCCAGCTACTGGCGAAGATGGTGTCCTGGTAGCCTCTTTGTACGCATTTTGGCGCATGAGAGTCTTAACCATATCCTCGAGAAACGAAACTCTCTGGCGCAAGCTGTATGGTTGTTGTTCTGGCGATTCTGCATCGGTGATGCCAGCACTGACTCGTCCCTGAGCCCTGCAAGTTAATCCCCTAGAATAACACTCGTCACACTTTGACGGGTTGGTGTTTCTGAAGATGCATTTCGTCTTACGTCGTCGACCTTTGATGGGTTAATTTAGATGGAGTGAGCTCAAAGCAAAGCTTTTGAACGGCTGAGCTTTGGAAGAATTAAAACGACAAAAGGACAGTATGCACTTACATTCTATGCAGCTCTTTGTCCCCTTTCGAATCCTTCTAGAAGTGGCTGAAGCGTCCATCCGAGAATGTTCAATGGAGTGCGAACCAGGCAAGACGGAGGCACTCAACACACACAATTCTGGCCTTTCAGTTGACACCAAATGCTGTGTTAGGCAGAAATTATCATATAATAGATTACTATTTAGATTGGCGATTTGAACTCTTTCCTTAGCATTAGATACTAATCTCGCTCGTGCTGACGATCTCCAGACTTTCGTCCGGGTTGTCCGGACATGAGTTCTTAAAGCCGGCTCTTCGCGGAGTAAAGTAAGGCAGCTTGGAAGCTCTTGGAGATCACAAAGTAGTCAAGGCCCCTGGTTGAATAGCCTCAATAATAACAGAAAGCTCAACCCAAAGTTGTTTCTGAATCTTGCAGCCTTTCTCTGCGAGTATCCAGGGCTCCACGTGTGGTCTGACTAAAGCATTAGTTTTGCCACCTCGAATTGCATTGTGATCTGACTTACAATTTGAGTCTTCCTTCGCTGAGCATGACACCGTGGCTATCTGACTCTCTAACAGCAGACTCAACTAAAGTCCTGCCACCCTGTTCCGATGTCCAGGCGAGAACCTTTAGCACGGCCATGAGCGTAAACTTCTCAAATCCTTTGGCATCTCGCATGAGGTCTGTCTGGACAAAGCCAGGACTAACTGTATTGACGATGATAGCCGGGTATCGTTGGGATACCCGCTCGGCGATTTCCAGCACAGCAAAAAGTTGTAACAGTTTGGTGACCTGGTATCTGCCGCACAGATGACATGTTTCAGTGATAATGTTGTAATGAATTGTTCTGAGCTGTACCTTTCTGACATGTCTCTCGAGGAGTTTAATGCTTCAATCATATTCGATGCCTCACGCTCTGGGAACTTTGACCATGCATAGATCTTTGATCCTGTAATTGTGAGCATAGGATTAATCTTGAACCTCTCCGCACTCCTTTGAAGAACTGGAAGCAGTAGGGCCGCTAAAAGTGTAGTGCTGATGACATTGACAGTGATATGCCTTTCATGCCGTTCGAGAACTTCATAATCCCTAGTAGCAACCCCTGCATTGAGAATGATGTTGTCAACACGATCCAGTTTTGCGACCCTTGAGCAGAATGAGAGCACTGAAGCATAGCTCCCGTATTCGAGCTCCCATATTTCTATTCTTCCTTTGTCAGGTGTTGCGGACTCAACCGCTGCAAGAGTTTCTTCGCATTTTGAAAGTGTCCTTGCTGTTCCAACAACTCTGCTGGCGTTGAGGCGGAGGAAGTGCTTTACTGCTTCCTTTCCAATCCCGGTATTAGCACCAGTAACGATGATTGTTTTCCCGGAGAAATCATACGTCGGGTGGGGAACCGGGTTGAACTGGGTCAGTAGGTCGTGCAACAGACCCATTCTGCGATGCTTGTACACTTGGTATGATTTCGAGGAGCTGAATCTGTGATACAGCCAGTCCTTATCGAATGCAACGCTTTATACTGTGCAAGATGTCCGGTATTTCCTCCGCCAGTGAGACTATGCACGAATGGTGTGGGATAGAGACATCCGGGATTTCGTCCGGCCGAAGCAACGCTATCTAACTCCTGCTGTCTGTGGCATCAAGTCAAGACTTTGGTTTCTCATGGTAAAATCCCAAGAGGATATTGATGCTAAAGATCGGAGATAAGACTCTCAAGAAAGGTACCTGCAGGCTACAGCATGAAACCCTGCCGATGTATGTAGCTTGGAAGGTTAGAGTCGACCTGGTATGCAGCGTAAGTTGTGTCTATCCACTTACAAAGCGGCGTCACGAAAGTCCCGAAACGCGTCGACTTGGGGAAAAGAATTCTACTTATCTGGGTTAGAACAGTCTTGGCACATCTCGAACTTTTTGTCCCGTAACCGAAACTCGAAATGCAGTCGTACTGACGCCTGCGAGTCATCTTTATTCAACCTCGACGGCAGGTTGACTGAATATCGTTCAAATACCTCCAAAGAGTGTCACCTAAGACCTCATTCTTTCCTAGCTTCAGCCATGACGCTGTGAGCTCAATTTTCTGTCATAGCACAACCACCATCCTCGATCGCATTCAAAATGGCGACAACGAGTTCTATGTTCATGTATAGCTTGACTATACAGCCGCCTTCAGCCATTACTCAAGCTGTTCTCGGTCAATTTGCTGGTACAAAAGAGCAACAAATAATCACAGCTTCTGGTTCGAAGCTCACCATCCACAGACCCGACCCTACCCAGGGGAAACTCTCCCCCATCTTTACACAAGACTGTTTTGGTATTATTAGAACCTTAGCAGCATTCCGACTTGCTGGTAGTAGCAAAGGTCAGTCCATACCCTGCCACATGTTCAGCGTAAGCATACTGATGATATATCCAGACTACGTTATTGTTGGCTCAGATTCTGGGCGCATCACCATTCTCGAATACCTCCGTGACCAAAACCGCTTCAACCGTGTCCACCTAGAGACTTTTGGCAAGTCTGGCATCCGCAGAGTAATCCCCGGCCAGTATTTGGCAGTAGATCCCAAGGGCAGAGCATGTCTCATTGCCTCGGTGGAGAAGAACAAACTGGTCTACGTCCTCAATCGAAATGCTCAGGCCGAGCTCACCATCTCCTCTCCTTTGGAAGCTCACAAGCCCTCGACCCTGGTCTTTGACTGCATCGCCCTCGACGTCGGATACGAGAATCCCATATTTGCCGCACTCGAGGTAGACTACACAGAAGTTGATCAAGACCCAAGTGGGCAGGCTATGGAGGAAGTGGAAAAGCTCCTGGTGTTCTACGAATTGGACCTCGGACTCAACCATGTGGTTCGCCAGTGGGCTGAGCCCGTCGCAAGGGGCGCCGCAAAACTCTTCCAAGTGCCTGGAGGTTCCGATGGTCCGAGTGGAGTGCTTGTTTGTTCTGAAGACAACATTACATACCGTCATTCAAACCAAGATGCACATCGTGTTCCAATCCCGAGGAGGAGAGGTATTCTTGAGAATCCCGACCGCAAAAGAAACATTGTGGCTGGGGTAATGCACAAGATGAAAGGTCAATTCTTCCTCCTGCTTCAGACCGAGGATGGTGATCTCTTTAAGGTGACTATCGAGATGGTCGAAGATGACGATGGCAAGCCAACTGGAGAAGTCCAGTCCCTGAAAATCAAGTACTTTGACACGGTACCCACCGCCAATAGCCTTCATATTCTGAAGAGTGGTTTCCTGTTTGTGGCCGCCGAGAATGGAAATCACCATTTCTATCAATTTGAGAAGCTTGGTGACGATGATGACGAGACCGAATTCTCTAGCGATGACTATCCCGCAGATCCACTTCAAGACTATCAACCAGCCTATTTCCATCCTCGCCCCTTGTCGAATCTGAACCTGGTACAGAGTGTCGACTCCGCAAACCCTTTGATGGACAGTAAAGTTGCAAACCTTTTGGATGAAGACGCACCTCAAATTTACGCCATATGTGGCGCTGGAGCTAGAAGTAGTTTCAAGACACTCAAGCATGGCTTGTCAGTCACTGAGATTGTCGAATCTGAGCTTCCAGACAGACCGGAAGCTGTATGGACGACGAAAACGACTAGAGAGGACGAATACGATGCCTACATTGTGTTGTCATTTCGCACCGGGACTCTTGTATTAAGCATCGGTGAAACAGTGGAGGAAGTGACTGATACCGGCTTCCTTTCCACTGCACCTACTCTGGCAGTACAGCTTTTAGGAGAAGATAGTCTGGTGCAAGTTCACCCTCGAGGTATCCGACATATAAGAGCTGACAAACGAGTAAATGAGTGGCCGGCACCTCAGCACCGGTCCATCGTGGCTGCAACGACCAACGAGCGGCAGATTGCCGTTGCGCTCAGCTCAGGTGAAATTGTCTACTTCGAGCTCGATACCGATGGATCTCTTGCCGAATACGAGGAACGGGCTGAGATGAATGGCACTGTAACCAGTCTCAGTCTGGGAGATGTCCCAGAGGGCAGAGTCAGGAGCTCGTTTCTGGCCGTTGGCTGTGACGATTCTACCGTCAGAATTCTCAGCCTTGATCCAAATTCCACTCTAGAAAGCAAGTCAGTGCAGGCCCTGACATCTGCACCGTCTTCACTCTCAATTATGGCGATGGCGGATTCTACCTCCGGAGGAAGCACTCTTTATCTACATATCGGTCTATACTCCGGTGTATACCTGCGAACAGTTCTGGATGAGATCACCGGAGAATTGTCTGATACCCGGTCACGCTTTTTAGGGGTCAAACCGGCCAAGCTCTTCCGAGTTTCAGTTAACGGTCAGGCTGCTGTGATGGCTCTCAGCTCTCGATCATGGCTGGGGTACACGGATACCCAAACAAATGGCTTTATGCTAACACCTCTCGATTATGTTGGTCTTCAGTACGTCTGGAACTTTACGAGCGAACAGTGCCTGGAGGGAATGGTTGGCATACAGGGCCAGAACCTGAGGTGAGTTACCTATCCCAACGTCCTCCAAATCCACGTGATGAGCCTACATCGTTACTCTTTCTGAGAATCCACGATTGATGCGGAAAGAAATTTTAAATTCCAATTGTTCCTTCTGAAAAAAAAAAAAACCACATGCACAAATCTTCGCCCTGTAATGCTTTGATCTTTACTGACTCAGCTTCTTAGGATTTTTACAGTTGAAGACTTGTCACGGAACCCCATACAACATAACATTCCCTTGCCTTATACCCCCAAGAAGTTTGTCAAGCATCCTAACCAGCCACTATTTTATGTCATCGAAGCCGATAATAACGTGCTTGCGCCTGCTACCAGAGCCAAGTTGCTTGCAGAATCCACTGCAATTAACGGCGATGCCGTCATCCTACCACCTGAAGAGTTTGGGCATCCTCGAGGAACAGGACACTGGGCTTCATGCATCCAAGTTATAGATCCCGTACATGCGAAGTCAGTCGTGTTCACTTCCGATTTCGAAGACAACGAATGTGCTACGAGCATTGCAATCGCTTCCTTTTCTGGCCAAGATGATGAAGCATTCTTAGTTGTGGGCACAGCAAAAGACTTGGTCGTCAGTCCTCGAAGCTATTCAGGAGGATTCTTGCATGTCTATCGTTTCCACGAAGATGGAAAGGAGCTTGAATTCATTCACAAGACCAAAGTTGAGCATCCTCCTACCGCTCTCCTTGCATTCCAAGGTCGACTCCTTGCTGGCATTGGATCTGACTTGAGAATATATGATCTCGGAATGAAGCAAATGCTTCGGAAATGCCAGGCGCAAGCCAGTCCGAATCTTATTGTGACTCTTCAAACCCAAGGAAGCCGAATTGTCGTTGGTGACGTCCAGGACAGCATTACGTACGTTGTGTACAAGTTCCAGGAGAACAAATTGATACCTTTCGCCGACGATGTCATTGCCCGTTGGACAACTTGTTCTGCTATGGTTGACTATGAAACAGTTGCTGGCGGCGACAAGTTTGGCAATCTCTGGCTCTTAAGATGTCCGGCCAAGGCATCTGAAGAAGCAGACGAGGATGGTTCTGGAGCTCATTTGACACACGAGCGGCAATATCTCAGTGGTGCGCCGAACCGACTTGGCTTGGTGACACACTATTTCCCTGGTGATATCCCAACCAGCATTCACAAGACCAACCTGGTAGCCGGCGGGCGAGATGTTATATTTTGGACAGGCTTGCAAGGCACCCTTGGCATGCTCGTCCCATTTGTTAGCCGAGAAGATGTCGACTTCTTCCAGTCACTTGAGATGCAGCTTGCCTCTAACAATGGCAATCCGCCCCTGTTAGGCAGAGACCATCTCATCTACCGATCCTATTATGCTCCCTCGAAAGGCACGATCGATGGTGATCTATGCGAGACGTTCTACTTGTTATCTAACGACAAGAAACTACAAATAGCTGGTGAGCTTGACCGATCGGTACGAGAAATAGAACGCAAGCTTTCGGATATGAGAACACGCGTGGCGTATTAAGGTAATGATATCCCAAGCAAGGGCATTAGAAGGGCTCACAAGATCGTGTTTTTTACTGTTAATTGACGGCCACATTTCGAACGATACCTTAGCGGTCGTCGCTAACTGCTGAAAGAAGCAAGAATGCAGAGCAGAATAAAGCTCATGCTTGTAGAGAAGGAGAACAAATACCATCTGTTCCACAACTCTTCAACGTTCCCGTTCTTGACCCGGTTCATCTCCCTTCTTGTTTTATTGTACACAGGATGTCTCTTACCTCGCTCGGTCAATACGTCTTCCTCAGTCGATTGATCTTGAGCTGGATGCTACCGTGGTGCATATGCACTGGTTTACGCACGAGACGAGAATAAACTTGCCGATCTTTGAGTACGATTTCACCCAGTTCTCTTGTCTAGATCCCAAAAATGGTGGACCATCGTAATTTATACGGCAAGACAACACTGCTCATTTCCTACATTTATGCCATACACAAGCCTAAGACTACGACTTTCTGCAGTTCCTGTGCAATACTGTGGCTGAGGACAAATTTTGTTTTGGCCAAAAGTCAATGGAAAGGCCACCCTCAGGGTAATGGGTTGAGGTCCAATCCTTCAACGGTCAGCTTGAACGCATCGGGTCGTGAGTAGTGGCCAACGGCGTCGAAATCCAGGTGTCCACGCTCACAGTCATCGAAATCAACCTCGGTGTATATTAATTCGTGCTCTTTCTCCCAAATCGGGCCCACGAGCGTCTTGCCGAGCGGATTGACGATACACGAGCCGCCGGCGGAGACAAACTGTTCGCCTTCATCAGCAGTGGACCGACCTGCGGCCTTGGGTGTAGTAGCTGATTTTGCATCAACTATGGCGGAAGAGGAATCTGCTCCGTAGACCATTGACTCCTCATCAATCGCACCATCCTTGCAGCGCCAGGTAATCTCGTGATTCTCTTCCGTCCTCGTCGACATGGATCGGCGACGGCCTGCTGTGGCAAAGCTTCCAGCTGTTGATGTCCCGTTTGATAGGCTATGACTTTCATTGTTCGTAGCTTCTTGTCCCTTTACACCCGTGATCCACTCTGGGAGGCTCTTCCTCTTGATAGCCTGATTCGCGCTGAGGACGAAACATCGGCCCTCGCTTGCGACCGTCTTCATCAGACTCTCCCACGTATCGCGTGGGTCGGCAGTTGGTGCGAGCCAAAGGTTGACGCCCTGGCTGTAGATGGCGTAGCGGAGGAGCGGCATGTAATTCTCCCAGCAGATGGCGCAGCCCATGACGATCCTGACGCCCTTGATGTTTGCGACCACAGCCTTCAACGTCGACGGCTGGCCCTGCGCCCACACGAGGCGCTCCGAGCCCGTCGGCATCACCTTCCTCCTCTTCCCGATGACACCACGCGCCGGATCAACGTATAGCGCCGCGCAATACAAGCTCCCACCGGCCTTCTCCACAGCGCCCGTCACGATAAACACCCCAGTCTCGCGTGCAACGTCCTCGAGGAATTCGCGTGTGCCGTCCCCTCGCCTCCCCGTCTCCTTGTTCACCGGCAACCTGTTCTCAATCCAGTCGTCCCCAGCCCCATTAGGCGTGTCCCCGAGATCGACCGCCGACTTGCTGTACGCGAGGAATTGGTCTCGTCCATGGTCGGTCCGAGCCCCAACTGCCGCCCCGAAGCTACACGTCCGTGGGTACCCGCCCAGGTACGCTTCTGGGAACAAGAGGATAGAGATCCCCTTCTGCGCCGCTTGCTGTGTCGTTTCCCGGAGGGACGACAGTGTAGCTTGGAGCGTGGCCAGAGTGTGGGATTGAGAAACTCCGATTTTGAGTTTGGAGGACATTTTTCCTGTTCGTCTGGTTCCGTTGGCTAACACCCGGTTGATTGATTACTCTTAGTTGAGAAAGTAAGGAAGAGACGCAGACTGCTGGTAAAGGGCGGAGAACAACGCTTCAAGTATTTGAATTTTGGTCTACCGGTATGACGTGCTACGGGCAGTATCTGCAGAAGAATGTTAGTGGTTCGATGAAATCGTCAAAGGGCGTTCTATGTAGCCTTTGAGAACGCAGAGAGGATCAAGAGAAGTCCGAAACCCGCAGCTGAAGCAGTAGTCATAAATCAGAAAAGCCGCAGTTAGCTATTGTACCTTTGGTGTCTTGGGTGCGACGACGGTGGTGGGGGGTTGGTTGGAGGTCAGCACAAGCAAGATCGTAATTAGGTAAATATTGCCTCGGGTGCGGGGAAGCACTCCCGGAAATACTCCGGGCTTGATGTTCGTATTCCAGGCGTAACGTAAGTCGTATTCCGTGAGGCCGTTACAGGAGAGGTACATCACCATATTCCCCGAACCTGGTAACAGGGATCTGCCAACCGGGGAGAAGCGCAGAGCTCTGATGCTCAGCACTGAGATCAGGTCCCAGAAGAGAACAACCTAGCTGCCTTGTGTCCTGGAAAATCTAGGTTGAATTCTTCCCAAGGACGCTCTTCAGCTTCTCCCAGGACTGTCGGCCTCTGGCAGCCCAATGCTCAGGATCGGCACTCTCCGCCTTCATGTCGCGATGGAAAACCTCCATGCTGACCCATCCAGTCCATTTGCTGTCAATGAGCCACGCACGTGCAATTTCCTCAATGGGCAGGTAGGCCCCTTTTTCGCTCTCCAGGGGAAACAGCCTTGCATACATGCACCATAAATGAGGCCCATCTTTCTGGTCGTGATAAGCAGGATGGCCCGGGAGAATAGGTGGTGAAAGTTTCTCGGCATCGCTGAGTTGGACGTAGATGATCTTCTCCTTTGGACAATGGGCGTGGAATCGTTGGATCGAATCCCTTAAAGCAGCATTCCCGCCAGCCCTGAAGCCGGACGCACATCTTGGATCGGCCCATAAACGGGCTAGGACGTGATAAGTGTCGAGACAAAGTCCAAAGTTAGGCCGATCAACCAGTTGCACAATCCGTAGCGACTCCTCCCAGTCAGCTACATGTGTCCCCCAGCCGAGAGCCTCGTAAGCGAAAGATACAGGGGGCTGTTGCTGTAAGCCTAGGTCTGAGATCGCTTGTAGCTCGCCGACGATGACGGTTTCGTCACCGATCGCATCTTTACTATCGTTGCTCGGAATCTGGATGATACCTGTGCCTAGCGCTTTCGCCAATGCCAACCACTCCTTCGCCGTCACAAGTCTGTCAGCGAGTGGCGTAGATTGACCCTCAAAATTGTCGAATGAAGCAAGACACAGGATTTCAATGCTGTGCTCTGCGCATAGCTGCTGGATTTCGCGAGCTGCGTCAATGCGAGATTGTCCATGTGATCTTGCATATATGTCGAGATCAGTGATGAACATCTCCACGCCTTGGAAGCCTGCTGCCTGAGCGGCGGCAATCTTCCATTCGAGGGTGTGTGATGGGTGCCAACCAAGCGAGATGGTGGAAATTGCCTGCCTGTGTAGGTCCATCCCGAGAACTCAGCAACAGGTTACTGAGAGAATGCTCGCGCTGCTTAGTGAACCCCTTTAATCAACGATCACTGCCGTCGTCCAGGGAGTCATCAAAGGGTTATAAATAGGTGTCCTTTAAACCGAAATCAATCCGTCCAACTGCTCAAAGGCCACAGGGTCTCTGAATATATACCGGAATCACTCCGGGGATGCTTCAGGTGGTAGTATTGTACCCGAGCTCCGAGTCCCGCCTCGGCATCCTAACCTTGATTTATTAATCAATGGAAAAACCGCCTATGTATAAACTGGGTTAGGTCGGAAATCAAGGGGAAAAAACATCCTTCTGGATGTTCTAGAGCTTCTACAATTATTAAGGACCTTTGAAGCAATTTATGGTGTGCCCTCACCACAATAGAGAACACATTGATCTCCTTAGAATAAGAGTCACTTTCATAGGACAGGACTTGTCGAAGCATGTCGAAGCATGTCGAAGCACCGAGAATCGTCCTGGTGAGCTGAGCCCCGTTTGTCCCAAGTCGGTAAAGACGTATTAGGAGCAGACTCACTCCTTGCTTTCCATATCTTGCTTCTTCCCAAATCTGATATATTTGCCGTTTGTGGCCACAGCATCACATGCAACAAGTTTCCCGCAAGGTCAGCGAAGGCAGACCAGTGCCTGAGTGTATAGAGAGTCTTTAAAACGACCTACCAACGGAACTGTCGAGATCTAACAACAGTCAAACTAAACTTGCGTTACACCTCTTTCAGTAAGGCTGTACACGTCAAATCTGTCTGAAACCAAGTGTCGTTCTCGCACAAAGCTTGGACGAGAGAAGGCTGGACAAGACAGTCCTCACCATTGCTTGTCAGAGCTTACCACTAATACAAAAGCCTTGCAGCCTTCCCTCAGTCTGAACTTCCGCCTCACTTCCCAGATCTTCGCTACTTGAATTCACAAAGCCCGAACGAGCAAATCGATTCCCAATTTTATCCTGAACGTTGACCTTGAGCAGAAATAGCGACGTCTTCGCTCGGCAGAGTAACCGTTTGCGAGAATCGTTGTGTAGCAGGTCTGGGCTCAAGTCATACGCATGGGTTCTGGGCAATTGTGAGGTAGCCAATGCGATCCCCAGGTTGTCTCGACAATGAGTCTCATATAAGATGGCATCACTCTTTCGACGCCCTCTGTCTTCGGAACTCCAAAACAACGCAATAGGACAAATTCTGAGGCCATCTACAAAACAATCCCTGGATCCAAGTTCGATGAAACCAACCAGGGTTGGGCTTATCCTGCGGACGCTAAGCAATCTCAGCTTCCAGTAGTCACGTTAGCAGTTGGCGGCAAGCAGTTCGTTGTTTCAAAAAACATAGAATTTGTTGGCTTCAAAGACGTTTGTGGAAAATCCTGCGTATACGGAGGCATCAGTCCCGTGGTGACAGTGACACTGACATCCTGGGGGATACCTTTCTAAAACGGATATACGCGGTATGTAATGCTTGAGCAATGTGCTCTCACAAATCCAAGATTTGAAGATGTGCTCACTAATATCTTCACTAGATTTTTGATGTAGGAAGAACACGCTTTGGTGAAGTTCAGCGGGCAATGGGAAAGAGAAACCAGAGTGGGCTGTTGTGAAGGTGATTTATGGCGTCAGTAGTACGAATGCGAATTCTTGCGACCAACACCACCAATCTGTCTCTTTTGTTTGCTACCGAGTTACTTGACTCCTTTCAAAGCTTCTATCGGACAGGGGCTCAGGCGTTGAAAAGTTGGAGCACTGAGACTAATCACGAGAATCTCATCATTTGCTGTTATCTTGCAACAATCCAGAGCTCGAACTTTGAGCGTTTTGGGCAGGTTGTACCTCTCCATGTCCTCGGGCCCAGACCAATTCTTGTCGGCAGCATCATGGAAGGGACCCGCCTTGGTGCGTGACATGAGATCATTCCCTCCGCTCTTTGTGCTTGCTGAGCGTTCATATGTTCTCATCCTTCCTCACTGATCACAATATTAGGAGGGGAAATTCTGAAATTGCGGCACCAAGGACCGGCTCTTGAGAATCAAGTCGTCACATTTACCACGTCTTCTGCAATTGCCAGATCCGAAGACGCGATCACAACATTCCATCATCAGGTAGCATTGAGAGCTCGAGTCAGTTGTCCCAGGCAGCTGTGAAAGTTATGCCATGACACGGAGTACATCCGAAAGGAGACGGAACTTCATCGCCGAGACCCTCAATGCTTATCAAATATGGGGTAATGATATCTGTTGAAGGGATGACCTTTATGGGTATGTGTCCTACCCCACCAGGCAGTGTTCACGCGATTGATGTGCGTGGCGTGGCTGTCACTGACGGCTTCTACTATCATATCCACTGTCCGAATTTGGGGTGATGGAACTGAGGCCATTTACTCAATCAGTTCCTGCTAATCGGCTTCTAGAGTCTTTATGACTTTTTCTGACGCAGCCTACGTGCCCAAGCAAATATGGCCCTGTCTTTATCGGAATGTCCGAAGCTTCTTGTCGGTACCAGACTTACGCCCGACGACTGGGAGATAGACCACAAGGGAGGCGCAAAAAATGCATCTGAGATTGCACTAGCAGTGTGCAGATGCCGATCCCGAGTGAGAACAAGATAGTATTTTGACCCTTTCTAGGGTGGTGCTGAGATTTTGAACACGTTCCGGCGAATATTGTAACCAGCATTGGAAAGCGCGATGATGGGATCTTTTAGTTTGATCGAACAGTGCACCATAACGTTATCAGAATGCTGCAATCGCGCCTGGGACTCACATAGCTACCTAGTGAGGCTGCGAGATTCAGCTAATGGCATGATCCTGCAGTCCTGGGTGACACATAGAGGATTGATTGTTTCTTCCTGGCTTTGCGGTGCTAACTGAGGAGCTCAATTGGCTTTATGCTGTGCGGTCGCGTCATCCCTTTGCAGAAGTCCTCTGGCGACTCGATTCCCAACTGTTGTTGTGTGTGGATGAACATACAAATAGAACAGTATTTTGAAAGCCCTATCATCGTCTCCATTTGTGTCTTTGAGTGTTGCTGGAGTGCATATCTCTGCTGACGGCAGTGGAGGTGTGCCAGCCGGCCGGGTTACCGATACTTGAACACCGCCAACCGGTTTTGTTAGAATGATATGAAATTCACTCAAGACCAATGAGCCCGTGGTCCTGGGGATCGAGGATCTTTTCGACTTGAGGTCTGGAGTGCCAGCCAGCCGTGCATTTTGGTCAAAGGGAACGCTGTGACGTTGCTGGCCCTTTCTCAGAATCGCCTCTAGACTACAGTCGACTTGTTCAATGCCCATATCAGATTGGCAGAGTATAATGTCGTGCAGACCGATGTTCAGAGATCCTCAGACAGGCTGAGAGCGCCCCACGGACGGGAAAGATGCTATACTAAGACTCGGCAGTCATTGCCTTGATTTGGTCGTGGGGGGCATTTGCCTCAAAGCTTTAGAGGGCAAAGTGTATGAGGTTCTGTCTACCTCTCTGACGGGCGGCATGGATGGGGAACCCCAGCAAAATCAAGCTTGACAGAGAGTGCCGATACTTGCCACAGGTCTTTACCCCAGAATGATCTGGTTTCGATCCGAGCCCGTGCAGATCCCCATTATGTGTACTCAGTACGAAGGGTACGCCTAACACTACCTGCTGCGTTATCAACATCTAGGCGACTCAATGTTCATGGAAACACAGGCAGCTGGTTATTGGGCTCGGGCGTTACCTACGCAACCCAATGAGTACAAGTCGACGGTTGTGGCGGCTTAGACCCGTTTTGGCAAATGAATTGCAGTAAAAAGCCTAGATTCCAAGATCGACGTGGCCACCTTGTGCCTCCCACAGAGTGTATCCCAATGAGATACAACACCTACAAGACCGAGAACAATCCCTGTCAAAGAACCATCAACTGACCATTTCCCCGCAGACGCATCTGGCCGGAATCAAACAAATGACCGAATAATGCCGCGTTCGGCGGTGGAAATGCGGAGATGATAACATCGTCTAGGGGTAGGGCTAATACTGAGGCTAAATTCACCAACAATCAAAGATATCCCCAGTGGACTCTGTAGGGATGCTCCAAGGGCACTAAAGCTGCGGCTCGACTCATATGCCAATATGAGTTAGACCGTTGCCTGTCCATGAGAGTACTCCGTCCACAGGACTCCAGCCGCGGGTGCGGAGTGAAGCACTCGGTATGGAGTATGGAGTATGGAGTATGGAGTACGGAGTAAAGGTGAGTAGAGGAGACATCAAGGCATCTGACTAACATGCAGCACGCCAATTTTGACCCTAACAGTGAGAATCACAATCCGCAACGTATCTAGAATGGTACAAGTTCTTATGTTCGCCTACTGTTAATGTCTGATCTCTAAACTAAGAGTCGGATGGTCAACGACGCAGCGCCCCAAACACTCTCACAAGGCGACTCACTTGGTCTGGACAAGCACTTTCAGGGCATCGAGTGAACAGAACCCCAGACACTGTGCTTGCAAGGTTGCCTGACTGGTGTTATCCCGGCGTGGGAAGCGTGGCCGTCATTGAACGGACGAGGCTACGTCTGGCGTCGAGAACAAGCAACGATAGGAGCTCCATGGCCAACTGCCAAGCGAGAAACATTGTGATCAACTTTGAATTCAGGGTGGGTCATTGACGGATTGTGGTATAGCTTCCTCCAGCTTTACCCCAGACAGATTTCCAGGACGAGACACTCCTCGACCCAGGGCCTGCTTGCCGGAGCCTATCATATACCCAAGAACCAGGCACTGAACCTCGACGTGGGGCCAGGTTGGCCTCTAAAAACCGCGGGCTCCGGCAGTTCGCCCTAGTCGCCCCTAATGGAGCCAGGATTAGCTTCCTGTGTTGTGTTTGCAGTCCTCTGATATAATCTTTGTTCCTTTCGCATGAATCGGCTTCTGCACACAACCTCACCTGATATTGTGAAGCTTCCTTCGACAGCCAGGAGAACGGCTTTCCACTTGAAGTGCCGCGAAGAGCAGATATGACCGACTCACGTGACCAAGGGCTCAAAGCCCACTGGAAATGTATTGCAGCATGTACGTTGGTCAGCATGTGCCCGTTCCAGTACGGGATCGATTTTGGGATCATTGGCGGTCTTCAAGCAATGCCAGGCTTCCTTGCGGTTTGTGCAATTGATCGTATCTCACATGGACTTATTGTTCTAAGCTTTATCAGGTATTTGGCCACGAGGACCCAGACTCACCGATCGGGTACAACATTTCCCACACAAGGCAGCAGCTGATCTCATCCTTTATGATTTTGGGTGCTTTCGCGAGCTCAGCCTGTGGAGGTCCGATTGCAAAATTCATTGGCCGGAAAGCATCTATCTGGCTTGCGAGCTTGCTGTGCGTCATTTCCAATATCATCATGCAGACTACCACTGGCATTGGAGCATTATATTTCGCCCGTCTACTGAACGGTACAGCCAATGGACTCTACTTGACCTTCGCCCAATTGTACTTGAATGAATGTGCTCCAGCAAGGTACCGTGGTCTCGTCATTGGTCTGTTCCAGTCCTGGACATCCATTGGAACTCTAGTTGGGACCATCGTCGACAACTTCACCGTCAAGATTGGAGGACGAAGCTCCTACATCGTCCCTCTTGGAATCATCTACATCGTGCCAGGCCTCTTGTCCATCGGCTTGTTCTTCATCCCCGAATCGCCAAGATGGTATCTCCTTCGAAACGAGACCGAGAAAGGTCGCAAAGCCCTCCATTGGCTCCGCCCGTACCCCGATCTCGTCGACCAGGAAGTCAGCGAAATCCTCGCGGCCATCGAAGCCGAGAGAGCGCTTGCTCAAAGCGCTGATCTTATGGATATGTTCCGAAATCCAGTCGATCGCAGGCGGACACTTCTTTCCTGTGCCGCCATTAGTTTGCAAGCAGCCTCGGGCGCCATGTATATGATCTCATATGGCACCTACTTCTTCGAGATGGCTCAAGTTGGCTCCGCCTTCGAGAATGCCTGTATCCTCGTTGCAGTGGGCGTAGTGGCCATCCTGATCAACAGCGCCATCATCACTCGGTGGGGTCGGAGGAGAGTGTTCCTTACAGTCGGAATGACCCTCTGCGGTATCACCCAGTTGATCATTGCGGTTGTTTACCAACAAAAAGGCCCAAGTACCTCTACCGGAAAGGTGAGTTTGATGCCCTTCCAAAGAACATTCAGGTCGTATCAGATCAACATAGCTAACCTCAGATGAAATTGCTAGGTGATTGTGGGGGTCTCAGTCGTCTACATCGTCGGCTACAACGGCATGGTGGCAACCTATGCCTGGCTCTGCGGCGCCGAATTCCCATCTCAGAGACTGCGAAGCTACACCTTCGGGCTGGCAACGTCCATCGGCTTCCTCGGCGCATGGCTCGCGACATTTACCGCCCCTTACTTCATCAACCCAGACTCCCTCAACTGGGGTCCGAAATACGGCTACATCTGGTTCCCGTCCTGCCTGGTCGGCGCCATCTGGACATTCTTCTTCCTGCCTGAGGTGCAGAACCGTACGTTCGAGGAGATAGACGAGATGGTATGTTGCATCCCCCCCCTTTCCCATTCCCCAGCAGACCCCGCCCTAGAAGACAACCACTGACTTGGAAATTTTAATTAGTTCGAGGCACGCCTCCCAGCACGCAAATTCCGACAATATCGATGCATTGGATCGGTGGCAGCGGTGGCAGCAGCGGCACAGGAGGATTCCGCGGCGCTCGAAAAGGATATTGTCTTGGAACGGGCCAGCCATGAGGAAATGGTGCAGAGGAATGTCAAGGGTGGCACTGAGACGGCTGTGGCACATATCTAAGTATAGTACTTGGCGGAGGACCTGTTCACATGAGAGAAGAGACTCTGCGAGACGTACACGAGGGAGACACCGATTACGACGATTGTTTTGGCTGCTGCTGCTGATCATGATTCAACTCATCCCCGACCGGGGTGGCCTTGAGTGTTATGGACTCAAGTCTTACGGGGGATCTTTGATTCTAGACCCTCATGGGCCCATTGGCCTTTGTGGGTCAAACCCTGCGCGGGCGAGTGCCATCGAAAGATGTCAAACCCTTTAAACACTCTGCAGATGAGCTGACCGAGTTGACCATACAACGTGGGACATCAAATCAAGAGATGCATAGCAATGCACAAGTACGGATGCAGAATGCTCTCTTGGTGGATCATACTCCGATTACCAAATTTAGGTGACACACTGCCCCGAAAAATGTCCCGCCAAGCCTGCTCACTCCTAGAAACGAGTCAGATGATTATAGTGCGAGGAAATGATAATTATAGGAGGAAGTACGAGAATATATCTACATGAGGTAAATACATGCCTTCCGGTAGCGTCTCCTTGTATGATTCTCTGAGAATCGACGTGGAATCATGTAAATTGTCCTTTGGAAGAAGTAATTATGGTCTTTCTCCGCACACAGTAGTGGGTAGAAAACGGGTGTCGTGCACAGAGCTGTCCTCACCAGTCGTGGTAATATTCCTCTTTTCAACCCGCGTACACAGTTATCGGAGGTTGAGCGAAGCGGCAAGGCGGGATGGGATGCGATGGATGTGGAAAGGGTCGGCAGACTGGCGTTGCGAAGAAAAAGTTGCGGCAGTCCTGTGAGCTTCCTGACTCCCCCAGAGCTCTCATTCGTCCCTAGTCGGAGAAGTCTATGCGCTCTTCTTTGCGGAAACGGCACTTGCTCCAGCAAAGACGGCCTCGTCGCGGTCCCAGATGAGGGTCAAAGCCGTGGCAAACGGACCAAGCAGGGCGACTCTGCCAACAAGGTCCAACACCGTGCCGATGCCGATAGAGTTCGAGTCGCCGTGGCTCGCGCCTGCCACGGGTTTAGCATAGCGGCTCGCGAGAGCCCAGATGAGGAATGCTGTTGCGAAAATACTATAGTCATACTGAAGGAACCACTTGGCACCCTCGGCGACGGTGGCGGCTTTGGTGTCGGAGAACGGGTTAGGCGGAATAAATACGCTGAGTGGGTTGAGCTCGCTTTGTGCAAACACAGTGAACATGCCAGGACAGAAGACGCCTGCGCAGAGTGAGAGCGTCATCGTTGCGAGATGAGCTGGCACACTGATGGCCAGCGCGAACTTGTAGACGTGGCGGAGCAGTGGTAGCTGATTGGCGAGGGCATCGGCCTCGCTTTGATAAGTGATCGTTGGCCAGAACACTGCCTTCCAGATGAACGTGTACACGGTCACCCAGAGTGGGAAGGGCTGCCAAACCAAGATGGCGGTGATCTTAGAGGAAACGGATAGCATGCTCGGTGCAGGAAGCGACATCAGGACTGTCGGTAGAATCAGGCCAATGATCGTCCCAAATGGAATCCCCGTCAGGAGGCCCTCGGGGATCGCCAAATCTGACGGCGTGAGAGCTTTCGCCGAAATAATTAGTGGCGAGGTGAAGAGATAAAGAGTCAGGTAGACTGGTCCTATCACGGCTAAGCCAACCACCTGGATGAGAAGGCCCCAGGCCGTCGTGCTAGAATCGCCCATTTATTCTGGTCAGTGTGCTGGGCATCACAGGAGAAGTCTTCAGGAGAAGTCTTCAGGCAACTATCTGGTTGCAATCCCAGATTGGATTTGGGGATGAGGGCAGATGACTTACAAGGAGACTACTCGCCCACTGTTCATATTCCTCAATCCCTCGAGTACCATCACGGTCCAAAACGCGACGCCTTGGGCGCCAAAGACGAAGCCGATCAAGCTGGCAGCAGGGTTCTCGCCATCAACTATGGGCCAGAAGAAGACGAGCAGCGTTGAAAGCAAGCTATCTGGCGAATCATAGCCGGTAAAACTCGTCGGAAACGATTTTGTGGTCCATGTGTTATGTGTCGGAAGGAGATGCTTGTCTCGATGCTCAACGATCGTTGGGAACAGTGTGTTGGACTCGCCGAAGAGATGGAGAGATGCGAACCCAAGGCCGATCAAGGCGGCGACGGCGCCGCGAGAAAGTGTGAGCAACGCCATATTCAATGGGAGTAACGTCTGGAAGTCTGGACAGATTAATTTTTAGAATTGTTGTGATGATTTGAGGGGCCGATTGGGGCCTAAATAACTGTCTTGGGTTCCGGCAAGGTGTGCCAGAGTGAGACTCGACCTTAATGTTAATGATCACAACACATTACATACGTAGATACATCGAGATGTTCGAGTCGTTTGCCCTTAGCAGCGGAACACGCGGGTGTCAAACCTTCCGACAGCCGAGGAGTCAGTCGCAAACTAGCCCACGCGTTGCCGGGAGCACTGTCTACCCCCCTGATCAGCAGATTATGTCTGCCTCGGTATTGAGCATATCAAGTTTAGAAAGTGGAACTGATTGTCAAGAGTACTCGTAGGTATTTAATGATGACCTGGATGTCAGAGGCTCGGTAACGACAAATAGACAAGCCTTGGCTCGATACTGTCATGTCTCTGGCTGCGAAGGAAGGGCCAAAATCGCAAATATTACTGTTGCTTCTCGGTTGCTCTGTATAGTAATTCATTCACGCCGAGCTATTGCGGTCACGACATTACCTGGCAAGACTGCTAGCCTTGCGCTGTTCTTTCCCTGTACGCCAGGGTATCATGATCTATCCAGCCCGCACCCACTTCTAAACCGGGAAAGAAACCCATTGAGACCAACTCTGTCAAATGTTTTGATACAACAGTCTTTCATTTTAACCACACCTGCTCAAAAACTCCAGCTAGAGGCTTTCGGTCGCACATTTCCTCCATCAACTTTTCACTCACTGGTGTGATGAGCGGACTCCAGCGTCCGAACCTCGTTTTCGCCCAGTCGAGTGCGAAATGATGAGTGCGCAAGAATTCGGGGAGCTGACGCTGTTGTGATTGCGTGCCGGCACCAGAAGAAGCAATATTCGGCCCCATTTTCCATCGACTCTCATATAGTGTAGGCCCCATCGCGAGATGCTCCAGAGCAGGGCGGTTTCGTCCGACCAGTGCTGGGAAGACCCACTCGACGAATTTGGTTGCATATTCTTTGATGGTGTAGTCGCCCAACTGACTGAATACCTGATTCTCGGGGAAATTGCGAATATGAATTGTTCGAAGATGTTGGAGTGTCGGGAGGAGCGTTCTTCGGAGGCGGACGATCTCGTTATTCCATGGGAAACCAATGCCCAGCTCGACAATGTTGGGGCAAAGACTGGCAATGTCATTAATTGATTCTTCCCAGATATCTTGACTGTAGCCTCCGACACCGAACGGACGCGATGTATCTATGCTTAAATGTTCCCGTGGTTGGATTCGGGATTCTAGGACCAAAGTCCGGATCGTCCGCCCATGCTCTGCAATGAGTGCTGAAGGACGTTCGAGGAACGTTGCGTTCTCAAAGAGCAGCGAAAGGCTCTCGAGACCAACGAAAGAGGCCAGGAAGCGTACCATAGAGTCCTTCAGTGCATTTGTAGGCTGCTCGTGGCGGAAGAAGAAGTGTTTCAATGATGGGGAGACTGCTGGCGATCGCGGTGCATCTGGAGAAGACGACACCCAATGGAACGTCCCGGCAATTGACTCAAGCAGCTCAGCGCTTCCCGGGCAGGATTCCAGAGTCAGTTTTTCAAGCTGGCAGAAAAACAAGGCTTGTGGGATCGAGTCCGGTCGAAGCATATCCAGAGACAGCCCGTGCAAACTCAGTTCCCGGAGTCGAGGCAAGTTGTCCAAGGAATATGCGGACGTGAAGAAGCTTTCATGTGGCTGTGGCAAATTCTCGAGGAAACCAAGCTTATTGCGATGGTATTCATCAATCAGATGCCTCTCTTGGCCAAGCCGAAGCCTTTCTAGTGTACCTTTATTCTCGCAAAGCAATCTCACCAAGGATTCCCCTTCGTTAATATTATGGCACTCCAGGCTTTGCAAGGTTTTCGGGGAGAGGTTACCTTGTGGTGATGACTCTAACTCGTAGAAAGCCAGATGCTTCAATGTATAGTTGTGTCTCCGGGTCAATACTTCGAGCATCTGCGCCTGCATTGGTGCTGGGTGGAGGAAGCTGTAATAGTCAACACCTACATGCACTCGAGTTTGGCAGAACTCACGCAAATCGTTTCAGCTGATTTGTAGGTACTTTATCTAAGATATCATGCACAAAATCCTCCGCGGTGCCTGCATCTGACCGCCTCCTCCGTATATGTGTATCGTTTCTCTTTCGAATCATCGCACCATTTCTGACCGTAAGATCTCGCATCGATTGGGTCACGGGTGCCCGCAAAGCACGCGATCCGACGGTTCTGGCTGATCTCGAAGGGACTTCAACATCCACATTGTGGTAGAGGCGGCGCATAGTCACGTCCTCGAGGATACGACAGGTTCGAGAAAGGTGGTAGAGATCTCTGCGTCTGTCCAGCTAACGAGGGTCAGCCCTTGACGTTTGAAAATGAGTCGCGCTGTACTTACATGGGATATGATGTTCAGCTTGAGCTCGCCAGGAAGATCGAGCAACCAGCAAGGCTGCAAGGGAAGGGATGTTGTCATGGTATGGTGTGCTCACTCCCAAGAAGATCACTGTTGAATGCTAGAATAAATTTCAGGTTTGGTATGCTTGTTAGATAGGCCTGATGGTCAAATATCTACAATGTGCTCATAACCTGCGTGTGTGTAGATATACCGGCCGATCAAAAAGTGGCAATGGCTAGGAGAGGCAATTTGAACGAATCCTAGTGTATTGCAATGGAATGAAGGGCCCGGGAACTATGCGGGAGCAAGGGATATTATTATGTCAGATTAGCATTCAAGTACGATACTGTCAGCTACTCCTCATACGTGCGCAGAGGAGTCTTGATGGAACATTTTGAGGACAAACGAGATAAGGAAATATTTGGACGAGTTGTCCCTTTAGAGTGGACGGGTAGAGAGCCAGTTAGAAGATGACACCCATCGTGAGTTCTGAACTTCGGATCCTCTGAAGACATGCTAATTTGATGCAACAGCGGTGATCCCAAGGAAGCCGACACGGGTTCAACACGAGAGGACGTGAGTGGGGGAAGGAAATATTGTTGGAATGAGTACGAATTCGGAGTGCAAAAGCGTGTTGACGTGGACTTGCCTTTCTGACCAGGGTAGTGAGTGGGTGGGATCGGAGGGACCATCAGGCACGTTTTGACTCAGCTATGATTCGGCTTGGTGGGCGGTGGATCTTCTCATTGATAGGGATGTGGATCGTCCCGGCATGTCGGCCTCCAAGGCGTTGGGTGGCAGATGATGGACTTGGGCGTCAGGCTCAGCCTCACGAATCGTCGGGTTGACCGCCTGTACCGCACCTTTATGCGTAATTCATACTTGTCATCTCTGGCAATTCTCTAGCGATGCGCGGTGAAGCGCATATATCTGAAAATGGAATGACACGCGAGAGAAACTCTGCATCGTATGTAATCGTGCAGCCGAGTTGCACTGGAATTCCATAGGGTCTGATCACTCGCTTCCGCGGCTGAGAAACACCGAAACGCTCACATAGGCAAAGCCAAGTGCAAGGTCCTCAGTGGGAATCGCTTAGGAGTGGTTCCCCGTGGCAATTGGCTTGGATTTATTTTAGAATGTACGATCGCATTTGGAACAATCCCTGTTCAACTTTTGGGTAGTACTCGAATGTTTCTCTGATTAGTCAAGCGCTATGCCGGTGAGAAAGCATTTTCAGCAAGAGCGAGCGCAAGCCGATTTCGATGGATATATGTAAGCTTGAAGGGGGTGGTCGAAGGAGAAGGACCAGCACCCAACGAGATACCGTCATTGGGATTAGTCACATAACGCGCAAGTCAGGTGGTCTTCGGCTGCGGGAGCTTCCTCCTCAGCCACAACACCAAGCACCAGCCATAGCAACCAGCCACAGCGGAAGTGGAGAAATGTATTTCCAGCTTGGTCGACCTTGTCAATTAACATCAATTGGTACGACTTACAAAGGTACAGACTCCCTGGACCAGATCAATCTCTACAGTGGTTGACTGTGAATCCTCAATTAATTACTATATTTATCATCGCTAAAAGAAACAAGTCTTGCAGCCTTTGTACATGTGGCCGGCCTTGATCATCTCTGCCGCTGACTGATTGATTGTCTGCTCGGCCTGAGCAGCCTCAACACGAGATTGTCGTGAACTCCATTGGACTTTTGGACCTGAAAGTCGCGTTGTGGTAGTTTCATCTAGCAACAGATTCGCAGCGCTGAACGCTTGCTCTTGTAGGAAGCTCAAAGAGAGGCTACGTCAAGGAATACTGTGAATGACTGGCTGGGGAGGCAACCAGCTTGTTTAATGTGAGTGATGTACTGTACTGTTGTGAATGCTTTCATCTGGTCGATCTGCTGGACAATCAGTCATGCATACAAGGCGGTTGGGGATGTCGATATGCCCGAAATTCATAGTGAAGTATTGCCATGCGTTTCTTGCCAGGAACAAGCAGCAACAAACTTGATCGAGCATCGTTCTTGCCGCTGTGGCGCCCGCGCTCCTCTCTATGTCCTTTTCATTTTGGACCTTTCATTTCATTATGGAGCGGGCAAACTCAGACGACAGTCTGAACAGCCGTCTCAGAATAGCCTCCCTCAATTCCAACCTCAATCGCTTCCTGAAGCTGGTGGACCCCCCAAAGACTAACGCGACCGACATTAGATCTGTTCTCAAGACACCCCGAGATGAAGAGGAGGACCTGAAAGCATCAGCCTGCTCTGGTACACCAGCTCTTCTTCAGCGTCACATCGATAAGGCCGAAGAGCTAGGACAGCCATCAAACTTCTCTCACTCCAAAGCCTTGACCTCTTCGGCACAAATGGATCGGAAGTTGAGACAGAACAAGCCTCGCTTGCTGCTTATGGGCCAAAGAAGGTAGTCAGCTAACACCCCGTTGACTTCAGAGTCTTCTCTGACAGAAAATAGAAGCGGCAAATCGTCCATTACCAGCGTTGTCTTTCACAAGATGCCCCCGCAAGAAACCTTGTTCCTAGAATCTACGACTCGCATCCAGAAAGACTCCATGCACTCCTTCATGGACTTTCAAGTATGGGACTTCCCTGGGCAACTAGACTATTTCGACCCGACCTTTGACACAACCGAGATCTTCTCAGAGATAGGTGCCCTGGTGTGGGTGATCGATGCCCAAGATGACTACTCCGATTCCTTGAACCGATTGACCACCACCATTCTCAATCTGCAAACTACATTCCCTCATATCAATGTCGAAGTCTTTGTCCACAAGATTGATAGTCTCAATGAAGAGTTCAAGGCGGATATTTTCCAGGACATTGTCCAGAGAGTTGGTGATGAGCTTAGTGATCAAGGCTACATCAACCCAAATGTCAGTTATCATCTCACCTCGATTTACGACCACTCGATCTTCGAGGCATTCAGTAAAGTCATTCAGAAGCTGATTCCTCAACTCGATACCCTTGAAAATCTCCTGGACATGATTGTCAACAGCTGTGGTATGGCAAAAGCCTACCTCTTCGACATTCTTAGCAAAATCTACGTCGCCAGCGACACAAGGCCCGTTGACATGGAGGTGTATGAGATGTGCTCCGACTACATTGACGTCATAGTCGATATCACCGACCTCTTCTCTTACGAGCGCAGTCAGAAGAAGGTCTTGGGGGAACAAATGGAGGAAGCCGAATCCTCCATGACCATTCAAGATGGTACCATGATTTACTTGAAAGAGATGAATCGGTAAGTGATTCAAGCTCGTGAATCTGCAGTTCTGATCGTTCTCAGCTATCTTTGCTTGGTGGCTTACATCAAGAATGCCGACGCGAAAGACAAGAAAGGGCTCATCGACTATAACGTTCACGTTTTTCAAGATGCGATCAACAAAGTGTTTGAGCGTGCGTGGGAGAAAGATAAGACAGCTGAGAATGGGGATTCAGACCAGAGGTCGGTTAAGTCTGCCGCACAGACCCAGCTAGAGTCTCAGTTGGTACGGTAAGAATCGCTCGAAATGAGAGGCTCCGGTGAGCAGATACATACAACCGAGTAGGGTAAACTTTGCTTTGTAAAACAGAAATCTTGACTATGTGGGTATGTGCATGGAAAGTAAGCTGAACAAAAAGCACCCTTGTTTGTTGTGCCCCAAACGGGACGGACGGTGTGCCAGGAAGAGGCCACGAGCCCAGGCACAATTCATCAGTGCTTCGCAATTAGAGCACATAGCTTAAGGAGGACTGGAATACGATTCCCCCCCAACACAGTCTCTCTCCATATTAAACTTCAGCTGTGAACCGAACCATAAGGAGAATTTCAGATCGATATCAGTTTCTGGCTGAGGAGGAGCGGATAAGGATATCCGGATGCCAAGCCTAACCCCAAATCTCGTCAGACTTGCGATTCTCGTCATGGTGAGCACAACCTCATGCGTCTACATGCAGCAGCGCTACACAATTGAAGCAGAGAATCCTATCAGTCTTCTTGGCGACGTTGATGCCATCGATATTCTCGGTGACGACCTTCAACAGACCAAGGAGAGTGGTGGTGCCGCTGCCCAATCCCCGAGACCATCCCTTAACCCTCGGATTCAATTTTTACGCCTGTCCGCCATTGTGAGAGGAAGACAGGGTACACCTGGATCAATCCCGCCATATCAGCCAGCGGCACCATCGTTGTATCGCAATACTAGCGGTGATTCAGACGGAGTTGATATCTGGGACACGCGAGAGCCTTCGCCTTTGCGCAACCTTCTGTATTCGAACTGGCCGCGTGGGTATGACTCACCACAAGTTCGACCGAACAACCTAAACCAGCAGCGCAATTTTCAACGTCTCAATTCAACACTCCCACAAAGGCCCAAAAGGATGCCGCAAACTGGGTTTCAAGCTTTGATCCTATGCGGCCCTGGCATCGGCCTCAGCACTTTCACCAGTGTGCCGGCTGAATTCCCCAAGGCTCTGGTTGAAATTGCAAATCGGCCCATGGTATGGTATGTCTTGGACTGGTGTTATCGAATGGGTGTGACCGACATTACTTTGATCACGCCGCCAACATCAAAAGCGCCGATCGCAGCCGCTCTTGCCCAGAACCCGTATTTGACGTCACTCCCTTCGCCATCGCCTGATCTCCTCGCGCCAAAAGATCTAGAGTTTACTACGCCGACAGCGGAATTGATCAGATTGCCAGAGGTCCAAGCAGCGATCCAGTCGGATTTCTTACTGCTACCTTGCGATTTGATCTGTGGTATATCTGGGGATGTCTTCCTCGAAACCTACTTGACTAGACTCGGTGGACCTGGTGGAATCGGTAGCGCCTCGGGTTCGGGCGTCGACCCTGCACGGAAAGACTTGTTCGCTCTGGGAGGCGAACACCGCGGTCGATGTGGTGGTCTTTCAATATGGTATAATACCATTGATCGCGAGGAGAGTGTCAAGGGCGAGGAGTGCGATTTCATGTGTACCACGAAACTCGACTCCGAACACGATATTCCACTGTCAAAGTCCTCTGCAGTACAAAGGCTAGGCATTCTTCGGAAACTCGTCTGGGCCATGCCAATGTCTGAACTCTGGGACCAAGCCGAGCAGGATAAATCTTGGAAAATCCGGCATTCTCTCCTCAGAAAGCACGGCGCGATCAAGTGCATGACCAAATATCGTGATTCTCATATCTACGTATTCCCTTACTGGGTCAAAGAGTTTGCAAAGTTGAACGAGGACTTCGAATCTGTCAGCGAAGACTTGGTGGGAACCTGGGCCAAAGCTGAATGGAGAAAGCCGAGCTATCGTGCTCAGCACGGCGCCAGGAAGATTTTCAATCACTCGGCTACCGCTCGGGGGGTCATCCAGCCACACGAAAGACCGATCGAAGAGGAAATTGACCTGTTGTCATTGAGCAGCACCCAAGTAAGCACGCCACCGCCGCTACAAGCCGTCGTCCACCTGCGAACAGCCCGCCTTGCATCAAGAGTCCAAGCGGATCCAGAAGATAGCATCCTGTCTCCGGACAATCAATCTGATACAGCCGACGAAGATGGACCTGTGCCCACGCTACCACCGATTCTCTCATACATTCTTCCTTCATCTCCAGATGCAACACTCGTCCGACGTGCGGATACCACACCACTCGTGCTCTCTGTGTCCCTGGCCCTGGCAAAGCTGCCGTCGGTCGAAGAGTCACTTGCCCTCAAGCAAGCCGCCTCTCCTTTTGCTCATCAAGCTAAGGTTCACCCGACAACAATTGTTGCCCCACGGGTGACGGTTTCGCGTTCTGACACACTCATCGACAGCAATAGCACCATAGCCACGCAATGCGTCATCAAATCAAGCGTGATTGGAGCGTCGGTCTCAATTGGAACGGGGACACGCATCACAGGTTGTGTGATCATGGACGGTGTCACGATCGGGGAAAAGTGTGTCTTGACGAACACGGTGGTGGGCAAAAAGGCTAAGATTGGAAGTAAATCAACACTGCAGAATTGTGAGGTACAAGATGGCAATGTCGTGGCTGCAGGGGTGGAAGGGAAGGGCGAAAAGTACCTCATTGGCGGTCTTGAAGATGAAGTGGAGGGTGGAGACGAACTGGGATTCGATGATGACGCAGGAGGTAGTGGCGAAGCTGATGATGATGAAGGGCAAGACTCTGAATGACTTTGAGGTTGCGGACCAGAGTTGAACGGCACCTGAGACACACGAGTACACACCGTTCGGTGTGCTCCTCCTTCCCACAGCGAGCCTTCGGTGATATTTCGCTCAAGGCATGGAGGTTTTAAGGAGAATGCTGAAACCCTTCACGTGTATGTTGGGATAGAAACACGCCTCTATGGCCATAGATTTCCACACCCACGCATCTTATTGTGCACATTGCATGGAATTGCCTATCAGGAGGAAATGCACACTTAGCTGAGCCAATTGCGAAGCAGAGTGGTAGGTGTCTTGCACATCCACTGGGAGTGTCGATACAGCCTCTGCACCTGTAACTTTCTGGGCCGGCCAGCGTTCTTTTGTGAGACTAAGCTGTTCTTCTTTGCCTTCTCCAGGCCACGATTTGCACTTCATCCTCACCTGTCACCATCCACCTGCAGATTCAGATACTCTGAATAGATCTGGGGTGGGGGTTAAAGCCCCTGCTGGCGGCACTCGTTCAAAAGTCGATGTATCTTTATCCTCTTACCAATGTTCCCAGGTCTTTTGAAAAGACCTTCTGCACCTTTAAATCCCTCCATGCGAGAGATTCATTTTTATGCGCCCACCAGTGCCTCCCAACTGTTGACCGGCCATCCTACGTCTTTGATCTCCCACTATAAGGCAGATTGCCCAGCACCAGAGGTGGTGGCCATGCCGGTTGTAAGGGAAGGAGAGGCGGAAGGGGGCAAGAGAGCCGACTGGAAATACTTGTTGATTGTCCTCGATGACTGCAAGGCCGGAAAAGAATGGAGAGGAGATAGTATTCGGTCTCTTTGAAGGAGTCAAGATCTGCTCAAGTCAACTAGCCAAGGACCAGTCCTGCCTCCTCACTGCGTGAGGATACAGGGACACGTCAGGAAGTCTGCACGATACTGCTAGCCGACTTATCTTGATGACATGCCTACCTATTGCTCGGTTATTCAAGTGAAATAAGACAAAGGAGGGACTTCGTGCGCTCATCGGCGCGAGTGCTAGTGGGTATCTTATTGCCCACGCGATCCCAGGCAAGCCACCTCGCACTGACGCGATTAGACGCGCAGGCAGTGGGTGGCGTGATGAAGTCGATAAGAGAATCTTGGGAGCTAAAAAGTGCAAAGCAACAACAACAACAACAACAACAACAACAGTGTGGGGCGTTCAACTTCATCACCATGAGTCCGCGACTGTTTTGGGGATGAATGGCGGCGCGAACGGACCCGCAAAATGGAGAACCGGATTGTGCCCGCCGACGTGTGGAGAGGACAGCCCGCAACTGCGGTCTTTTATAACTGCCAGTGCGAAAACTGGCGCAAAATTATCCGAGTGTTAATTGACTCTAGAAGCGAAGTACTGGAATAGACATCGCTGACAACGTCTCGCTAGAGACCCGAAGTCTAGAGAGAGGAAAGCACCTTACTACTATAGCACTATACTAATCAACTATAGTGGATGGCGGCGAGCATAAACTTAAATATTTCGAGGATCTAAGTTTCTAAGTTTTAGAAAACTAGTAAGTCTACTTCTGAAAATATCTTCACTAAAGATGATAAATTAGAAGTATAAAAATACAAAAATAATATAAAATAATAAGTTCTTAGTAACGTCTACGAGTTAAGTTACGTAAAAGGAACTATTAGTAGTTACGTAAGCTAGCTCCTCTTGGCGAGCGCTACTTCTTCCTTAATATACTAAAATATTCATCTCTCTACAATGACTGCCTCTTTTAATTTTAAATCACTACTAACTTATCTTAAACCACTATCATCTTCCAAGATGTCTCTGGATATCTCTAGATGCGTGGAAACAACGAATGTCAAGCTACTTTAGCATTTTCTTTAATGTTAGAGACTAATTACCGCGTTCTAGGCGGATTATCAAGAGAATGGCCGTCTTAGCCGCGGTGAAGCGAAAGCTGCCAACGCCGAGCGCACTCACGGTAAGTTCCCTGCTTCCCTACTTGTGGATTGCCATTCCTCTGGATAAATGCTTACAACATCATGGACATTATTAACCATTAACCTGATACAATCTATTGGCTTTCTCCTGTTTTCGTTGTGAGACACGGCTGTCCCCGTGGCGGTGGGCAGTTACTCCAGAGAGACGCGTCCACCGGCCGGCACGATGCCAAAACCAACTCCCTTTTACTACCCAACACGACCGCCCTGCAATTCTACAACGAGTCAATGTTGAACTGATCAAGCAATCCAAATCAAAGCGAAGGCTAATAACAATCATGATTCTAGAACAATCCTGTCTTAATCGAGATCTCAGACGACGAGTCCGACGAGGTACGTTACTACTAGGCCTATGCGCTCCCCGGCTTAGCTACCCCAGTCCACCCTATAACTCCCACTTTTTACCTCTGCAAACCTCTCGAGTCTTGCGCAGAGGAAATTAGGGACTTTTCTTATTGACTATTTTTAGGTCATCGCCGTACCACCAGCGAAACGCCATAAGTCTACCACTCCAAGCATCAACGGTCAGTTAGCACGCAGTCAGTCACGTGAGGGAAGTCACGAGCACAAAGTCGCAACTCCAAAGTCGTCACGTGTTGTAGACGTCTCTGAATCCAAAGTCAAGAAATCGCCATGGAAGCAGCTGTCACGCTTCTCATATCCATATGAAAGTCTTGACAGACCCTTTGCACCCTCCTTCCATCTGAAACAAAGCCAACCTTCACAATCGAATGGAATCCGATCTCACCACAGAGAAAAATCCTCAGACAGACCACGATCTCAAGGCAGAGTCGGCGCCAACCCTTCAAGATCCCGATCACCTAGAACTAGCAACAACATCCCTACGTCTGAAGTACAAGTTGCTCGTGCATCGGCCGACTCTCAGCCGTCTAAGTTCAGTCGAGCGTTGGCTGAGTCTAGCCCCAGATCTCGACTTCTCTCTGTTGATATTAGAACTCGTCCGACCCCGACTCCTCAAAAGAATGGCTCCTATTCTGCAAATGCAAGAAAGTCATTAGTCCCCGAAACGCAAAGTCCCAAGCTCTTCTCGCCGACGCCTTCTCAGTCGAATATAGAGATCCGCATTCCTAGCCTGCTTCACCAATGGACAGCTCCTTTACCAAAGTCAGCAGCGGCCCTGAAAGCAGAGGCCCAAGCTCAGAAGAAAGCTTTACTAGCCGATTTGATGGTTACTGCCGAGCATGCTAAGCACAGACCTGATGAATTACTTCGCCATTTTGGACAGACCGGGTTTTCCGACAGCTTTAGCACTGAGGAAGATCTGACCGCGAGACATAGGTTGGCATCGAAGAAAAAGAAGACGCTGCAACCAAATTCAAGAACCGATCGAGTGCTAGATATCAGTCTTGACCTCGTGGACTCCTTCGACAAGCTCATCATCTCCAGCACCTCGAGAATTACACCGGAACAGTCCTCGCGAGTACTTCTCACCAACAGATTCAATGAGCCGGTGGAGGGCCCCCCGTTGACATTCGCCAATGATGTCAACGAAAGCCTTCTCAATGGCAAATTTCAGTTCACAGATCGCTATATAATCCGATCCGGCATCAAATCAGCTCCTTCAAGCACTAACTATGGGTGTACGTGTTTTGTCAGCTGCAATCTACAGTCATGCCATTGCTTTAGCAAAGAGGCCGCTGATGAAACGGGTAAAGGCCGTCACACTGAGCAACGTCAGACTTATGTCCGCCGGCCGGACGGAATTGTTGTCCTGACTGATACCTACATGGCCCAGGAACTCGATCCCGTCGCTAAGCACTACGAGATCACTGAGTGCAATGAGTTCTGCGCTTGTGGGCCAGATTGCTGGAACCGCGTTGTTGGCAAGGGGCGGACGGTTCCGCTCGAAGTATTTCAGACTGCGAAATGTGGCTTTGGAGTCCGCTCATCTGTCGATATAGTCAAAGGACAGTTTATTGAGCTCTACCTCGGCGAGGTAATCACAGAATCTGAGCTGAAACGACGAGAAGATGCCGCCGAAGAGGGCGAGTCTTCCTACATCTATTCTCTCGACTGGTTCACAGGCGTTGAGAAGTACCACGTCGACGGCCAGTACCACGGCACCGCCATGCGGTTCGTCAATCACTCGTGCCAACCAAACGCGCGTTGCTTTACCGTCCAGACCCACAAACAGGATAAAAAACTGTACTACCTTGCGTTCTTCGCAATCGAAAACATTCCGAAAGCAGTTGAAATTCGGATTGACTACCACGGCGGGGGCAGTGACGAGCAAGATCTGCCCGACCAGATCGACGGAGAAAAGTTTGACGAGCTCGTCCGTTGCTATTGCGGCGAGAAGAAATGCCGAAAGTTCCTCTGGACTCCTGCTATCACGAGACGGCGGCGGCGGCGGCGGCGGCGGCGTGGGGAATGAAGGAAGCGGGAAGCGAAACGGCTGCATGAAACAGGACAGCCTGTATTATGATGTCATGGCCAAAGGGAGGATTGTGTGACTAGCTTGATAGACAGGCTGACGGGCTTTTTCTCTTGTTTATCGTCTATTCAAGTGAGTGAACTCACGAAATGCTGCATGGTTTGGTTCGCTGGTTCATTCAATGATTGGTCGGCCGATTGGGTGGTTGGTTGGTTGGTTGGTTGGTTGGTTGGTTGGTTGGGGCGCGACTTCGATCGACTCTACAGTCCACTGTGTGTACATAGCATACGTTCGAATAACGAACCGAGAAAAACGGAAGGAAGCCGAAACTGGCGGCGGCGGCAGCATCAAGCAAAATCCCAGCGGCGGTGCCGAGTGCAGCACAGCTACAGCAAGGCAAAAGGTTGAATTTTGCATTCTTGTTAAGAGTCCGGTTCTTTTTCCCTCTCCCCCCTTCCGCTTCGACGATCCTTGCACAACCTTCACGTTTCTTGTCGGGAAACACGCGCTCAGCGAGCGAGGTGCAGATGGCCGGGATCGATACCAAACATCATCATAAGTACTACGCGTAGTGCAACTATTGGTTGGGTAGCAGGGCGGGGGCGAGCCAGGGGACGCCTTGTTGCCCCAACTAACTGAGGTAGTTGGCCTATATCGTCTCGCGGTGACGAGAGTCATGCACGCAGGAGACCTCGTGGCTTTCATTAACATGCAAGTGTAGACATGTATATATCTCACGCTCATGCATGTTATCGCATATTGATACATTATCTAAACTCTCAAGAGGCATATCTCCAGACATGCCAAGTCATCAAAGGCTCTAATCGTATAGAACCCCTTTCTCCTCGCCTCTCGTACACTCTTCATTTCGCTCGTTCGATGAAATCTGTATGTACAAACAACCCTGTTCAGATTTCCTCCGCAAAAGTCCCTTCCGTGATTTGTTTGATTTAATAGGCTGACTCCTGAACACTCATGCGCAGCGCCTCATCAATAGCGGACTTCCTGAATCCCGGGGCGCGGCCGAGACAAGCACTATGCTCGATCAAGCGTTCGAGGAACATATCGACATCGAAGGTCACTGGGCCTTGGGCGCTGCGTCCGAGGAAATCCGGGTACATATTGCCAGGTGTGTAGTCTGCGGATAGCTGGGGGGCGAAAAAATTGTTCGGCCACGATGGTGAAAGTGATGAGTTACCAGCGTCGAAGGGAGCGATGCCCGTATGGCTCTTGCCTTCGCTGCCTGTAGTAATGGGGTTGGGTGTGTTGGCGGTGGCAGTGGCAGTGTTGGAGGAGCTCTTGGCGTTGGCAGGGAAGAGTGAGGATGGGTTGGCATAGATATCATTAAGCTCCCTCGCGATGAATGGATCTGTGAGACTGTCGAGTAGTGGTGACGGCGTCCGGATGTTCAACTCGTGCGGGCTGCGAGTGATGCTGGAACTATCGCTTACGGATGAGTTGCCATTTCCGGTGCTTGATTTGATCAGCAGGAGCACGCTCGGGTCGACTCCGATAAAGCTGCTCTGTCCATCAAGGAAGATGCCCTTGGTCTTGAGATACTCTTCGACATCGTGTGAATCATACCATTCGCCGCCAAAGCCGATGTTCTCGAGCATCTCCTGTGTGGTTGCCTCAAGACGAGGTGTCTCGACTTCGACCCAGGGTTGAGGACCGAAGGCTTTTGCGGGACTAACCATGTTCGGCGGATACAAGGGCTTTCCCTCGTCGTCACGCCGGGGGAAGTGAGTTCCAGCGCCACCAATGCGGAAGAAGGGAACACTCCAATTCTCAAGGCTTTCACCAGCGCGGCGTTTGAGCATCTCTTGGAAACGTTGGAGCATGCGTTTGCGGTTAGAAAAGCAAAAAGTAAAGCGGAAAGCGCGCTTGATATAGCTCGGGTCAATATGTGGATTGGTCAAATTTCGGAATGCTCGTTCGAGGCACATACGGTGTAGGCGGCGCGCGAAAGTGGTCTCTTGAAAACTATAAGTATAAGACCCCTGTGGTTGATGCGCGGGCTTGATGGGACGCTCGATAGATTGGCTATCGTTTAGCTCTGTATCGGCAAAGGAAGGAATATGATCTGAAATTTGGGCGTTAAATTGCATCAGTTCATTTAGGCCATGAAGGTTCGAAGTGTCGATGAAGCTGGTTTGCGAGATCGCGGCGAAGAAGCCATCGTCGTCGTCGGCGGCGGCGGAGGCAATGTTTTTCTTGCTAAGAGCTAGTGGAATCTCTTCTACTGCTTCTAAGTCGGTAGAGCTCGGGTTAACACTGGTGCCACGTACATTGGCTCTTGTGGTGGTGCGGGAAGATGGTTGCTTCGTAGCATCTCGACCAGTCCACTTGTTCACATCTTGAGAGTTCGTTCTCTTGACCTTGGCAGCCACATCCGGAGGGTCTGATTCGCCATTGGTGATTTTTGCTATCTTTTCGTCCTCATCGTCGGACTCGGTCGCGGTCACCTTGGAAAAAGCAACAAAAGCCTCAGTGGCGGACTTGAGTTGGCGACCAAGAGTGTAGTGAGATGTCAGAATGCCGGCGTCGACCATGTTGTCGTGGAGGTCCAGAAAGGTCTTGTTCATCTGGTCGATGGTGTCCTCGAGGGCAGCAACCTTATTTTTCAGGGCAGAGATGGTTGTCTCTTTCCGATGGCGATATGCCCTCTGAGCAAGACGAATCTGTGTTCGTCGACGGTCTGCCGCAGTCTCATCTTGAGTGTCTAATCTGGGCCGACCGCGCTGTTTTTTGGAATCTGCTGGATCCTCGTGGTCACCAGCCGTGGGTTGTTTACCAGACCGCTTCTTTTTGGACGGCGGGGCTTGGTCTGTCTCTCCAGAAGAGGAGTTGTCGCCATCTACTGCAGAGGAATTAAGGACTATCCCACCATAGTACTGACTGGGATCAGACTTGCGTTTACGCGGAGGAAGGTCTGTTCCCTCATAAGGCTCCATGAGAGCCTGGGGGTAGCGAGCTGCGGAGAGGATCTCCAAGTCTCCACCAATGGATGATCGATTCATTCCGACGCTCGAATTTATGAGAAGCTGGGTGGGGTCAGATATGATTGATTGAAGGGAGGTATATGTTCGTTCTCCATAGTGGTACTCTGCTGGGGGGTGGTCCATAGAGGCGGCCATGGTTGCAAGGTAAGCACGTATGCAGACCAAGGAATGATTAGTAAACGGAACCAAGGTGAAAGTCGGTCGATGTGTTTGACCAAAATTCGACCAGTTGAATGAGCTGGCGACGGCCGAGGCTCGTGGATTACTGGTTGTTTGGAGAGGTGGGATTGGATAGAAAACGCCCAAAAAGGACAATGGGTGAAGAGGCACCAAACACAGACAGCGGAACAATAAAGAGAAGAAAGTCGCTGTTGATATGCAAGCGCCCCCCTTCTATCCCAATATCAGAAAAGACTTGGGAGTATGGTGTTCAAAAGAGGCGAGGAGTGAAGAAGAATAAGCACACAGCAGCGGGAGAGGCTCTAATACTATGTTGCGAAGGGATCGATTGCTGCTTTATGGACTGATTTCCACGTTTGCTCAGAAATTAGTCAGACTCAGCAGGCCTCGGCTCCAGGGATGAAGATTGCCAGTGGTATAAAGTTGTGGGCAGGGACGCTGCACGGAATATGAGTAACAGGCAGAAAACAACATTCGTTGAACGTTTGGAAGCGTGGCCAGTCTTAGAATGAATAAGTTCAGAGCGAGATGGACCCCATGGGAGGGCCGGAAAGCATGAAGGGAACATCGTTCTTCCCAAGTTAGGTGAAGATGCTTGATCTGGTAATAACGGTCATCGTGATGCATAAGGTTGGTGAGGATGGAGCCAGCCAGACTGCAAGGGGAACCAAGGCTGGTCACCGATGAGGTGTAAATGCCTGGATTAAATGAATAGTAATCAGTCTGGACGACTACGTCCGTAATGCCGAAGCGCTGCCCACCCAGCAGGAAGGAACGCGTCGTGGGTGGTGGGACAAATCGCGTGCCATGCCATCCATCATAGTCGCACCTGCCCCAACTAAACTTGCTGCTTGGCAGTTTAGCTTTTGCTTTGCTAATCAGCCAGCATCAACCACCTGGCTGCGACCAACGGGTTCATCCACCGGCACCCGACTACGCCGCATACCACCGAGTATCTCGCCAGGTGAATACATACATACGTACTCGTATACCAGCGGATGCACGTTACAAGTCAGGTATTTGCCCAGCGCTCAGACGTCATCAGGGGATTGTTTCCTTACCCTTGCCCGAGGGTTCGGGTTCTGAGGAAAGAGAAAGACCATGGAGATGTTTTAATGTTTTGATGTTTTAACCCTATTTGTCGATTTCTCGACATTTGTATTAGTTGAAATATATACCATCTGCCTAGGTTAACCTATGTACCGCGTGATGCCTGTGCCCACCGTGCCGTCCGGTAATCGACGACTCCCCTGCACCTTCCCTCTCGCAGTGACTGCTGCTGATTGCTCCGGTATGGAAATGAATCGTCCTACTCTTACACGTGTCCTCGTAAGTTCGTTTAGCTCCAAGAGCGTCCTGGGAATCCAAACTGCATCTTGCTGCAAGGTCCGATATCCCTTAGTGTAGTTGTGATTGTTGTAGTGATGGTTTGGACTCAAGCACGCTCCATGACTTCAAAGATGCCATCTAGAATGACGGGTGTCTGCATGGTCTCACTCATGAACTCCATCATTGAGCACTGGCTGCCCTGGCTAGACATAGACGAGGTGGTGTTGGCACGTGGTCGTGGTTCGAGGAGGCCCAGGCCGATGCTTTCTGCATGATCAGCCATTTGTTCTTCTTCCAAAGCCAGGTCGATGGCCGACGGTTGCCGCCGGATCTGGTTGCGGGGGCTGCTGGCGGTCATAGGAGAGAGGGTGTGTTCAATACCACTGCCCATAACGGTCTTGCTGCGGAAGCTGCTGAAGGAGGAGCTTGGAGACGAGCTCAGGAAGGATGAGGGTGTGGCAGACATGTTGATATTCTTCGACGTCTTGGGGGCTGATCGGTGAAGAGGGTTGTGGCTGAAGATAGTCTGCAGTGACAAACGCACTCGGGATGTAGATGATGACGATGAATGGGTTCGGAAGCTGCTGGACACTGGTTTAATGGATGCTCCGTGGTCGAGACCTTCGAAGAGAGAAACTAACTGTGCAACGGCCATATTCTGTGGAGATGGAGCCTTTTATGTAGATGAATGTGTATATGCGTATGGGCCACCAATCGACTTGGAAACAACAAATCAAGCAATCGCTTCGCAGAAGTAGCCTGCAACCTCGATCTTGCCAGCAAGTCGAGAGTCTTATGGCAGGATGTAAAACTGCACCGAGACAAGACTCAGACCACGGGAGATCAGATCAGATCAATACCAGTCTGATGTTGCCTGGGAAATCAGTGTTGGACGGGAAAAGAAGTGAACAGACGGTTTTAAAAAGAAAGTATAGGGTCAAAGACAGCAAAGATGGCAACGAGGGAAGAGCAGCTGCGAGGTCAGTGAGACATGATGCTATCAATCAAAAAAGGACAGCAGGTGAAAGAGGATGTGTCAAAGCTGTCTCCGGAGCAGGATATGTATAGCGGGCAGCCCAAGGACCATCAGATGAGGGTTACCAGGGACCGCACAGACACGCAGGCAATAGTTTGGGCCCCAAACCCATGGAAACACAAATTGGCCGTGTCTTGTAAAACGTCAGTGCCATTTCGCGAGGGCAACCCGGGGCATTGGCGGTGGTAAAGGCGGTGCGCTGCTGAGTTTGTGCTGGTGTTGGTGGGGAGGAACCGACGCAAACAATGAGCAAAGGGGAAAAACAAGCTTCACGACCAAACGCGAGTGTCTTGCGTCTTTGCAGCGACCGGCTACTAGCAGCTGGCAACCAGGAATCAGGAACCAGGGACGAACCAACCTTGACGCGACGCCAGATAACCTGACCAATGACCATCTCGCCACCATCTCCCAGTTCCTCACAGGTCCCGGTACCTCATCCACATCATCCCAGGCCAGGGGCGCACCTGAGCCGAGTCAGAGTCTGCGAAAGTACGGAGTACGGAGTACATACCCCCCGGTACGAATTACTCACTGTAGGAGTGACCTCGCCTAGACCCCTACTACGCCAAAGGCACAAAGACACCACACCAGTATGTATGTATTGTAATGAAACACACGCACATCAGACTCTGCGTCTCATCTCGTCAAGGTCGACGGGATTCTCAATCTCGACACTAACTCGACTAGTCTGCTGTTTAGCCCAGTCTCATGTTTGCCTGCGCACTTTGGTGTTTCAGGAGGCCCAACTCCCGACAAGAGCCCCGGTCTTGGAATTTGCTTGTACAGTACCTCACTGAGGGAGCAGCCCCATTCTTCGTTCCAGTGCTTCTACCAGCATCCGAGAAAAGGGCACCAAAGGGGAATGAAAGCCCTTCGCGTCACTGACACTGCCCTTCCAAGCCCCACACGGATCCCGAACCCTCCATCAATCCTCTCCTTGTCCTGTCAGACCCGTGCTTCATTGGTGCATCACGATGAACATCGCGAAACGCAGACGAGACCATACTATCTTACTCCATCACATGATAGAGCGCCCCGGTGTGCCAGTGCGAGATACTCCGTATGGAGTACGGAGCACATACATACAGGGAACATCCTCCATGCCCCGGAATCTCATCAAAAATCCGATGAGCGGGGATGGTGATCGCAATCAAAAGTATCGCCAGATCGACAAGGGCTGCCGAGAAGGAGCAACAATTGATCAAAATAGAAATGAATTCGAATCTCTCGCCTCTCAGAGTCAGAAACCCTAGCTCCTACGCACATAACACTTCCCAGTATTTTGGTTTGGTAGCTCAACACTCTCGTCAAGTCTTCGACCAACAATCCTGATGCCTCTCCATGTAGAACGCCTTCGCTATGTAGCCGGCACACTTTGTCAGTCAGTCCTCAATATTTACAACAAAAATAGGAACATTCGACACCACCGCACCCTTCTCATACCAAATCATTAACTCAATAGTGTATCATCATGAGCTTCCTCGCTGCCCTCCCCTCCTGGTCGTGAAACTTCGTCGAATACTTTCGCCCCATGCCGACGAGTCGAAACTTTCTACCACTCCTAGAGCATTGTGTCCACTGACCGTGCTACCATGACGACTGTGTCCAAGTGTTGGTGTGGTCGGTGATGATCTCGCTGGTCCAGGATAGGACGTGTCGACCGATGATAGCCTGGTGGTCCTGACTGGGCTGCTGCCCGGTGATTCATCGTAGCCTGTGATCGATGCTGGACTTCGTAGAGAATCTCGATATTGGACTGATGTATCAATTGGGGGCAGGTTGGGTGATGGTTTCCTAGCCCCGTATACCGGTGTTGATGAAGTGAAGTCCCGTGGCTCCGTGCCGCTGCTGCTTGCATCAATCCGATCATCTGGATCCTCGATAAAGATTTCGGGAACTGGGAGACCTGGAGGCGATGCAAGTCGTGAATTTCGACGTCGGTCGACCGCCTGTCTGAACTTGCGAGACCAGTGCAGCGTGTCGAAAAAGCCAACCACAGTGTTTCGTCGAATCGTTTCATTTACTCTTTGCAGTCTCGCTCTTCGCCGGAGAAATTCTTCCAGTCTCAAGCTCCGTGAGTCGACAATCACGTTGTAATGCGTCAGCAGGAAGAGCACCGCAGTAAACGGTATTCCGCGGTCTGGCTCTGCTGTCAAAAGCACTTCCTGGTAGAATACATTCATGCGCTCGCGTCGCTGTCGGATCTCCGCCACTGGAATTTGGCTGACACGATCTGCCAATTTATCCAGGTCCATCCCGTCCACTACACGTCGGTTGGGGTTGGGAGGATCGTCAGGCTGCACAGAGCAATCCTCTTTGATTCGACCAACTGTAAAATCACCATCGTAGATCCGCATTTGGAAAACCCCAGAGAGCTCCCCTAGAAGGCGTGGGAACTGCTCCTTGGATATAAACCTTGTCCCGTTGGGATCAAACTCGGCCCATGCTTGTTTGAAGCGTCGGATCTCATCCCGGCTGACGACAGACATCCCACTGCTCTGCTGGTACACGTATGAGAAGCTCTCAAAGATCATCGAAACGAACAGAGACACAAAAATATACATGCTGATGATGTTCCACGCGATGAAAAGCGATCGTGCCCATTTCGAGCTCCCACAGTCGCTGTCGAAGAAACTAGCTTCTCGCACGCAGAATGGCGGTTCAATGCTTGCATAATCTTCCATGATCTGGTTCCAACCTTCTCCAATGCTGATCCTAAAGAGAAGAATCAGGGCTTTGGGGACTGTGCGGAAATTCACATTGTTGTTCTCATTCTCGCCAAACCGGGTTAGGGCAAAGGCTTGTGTGAAGGCGATTGCAAAGACCAAAAACAGGACAAACCACGTTGCCAATAGGTTGAGAATGAGAGGCAGAGACGCCGCAGCTGTCTTGAAAAGCTGGTCCAGCTGGTTGTTGCGCGGTATCAGGAGAAATACAACAGATACCAGAAAGAGCCTGTGGAGCACGTCGAATGTCCGAAGATTAGCATTTGCCAAACTCATCACCGATGTCACAAAGATTCCAGACACCGCAATGATCGAGTAAACGTCCCATGATCTCCTTCTGAAACGGTCCCACGAAAGTCCGATAATTTTGACGGCAATGTTGACGATGAGGACAAGAGTAAAGGCCAAGAATAGGTACTCACGCAATTTTTGCCACCATTTCGGTTCTGGGTAGAAATCGACGATAAGAAGGGCAAGATGCGCCAGCAGGATGCCAGTGATGAAACGTTGCCATACCCCTCGTTTCTGGATTGAAGCTTCATAACACCATTTTTTGAAAGTGGAGCCTTTGTGGTGGATGGAACGCTTGGAGGGTGAGATCTGCTTGAGGAGCTTCCGCAGTTCCAGCCAGGACCGCTGCTCCGCCGTCAGGAAAGCCACACCCGTCTGCTCGGTGTAATTGCGCATGAAGACGGAAATGAACAAGGTCAGCACGAATACAGCACCGAGCAAGTTGAAGATGATAAAGTAAACAGCGTTTCCTTGAGACGCGAATGGTACTGGTTGCAAGCCGCGTCCTGTGATGCTCATGCCTGACTGCAAGACACCCGTCCAGCCCTCTTGCGATACAATCTGGAAAAGGATAAATAATGAGTCGCCAAAGCTGTCGAAGCTAAACCAGGGGTTGGCTACTGTTCTTGGGGCAAGTACAGGCCAATTGAATGGGGTGGAGTTGAATTCGCCAACGCAGTTAGTTAATAAACCACTAAAGTCTCCGTCATTGCAAGCTTGCATCTGACCATTGAACAGATTGAGACCGAGAATTGCAAACGGGATGAGTAGACTCATCGAGACGAAGGCTGCAGCAAGAATTTTGTAGATGCCAATCACAATGACGGAGTAGAACGTTTCCCTCGCCGTGTCACTGATGTTGAGGAGGCGTAAGGCTCTCAACGCCTTGAAAGCACCAACAGCCCGCGAAACACCATCATCGCGGAACAAAGCGGTAGCAACGTTAATCCAGAGAGTAATTAGCACAACGGCATCGATGACACCCCAGATACTTCGAAAGTATGCGTGCGGGGTGAAGAACAGACCATCCGCAATGGTTTTGATGAGCGCTTCAATTAGAAAGAGGACGGCGAAGCCCAAATCTGTCCAAATGAACCAGTTCTTGATACTCATTGGGTTCTCCAAGTAATAGTCTCTTTGGTAAAGCGGTGTAGTAATGCAGGCGAGTATAACCATCGCCACAATGGCCGCGTAGGTAAACGCCGAAAAAACATACCATGCTGGTCGATATGGGGACACGCCTTCGACACGTTCACTCCCTCGGCCTGGCCCCACAACATATTGACACATCCTTCGAATCGGGTTGTTTGGCTTGAAAATAAACAAAGAAACGTTATATCTCGGATGTGATTGAAGATATTGACGCTGTGCGCGCCGTCGATTCTCTGTACCGGTGACCACACGTTTTGCAGCGGCTCGTGGATCAAACTCTTCATTCGCCCGGGTAGATGATGTGTTGGTATAAAAGGGGTTAGGCTCCTTGTGGGAGTTAAGGCCGGTAAATTTGGTCCAAATTTTGGACAGGAAGCCTGGTTTGACGGTGGCTACCTGGGAGAGATGCATTGATGTTGGACGGCGGCTGATGCTTTCATCTTGCTCATCCAGAAAATCCTTGACAACAGCATCCTTTAAGAGTTGTTCAACAGTTGAGGAGCCATACTCGAGTGGATCGCGATGTCTAATGGAATCCCGCCCCATCTTGAAAACGGCTGCCAAAGACAAGTTACCGGAGGCAGGACCCGCAACCTCCTTCTGTTTCAAAAAGGCCTTGACTTGCTGTAGGCGCTTTTCATCTTCCGACACATCGAAACTCTCTTGAATGACAGCAATAAACATGTTCAGTACAATCAAGTTGGCAACGACAAACCACAAGATAAAGAACATTGCACTAAGCCACGCAGTATTCCATCGGAGGTTGAATTGCGTCGCGTTGTACATCACTGAGGTCCAATTCTCGCTAGAAAATATAATATACATGCCTATAAAGGAGTTCCAAATATCGAAGAATGTTGTTTGTATTGTCTCTCCAGCGGCATCCACAGGTGGGAAATCGCCACGAAATTGTTGTGAGGCCATAATAGCGGCGAGGAAAGTAAATAGAAATACGAAGAGAATCAAGTTGATCAAGCCAACAATATTTCCAAAGACGGTCATGATGAGCTCTCTGGTGACTCTGACAGCAAGGACGACTCGATAGATACGGGCAATTTGGAAAGTGGTGAGCCAGGCATATGCCTGTCCAGAATTCCGTATCGCTGGTATTTGGATAATGGAAGTCACAATCGCAAGGAAAAGGTCGACACAGTTTCGTTTGCCGCGGAAGAAGTTTCTCCAATCGCACAGGAAGCGAAGAATGATCTCAACCAGCAGAAGCAGAGTCACAACGGTTTCTAAATTCATGATGAGCTTCTCCGATGACTCGCTCATATTGGCCTCTCGAGTGGCTTGAACAAGTAGCGAGAAAGCGATCACAAGCACCCAGAAGATGTGCGTTTTGTCGAGCAGCGCCTTCAGCCGGCTTTTCTTGGTCATACTCTCGTCCTCTGGGATCGGCTCGTCGATCTTTTCAGCGGTAAAGGCGCTCTGCTTGCTTTCTTCCCGAATGATTTGGAAGGACGAAGTGATGACTGCAACTAGCAAATTGACCAACCACAAACTCAAAACCACAATGCCTGCTGCAAAGAACAATGCGGCCGTAAGATAGTCTGAATCGGTCAGGTAATACAGCAGGTCAGAGAAAGTGTTTGAGCTGATGATGACAAAGACCAGCTCGAGCGACTGAAGAATATTGTCAAAACCCACGGTCCCATTGTAAGGGCCTTCGGGTCCCTCCACACACAACGAGCCTTGAGGGCAGAGATATCCTTTGGATTCTTGGGAACCATTACGTCCGTCACTGAATAGCCATGGCATCGGAGCGCCGCTTACAGCATCGAGGTAACCTCCACAGAACTGGATGTTCTCCGGCGCAATGTTGAGGGTGTAATTTTGTCCTGACCCATCATCTCCAACCCAGACACAGGTACGACGCAAGCTTGACTTGAAGCTCTGAACTCCAACGATGCCAAATATGAGCCAGAAGAAGCCTATCAGAAATGCGACATGCACAAGGAGCGGGGCAGCTTTCTTCAAACTTCGTAGAATAATTGAGGTGCCGGCTGTCAGCCCTAACAGGCGCAAAATACGAAGGCAGCTCAACATGTTGAAGACGTATACATGGCTGGAATTTTCAAAGCGACTCAATTGCATGGCAAGCGATATCCAGTAAGATACCACGGCCAAAAAATCGAGTCGATTGAACGAGTGCCTAAGAAAGGCGCGTCGGGCAAGACGTATCCTCTGTTGCTGCTTACTATGGCCTGGACCTCCCGGGGCTGGAACGCCCGTGAATGTCCTCACAATCGAAGGCTGACTTGGACCATCCAAGTCGTCAGTGGCGCTTCTAGCAGGCATTTGGCGATCTTGGGCGGGCGCAAAGAGAGTTTCTGCCTTCTGAAGGACGGCCTTTCGAAGTCCAAGAGACCGATTGAGGGTGCTTAGCTCCCGTGGATTAGAAATAAAGCCGGAGACGATTGTACGCGCAATAAGCTCTAAGGTGTATATCACGAAGAGAGCGAAAATGGAGTAATCGAAGGCTGTACCCCATGACTTGATTCGGGTTTCCAGATATGTTGCATCTGAAGCGGCATTGACTGCAAGTAACACAGTTTGGGCAACAATCAAGGCCAAAATAGTAGGCTCCGTCAGGGGGTGGACAAGAATTTCACAAAGCCATTTCCGAAGAGGGTTCTCGGGACCAAAAATGCCCCAAGTGTTTCCAAGGAGTGGATTTGGATGGATGGCTGGCGGGAACGAGGGGGGAACTGGCGAGACCTCGTAAGACGCGACTTTTTCCAGTGGTGAAGTAGCAGCTGGTGCATCCTCGATATCAGAAATAGTAGGAGCTCCGGAAGCACTGGGTCGGCGTTGATCGCGAACAGATGGCTTACGTCGGATACTTTGCTCCACAATTTCTGAATCGTTACTCAGATTCACAACACGCTGAGAGATGCCACGAAGAATAGAATTTGCTCGAGCCATTGGAGAGGGGGAGGGTGATAAGGACCGAGAACGTTCGGCCGAGAGATCGCGAGTGGAACTGAGACGACGAATGCCACTGGCACTGCTCATCTTCCGCTGCACACCAAGACCGGTATTGAGACTGGGGAGATTGTCCCCAAGACGTGACATGCGACTCGGTTGCAGAGATGGCGATGCTCCATCGTTCCAATGGACAGCAGACCCCCTTCCTGATCTGTCGTGCCGCTGCCCTCTCGAGAGTGAACTGGAAGTTTGAAGTGAGGAGTGCAACTTTCGCCCTTCGGTTAGGGGTGTTGTGTCTGAGTCAGGAGGAGAAAACAGGTTCTCGACTTCGCCAGAATCTCCATCTGCTGGGGTGGTGATAATGGTCGGGCGAGGTAAAGCAGCATTCGGAGGGGTCGAAGGTGGACCGAAAGCTAGGCCAACGGTGGCAGCGGCGAAGCCATCCAGATCTTCGACGGGGGAATGGTCGCTATAACGAGGTCCTCCGCGAGAAGCCCGACCAGATTGATATGCTTGTCCAGCTCTTGTGGGAGACTCCTCGTCCAATCGTGAATAGTCCGGGGTTCGGCGGCCGGTCAACAGTGACCTCGTACGACTATGGCGATGGAAATGGCCGATAATACCGCCTCCATGCTGGTCTTGTCCTTCCGAAGGCGAGTCGTTGTCGGGGGGTCTGGCTAAGTCTTGTAGAGGTATTGACTGCGGCGTGGTGGCTTTTGGCGGAGATCTATCGTGGAAGGACATGGCACAACCGTCGTTCTTGCAAGCACAATATCATACTATCTCCACAAACACAACATAGCGTCGCTGCTCGAAGCGCACGAATCTGTTGGGATAACTGCGGACCAGAATAGGGAGGGCAGGCCAGGAAAAAAAGAGCGATCGGCGCAATGGCGATTAGGAACTATGGCTATGGCGGTATCTGCAGGACCAAAAGAGGCAATCGGGGCAAGAAGCGACGTGGAATGTTGCTCAGACTGAACGAATGAAATGAAGTGAGGAACGTAAACAGACAATAATGGAAAGTCGTGGTGGTCGTGTTGAGTCGTGGTCGTGAATAGTCGTAAGGGTGTGCCAGGTGGGCAGTGCCAGTGCAGCGAGGAAATGGCAAATATGAGAAGGGGAACAAGCATGTGGTTAGTGGCTGCCCGCCGTATCTCGTTACTCGTAGGCGGTTGGCACTGATCATTCGCCGTCAGTTGGATAGTGGAACTGGTTCTTCAGGCACTGACGCGGCATGGCAGGGAGCATTGAGGTGTGCTGTAACCACCCGGACCGGATATGTCATGCTGCACCCATCTGGGCAAGTGGTTTAACGGCCACGTAACTAATTCAGCAGCTCAACCAAACCTGGTGATACCTGAACAGTCCGTCTGCGAGAGCGGAGGTCGGACTGATCTTAGCACGCCTGTAGGTAAGGATTGGGGGTACTACGAGTAAACCAAACAGCACAACCTAAAATGCACGAGTACTGTAAGCACGCCTGGTGCCTCTCAGCACCCCCTTCGGCCCTAGGTCCGGCCCTTCAGCCCCCAGGCCACTTGTCTCCTTTGGGGTGGTCCAAGGCTGACTCTGTTCCAACCCTGAACTCTGCTCAGTGAACGACTCAAAGCTCATACAACAAAGCCAGGCAGCAATGTATCTTGGCGTCTGTCAAAGAAGAACTGCCGCTGTGAACAAGGAGCCGCTCCGTGTCATATTGCTGCCCCCTATTATTGATTGATCAATCAGAAGCTGGGGAGGATTGTTCGTGCCTGTTCGTACCAGACATAGTTGTTTGATGTTACCAGGTACCCTGTCCTCCGTATTGAGTCCTCGTAGGTACGGACCTTGTACTACTTACATGGTAGTTAGTGCAACATGACAGTAATATCGGCGCCAACAGATCTGGCTGCGAAGATTTGACTTTCTTCAATTATGTTTCTGGCAGCATAACGCGTCAGCTGCATCCACAAAAGACTGGCCCACCGAGACATGACGTCGTGGAGTTCTGTAAGTGTCTGCACGAATATTGCCAGCAAAGAGATTACGGAGGACTTCGATACGAGACCTTCACAATTGCAGTCGCAACGAGCGGCAGAGCCCAGAGCCCGAAACCGAAACCGAAATCAGAAGTATGGCCTTCTCCGTTTATTCATACAAGTTTCAGAGCGCGGAGCTGAAAAGACGCCGCTGGAATGATCGATTGAAAGAGTGATGGATTCCTAATTACATAGGTACCTATTTCAGCTTGTGGCCGTTGACAATATAGTAACCGTCAAGTTGGGCTACTAATCACCAGTTGCCGTCCGCGATCTTCCTCTCGATCGGTACAACAAACATTTTGTTCCAAAGGAAGCTCCCGTAGGCATTCGACTCCTACCTCTTTCGTCTAATTTCATGGCTTGGTGTTTCAATTTTGATTGGGGGTGTTTTGGAAAAACTGATCTCTCCCCTTCCACCTTATCTCTGCCTTAGGTAGGTATGGATTCTTACTATGCACATACATTCAGCAACGACGCTCTGATGCCGTTCAACAACGGCGACAACCAAATAATGGACCGAGTGAACTCCGTAGCCTTATGACTGCCGTCATGCTTCGATCTAGCGACGAGCCACTCGTGAGGAGCGCTGTCTACGTCGGGGAGGAAAAACTTTCTCTCCGAGGCTCCATCTCCAAAAGGAAGGCAGGTTCCACCAACATCATCGAGGCCGCCCTGCCAAACAACAGAATGGCCGGAATATCCTTCCGTTGACGCTGCCAATGTGATACCTCATTGGCACGGAGAGACTTTTTCTTGCAAAGTGACATGATATCTCTATACTCCCACAGGACCCGTTAGTTCAACGCTTCAGCGGGTAAACTCCTCCGATCTGTGCAATCAGCAGCGCCAATTTTATTCTTATGTCACGCCCAAGGAACAAAGAGACGCCATGTCGTGTTTCAATCTGACGTACTGCTGTGGTACCAGTGGCAATTGAGGAATATTTCTTATCGCGAATCGCGCCAGGTAGGGGCACTGAGAAAAGGTAGTATTGAGAAGCTCTCGAACAATTGCCATTCTGAACGGCCTTGATCTCCGTCCCTTTTACTTTCTCTTCGCTCAAAACCTTCAATAGCACTTATATCAATCTACACAGCATGAAGACCAGCCATAACCATCTCGGCTTTCAAAATCGGCAAGACGGCCAAACCGGAAGGGTCGAATTGCTAGACACGCCATTCAATATCTACAGACGACGACAGACAAATCGTCTGACCCGCCACCTCGAATACAAACAAGCAAAAGTCAACCAAGGTCCTCGTCTTAAACACCTAGTGTATGATCGTCTGAGCAAAGCCTGCAATTGTTCCCACTGCCGTGAGTTTCCACTTTGACTTTTGTAGAATCTGAGGTTAGTGCACTGCTTCCTCGCCATGTCAAATCACTACAACTTTATCCACCACATATCAAGTCTACATCCAGTCCAGTATCTGGTTCGTCGACATCTACCCATTGGTCCATCTGGTGTAAACCACGCTACCACAAATCCAGACGCTTCACCACACAGGGGTCCTGCATCCAGTTCGAGCCCAGACGCTCTACCACCCGATATCTCCAAGTCTACTGCCGACCACACTCCTACTTCACCTTCCCAACCCCTCCATCAACAACCAAATCCTGCCCAGTGACGAATCCGGCGCCGAGGAGGTACTCGACGGCCTCAGCGATATCCTCGGGAACTCCGGCGCGGTTCGTCGGGTGGTCTTTGACATCGTCTTCTCCCATACCCCATTCAGCTCTGCCTTTCTCCTCTCCTTCTCGATGCTCGTGCGTGGCTTTGATCCGTCCCGGCGAGACCTGGTTGACGCGGATGCCGAGCGACTGCATTGAGACGGCCATACTTTGTGTTAGGCCTAGGAGTGCCGCTGGGCGTTTGCCGGGGAAGTGTCAGAAATTGTGCGTTGAGGGCTTTAGGATCAGGGAGGGGAAGGAAGAAGGAAAATTCAACTGTTGACAGGGAATCTCTAAATACCTTTTGTGCTGGCATAGCCTTCCTGGTTCGGATCAGAGATCAGAGCTCGAAAGCTGCTGATGTGGATGATACAAGGCCCTACAGTGCCGACCTTCGAGCCGGGCAATTTCTGCTTATCCTCCTGCCGGTCAACCTTCATGTACGGAAGACAGGCCTGAGACATGACGAAGGTCCCTGTTAGATTCGTCTCGACATAGGCCTGCCACTGTTCCAAAACCGACTCATCCTCCATGGTCTTGCCGTCACCCCAGTACGGGTTCGAGATACCCGCATTATTGACGAGGAAGTCAATATGGTTGTCTAGAAAGACGGCAGCCTTGCTGCGAACGGTCTGACGGATCGAGTCGACCGATCGCAGGTCGCAGACCGCCCAGCCGACATTGTTGGTCTCGAAGTATTCCTTCAGATGGACTTCCGCGGTGTGCTTGATGTTGTCCTCGTTGACATCGAGGACGAAGATCTTGTGGCCCTTGGAAGCAAAATGTCGTGCTAGCGCTCTACCAATCCCTAGATATGTGTTTAATATTTAGTTCCGAGTCAAAACTGATTAAATTTCCATTTCCTGCGAAGCGATGTATATTCCATCCAGCAAAGGTCACAGCACATACCTTGTCCAGCACCGCTGATCACGATCCGAGCAGTCCCGTCTTGGAGCATTCTCGAAAAGTTTCTAAACTGCTTATGGGTCGCCAAAAGCCTGGTTGACTGCTAGAAATTGCTATTTAACGTCGGATGTGGTGTATGCAGTCCACAATCATTGGCACATGTCCAATACATATAATGTATCACAATGACCAGATCCAAAAGACGACGGGATCACTTTCCGCCATACAAATCGGGCGACGGATCTAGCGTTAGAGCATTAAAGCAATCGAGGGCTGCTGAGTAGCGACGCTGCACGCCGTCATCCCGCGTCGAATCGTGTCGCTCAGAGAGACAGAGAGGATCACTCTCAAACCCACATTTCATGTGAGATACAGCTGGTCCGGGGTAGAAATCCGTTTGGGTTCAGATCATATGTGTCGGTGACGTAAAAGTGGAAACATTGGTTGCGACTCTCGCAATCACCTCAATCTATGCAGGAATTTACACATGGTGGGCAACACTTCCTGTTATATAGACTGCTGTTGAGGTTTTTCAGCTTTGCTTCACTGGTCCCAAGGGCATACGGGGTGTAAAGAAAGTTGTACCTTGATGTTGGTGAAGATGGCCAGTGAAAGGAGTTTGAAATGGTTAACTGTTGAAGAAAGGGTACAAGTGAGGGTTCGTTCCCCCATTTGTGGGAGGCGCGTCCGTGAGTCATGTGCGCCTACAGTACAATCTGATGGGGTCAAATTATGTCCCAAGCGCGATTTCCTCGTTCACAATCAACCCAATGAATCTGCTTAAATTCCACTAGCACAAAGCACCAAGGTCAGCAAAAAATAAGACAGGAAGCGCATATTCGTCATAATATAAGTTCATTGATATTTTTGCATTGCCAGCCTGGGAGCAGTAGCCAGAGCCGGATGCCGGGAGAAGGTCTAAGTTAAGACGGGCCCTCTAGGGCCCAACAAAGATCGTGCCTCCACAAAGTGTGCCATTGAAATAAGTGAGAGTACTCATGCACAAAAACCAATAGTCATCGTGAATGGTCGTCACGGCCTCGAATGACTACACCTGCACACACCATGAGAGACTCAAGGAGGGAGCCGTACTGGTTCGCCGCATGAATCCAGTCACCATCAATGCCAGGCGACCCTTGCCGAGCGCAGAAGCTTCTTGACTTGCTGAGGTACCATATCCTTGGTGCGCGAGCTCACTTTTCGGAGAGCTTGCAAATGTCGACTTTTCCGGAAGACATCGTCCCACAATGGCTCATGAACACAGTCGATCAGCTCAGTCTTCTCATCGACAGGACTGAGCATGATCGGGACATTCATGACCTCTTCTTGTTCCAGCTTCTGACCCTTCCAAGCAGCTGTCTTTGGGATGCGGGACGTCAATGGCGCCAATGCATCATCCCAAGTGCCGGACCTCAAATGGCACTTCTCAAACTCAAACTCATGCAGCACTTTTCGGTGGGACATAATGAAGGCGGATGCTTGGTCCGCATCGAGACTGGCATTGGTGAGATGCATGGTCTTCAGGAGACGAAACTTGAGCGGTCTGAAGGCAGATTTAGTGCTTGAGTCTGGACAGGCATTGGAACAGTCAAGTGAAGTTGGACGTGATGTACAAGGTTCGATGTGGAGAGAGAGGGGACAGGGACCTTTCGCCCCCTGCCATTGGAATTTTAAGTTCTCCAGGCTTCGTAGCGAGCCCAAATAGCTGTGAAGAATCTTCAGGTGGTCTGAAGGTTGATCACGACCATATTCAAAGGAGTCCATCTCGATACGGAGCGTTTTGATACGTTTCCACACGCGAGTGGAAGCAGGCGACGAGCCAATGCTCGTCTGAGGTCTCAAGTGGAGCATTGCTCCAGGGTGTATCGGTGCAAGCTCGAGGGACTCGAGTTGAGTTGGATTGGTCGTCTCAATGGCCAACCGCAGTGAGACCAAAGCATAGTCAACAATGTCTCTCCTATATCTCTGACCAGAGGGCTGGCCCGGGCATGAGATATGTAGGTGACGAAGGTTTGGCATTGCAATAAAGGCTCTGAAAAAGGAGTCGACATCTGTGGCGGCGTGAAAAAGAGGTGGATAATGTTTAACCAGTAAGTCATTCATCTCCCAAGACCCATACTTAGAAGAGGAAGTGGATGAGCAGCTAGAGTAACAGGAGGAAGTGGTCGAGCTGGAGGACGAAGCCGGTCGCGACATGCTTAGACGTGGCTCGTAGATAAACTTGACCTCTTCCAAAGTACCAGGTATGAGAAGAGGGTGGAGGAAGGTGTCCACGTGATGCGGCATGCTGAACACTAGCTCTCGAACATGAATACCAATGCGATCCAGTGCAGACATTCGCGCCCTGCGCGTAAAGGTAGTGGTACTGAAGTGGACTGTGATGGATCTGAACAGAACCGGAGCGACATTCCTGGCAAAATCTTTACCGACGAGTCGCAGAGTTCGAAGATCATCCTGCTGGACCTGGCTTAAGACACCTTGTCGAATAAGGTCGGTCCGCCACATATTGGCGAAGGCGAGAGAAGACATATTGGACGTTGTGCATTGCTTGGGTGATTAGGTAAGGCAGAATGTTCTTAGGCTGAGGTAGAAAGGGTATAGACAAATGTTCCCGAGCACCAGTTGAAAAGGCAAGAGTGGAGAGTCCGAGTAGAATATAACAAATGGAATACAATGAAACTACCTTCGTCCACACATATTGGTGCTTGAAGGAGTAGGCTAGAAGAAAACCAGGTAACAAGTGTATAGAAGGACTGAGGGAGGTCGACCAACACGGCAAGAGGGGAAATTACAAACCTACCTTTTCAAGGCAGCAAATGGTGGGAATGCGTATAGATATAGAGTGAGTCATTTCACGGAAAGGGAATGGCATTGAATGCAGCAAGAAGGATTGTGCTGCATATGTGTTGTCGTGCTATATCGCGACTTTGGCACGGTCGAGAACACGCGAACAGAGAATAGGACGAGTCTATAGGTGCTTGAGGGGAAGTCAAGGCAGGACAAGGAGGTTGGAGATGCACGTCGTGCATTAGACGGGAATTTCGTGGTGCACACGCGCCAAACGCCCGTCTCGGAGGCTCTTCCAGCACCTTGGACTGTTGTGTTGTGGTTCTGACTTGGATCCTCGCCCACAAATCATATATTATGATTCGAGGTTAACAAGTGACTGTGGCTGGTGATAGAGGCTTTCACAATGTTGTGATGAAACAGTAGACCTCAGTTTCAAACAAACGCAGTCGGGGGCAAGTCGTTGGCAAAGAAGAACATGTGACTCGGCTTACCTGCTTTATCGGTGTATCAGTTGTCGATCGCGATCGTGCCCGGCCCTCAGAGCCCTGACACGTGAACACGGTCGTGTGGCGCGTCGTGGCTCGTGACACAATTGGGGCGCTGCTCAAACCTACCAATCCGATCCCAATTGAACTGTAGCCTTTCTCCCAGTCTGAGATAGCCGATGGCACTCGTGTTATCCGCACCTGCCGAATGGCCCCAAAAGACACAATTATATACATTTATTGTGCCCTCAATTGGACAACATGCCGAGGTATTCAGAATAGGGGTCACGGTCATGGCACCAAACATGATACCACCTGAGACGGAGCCCCGGCGAGCCCGATCCGTTTTGAGTCTTTTCACCAAGTTTTTCCTTCATCCTACCCGTGCTTTGCCACACCGAAACTCACATTGACGGCCCTTGAGTCTTTCGAGGCGTTCCTTCATAACCAAGCTTTTCGGTCCACGTTCAGTGCCGAGCTAGCATGACATCAGTAACGGATTTCCGGGCACCACAGCCAACTGGCCACTGGCCATGCACACAAGGAAACCCTTCCACAGAAAAGCACGCGACCCTTTGCTTCTCTTATACGTATACATGCACTTTGTAGCCTCATGCCATACCATTAATCCTACTAACCTGAATCGTGTTCTCTCCCTTTCCTCATCTTATGCTAACTGCACATATATTATCTTTCGAACCCAATAGCTGGGGCAGTTTCAAAATTCGATCACCCCAACCCTGCCTTGCTGCAGCACGAGACCAATCACCACACACAGAAGGAATCTGAAGATGATCTCATATCTTAATCCAGTACCATCTCTGCCGGAACCATTTGGACCTCACAAGGTTGGCACATCTGAATGGGAGATCCCAGTTTCTGAGATTGCTTCATCTGCACCATCCACAGATTCAACCATCTCTACCATCAAATTCCGCCTCTACTACCCTACATTGCCTACAGAAACTTCAGGTTCCATAAAATGGTTACCTCCACCACAAAGCCAATGGATTGAGGCATATTCGTCTTTTCTAGGAGCCGGGGCTCGTCTGGCATCATTCATCTCAGCACTGCCCTCCCTCATCAAGTACACCACCATTCCTGCTATTCCAGACGCTCCACTTCTTCCGAGGACAGCATCCTCAAAGTACCCTCTGGTGGTCTTCTCACACGGCTTGGGAGGCAACTTCAACACCTACAGCTCTGTCTGCGCCGCGTTGGCTAGCTTCGGTATAGTCTGTGCGGCCCCTGAGCATCGAGATGGGAGTGCCCCTATCTCCCTCATCCGGTCGTCTTCTGGGCAGCATACATCTTCAATTCCCTACCAAAAACACTCCCACTCGCCAACCCCAGACGTGCTCAACGCTCGGAATGCGCAACTCCGGATCCGGCTGTGGGAAATGGAGCTGTTGTCGACCGTTCTTCTCTCTCTCAATACTGGAAAGACTTTCACAAACTATGCTGCTTCACCGAGTCAGCGTGAACCACTGCCTTCTCTGTCGCAGACCCTTGACCTCCAACCAGGCCACATTACCTGGGCTGGTCATTCTTTTGGCGCAGCTACGACAGTCCAGTTTGTCAAGTCAGTCTATTATCATGAACACCTCCCATCCCTAGTAGGCACTGGCTATGAAGACAACCGGGACTGGCGACCATTGTATACGCCCGCCAAAAATAGCGAGCTTGTGGAACAAATCACACCTGACTCCCCCGTCGCCCTGCTCGACCTTTGGACCATGCCCCTGCGAGGCGATGTGACGCAGTGGCTATGGGAGAAACCTCTGCCATGCTACGACCGCCGACCATCTTCAGAAAAAGACAATACAAACGTGGTAGCGGTCATATCAACAGAGTTCCACAAGTGGACAGAACTCTTGAGTCGCACCAAGGCGGCCTTGTCGAACCGACCCGCTGAGGCGATCAAAGAGTTCGACCGGGCAAAGTCTGACTGTTCAGCATCTTCTGATGACGAAAGGTCCACCATGTCAACGCCCCCCGGCAAAGCTCCCCTCCCATTCCCCGACGAGGAAACGCCGCCATCGTCGACTACTTCCTCAACAGAGCCCAGCCGAACATCAAGCCCAAGCCCAGCCTCCACCCCACCTCCCACTACAGCCGAACCCACCGCACCCGCGCTCTATCTGATCCCAGACTCCGCCCACCTCTCCCAGTCCGACTTTGGACTTCTCTTCCCTAACCTGACACGCTACCTGATGAAAGCCCATGACCCGCAGAAGACGATCGAGCTCAATGTCCGCGCAATCCTGGCAGTCATGCGAGGTAGAGGGTTGGAGGTTGAGAATTTCCAGCCGGCGAGTGAATCCACGTCTGGCAAGTCCAAGTCCAAGTCCAAGTCACAGCAGCAACCGCCTCCCGAGACGGAGAAAGCCGCCCTCGACTCGATCTTGAGTGAAGAGGGCGTCGAGGCGAGATTCGTGAGGTTGCCGCTTAGTTAGTTGGCAGAGTTGGCTTGGTTGATTACAGCGCAGATGTGCACGGCGTCAAGGTACAAATACACTCCTCCAGGTCAAAACCCCGCGGAGACGCGTGAACACGGACGACATGCGGATACACAGTTGTTGGACAGAGACATCAACGGGGTCCTACCAGAATTGCTGGGGAGAGATACCACTTTTGATTTAATGAGCCGGCATGGCATTGAGGGGCTCTTTCTTTTTCGATTAGTGGGCTTGGTGATGAGACGACGTTTTCGTGACGTGAAATTCTGTGAGCATGGCGCCGGCCACACGCTGTGTCGAACGGCCTGTGAGCGTACTTAGCTATAGACCTAGAGGATCCAGTGCTTTGGCCGTAGTACAATTGCTACCCAGCTAAGACAAGACAATCATGATATATGACGACTGCGGGGTTGAAAATCGTCCTCGTACCTCTTTAACCCTCGATCAGGGTTGATGAACACCACTTTCGGATCCTCATATGTTCGATCGAGCATCCGCTACATTATTATGGCAGAAGTAAGGAAAAGCGGTCTGCATTCTTGGCTCTTTGGTTTGAATAATCTCGCTATGCTATTTTGGAATCTGTAGTCTAGACTGCCGGAAGTAGAAAAGGGAAAACAGCACTTTGTATCATGGCTTTGCTCCTTGTCGTCTGCTTGCTCCCGATGGAGAGCAACATCGGTTCCAACTCTCGTTTCGTATTCTCATCATAACTCGAGCTTGAGCTTGAGCTTGAGCTTGAGGCCGAGGCTGTGCACTCTTTGCGGGAAAGGGCAAGCCATCAACGCCATCACTGCGCTCCCCCGAATCTCCTTATCTCCCCCCACGGGTTGGGAATTTCAATCATCACGACCTTCTTTCTGTCGCCTCGCTAAACCCATCCAATGTAACTGATGATAGAAGCCAGATCCGATCACTTACACGACTGCCCAAGCAGGGTGTTAAAAGGTGAAAGCATACGCTTACAAATCAGGGTCCTCCTCGTCAGGTAGAGGCATGGCTGCGGCTTCGGTCATTTCCTTGTGGTATTGATCGAGCAGTTGTTGGTTGATCTGAACCTCTGGTGGAGCGAGAGCGGGAGCCGCAACGAAATCAAGCTGAGGATTGCCAACCAGCTTTCGGGCTAGCCAAAGGAAGGGCTTTTCGAAATTATAGTTGGATTTGGCACTAATATCGTAGTACTGGAGGTTCTTCTTGCGGTGGAATGTGATAGTCTTGGCCTTGACTTTTCGTTCTTTGACATCGACCTTATTTCCGCAGAGGACAATGGGAACATTCTCACACACACGAACAAGATCACCTTTTTGAAGCCATTAGTCAATCGAGCGGGGGGGGATGGATAAGAAATCTTACGGTGCCAGTTGGGAACATTCTTGTATGTGATTCTGGAGGTGACGTCGAACATGATGATACCGCATTGACCGTTGATGTAGTAGCCATCTCTTAGACCGCCAAATTTCTCTTGACCAGCGGTATCCCAGACATCGAATTGAATTTGACCGAGATTCTGTAGAAATGGGTTAGGAGCGACGGGAGAGTGGCATCCGATACACTTACAGTCGAGAAACCCAATGGGTGGACTTCAACACCAAGAGTGGCGATGTATTTCTTCTCAAACTCGCCAGTTAGATGACGCTTGACGAAGGTTGTCTATCCCAAACAATCAGTAAGTAAGCCAAATCGCCGCAATGGAGGTCATGATCGGTAATAAGGGTCGAGATGATAGCTTACCTTGCCAGTACCGCCATCGCCGACTAGAACGAGCTTGAAGGTTGGTGGACCTTGGGCAGCTTCCGCCATGGTGGTTGATGTGTTGCTGGAGGCTAGAGATGAGGATAGAGGATTTGGAGCGGGATTGAGTGGTTTGCGCAAACACTTCGATCACGATGCGAACAGTCGTGAGAGATGTATCAGGAAGATAGAGACGGAACCAAAAGGTGGGATTCAGGCAAGGTGGAGTTTAGATGAAGAGGCAGGCGCAATTTGTTTTCAGAAACCGCCGCAATGCCAAGACACCAAATTCAAGTTGCTGGGGTTGGGACTTGGGAGAGGCCTTTGGGGAGGCGCTACGTGCTACCGGGTACCCGTTACTGCCTGCCTGCACAGTCTGTAGTGGCGCTGCGGGCACCGTCACCTGCATTTTTTCTTTCACCATCCAACCGGGCCATGTCACGTGTATAGGCAAATGGGTTTACGAGTACCATTCCTTGGTTCCGACAAGTAAGAAGGGAAAGTCTTTGGGTAGTCTACAGCTGCCTGACATTGCTCTGCTGCGCTCCATTGAATAGCTGCGAATATCGTACACCATTCATTGGAGCTCTCATGTCATTGCTCTGCCTGCTCTACCGCCCATCAAGGACGGCCTTGGGCTGGCAAAAGAGCGTCTCTCGCCTGGCTCCCTTTTCAGCCACCTCTTTGTGTGACTGGCTTTGTTACCCAGCTTCAACGTTGCCATGTGTGACTCTGGTGATGGGCGCTTGACCACTGAACACGTAAAATCCACAACGCAGTCGAGGAGAGCTGCTGCGAATTGATTGCAGCTGTGCGCGTGGGTTGGCTTCATGAACCATCGACTATTCTTCTTCTTGATCTCCTTGCATGTTTTGTATGTGATCTGGCTTGCTTGCGACCTGCAACTTTGCATGGCCGATGTATGTCTCCCACAAGGCGCCATGCCAGCTCAGATCGGCACAATATGACAGCCCAAAGTGCCTCTGCCACCCCAGTTTTGTCTGGGAGTCAGGTTCACTTCCAGCTCTTGAGCATCCGCTCCACTTCCACGAGAAACCATAACTTTTATCGTACGACCCAGATTTTGGCCAACAGTCTCGCCGACCTTGCGCAATCTCTCGTGATTAGACCAAATCACATCGCCGAATCTTCGAATCACATCGCCTGCTTTTAAACCAGCTTCGTGAGCCGGACTGCCAGGCTCCACGTTGTTGACTTTGGCGAAGGGAGTTTCAGGAACAGCGGGTTCGCGTTGAGGTGCGGATGCGGATGCGGATGCGGGAGAAGGTTCGGGTGGTGGTTGTAAGAGGGACTGCTTGTATTCATCTGAAGCCTGATATTTAGCATGGTGTTCATGAAGACCCTTCTCGATTCTGTCCATCAGATCTTTCCAGTCATTGCGCAGAGTAATGATCCTCGCTCGCGTTACCCGGACTTGGGCCACGTCGATATCAGATCGAGGAAAGCCATCAAAAGTAGTGAGAGTGGTCTGCATTGTGACTCCATGGCTATCCAGCACCGCACCCAATGCCTTGAGCTCTGCTTCCAGATTGTCTTTTCTAGTGATGAGTTGTTGCAGCGTCAGACCTTCGTAGGACTGCGCGTGATTGACAGACGTTGGACCACTCGGCACATGTATATCTGCCAGATTGGGATCCATTGGAAGTCCCATGGTCGTTAACCCAGACCAAATTCCTGCAAATGGTCCTTGAGCTAGGTTGGAGAATGTAGGACTGGCAGTACTTAGAGCACAACGCCTGGTGACGCCCAGTCAGTGACACCTGGGTGATGCCTTGGCTAATGCGGGATGACTAAGCAATTTCCGAGTCCTCGTCACCCCTCGTGGGTGATGCTCGTCATTCACCAAGCTGGAAAGGAGCCACTGGTAAGGCCCTCCCTCAGGCTCACCTGTCTCCTGTGTTTCCCACACCTCGTCCAGGTTGTACGAGTACATACCTAAAGTACCTACCTAGGTAGGCAGCCATGGCAATATATCGCCAATGTCTAATGCTCTTCTGTCATGTGTTAATGCACAGAAGCACCCTGATTGGAACTGGAGAACTCGAACGCATCAATCTCAGCATGGAACGCGGTAAGTTTGTCCAAGTAACTACGAAACTTTCGATTCATGCTCGATCTGCTTGATCATAAACGTGGCTCCTGTATGCTCCCGCCCCAACCTTGGTACGTTCCGTTCCTTTCGGGCTCCTGGCTAGCGGACTTGGAACCGGTCATAATCGATCATATCACCTCTGGGCTTGAGCAGGTAAAGGTGCCGCTAACTTTTAAAAAACTTTCTCCTGTAACGGCCGGATGATTTCCCATGATTCAATTCTGCTTTGTTGATAACAGTCTGCCAGCTTCAATCACCTAAGCGGTATTTCCCCGCTTGAGCGCCTCAAATCGTCGCTGAAACCATGCAATGGCCTGCCTCTCTGCTTCTTCGGCTTGTTTAGTCTCCTGTGCGTCGGGTTCTGTTCTGCTGGCCCGAACGGCAAAGCCATGCTTTGCTCCTGGATAAATGATGACCTCGGATTCAACATCTTCTTTACGCGCCAGGATTTCCTGCGCCTTGCGAACTTGCTGAATGTTCATCACCGCATCGTCGTCACCCATTGCAAATGACAGGTTCATGGTTACCCCTTCTATGTCCTGAGGGACCACAACGCTACTGGCATGAGCAGAAAAGAATGCATCTGCCAACGGTTCCCCGCTTTCGGTTCTAGCGTCCGGACGATTGTGAGTAAGTCTGAAGGGATAGAGTCCACCCCAGCAGAAGCCTGCCACCCCGACGGGGACACCCATGCCCTTGTCCGCACGGAGAGCTCGAAGGAAAGATGTCACCCTCGGCCAACCTACACCAAATCTATTTCTGACCAAGAAGGGAACGAAGTCATACATAATGGCAACAACATAGTAGCTAAAACATGTGAGCCTTCCGAGTTGCACAATGGACGTCAGAAAGGTTTTGACTTACGGGGTCGCGAGCCAGGAAGTCTTTTTATCAAACAGGTGGGCCATGTTGAGCATCGTTTTGACAGACGCCTCCTTACCTGAAGTTCAACAGTCATTTACAAAACACGACTCACAGAATAATACGGCCCAAGGGGTGGGGGTGTTTGAGGCAAAGCGATCAGAGTGCTAGTTCGACGTACCATCCATGAAATCGGGAAGATATACCAGATACTGCCCAAGCGAAGCATAATGATCCGCTAAGATCTGATTATTGACGAACGGCAATCCGAAGGCATCAGGAATGATGACAACGATTCCTTTCGGCTCTTTCCCATCGGGGGGCTCTGCAATGTAAGTACTCAGGCCATACACCTTCTCAATACGTCCCAGTGGCGTCCCAGGGTTGATATGGCCCGCAAAACACTGTGGGCAAGACATTCTTTGCCTGGAGGTGATGAGAATAATCAGGAAGAAGTATATCGGCGGAAGAGGATGGCCACAGCTGACAGCTTGATATTGGATTCTATAAAGAACGACATTGGAGGGGAGAGGGTCGGTTTTGTTGAGACGGCAGTGCAGAGCGTGCAAAAGGACATGGGTGTCCGGCTCTCCTTCTATCCCGTCCGTGGAGTACGCGCTGTCACTGGAGGCCGCATTAAATCGACCGCGGCTAAGCTAAACCTCTTTCAAGCAGAATACTGTACCTCTATTTGTCATGCTCGAATAGCTTGCCATGTGGGTGCCATGACGCGTAGTGATCTACATGACGCGCAGTACTCGTAGACGGCTTAACTACAGAAACCTCTGATTCTATGTATGTTTGGGTCAGGTGGATAGCTTATCTGGGCTTGTTCAATTAGTCATTCCAATGAATGGTCACATAGTATACAGTATTGTAGATCGGCCGCGGAATTAGCGTTGCAGAATTGAGTTTCTAGTTCCCTGCCTTAGGTACGCACGTACTTCTGCCCAGGACATACGTTCCCTCACAAAGCCCTTCAAGGTTTACATATCTTGCAGTTCGCGTAGCATCTGCTTCCACTAAGCGGGAGACGGGGAAGGAATATTGATTGGAAGATTGACAATGCTCAACTCGATGTATACATCTACTCGGCACAATTGCCCTTCGCTTACACCATGACATGCCCATGAAAGAGCGATCAGGACATGAACTCCATCATGTGGAACCGTACCGTGGCCAACGGATTAACGGTACAAAACGCATTGGGGTGTGCTCGGCCCAGAGCCAACTTCTACACGCTCTCAAGACATTCCCCTTCATCCCCCTGTTCGAAAGCTCCGCACCCAAACCAGCTCGCAACGATGACAACCTCCACCTCCGCCCGCGCTACATCGCTCAAAGTCATCCTGTTGGGCGTTCACATGGCATCAAGCGAGCCCTTCTCGGAAGCCCTGATCAAATGATCGAGGGCAACATCGCCAACGGGCCCCAGCACGGCCTCGATATCCAGTAATCCCTCACATATGCCGCGGAACCAGAATACGCGACTGTTCTCGCGAAACTCCGTGCCCAACCCTGGCACATCGTCGCTGTGGGCGCCTGGGGTCCAGTATCCGAGAAGGCCGCCTTGTTTGAGTGGCTGGCGAATGCGGCGGTGAGGTTCGTCAAGCCCACGCCGGTGATGGTGTTCAACACGAGCAATGATGGCGTTTTGCGCGCTTGTCTGAGGGTACGGCCTGAGGTGGAAAGGCTTCAGGCGCTAGAAAAGGGATCGTGATACGGCCCATGCTTGCGAGTGATTTGGACACACTGAGAAGGAATTTTCCGCACGTCAGAGTCGAGGTCTGGCTCAAGCAATATGAAGTGCCTTTTCATAAGTGTCTGAAACTCAGCTCATGTTCTTACATTTCTCAGACAAGAAGAATCCTTGAACGAAGACGTTCCATGGCTTCTCTCCACCCGTTCCTCTTATACTCATGTATTTGCTGGCCTCTCCAGCACTCTTCCATTACCATCAGGCCCTTCCATGTCATACCAGGAGGCTGAGATTGTTCCATAGTCCTGCCAACAATCCGGCGAAATCTTGCGTGGAACTCATCTGAGGCCATACATCCGACAATCGTATACGGCCAACAAACACGGATCATAAGACGAGTGGGTAGCTCCTCGAGTTTCTGGAGGCAAATGTTGATGAAAGTCTGATCGATATATGGTTGCGCATGCTCAGCCTCAAGAATTGTGGCTTGCAAGAATATTTGTGCAGCGTAGGCCCAGAGAATGCTGACGAGTCTGCTGTCTTCTTCAAGACTAGAAGCAACTGGCACATTTGCCTTGCGGCCTTCCTTTTCGAGTCTCTCAATTCCAGATCTGAGCTTGTCTGAAAGCTGAAGACCTCGAAGCGTGGTCTCCGCCGTGGTACTTATCATACATATCTGGGTTTGCTGCGCCGTTTTCCTCTGCTCCAACCTTGCAATCTCCACGATGCTTGCCAGGATCCATCCTTGACATCCCATGGCATGTTCGGGCTTGATATCGCCGTTCTCGAGAAGAGAGAGGTAGTCGAAAGCGCAGGGAGTATAACATGAAAGTCCGAAGGTAGCCGTAGCTATAACATCAACCCATATGAAGTTAGCCAGGCAAAACATGATGGTGCGTCTTTGTTGGTCGTCCAATGGAGGCATCAGCAGAACGTATGCAATGGGAGATCCATTCTGACCCATGTTGTTGTCACCTTTGGATAGAGAATAAGTCTCAATATAGTCCAAGAGCATTCTTGCGGCTTGGTGGTGCGTCTCCCAGTGCCCTTGCAGCATGCTGAAAACCTCGAGGGTGATGAGGCTCAAGATGATGTCAAGGAGTTGCACCCCAGCGCAGACGAAGTCTTGGAGCGACAGCCTCTCCTCGGTCACGAACGCATGAATTCTGGTCTGCAATTCATGGATTGCTATGTTCTGCAAGGATCTCACCTTGGAGCAGATGCCGATAGCATCAATCTTTGGTGGCTGTGTGAGGGAATGGTCAAAACATGCACTGATGCTCAAGGAGGCATGATACAAAGCTTGATCGCCGACAAGACGGCTGAGGAGCCAGCTTCGATCTCCGCTAGATGACAGCTGGTAGAATCCGTGTGTTATTGGATGGATGACTTCCAAAAATACCATGAGTAAACGTATGTCTTTTCGAGAAGAAGATGGATTGACCGGTGCTAAATTGCAGAGTGCACTATCCCACCATATCGTCTCTGGATAAAGTTGCCATACATTTGGGGTAGTCACGGCTCTGGAAGACGGATTTGAGATCATGGCAACGCTGTTCTCCGTAGATGACGATTTAAATTGGAATGAATCATCAGAAACGGTGTTCTCGTTGCTGGTGTCAGGGGCGGAGGCAAATTTCTTCAGTCCAAACTTCCTGCGAATTTTGTAACGAGTTTCTGCAAGAGCTCGAAGAGCTTTAGCCTCAGGAGAGTTCTTCACCTCTTCCCAGTTGGTCTTGTCAGTATACCAACGTGGGAAAGGCGTATTATAACCATAACACGTCAATTCGATGGAGTGACAGGTCTGGCATACTGGTCGGCCCTCGTCACATTTCTTTTTACGAAGTCGGCACGTGAGGCATCCTGTTCGACTTCGTATACCATTTGCCATCACAAGGTGTCGTTAATGTCACCGCTGTGGCCCGTGTCGATTACTTTGTTTACCAGGGCTTTGCCATTGAGCAGAATGTGAGAGACCGAGGCGTATTAAAGTGCGACGTCGCATTTGGGTGGGTCACGTGAAGTATACTTGAAACCCAAAAGAACAAGGGTCTGTTGTACCTGCATGCGAAGTTTGGGCACTAAAGATGTGATGTAGACTTGCACACTGTAGAGTACTTCCTATACAGGTGATCAATAACCAACGGGTCCCTAGTTTTGAAAAATCATGTGCCCTTTCTTGATTACTAATAATCGAATTCGGAAGACGTCACCCAGACGTGATGGTGCGGTGTCGAGAACTATGATCATAGCAACTGAGCCGTCACTGACAACACCACTGCATTTGGCCAATCTGTTTTGTTGGAAGGGAAGCTCTCCCACCAAGTCTTGTTTCCGATCAGTCGTTCTTTCTCAGGTATTCGACTCCCATAAGCGCAGAAAGAACTGCCTTAACGCCCACCAAAGGCCAGACACTCCATATGATTTCCCACAGATTTTGAAGGGAAGTATCACCTGTAAGTACACCAGTAATGCGGGCCGGGACAGTCAGAATCTTGCCTTTGTCCGCTACGATCGTTCGAACTTTTTGATAAACATCCGGCAAGCTCTCTGCGCCATACTTCCTGCGAAGCTTCTGGTACCCTTCCCGGTCGTAGATGGCCCAGAATTCTTCCTCGGTATAAAAAGTGTCAGCATATTGCCACTTCATCCCACGCAGCGACTTCAGCTTTACTTCCAAGCGCCGATTGCAGGCGACTCTGTCTTCAGAAGGACAGCGGGCCCATACACCGATGTTTAGAAGAGATTAGCAGCTCGTTCTGCCGGAAATAGTCGCTGATGGTGTATGAGGATTCATCGAAACTCCCTCGTTTCGTTTGATGGGACACAGCCACAAAGGGTATATTGCCCAGTCTGCATGCATCCAGTCCACAAATTCCGCCGCAGTCTCTTGAGGGAGACAGAGGTCTTGGATAATGTACCCGGCTCCCAATTTACTGGCGTGCAGGCCATGATATAGTATCCGAGTCGACATCAGCCAGTCAAGCGCGTAACGTGTGACATGATTGAAAGGCACACCAAACCATTCAAATACGAAAGTACCCGTCCAGAACGCGCCTCAATCATAGCGAAAGAGATACTCGGTGACTGATGCCAATTCCCGCTAAAGAAGTTCTTCATGCTGGTGTGTCTGTAGCGTGTCCTGGGCATGTATATAGAATCATTGATCCAAGCATCGAGAGAAGGAGATAGTTCGTGGGGTTTCTGCCCGTTCGTATTGACCGAGGTCCACTAGAGATCCAGAGACAACAACTCCATTAGCTTTTGAGAACATGATACTATCGACAAAATCCACAGTTGGAGACGAGGCCAAGTCTGCTATTCTCTTCTGCGCTTCTGAGAATGCATGGACTGGGTGATACGTTAATTCGACAAAGTCTCGGGCAGGAATCAATCGAAGTTCGAAAAGTGTCGCCACGCCAATTGTGCCGAACGTCGCAGCAGATCCATAGAAGAGATCAGGGTTTTCGAAGGGCGAAGCAGTGACAATCTCGCCATTAGCCAGAATAATCTCGACCCATTTGACGCATTGATCAAAGAAGCCATAGCGAAATGAACTCGATTCAGCCGGGAACGACAGGCGGAATTAGACGAAAGGCTATTGTGGCCGCCACCAATGCGTCCCTGGGGACATTGGACTCGACCAGACATGTTCGTGCTTGTTGGTCGACCGAGATCACATGTTTAAGGTCCGACGTGTCAATCGAGGTGGCGTCAGAAAAGGTCGTAGATCTTGTGCTGTTTGTGCTGCCATGGTAGATGCGGAATGGTGTCTTCTCAGCGTGAAAGAAGGCAACGCGACGTGCGATATTCGACACCGCAAGATGGTGTACGTCCATGATGCAGGTTAAAAAAATATGGAATTAGCAGACCCCTTGACGGGTCATGGAGAAGCCCTAAAATCAACTCATAACACGCGACTCACGGGGAAAATGTGGAAAGGAAGGTCAAGGGCAAGAAGGGCATGCTCAAGGTTGGGAACTCCTGCCCAGTTGGTAACTTTACTTACAGTTCGCGACCTCTAACGCACATTGTGGCTGTTTATCGAAAACCCATTCTGAGTCTGCCACGTCTGATTTGCGCAAGAGCCATGCTTCATCCATCAGGTCCACTATCTGCTGGTATGTATGGACTAGGAATTTACTTTCTGCAAGCTGTGAATTCCAGTGATGCAGAGCCATTTGCACATCTGAAGACAGGACAAATGCAGAGTAGGAAGGTAGATGAGTATGCTGTCGATTCGACCAGTGGCACAACCGCCATGGACACCGCTCTGGAGGCACTACAATGTTCTCGTTGGCCTTGAGTGGTCCGCAACGGGGAGGAGATCTGAGCTAGTAGGTTCAGGTGCTGTAGAATCACCGCGAGTACCATGGACTCCGTTCTGAATACCTAGTAGAGGTCGGTCTCAACACATGCAGTTCAAGGTCTGGGATGTTGTGGGCTGAAAGGTGATAGCCAGCCCGACCACCCATTCTTGCAGGTTGGCATTAAGCTAAGACTGAACACGAAGAGACCATCGTACGCATCTTCTCACCAAAAGGGAGACAAGGTTAGTAGAGACTTTGGTTCAGCAGACAGTTGTCGCTTGGTGGCTGAGGGCGCCTGGAACAGCGGTTTTAGGCATAGCGCCGCCTGCAAAGGGAAGCCCGAGGACTCCCTCAGCTTGTTTGCTCGCCGTATCCGACCAAGCACGTTTCGCGGCTGGCGGGAAGGTGGCTCATTGAAGTCTGTGGTACTCCGAATACTAACCAGCAATATGGTTTAACACACAAGGAATCAACCGAAGCATAAATCGCGAGGTAGGCTCCCCAGATTCCAGCCGTTACTCTTTGGAGCCAACTTGATTTGAGACTGCGCTTATTTAAGTCATCTGAACTTGGTAGGTCCGGTAGTTCGTGTTTCCCGGCTCAGCTCAGCCGCATCATCTGTCAAGAGAATTAATCCGCGCTGCAAATCTGCGAGCGGATCTCTCCTTAAGAAGGGATCTGACCACCACTTCTCACCTTGGAACAAAAGTTCTGTACCATCAAGACACAATGACGCTGGTTCCAGGCTCCCAGTTCACTTATTTTGCGTACAACCCCAATCTTGCCGCCAATGGACTATGCATTGCCATTCTGTCGATATGCCTGCTTGGCCAGCTCACTCAAGTTATATGGTACCGCACATGGGATTTCATGGGACCGATGCTTGGAGGTATTCTGTAGAGTTGATGGGATACACTGCGCGACTCTTATCCACAAAAACTCTGGCAGTAGAGAAGCATTTCTCTTGTTGGTGTACTCGAATCGATCTGGTCTAAGAGGCTGACATCGTGCTGTAGGGATAATACCACTCTCATCCTAGGCCCAGCATTTTTGGCAGCTTCTATCTATCTCTGTATGGGCCACCTTGTGCGAGTTTATGGTGAAGATCTTTCGGCTCTCAGGGTACGTTCGTGGAATGTAACTCTGCTGCTTGGGGATTTCGCTGACCATTAACTAGCCCCGGACGTACCTGTTGATCTTTGTCGCTTGTGATCTTGTCAAACTGATCCTTCAGGGGCTTGGAGGAGGTATCTGCTCCACTCAACAGCAACCTAACGGGATTCAAGCCGGTATCGACATTGTCATTGCTGGATTGGCCACGCAGGCGGTTTCCCTATTCATCTTCATTTGCTGTTGCATGCATTTCGCCAGCAACGTTCGCCGTCGGCCGCAGCAGGTACTTGATCGGTTTCGTCATGTCAGAGAGACCTGGTCTTTCCATGCATTCCTCTTTGGTTCGTTTCCGCTCCTAATGTACAATGGTTCGACCAGTCTGCTTACAAGATATCTTGTGCACAGGAGTCGGAATGGCAACGGTTTGCATATTCACACGATCAGTCCTTCGTATTGCCGAATTGCGACAAGGCTTCACTGGGCCACTTGCCAACAGCGAGATCCATTTCATGGTATGGAATACCTGTCCCTTTCCACCAGCCGTAAGAATAACTTGCAAGATTTTGGAAGGTGGGATGATCCTCATTGCCACGGGCGCACTGACAGTTCTCCATCCTGGTCGTTGCTTTCGAGGGTGCTGGACAATTAGAGAAATCAAGATGAGGAGCCAGACTATGCCAGATACGATGCAGCAACCGTTGACATAGTCAAATTGCCGAGAGCAATATTAAAGAGCTATCCCCCAGCCTCAACTCAAGAGACCATCATCCCACCACAGCGCTCGGTCGCTGAGTTGGAGGTGGCAGAGGTCATCGTACAGCCGAGATGACGGAAGTTATATAAGTCGGAATTACAAGCGTTAGATCTTTGACTTTAGCGAGAGCTGGGTTCCGCAACGAATGATTGTTATGAAGTTATGATTCACATTCACACTCAACGTGTTTTTAGATTGTGATATATGGACAAAACAGAGATGTAATAGCTTACAGATTTTCCTCCTAGAACTCGTATTTAGGCTTCGCAGCCCACACTAGAACAAGGTCTTCTTTATCAGGAGGCGCCAGCGACGCAAAGTGATATGTAATTTGGGCGGTAGGGTCAAAGCAGGGAGGTCTCACGGGTGGGACCGATGTGAATACCTACCTAACTAGATACCTGGGTCCCTATGTGAGGTGGTTAGATAGTTGGCACCCAAAGACTGGCGGAGAGGACAGCTCGCTTTTATTCCAAGCTCCCAAGCACGTGGTGCCAAGAGCCGTCGTCCGTCGCCGCCTCATTGCGTCAAGATGTAAGGAGCTTCAGCCTCTTGCTTCAGCCTCGAGCCTCTCCCTTACATCCCCTTTTCGCACATATTCACTACATCCATCCTGCGAATCTATGATTACCCAAGTCACTCATGACGCGCGATGACCTCCTTCACCCACTTTCAGCCATCGAGCTCGATTGAAATGTGCCGACAGCCTCCGAGAAGAGAAAAGCCACATGGATATGTTCCTCCGTGAGTCGAGCCGTAACGGGCTCCAACGCCAATGTTTCACAAGACAATCTCATTGCGTGTCTGTACTGCCCTTGTCAGCCTGTTGGGTGATTGATTTCCAGGTGCAAAAAAAAGGTCACAAATTTCTGGACCGGCTCCGCTCAACAGGTCATATTGGCACTCAAGGAAACGCGAGCCTTGCTCTTTCCTTGTTACCACGCGCCTTGGACCTTCTTTCACTGTTCTCGCGGAACTGCTGAATCCAAGTCCAAATCTATGTGACTGCTTCACATTCATTTTCTCTTTTCTTCATTGTTGCTGCTGCAATTCTCTATCGCTCAGCTTTTGGAATTTCTTCGACCTTGGTCGCTTGGTCCTCCTCATGGGAATTTTGACCGTTGGTTTCTTTCTCTTATTCATCGTTGCACAATCATTTCTTTAATCATTTTGCTATTTCTCTATTGCTACAGAATGACTGTTCATCTCTTGTACCCCTCCATCCCAAGTCCACTCCTGAGGCATTTTGACACGACACCTCAATACCTCTATACGTCGAACTTGGCTAATTCTGACCATCCAAATGCTTCATCCTTTGCCATCCACCCTTTCCCTCTTCACCAAGATGACCAGGATTCCACCACTTCGATTCTGTCTATTGCTTCTGCGCCGGTTGACATCACCACTGAGGACGAGAATGGGAATGGGAATGGGAATGGAAATGGAAATGGAAATGTTGATCCATTCGAGGTGGAAGTATTGCCGCCGCCATCAGCAATGAGCTCGGTCTCAAATGACCTGACGGGGACGAGACTTCCAGGTCAGACCAGAAGATCGATGAGCTGTAGTCAAGCTGAGGGGAGAACCGTTCCACAAAACAGTCCTCGTAATGGTCGAGCAGCACATCATACGCGTATCCCACTGACCGAATTACATAACCAAGAAGGAAAGCAGCAATACTTGCACAAACGTATCAGACCAATATTTGGGATCAATCTACCTGGAGCGCTGCTATCGAACGGAACCTTGGCCGCAAAACGAGGCACGCACCAGACCGGATCAACGACAGCACGTAATGCAGCCCATACGATCTCATCCCATCTCCCACAGCCTCGCCAGATTATCAGAGAACCAGACACTCCAGCTTCTACCCAAGTAGTTGCACTTCCAGATATAAATGGCGCACGCAAAATGCATCATGGCAAACGGCACTCAACCGCATCCTCAGGGTTCGTGCACACTGTCAAAACGGCAAGCCTCAGCAACGCCAGCTTTAGTCTTGCACCCTTGTCCTCAAAGATCGGCTGGTCTACTGATAGTTGTGGTGGGTTGGGTTCACATCATCGCCAATCTACGGATAGCGATCGACCTGCAACAAACTCATCGATGGATGAAGCCGCTTTTCGAAGAGGACTAAAGAGACGCCAAATACTTGGAGAGCTGGTGCGAACAGAGGAGAGCTACGTTGCGGACCTTAAAGCGCTCATTTACATCTACTCAACCCTTCTGGCAACATCAATGAGATTCCCAAGCGGTGTCCGAATCTCTGTTGAGAAAAATGTCCATGAGCTGCTTCACATACATGAAAAGCTTCTGGGTCGCCTTCATCAAGCAGCATACGATGCAGCTGCAAGGAAATGGGCTGACACAAGTTCGCCGCAGCATCTCGGCTCGCCTCGTCAGCATAGGCGCTGGCGAAGCCTGGAGTCCACACTAATCAACAAGTTCAGCCGTGCCAATCGGCCGACGCAAAGTTCTGTAGACTCTGGAGAGTTGACTTATGGTCGGGCAAATTTGGGCTGCGCTGAACCAAGAGATGTCTCTGACATTGCAATATTGTTCAAAGACTTCTTGAATGATTTCTTCGCATATGAAGAATACTGCGCGAACCACACCCTAGTTGCACATGAACTTCAGAAGCAAATGCCCGAGATGTGGTCGACATATGAATCTGGCATGGAGTCACTTGCTAAGACGCTGATTGCGCTTGATCACCGTAAGTGTGACGAGCGAAAGGGGAGAACAGTCGGCGACCTTTTGATCAAGCCAATCCAACGCCTGACGAAATATCCCTTGCTTTTCGAAGATTTGCTCAGGGAGACGCCAGTATCAGATTGCCCATCTAGTCATGCCGATATTGAGGCAACAATACAAGGACTACGAGAAGTCATCCGAGCCGTCAACGAAGCGACGAACAACGACGAAGCTCGGGCTCAGGTTCTTCGTCGCAGGTCATTGCAATCGAGGCTCACCTACGAGCAGGTGACCATTCGATCCGAAAATTACCGACTTCTGGGCGAGATTCGCTTGTGTGGTGTCCTCCATGTAACATGGCAAACCAAAAGCAGGATTGATGGAAGGTACGCGGTTTGTGTGCTGTTCGACTTCAGCTTGATGATCGCCTTGCAAGCTGGGACTACATCTCAACTGGACCTTGTTGCATTTTTGCACCTTTGCGATTTTAGAATCGAGTCAGCCAGTGATGGTCAGGGTCTCCAATGTCATTCAACTCTTCATACGTGGAAACTCTGTGCTCAAATTAATGGCCACCTAAATGAATTCATCATGAGTGCCTGCTCGTTAACTGAGGAGATTGTTTGGAAGGACGGTCTGCAGGGGAGATATAGTCCGAAAAACAGAACAGAAGACCTTTCCAGGCATATCCCAAGCAGTGTCAGTCTTGACCTTAGATCGGTTGGAACAATCTACGGTCCACAGAGTGCATTATCAGGCCGAAACCCCTCGCGGGCGGCGACGGTGGGAAATCGAGCCAATATTTCTCAGGTCATCGTCCGGAACACACATAACCCACAGGATCTTCACGAATATCGCCAGATCTCTTGCTCGTCAATCAACAGGTCACAGTCTCATATGACATCGAATCGAATTGTTGTGCTGTCACCAAAAAGGTCAGAACGAGCGAGACTAGAATCTGGTCTGGCCGATGTCTGGACGAGGGACAAACTGCCATTCCCAGGAATGATCGGGTCTCGAGGAGGCCAGATCATTCGAGCCTCTGCAGGCTCTTTGGCTCGAAAGTTGAGTCTGGCATCAATTCACGCGCCCTTCTCCAGACGGTCAGGGAGCATTTCGATAGTGAGCCGAAAATCTTATGACACCTCAACCGAAGGGCGGAGAAGGAGTAGGAAAGTGTCACCTCCGGTCTTCGAAGTCCGTAAGGAAAGTTTTGAAGAATTGGCCCCTACAACCACTAGAAAGAAGTCGCATGAAATGCCGGAGATTGACACGATGGATAATCTGGTCAGTCGCATGATAGGTAACAGTGGGAGCAAGCAATCTATCTTCTCACAAGGTGGTGGCAGTTTGTGTAAAAGAAGTACAAGAAGGCGGACAGCATCTGACTCTTGCACTAACATCGGCCCAGAAGACTCCACCGAGAAAAGTCGTTCGGAAGAGAAGCACAAAACTGAAAAGGATGAAATGGTAGAACAAGGTCTTGAGGGTAAAAAGAAACGATGGAGCAATCCAATTGGAATCCTGAAGGGCTTGTCGAGTGAAGGCCTTCGGCACATGTTGTATTCGAGCAAATAAGGGTGACGTTGGACATGGAGGGCATAGATGTCAAGCCAGTTTCTATGGTGATAAATCAATACATTAATCGAGGTACTGTATGAGGGAAGCTTTGAAGAGTGGGAGAGTGGCCAGCTTCAAGCTTTATTAATAGTTTCAGTCACGAGGTTCATGCATTCACTTTGGCTTGTAATCAGAGTCATTGTAACATTTCTACGAGTATAAAGTAGTCGTCAACGACCAGAGTGAGTCACCAGCCATGACGACCGAGCTACGCCCAGATGTCCTGTTTGTGCATGTCACGATAGGCGGATTCGTGCCCGACGAGGTACGACGTACCGAATATCCTATGTCCCGTACGAGTACAGCATCCACGTACTCGTACATGTACATAACCGGCAGGAGGAATTTGTTCCTCGTTATTGATCTGAACGTTTGTCACTACCGAGTACTGGTGAAATTGATTATTAGTCGGTCGATCATCGCGGCACCTGGAAATTAAGCTCCAGCCGCTTGGGCCAGGGTACCTGCATCAGGTGCGGAGTAAAGTAAACGTAAGAAGTTGGGAAGTTGGGAGGTCAGTCGAATAAGCAAGGGGCTTTTTTTTATATCTCGGGTGGTGTGCCGTGTTGGTGGTCACTGGTCACGAGTCACGAGTCACGAGTCACGACGGCACAACGAGCACGACCTTCTTTCTAATTTCAGGGGTGTGGAGCTCATGGTTGGTCTGAGACCAGCTTTCGTCTGAGGGCGTTTCGACGGCGGTGGTGGGATGTGGATGTGTCAGGAGGACCCAATCTTGATTTCTCGGTCTTTTGAGCTTGCGGGGGCTTTTGGAGGATGTGATTGTTCTCGGTCCCTCGTACTCGGTGCATGCCTCGTACGGGTACGGGTACGCGCGGGGGGATGACTCCTCTCTGTATGTGTGCGCGCTACATCAAATCACGGACGAGATATGCTCGGGGAGGAGGAACAAATTATCCTGCTTTTCATCGCATAGGAACGTACTGTCAAAATGGGCCGGGAGAGCGAAACGCTCGCTCCCCACTCTCTCGGAAATGTATGTATGTACAGATTTGCAAGACATTAATTAGGCTAGGCGATTTGGACATCAAAAATACTTGGATATATGGGATTTGGTCTGGTGTTGGCTTAGATCTCTTTCGTCCTCGATTCTCCATGAGCTTCCCTCAACGTCACTCCATCATAGCTGAGACTCATGCGGTGGTCGTGGAGACCTCTCTTTGAAGAAAGGACAGGTGAGCAGAATCGGCGGACGGCAGAAGAAGGAAAACCCTGTGGGAGATATCTCCCTTCCTCGATGGTGAGGTATTTTACAGGACCAACGCCAAGCCAGCCATGGCCATGGCACCAACACCGGCCAGCTTTCCATTGACGTTGGCGGCGCCGGTGAAAGTGGAAGCAGGTGGTGCGACGGTTGAAGTTGGCTTGACAGAGGTGGGCATGACCGTGGTGGCAGGGGCACTGGTGGCGGGGAGCATGCTGGTGTGGCCAGAAGCGATGGAGTATGAGATCGTGGTGGGAACTGCCCAGGTGGAAGCGCCGCTGCTGTAGGTCGCGGTGTAGCTGGTGTAGGATGTCCACTCCGAAGCTCCGGTCCAGGCAGGAGCGCTGACAGAAGTCGGTGTCACGGCTGGAGCGGACGCTGCGGTCGCCGATGTCCATGTGCTGTGCGCGTCGCTGAACGTGAATGTGAAGTCCCAGTTGGGCTCGGCGGCGGCCATTGCGGCGGCGGCGAAAAGTGGGATGGCGATGAATGACTTCATTTTTGCGGTTGCGGTTTGCCTGTGCTTTTCTTCTCTTGAAACGAGTGAATACGCAAGTTGGTGGAAAGAGAGTGTTTTATGGAAGGCTGAACGAGTGTGATTTTTGAAGCGAGTGTAAAGGGTGTGTTCGACGAGGAAACACAGACACTGATATAGTCCCACTGGTTGAGAGAGTGTAAGATGCTGTCTGAAAACAAGCAACGTCGGTGCGTTTGTCAATAATACAAGCGTTGAGAGGGATGAGGGAAGCAAAAGCCTCCCGACTAGGCAACACGAGTTGCTATATACGAACGAGCGTGGTGGAAAGACAAAGGGGAGAGCTAGTTTGCGCTCGGTGCTCCATGGTGTGGGTATCGACGTGTCAAGCCAGGACAGCCTTGCGCAATATGTCCCCTGGGATTGGACCATCTCTGTGGGTGTGAACAATCGACCAGGGGTATGGAAATTGGCATCGGTTGCAAGCGATCTGTTGGCCCCCAGCAGCCCACTAAACTGAGTTCAAAGTGCGGAAGCAATGCAATCAAGCTTTGGAGGGCTTGGAAGCTTTGGATCTGGAGTTGTACTCGTACATGGACCGGACGGTTGAAACACGAATACTGCCAGGTCTGAACTGTATGACTCTTACCTATTTGTTGTGGTCGGCGATAACATTGGGTTGCGTCAGCTGGCAGGTTTGACAGATGGCCACATTGAATAATGTCCCCTTTGGGGCTCGCCCTGAAAGGCAAAATTGACCCTCAGGGTAGCCTGCCTGAGACACTTGGTAGTTGGACTAGATGTCGTAATGCCTCATATCTTTGCATCGAAAGCGACCCCCAACCAAATGGATCTGTTAAATTTGGTGACTTGAGTTTGAACGATTTGAAATGCAAGAACCAGAGATGGAGTTTTCGCGTGACAGTGGGCTAAGCCTGTTTAAGAATTCTTAGCCAACGCTTGGCAAGACAAGCACTGGAGGAGATCGAGCCTCAGCACGTGGTCCCCGTATTCTTTTTCTTGCATGTTTTACATCGTTATATAATTGATACGTCATGATATTGAGAGCCTACGCCTCGATGTTTAGTGTGTCTATGTCCCCGGGGTGCCGAGGGTCAGAGTCTCACAGTCTCACAGAATCAAAGAACTGGCCTGGTCTCCATTGAGCTGAGCGCGGGAAACCCTCGAACCACCAGGAGAAGAGCCTTTTGGTACAAACAGACAGTCCCACCAGTCTTTGATAGCCTCGAGCATAACGCCTTGTGGCAAGAGCGGCTCAGGGGTTCTATTGAGTTCTCGACAACAGTCCTCTCTGTTCGAATCATTCCATGTTCACAGTCTCGAGGAAGCCCAATAGCCACCTCTACGACTCGAGTTTTCCATCTTCTCGAGCTCGAATTTAGTGAGAACCCTAGTAAAGTTGGGCGAGTGAGTACAAGCCACTCTCCCACTTCCCATACTAGGCTTTACAAAATGTCAATGCACTGTTCTTCTTGGCGGTTGTTGTCAAGACAACCCGCGTCAGCCGAGCATTGTCCGTCCATGTTGCGAGCTCTGGCATGGTCAAGCTCACCTGTCACCGTGACCAGGTTCCTCGTAACTGACCTAACATGAGCCTTCGAGGCCATGGAGGGAGACCAGCTGCATTATCAATTAATCCGTTCCCGATGCTGGGAACATCTGGAGAGGCAACCTGCACGATCAGAGCCTCCATCCCAGAAGAATGAATAGTGATTGAATAGGGTAATGATTCTGCTTTCGGGTGAGCGACAATTGAGCATGAGGAGCTCCGAGAGGCAGTGCTGTGGAGATTTGTAGGAATTTCGAACACGCTGGCTGCTTGTGCAGGCTTTACAGGCCGCACTGATATTGTGGGGATCGAACCAGACTGCATACCCTGTTAATTTGGAAGGCTCTGAGCTTTTGATTCCTGTGAGTTTTGGAGGAACTCGCTCTGGGTGATGCTGGTCGATAGAGCGACTTGAAGGCTCCCACAAGGGGCTAGCAAGTTCAGATTCGACAGTAGCCAGACGTTATCGAGTAGCTACCTGAGGCGCTTCCCCCGACGGTGAGCCTGGGGGCAAGGGGGAGCGAGATGTAGAAGGAGGTACCTGTTCGTGGCATAAAGGCGTGGAAGTGATGAGAGGCAGCTGTGTGTTTACGTAGGTTTCCGTCAATAAGTCCTCGTCTCTGGCCTGCGGAAGGGATCGGCCATTTTTCAATATTGGGGAGGATCGGACAAGAGAGTCCCACAGACATAATCAACCCGGTCACTGACGGTCTCTTCACTGCCCGCACTCCGAACCCTCTTGGGACCCCTTTGCCATTGTTCTGTTCCGTCTCAAAGTTTACTGTGTCAAGGAACGAACATGAGACTGTCTCGAGAGTATCGACGTGGAGAAAAAGGCGCCCAGGGGGAAACGGAAGCTTATCATCTCCGCAGCTATCTTCTTCTAGGCCATGGGAAAGTCAAGAATGAACTTCCCTGAGCAATGGCAGATTTGGCGCGATCAGCGCTGTATGAGGTACATACCCACCTCAGACAGGGTACACCTGGAAGTCTAGCTGATGCAACCTCCATTGTAAAGGGCTCAGGATTTCCGTGTCGGCGTGATAGGAAACCAATGTTTCGAAAACTCGTCGACGGCACTTGGTCCCGCTATTGTGATCCCCACGTCAGGGGGCCAGTCGTGAGGAAATAGAAAGTCTGGAGGGAATGGGTAAGCTTGAGGTCTTGTACTGGGCACAAGGCTCGTTCTAGAAATCGAGAGCGATGTTGATGAACGAATAGCCTCGTGGGGCACCGGCATTTTTGGATCCTTCAGGAAGCAAGCCGCATGAGTCCACTTGGAAAAGGCGACGTGTTTAGTTGACGCGACATGGATGGATGCACAACACTTTCGGGATTGAGATTTAGCTATGTTCGTACCGCAGGATAGCAACTGGGGGCCAAAAGTTATCGCCTAGCCGTACTTAGTCTGGAGGCCCCCATCCAACGTCAAGCAACGACAAGCACGACTCACGACGACATCAATGTGAAGACGTCAAGGTACAAAGGACATGAGGCCTCCTCATTCCCCGATACTAGATATAATATCTACAAAATGGGGGGTGGATTGACCCTGTTTCCAAGAGTCGTCTTCCCCTTCCTCCCCGTGACTAAAGAGAGTCATCGACGCGTCTGCAACGATCCAGCATTGTTCCCAGTTGAACTCAACAGTCACACTGTTATATATATATTTCATTTAGACAGCTCAGCTGGTCTATACTTTGCCGGGTCTGGCACCACCTCTCTTGGGAACAGTCCAAGGTTCTGCACAGACGGTCTGGAAGGCGATTATATCAGCAAGACGCCATAAAGATAAGTCGGAAAGAGTATCTTACCTCGCCCTCCGAGTATGCCCAAAAATAAACGATAACTCCAATAACATAATACAAAGCAGCGTTCGTCGCTTGGTATAGCAAAGCTGCGGCCAAGGCTGCCACCGGGAACAACACTAATCTTGCTTCCATACTTCGGTGGAGGCCAGGAAGCATCGAGACGACTGGCTTCACAGGCCACTCCCAAGCGAATATCAATATGCCAAAGATGACGTTGAGGATTTGTAATGCCGGGAATGGTTTGACGGCCTTGTCGAGGTTCTTGGTGAGGAAGTCCCATAGGATCTTGGGCCAGAAAAAGCCTTCAACACCTGCCATGACTTGATATGCAGCGGCAGTGAGGACGATGAGGCGTGCCCAATGGTTCTTGATGAGTTTACCCATGGTGATGAGTGGGTTGTTTAAGAAATTGAAGCGACGAAGATGAGGTTGAGCAACGCTAGAGAAGTGAAGGCCAAGGAAAACGAAAGTCGTCTTTGATGAAGAAGTAAAAGAACGGGAGCACACAGTAATTGACGACCGGCGCCTGGCTCTCACCGCAGAAGCATGAGGGCTCTGGCGGTATTAAGAGGAAACGGGCAACCTGGTGGACCAGGGATGACGGGCCACCCTTTCTGTCGATGGAGACCGAGATGATCTCGGCGATGGGGTGACCCGAAGAGCAGATAGTTTCGAAAGAGGGAATTGGTCTGGTTCGTGGCAGTAACAGTCAGAGATGGCCGTTAGGGGTGCTGGACAATGCTGGTTCTGCGACTGTACGGTGTCTGAGCGTCGGAAGCGTTCGGTGGTCGCGATGGGCAGCCGTGTTTGGCGCGTATGAGGCTGTTGCAGGTGTCGTCTCGTCTTGCGACTGAATCTGTTTCGAAGTGGAGTTGGGTGTTGGCAGACCACGTCAAAGCGTTGGATCACCCAGAACTTATGTTTGAATCGGCTCTGGATGGCAACGATGGACTTACGATGAGGGAATCGGTGTAAGAATCGTTAGTTTGCCAGATTGTCAAAATGCAGCTCATCGTGGGATTATGATTTCGAGTTGTTCGGGCGGTGGCTCTACATGGGGACATGGAAACATTTCGGCATCACGATACACGAACCAATGCGAGGATAACTCACCCCCCACAGCATCCAGAATTCAATAGTTGCAATCTACAGTCGCCAGATCTAGAGGTTCGGGCCATGGCAAGGACGGGTTTAGACGGTGAAGACCTGGGAAATGGGTGGTGATTCTTGTAAGGTTGGGAGAAGATCGAAGCTGATTGGAGTTGGCGGGAGGAGAAAGCAGGCACCATAAGCGCCTGAAAATAGAATCAGACGAGGGCCAGTCAGGCCATCTGCAGGTGCAAGCAGAATGAAGGCCATTGAAGCCATGAATCGTGGAGACTTGTGTGAATTGATGGGCAATGCTGGCCCGTGGGTGGTTGAGATGCATCGTCGGGATGGAGGGGTGGCAGCGAATGAACAATGGGAGGCCCGGTGACACGAAGTAGTGCATCGGCCGCCGCATTGCTCCTTCCCCCATTCTGCAGGCTCAGCGTTTAATCGACGTCCTGGGTTCGTTCAGCGAGGTCCCTGGCTCTTGGTGGGAGCCCCACCTTCCTCATGTAGATGGGCTCTTGCTCGTTCAGTCTCTAGGCAGGTGCTACCGACTCTGCCCTTCCCTGCTCCCCTACCGCCTTCCCTAAACACTACTGTCCTGGGCACCACTCCACGACGTGATTGTGAATCAATTATCACCATTTCCATCAGATGAGCACTTCAGTGAGAAACAATACCACGGCACACGCGGGATCATACAGCATCGTGTCTATCGCTTCAAGGCTTCATCATATGATAGCCCTGCGAACTACTGCACGCCACTCATCCTCATCCCCCGGTGCTCCCTCCCTTCTCCTTCTTCACCAGGACCAAGACTCTTGTCGTCAACAGCACCTCGCCAACAAGATTCATGCTCACAAACCCCATAAGCGCCCAGGGCATGATGGAAACAATCTTCGACCAGGGTCAAGCCTCTCGCCACGCGTCTGCCCTGAGTTACCAGCGTACCAGTATCTCAATTGGTAGTAGTCAGTATCGGGAACCCAAAACCCTGGCTGGACTCCACCCTAATTGCAAACGCATGGCAGTGACCCATCACGATTCACGAATTGCATTAATTGCATGCGAGCGGTGACCACCAGGGATTCTCTGGAATATCCAGTCGATTGGGATCATTTCTTCGTCGATATACTAATATCATACTGCCGTCTACACACGTCCTCTGTTTTGACTTTCGATCTCCCGTCTTTGTTCTTCCTGAATGCCTGGCTTAACTCCCCGTCCCCACGAAAAGATCTGATCGACCCACCGGGATCTCAACCTACCCACTCGAAACACTCGCCCAACTCCTTACTGTTCCAGCGTTGTCGCAGTGCTGGGCCCAGCATTTACTTTAATAGCTCTTCGCCCTTCGCTCAAGTGTCGGCTGTTTGAGCTCCTGCTTCACCTTGGATATTTTGTTCCCCAGACCAAGACACTCTCAAACGCCTGATGCCACCCTGACCTCACTCCATCCAATTTAACACTTAGGGAGATCGTATGATCGAAAGCCGGATACCCAGCCTCCGGAAAACCAGATCTTCTCATAAGCCTCAACTCTCGGCTTTCCTTGAGCTTGTCAACAGCTGGCTGCATCTCTGTCGTTATTACTGCTGGCTCGGAATTCGACATTCATTTCACTACAACACCTTGTCTTTGGTTTCTTTTTTGGAAGTACGTACAACTCTCACGCCTGGTTATGCAGATAAGATAGCACACTGCAATCGCGACCGAACAGCATCCCTCCACAAGTAACCAATTCACCACTCTTTATTTCAAACCACCTGCAACCATGGCTACACTGAGATCCCATTTTGCTCCAAGCAAACTGGTCTTTTACTTTTTCTGGTGGGGATTCCACTGGGGTGCTTTCGCATTCGGCTGGTAGGTCAAACGTGACTGCGATGATTGAAATACAGATGTTGACATGATCATCACAGGTGGAAGCAATACTCTGATCCGAAACTAGCTGGTCTCAATACTCTAACCTTCTCAGTCTGGATATCGCGAGGTGCTGGCTTGGTCCTGTCGTTCGATGTCATGTTTATTCTTCTACCCATGTGTCGAAATTTGATGCGATTCATCCGGCCGAAGTTCAAGTTCTTGCCACTCGACGAGACTATCTGGTTCCACAGACAAGCTGCCTACGCTATGCTGGTCTTCACCGGTATCCACGTACTAGCTCATTACGTCAACTTCTTCAACGTCGAAAGGACCCAGATTAGACCTGTCACAGCTGTTCAAATTCACTACGCTCAAGCCGGCGGTGTTACTGGCCACGTAATGCTCCTTTGCATGTTGCTCATGTACACAACAGCACACCACAAGATCCGACAGCAGTCCTTCGAGACCTTCTGGTACACCCATCACTTGTTCATTCCATTCTTCCTCGCCATGTACACCCACGCTGTTGGCTGTTTCGTTCGTGATACCGCTCTCCCATTCTCGCCATTTGCTGGAAAAGATTTCTGGGGTCATTGCATCGGCTACCAGGGCTGGCGTTGGGAGCTTTGGGCTGGTGGTCTCTACCTCTTTGAACGCCTGTGGAGAGAGGTTCGTGCACGCCGGGACACCAAGATCTACAAGGTTGTCCGACACCCCTACGATGCAATGGAAATTCAATTCCAGAAACCCAGCATGAAATACAAGGCGGGCCAATGGCTATTCATTCAAGTTCCCTCGGTTTCTGGCCAGCAATGGCATCCTTTCACCATCACCTCTTGTCCATTCGATCCCTACATTTCTATCCATGTCCGCCAGGTCGGTGACTGGACCAAGGCAGTTGGAGATGCTCTCGGCTGTGGTCCATCTCAGGCCAAGCAATTCGATGATCTGGACAATAATGGAATCTATGAGATTGCCCTCCAACATGGCCAAGAGATGCCTGCGATCCGAATCGACGGTCCATATGGTGCACCCGCTGAAGATGTGTTCGATAATGAGATTGCGGTCCTCATTGGTACTGGTATTGGTGTTACTCCATGGGCATCTGTCCTCAAACACATCTACAACATCCGTGCCGGGCCCAACCCACCCCGTCGTCTCAAGCGTGTTGAATTCCTCTGGGTAACTAGGTCCATCGAATCCTTTGAGTGGTTCCAAACCCTTCTCTCCTCTCTCGAAGCACAATCTGCACAGGCCGCCGAGACCGTGGGGGGACCTGAATTCTTGCGTATCCACACCTATCTAACCCAGCGCGTGGATGCAAACACCGCTGCCAACATCTACCTCAACACCGTCGGCAACGCAGTCGATCCTCTGACTGAGCTGCGCACCAAGACTCAATATGGTCGACCCGACTTCCATCGTCTGTTTGGCGCAATGCGAGACGGCCTGATGGACAACTCGTACCTTGATGTGGGGAAGGAGGGCTCTCTTACTGCTGGAACGAAGGCCACAGTCGGTGTCTACTTCTGCGGTCCTAGTGCTGCAGCACGCGAAATCAAGAACGCTGCCAAAGCCACGAGCAATGACTTGGTCAAATTCCGATTCTGGAAGGAACACTTCTAGATGAAAAAACCTCTGGTACCTGCCAAGGTTTAATCGACTGGCACTTATGGTTTCGTCGGGACCCCCAGTGCCCACGGAAAGATATGTGTATCAGCAAAGCAGTGTTTTTATATTTCAATTCCAATCTCCAGATGTTTTGATCCGGAGAATTCTTCATGCCGATGAATTTATTTCTTGTGGCAGAAGGTTTAGTTGTTGTACAGAAATTTTTGAGCGATTGTTGTAAGCCTACTCCTACAAACTCACCGACGCACCTCAGTATATCACCCCAACGATACCACTTTGTTTTCTTTTGCACATCCAAGCCCCAGACAGCAAGCAAGCAATACTTGGGGAGAAAGCCCTCCCACCATTCACTATACATAACCATGCCCACTCCCATCATCACAGGGCGAGAGTGGGTGGGCATGGCTTCGGCGTTACCTAAAGGAGGGGAAGGGAGTTCAGACAGGATTGTTTGTTTTTGAAGATACTCCCCCAAGCATCCTATATCATCACGTATGTGTGTGTACAGTACGATTATGGAAAACCACCCATAGCTCATTTCGTGAGAGCAACGACCGGGTTTTGTGATTACCCCCATCGGGGCAAACCAACTCGGTCCAGCAGAAAATGGCATGGCTACGAAAGAGAGAAGAGAATTCTCTTAACGACGAGGAAGAAAGAAGAATCACAGGGATAGGGGACGCCTTGACCACCACGAAAGAAAGAAAAAAGGAAAAGATTTCTCTCTACGTATTTCCGGCACCATCGTGCTTTGGATGGTTGCCCATAAGATTTTTTTTCTTTTTTGGCAGCCAGAAAATTTCCCGAAGGGACCAGTCGGGGTTTTGGATCTAGTTATATATACATCTGTGCATGAACATCTGTGCATGAATATATGAGACGCCCACTCTCTTTGCCAACTGCCAAAACCTATTTCCATGTTCTCTTATTTTATGAGATGCGATCGTATGAGTTCGTACTTGGTAGAGAAGGAAGCCTTGGTTTTCGCGAGGGGGCGATTTTGGACGAGACAGGGAAGCAAGTGTGGCCTGGTCAAATTGCACGATACAAACTACTGTGGAGACAAACGAAGCCAGGATATTCACACCACGATTAACCCCCGAGTCTGTCCATGTGTACGTATTGATACCCGAGCTCAAAAAGCACCTACGTAGCAGAAAATAACAGCTTGGCCCATGTTCGCAGTGGCAACACATGCAAGTCTTTCTCCGACTCCCCAGCCCTGTGGATGGACCACTAGTATGATGGTTATTATTATTCGGAAACCCGGAGTATCTCAAATCTCGGGCAACAGCAACAGCAACAGCAACAGCAAATGGAAATAGAGAATGTCTGTGAATCCTTTCAATAGACTCTTGATTAGACTCGCAATGCCTTTTTGATTTCAATTCAGCGATCTTGGCAATAGCTACGGATTCCTGGCTAATTAACGCAGGTTTCTACTAACACATTTTCATGTCATCGTTTGTTTGAGGCTCCTGCTCCCCACATCCGCCGGTATTGGATGACGCAGCTCGCCGAATGCAAGAATGCAAGTGCCATCATAGAGTCTAGCCACGGCTCCTGATGTTATAGAGTGACTACAGCCTGACTGATGACTACGCCATCATCGGAGGACGCGTTTGGCTTGCTCTCGTCGCAGTCTATGATGTACCGTGACCCTGTCTCGGTCCCATGGTCTCATTGCGCACTCCGGTACGTTGGGATGTCTGGAAGAGGGGAAAATGTCAGAGACTGTGGACAATAGATGTTGAACACGCCGAACAACTTACAGTTGAGGTCTGGATCTGGCCTTCTTCAAGAATCTTCTTCACAATATCGTCCTCATTGGAGGTTCCGAACTCATTTTCCAAGCTGGACTTGCTCGCAGTGTCGAGCTCACCCTGAGCACCGTGCTTATGGGAGACGAGGATCTTGAAGCTATCGACCACTTGCACCAATGGGATGGACTTGTCTTTCTTCCAGCTCTCGAGATCCTCGGGAGATTCCACGAACACGATGTAGTCGTCTGTGGCGCCCTTATAGTGGACTTTGGAGGCTGGGCCGTTTCCGCGAGGCATGTCGATGGATGGAAGTCGAAAACGCTTATGTGGAGTTGGATGTTTGTGGGTATTTAGCGAGGGTTGAGAGGGTTGGTAATGCTGGAAAGGGGGTCACACGACTGAACGGGGTCCTTTTCCTGGAAGAGGTGAGGTTTGAATGAAGGATTTCGTATTGCTGTGAGGGGTTAGATGACAAGGTTGGATGAGAGGGTCTTGAGCCACTCTGACCTTTGAGAAAGTAGCAAGGGCGTTTCTTCCGCGAGTGTATTCGTAACACAGTAGATTCAGATGCAATTGTTTAATGTAGAGATTGAAGACTGAAGATGGATTTGGCAAAGCAATACTTCACAGGCAGAGTCGTGTCTTTTTGAGCTCCCCAAGTTGCGATGACGTCAATGGGCTGTTAGGCAGGGGCAATGCTAGCCATTGGAAAGAGCCCGAAGCCAACCCCGCCAAAGCCAACAAGTGCCCCGTCACTCCTGCCATCCACAGTCCTCCGTACTCCGTAGGCCGCAGTCACTACTAGTAACTAGTCCAATGCTCTGCTTGCGTGACCTCGTCAACTGGAAAATTCCAGCGCCCACCACAATGTAAGCCTACTACGTAACTGAGATCCACCATTTGGTCACCTGTGCAGTAGCTACTCTTCGCACCAGATGATCGTTCCTATTATTGTGTTGATGTGTCTCTCGGATTCTACCGCAGAGCCTCGCTACACAAATCTACAGTTAATTCTCTTCGAGCCGAACATGCTCAGGCACAGGCACAACGAAGCTTCCCCTGAATTGATGACGTCGATCCACGTGAGGACAGACCACCCTAGGCTGATGAGGCTGTCGTTCCCAACTCCTCTTCCTCTCCATTTGTCAAGATCTAACATATATTGCATTACTGGCCGACAGGCACATGATCTTGTGTTTGTGTTGACGCGATTATAGTGCAAACTTTCTCCGTGGAGGAAACACAGATCTCGGTGTCGATGACAAGGGCTCGGTGGGCAAGAGGCATTGCCAAGCAATGTAACATATGGCCTCCGTGAAACAGGAGAGGGCCCCTCCCTTCAACACACGGACAGTTTCCACCCAGAGGCAAATCGCGTCGATGTTGCTGCACTGGTTGAGGTTATTTGAGCAGCTGTCCCTGATAATTTCAGTGCTTTCCCCTTCACTCCTTCAATTTCCCGCAATTTGGCATGCTCCTGGATTCTTGGTTATCACGGCGGGGCCAAAGCAGGCAGGTCCCCTTTGCCTCTGCAGAAGCCCCAATGGTAGTCGAAAAGTGTTTTACGGTGTCCCTCGATGATGGGCTGGGTATCTTGATTCTGTGGCTCATCACTCTGGACGCTAATCCCGGGGAACGCGAGCCATGAACGGATCACATTCTCGAGCGGTGACGCCAGCTTACCCAGAGAAGTTCGATGCAGACCTGCATTGCCGAGACAGAGTCTGATAAGCCTGCTTGAGCATCGCTTGTCTCATTGTCAACTATGCACATTGCACATGTATAGGATTACTACTTTTCACAGACGAAAGTTGGTAATAAGCAAACAAGGAAATGCCTCGACCATCACCGCCGAAAGAGACAGCAACTTATCCCGTATGATTGAGGGAGTTTCCAGAAGGCGAATCATCAGTTGGCAAACAAAGCAAATTGGAGCGACTATCACTCCTGTCCGAATCTCGGAAACCGACCCTATTGGGAATTAGATGAACAATACGACTAACAGGTAGGTTCGCAAACATGCCAACGTATACTCGAAGTAAGTGCACGTACGATTGAGCAGTCAAAGATATGCTTCCCATACAGGTTGAAAACCCCCGACTTCTATTTCACAAGCACGGCCATTGGCTCCGTGAAATCGCACACTCTAGGGTAGGAGTCAATTACTCTCATGTCTGATTCACAAAGCAGGGCAAGGGATGCACATTTGATGCAGATTCCTACTGCCGCGGAGGCGGAACTCGGCTGTGGGTTGAGAGACCTTGTATGCTCTTTTAGCCCTGTAGCACTCCGTACTGCCAAACTTATGGTCGATGAGAGTTCGATCGGCAATCCATCCAGGCACATATCTGCGGCCAGCTACTGCCATGCTTTTGACCTCGGCCCCTCCCCCACATTTCGTCACTACCCCCCATACACATGAATTTCCGGCACACCAATTGGCGGCACCGTATTCTCTCCGAAGGTGGTGCACCACTTGCTTACCGGCAACTGGAGAAGCAGAACGGAATGCCGCCGACTACATGATCACAGTGTTTATATGTGTGTCAAGCTCACTCCGCAGTGTAGTCGCAAGATAAGAACTGGCGAGCCTATTGAAGATATCCTTATCCTCGAGGCGACTCTGTACGATTTAGTTCATCTTGCAAAGGAGAGACAAAGCTGAAAAGAACGATACTGTGGAAAAGAACAGCAACGGAGAGGAAGAACGAAAGCCCAACCACTGCGAAAAGTGCAGAGAAATATGGCTGCCACCAATGCTCCCGCCATCGAAATCGTGGTCGTGCACGACCATGGGTCCACGACGACGGCACTGGTCCGGTATCTAGGCTGGGCAGCTCTGATCCTCCTGGCGACGCAAGTGCTGCTCTTTGTCTACAAATCACTCACGTCGCCACTTCGCACTGTGCCCGGCCCGTTCGCCGCACGCTTCGGACGATTCTACTACTTTTATAAAGTAGCTCAGGGCCAGTGGGAGCACGACGACATGGCGCTGCACCGGCGGTATGGACCCGTGGTGCGGGTCGCGTCTGACCTGTATAGCATCGACTCGCCCCAGGTGATCAAGAGCGTCTATGGGATCAACTCCAAGTTCCCGAAGGCAGACTGGTACGATGCTTGGAGACATCCTGATCCAAGCAGGTTTACGCTGTTTCCGGACAGGGACATGAAGAGGCATGCCGACACCAGAAAAAGGTTTCAGGCTATGTATTCCATGTCGAGTCTGGTTAATTACGAGGGCTATGTGGATGAGTGTGCCGAGGTTTTCAGGACGAGGCTGGAGGAGTTTGCGGCCAGTGGGGAAACGATCGATATGGGGAATTGGTTTCAACTTTATGCTTTTGGTTGGTTTTCTTTTTGAGGACTCCTTGGAGGTTGATTTGCTAATCATAGTGGTGGTAGATGTCATTGGGGATATCACCTACTCTCAAAGATTTGGGTTTCTAGACAAAGGCGAAGATATTGCAGGTCTGTTGAAAGCTCTGCACGGGGTGCTCAGATACGGCACCCTCGCGGGGATTTATGCGCGGCTCCATCCTGTCCTTTTCTCGATCACTGCGAAGTTAGGTATGGGTGGTGCAGCGGGGAGAAACTATCTGATGAAGTATGTGAATGAAAGAATTCAGCAGAGAAAGGATGAGAGGGCTGCAGGTAAGGATGTGGAAAAGACCGGCGCTCGGGACGACGGTGCGCCGATAGACTTTCTGGAAAAGTTGCTGTTGGCAAATGAGAAGGATCCCGACAAGGTGACACCGTACCACGTTTTCATGATGGGTCTGTCAAACATCATTGCGGGTTCCGATACTACGGCAGTGAGCTTATCGTCGATCTTGTACAACCTGCTCAAGTACCCAGATACGATGGCCAAGCTTCGAGAGGAGATCCGTCAATTCGAGGAAGAGGGTCGCTGCGGGACCCCCAATGTGTCATTTAGAGAAAGCCAGGATATGCCATATCTCCAAGCGGTCATGAAGGAAGCACTCAGGATGCATCCGGCTACTGGACTGCCTCTATGGAGAGTTGTCACAGAAGGAGGAGTTGAGATCTGTGGGCAATTCTTCCCGGAGGGCACAACTATAGGGATCAATAGCTGGTGTGCTCACTACAACGAGGATGTATTCGGTGCAGATGCTCGTCTATTTCGGCCAGAAAGATGGCTTGAGGCGCAAGCAGAGGGGGGTGAGCGACTGAAAGCCATGGAGGCGTACTGGATGCCTTTTGGACTTGGAAGTAGGACATGCATAGGGCGACACATCTCGTTCCTTGAAATGTCGAAGCTCATTCCTCAACTTGCCAGACGGTTTGACTTTGAACTCGAACACCCGGAGCGGCCGTGGAAGACGGAGAACAATTGGTTTGTGAAGCCGGTTGATTTTGAGGTCAAGGTCAGCCTTCGCAAGACGTAACTTACGGCTGTTCTGCCGAGAGTTGAGAGCATCGCGGGCCACGGCGGAAGGGATTGAAGGGACTTGACCAGGAAGACAGCGCCCTTGTGATCGAAGCAGCCCTTGACAGATTGATCTTGCCGATTGTTGTGTGGCACTGAGGATTCGCAGTGGTGATGTCAAAAGCATCTATTGTGACCTTGTGATTCTGGACGAGTTTGGCAAGCAAGTGCTTGCCACTGATGGCTACTTACTAAGCGGGGCGAACCTCTACTTATAAGGGCGGAGGATGGAGTACTTGTAAGGCGGAGGGATAGAAGACATGAGGCAAGTCTGTCCATCAGGAGTACGGAGGACTACTGAGAGCTCGTACCTTCCTCTCTTCGATTCTACTGTTGGTATATGTGCAAGGGTGTCCTCGAGACTTCGCCTGTTGTGTTGTTTCCATGCTCTCTTTTCGCACTCGTGGAGAAGAATGTGAAGGTGTGCAGAAGCACAGGGGTGGGCGGCTAAAGTGGGCGGAAAATGCAGTCTATCACAAACTAACAGGGCATCTTAGCGTGGGGAACTATCAAGGTTAGAGGTTGACGATATCCTTTTTGACGGATCACGGAGTCTAGCTTCTAAGATCTAAGGTGTCCAGTTCCACAGGAGCCGGATGCCAAATCTCCATCTTTTCTCAAGAGTGAGAGCTAGCGAGTGTGTGCTGTCCGCATTATCCTCGGGCTGTTATTCGTGGGAAAACGCGAGCCGGCAGCCCACTGAGGGTTGCCCAATTTCCCGTCCGAGCGCTGAGTTGCGCTCTGGCCATTTAGTCTTGAAGCCTAGTGAGTTCACAGTATCGTCGAGATCCGCTCGTTTGGCTGGTGGAACACTCCGCCAAGTTGACTCGGTACTCGAGATTTGGAGACAGAGGATCGAAAGGCCTACGAGCATGTCGGAGGAATCAAAGGGAGAGAAGCCATCGGAGCAGGATTCAGGGAAGCTGATTGAAAGTCGCTAAGAATAAATCACAACGATGCTAGGCGAGCCCAGGCAAACCAAGGCAAACGAGTGACCTGACCCTGGACGGCTACTTGCCACCCGCCGAGTCCGAAGCCTGGGATTGAGGGACTGAGGTACCGAGGAGGACTCCAAGGAGGACCACAAGGCCCTCCGTTCGAACTACTCGCTCGCCAGCAGTCTGGAGCTGGACGGAGTACCTGGTAGTGGTAGCAATGGTGGGCATGTGCATAAGCTACGAGTAAGGAGTGACCACTGACCAGCTTCCATGCATCGCCCGTCGTACCACCTCGTCGTCCAGTTTAATCAGTCTAACCCCCTCATTCACCCACAAAGCCCACTACATGCCTGCAGCGTCCTCCCCCGTACCTCGTAGTAGGTGCCCGCTTCCACCTGAGCCGCCGCCCCATTGACTATGCCAGAGGAAGGAAGAGCCACAGCCCGGGCCCAAGCCCAAGCCATAGGCCATAGGCAATAGGCAATACTCCGTACTCGGTAGGAAATAGGCGCTATTCACTGCCAATGCACTGCAGTTTGCTCATCTTCGGCGTCCCCCAAAGCCAGTTCCAAGCTGAGGGTGCTCCCTTCTCGCTCTCCCGCCGCCACTCCCTGCCTTTTGACTCCCCCATCCTCGATTCGAGCAATCCTCAGTCTATTCGCTATTCTTCTGCCTACCAGGACCACTTGCCATTGCTGTACTGGAATCACTCGTTCGCCCCTTTCAGTTTCCATCGATCTACGTGCCCTCAATCAAATCCATCTCAAGTAGCACTTTGGTACGGGGTGCGTTGATATTACCTTCACTCCATTCTCTCAGTCCAGGACGGGGACCTGCTCTGTACTTTTAGCCCGAGGGTCCGTCCCAGTGCCGGTCCCAGCCACACACCCGTCTTGCAATCACTACTGCCACTCCGTCCTCTCACCTCACCAATCCGCCTCTGCCCTCGTTTCGGCTCGCCGAGTCTCGTCATCTTCACTGCTACCATCCAGCTTCCTAATCCACCGCTCCTTCGCGATTCTATCCAATTCATCCTCCCAGTCGATTTGCTTCCCAGCGTCGACCTTTGCGCATGATCGCCAATCTGACTACATCACACTTTTGAGCGCACAGAGGATCTTTGGGCCTTTGCAGGCCACCGTTCGCCCCACATGAGTGGCAGCGCTGCCACTCAGCCCTCGTCCGGTATGGTCTGACCTTCCCGACAAAGCATCGAGAATCTAGAAACCAGAAACTGTCTTCTAGCTCATTGCCGCCACGGCGCACGCCCTTTACTAACGTCTCTCTACCTAGGCGCCGTTGTCCAAGACCAAAACCCGAACGATACCTCTATCACTCCCGCCACCGACTTGTCACCCGTTATTCCACAAAGCAATGACACAATGACAGAGAAGTCCAGCAAACAACCTGCGCTTGTCAATATTCCATCTCGTACCTCCTCAAATCAGAAATTTTCTGAGCTTAATTCCACCGTACCTGCAGCTCCCGCCGTCCCCAATGAACCTCCTCCGTCGCCCAGAAGAGGTTCCAAACGCAGCCTCCTGAGCAGAAGTAGGAACAACAGCAAAAGCAGTCGAAAGTCCGCCAGAGCTGCCCGCACCGCCGATTCCTCCAAGGAACCCATTCCCAGCCTTCCACAAAACGAAGCATCTCGACCCGAAAAGAAAACACGATCTGGGTTTCTCGCCTTCCTCAATTGTTGCAGTCCGCAAGAGGATTTTGATGCTTCAAAGTCGGATGATCCTGACGTCGCCGCAAAGAAAATCAAAATTCAACCCACTGCCCAACGGGCGCCTCGCCCTCAAGAGCACACGGAAGTGACGGAGAACGAAAAGCCTTTGGAGAAGGTGGGTACTGAGGCCAATTCGTCTCAAGGTGCGACCGCAAGCGAGAGGAATGGCGAGCTTTCAGAGAAGAATCCGCTCGAAGACTCCAGGCCGAAGATTTCAAGTGAAGAGGCGACCCATCAACGAGTCGCCCCAGTATCTAGTGGCACGATACCCAATTCCACTCTTAAAGATGCTGGTTCTTCGGAGCACGAGGTAGCTTCGAGTAGCCAACAGGATCAGTTGAAGACGACAACTCTTGTTTTGCCTGATCAAATCACGGCCCCGAATGTGAATATCATCAGTCCGACACCTGTTGAGCCTGAGCACCCCACCAATGTTCAAAGGCAAGACGGGAATAGCAAGAGGAGCAGCGATGTTGAAATGCCAGACGCGACAGATGGGTCTGCAATCGAAGAAGAGCCTTTGGATGAGCCACCACAGCCAGCCGAACAACTACCTCATGCACCTCTTCCTCCACCTCCACCTTTAGTGAAGCGACAAGAACAGGTTGGCACCAAAGAAGTACCTCCTGTGCCAGAAGCGAATCCCGAAAAAACCGCATGGCTGTTACCTCCGATCCAGCCACACCTGCAAGGTCGAAAGTGCCTGGTGCTTGATTTGGACGAGACACTGGTTCATAGCAGCTTCAAAATTCTCAATCAAGCTGATTTCACGATTCCAGTGGAGATCGAGGGCCAATATCACAATGTTTATGTGATCAAAAGACCTGGGGTTGATGCGTTTATGAAAAGAGTTGGTGAGCTGTATGAAGTGGTGGTCTTCACCGCGTCGGTCTCCAAATATGGAGATCCTCTACTAGATCAGCTCGATATTCATCACGTTGTTCACCACAGATTATTCAGAGAGAGCTGCTACAACCATCAAGGGAACTATGTCAAGGTGAGCATTTTTCGACCCTAGCCTAGAGATATATCGAGTGGAGCTAACGTAGGGCAGGACTTGTCTCAGGTCGGAAGAGACCTGAAGGAAACGATCATCATCGATAATTCACCGACGTCGTACATATTTCATCCACAGCATGCGGTTCCGATTAGCTCGTGGTTCTCGGATGCACATGATAATGAGCTTCTGGACCTAATACCTGTGCTTGAGGACTTGGCGGGTCCGAAAGTGCAAGATGTCAGCTTAGTCTTAGATGTGGCACTATGAGCTCAAGAGATTATTGCTTCTAGGGGATGAGTTGAGCCTCTTCAATTCTTGTGTTCGTATTAGAGAGAAGGGTTATAACACCGAAAAAGTCTATTGGCATATTCTAGCGCGGCGTCTGTCATTGACCCTATCGATGCCGGGTGGCTCACCAGAGTGTGAAGAGGTTGTTCCGCGCATGGGTGCCAGACCAAAGGGCAAGGGATGGAGAAGCGCATCCTAAAATTGAAATTTACATAATTATCCGAGGGGAGAGTTTACCTGCATGACTACACTACCTATTCGAGATTCGGACCGTCTCCCTCGGCTCTTGGTCGAAAAGGAGCGGGTCTATCCACGACTGGGACGGGGATTGTTTCTTTTGTTGATTTTGAAATTGATTTGCATATGTGCAGGCAAGCATTTGGTATTACCGGGATTGAATCGAAGGACCGAAAGACACCAAAGAGAGAATCGAAGCAAGCGTGAGATATTTTTCATTGTGAGATACAGGTCTGTGCAGTCGAGGAATGGCTAGTACTTGTAAGTAAGGAGAGACGGCTTGTGATTGATGAATATAGCAAACCAGATCGGATCGAATCAGAACAGAACTGGTCGAGCTGGCCTGTGGCAGAGCAGAGAAGCTTCCGTTTTCATTTGAACCCATTCAGTTTCTGTTCGAAAGCCCTCGGCTCATTTGATTTTGCGCAAATGGATGGCGATGGCGATGGCGATGGCGATGGCGATGGCGATGGGGCTGTGTCGGGAGGTGATATGGTGGACTGGTAGTAGTTCGCTGAATTCAAAACCCAATTACAAGGTCGAGACAGAATAACAGAGATCTTTACATTATCCAATTCACAATTCACTACGGCATGTAATCTTCTGATATTGTGATCGTAGACGTCTCGTCTCGTCTCGTCTCGTCTGGTCTCTCTTTCCCTCTGGCTTTTCTTGCTTCCTACTGCTTATCACCCAAGGGCCGCAAATACATCACAGCCCGTCCACAAACTCCTTCACCAGCGTCCCGGCCTCCTCCGGCGCCTCGACGCAATGCCAATGCCCAACCCCTTTCAGCACCTCCAACCGCTTTCTCGCAGGGTCAGTGCCCAGCTGGCTGAGGATATACTCACAGCCGGCCAACGGCGCGCTCTTGTCCACGTCGCCGGCAATGATAAGCATTGGGCATTTCGCACCCGCATAGTCAGGCGGCGAAGCGTGCTCGATCGCCCGACAGTTCGCGATGTAGCCCGAGGGGTCCTGGGAGAGCAGCATTTCGCGGATGAAGGCCTTTTGGAGTGTTGTGGCGCGCGGCCCAGTTGCGGCATTGGGAATCGTGTTGGCCATGCTTTCTATTCCGTCTTTTGGTGGCGGCGTGGTGTGTTAGACAACAAGAGAGAGAGGGGAAAGGGGAGACCAAGGCAGGGCACAGATCCAGAGGCTCACTTACCCTTCTGCACAATCGGGACCCTTTGCTTAAACACATTCGAAACGGCCTCACTGGGATGCACTGGGCCAATGCACACACCAGCGACGACCCTGTGCGGCGCCGTCGAAGCCAGGTACGTCGGCAGCATTCCGCCCATCGAATAGCCTACCACAACGGCCCTGGAAACCTTGAGATAGTCTAGAAGGCCCAGGACATCCTTCCCGATCAGTGGGATAGACGTCTCGTGCCCGTCGTCGTATTTCGATCGCCCTGCTCCGTAGTTGTCGAATACGATGCATCGGAATGAGCTCAGGTAAGGGGTGATGATAGGGAAGTAGTAGTTCTGCGTGGAGCCGAGGCCGTGCACAAAGACTATGGTCGTTGGTGCTGTTGGATCTGGCGAGGACGAGGACGACGATGGTGATGGTGCCATGTCGGTGTAGTGCAGCGAGTGGCCGTTGATCTCTGCGAACGGCATCTTGAAGGCCGAAGGGGGTTTTCTTCGCGATGTGATGGGATGCCGATGGGGCGTGTTTGGTTCAATTCAAGCTCCAGCCCAGGGAGATATTTGAAGAATCAAAGAACTTCCAAGCTCATGCACCTCTGTAGAGCACCTCGTCATTTTTATTCCCTCTCATCAATACTCTGTCGTTCAAACAAACTGTGGTTTGATGATGTCGTCGGCTTCGGGATCTTTTCGGATGGCTATCACATTCAGGGGACGGGCCGAGCACACGTTTTTGTCGGGTTCTGAAGCGCTCTCTGCTTTCATCTTTAATTCGCGTTTTGACGAGCGACTGTTCGGATTCAATCATAGATACTGTCTTGCAATGTGCTTGTCGGAGCATATTGCTGTTCGGACTGTGCGACGTGAACTTGTAGGTACGAGTACTCCGTGCCTAGATGCTCCGTATATACGGGCTACTAACCATTTAGCCAGTTAGGAGTGGTTACGAGTAGTAGTAGGAGGTGAGACAATTGGTCTCTCCCGAAGGTGCAGAGTGGGAACGGAATAGCGGCTAATCTCATTTCTCTCATTTCCTTCTGGTGCAAGTCAGCGGCGTTGGTTTTTCCCCAAGTGGAAGCAGCACAAAGTCCCATGATTGATGGAATTGATTGGACTCAGTCTAGCGTGCCTCTCCAGCTTTTACAAGGGCAATCCTGCAACATGCTGATTGAGAGAATGTTGTGCATCGAACATCGACGGATGATGGGTGGTTGGCCTTACGAGGAATGGTTTAGGCCAGGCATAGCTGACAGGGGTGTGGATCATTTCGAGATGACTGCAGGACACACGCAATCAACCACCATCAACGACTGTGGTCCAACTGATGGCTATTTCACTCGTGATCACTGAGTTTTTGCACGCGTTGAATGGGGGTGTTGCAATTCTGATAGAGTGCGTTCTACTCCATACTGTGGACGAGGCACAGAACGGGCCTCCTAGGCTCTTAGGGGCCGGGGCACCTTTGGTGGCGTTCTTGCCAAGATGACGGTGGCTATTGCCGAATGGCGGCTGCTGTTCTCCCTGCCCGTCGGAGGTTCAGTCCCCTGGAATAATATTAGAATAGGCTTGCTAGTGCCACTTCGGGGACACCTACTTACGTGTTCACCTGTCAAGTTTAAGTGCTCTTAGTCCAGTTAGTAGGAGGGACTCAGGGCCCGTATCCATATTACGAGATACCCATTCACTGTAAAGAGCTTGAACCCCGTCAATCAGCTCAAGGTGACCAGGCTTACAGGTACGGATACAAAGCACGCGTTCTGGTGGCTTGCTCTCGTCGCCCTTCTCATCTCTCCGAGCATTTGCCTGGGGCCTGGGCCTCCCCTGCTCCCCTAAATTTTTAACCTTGACTCGTGGTGGTGCTATCCCCGACGTTCCAACTGGCACTACAGTTCGGACTTCTGAACCTCAACGCTTTTCCCACCCCCAAGGCCTGGCGAATGCACTGGAGTGGCCAGAGGAGCCATCTTCGTCCCCCCAAGACATTCTGTGTACGCCGGACCGCATGCAAGCTGCAAGCCTGCAACTCTCAGCATACGGACGACTGTGCTGCAGCTGCATCTGCATCTGCATCTGCATCTGTAACTGCGACAATCAATCTCACCACTTGCACCATCGACCACCTCCACCACCACCACACTACGACGGCCACCCTTCTCCTTCTCTAATCCTTTCTCTTCACTTCTTATCTCGTTCTCTTTGCTTCCCTTTCGTATATTCGGCACTTTGTGCCTGTTCCATTCGCTCCACTCTTCACTGTCACGGTGTTTCTCAGCCATGTCTCCAGATGTGCGGCTATGCCTCCCCTGGGCATTTAGTCTGATCCTTCTGTTCACCACCGTATCTCAGGCATTCTATATCCCAGGTACGTGATCTCGTTCACCGATAACGAAGCCGTGCAGAGATCCCTGACGCTTTCCAAGGCTACTCGATACGCAGCTACCGCGACGATGAGAATGTCCCTTTGCTCGTGAACAAGGTCTACTCCGACAGCAGCCCTCTGCAGTATGCTTACTTTGACCTCCCCTTCGTCTGCCCTCCCACTGGCCACAAACATCATGGCTCGTCTTTCGCGAGCGGCCACAGCATTCCCCTCAACCTAGGAGAGGTGCTTCGAGGTGATCGAATCAAGACCTCGGACCTCGAGATCAACATGGGCCAAGATGTCGAGTGTCAATATCTGTGTGATCGAGTAGTAGGTCGCAACGAGATGCAGTGGGCACAACAGCTGATCGAAGGCGGCTATGTCACCGAATGGATCCTCGACAATCTTCCCGGTGCTACTTCTTTTGTCACCCCTGATCGAGCTCGAAAATACTACGCTGCCGGCTTCAAGATGGGTTACAAAGCACTCGACATGGCCTCAGGAAAGGAAAGATTCTATTTGAACAACCATTACACTCTTGTCGTCCGTTGGCGTACCGCTCCCGGTCGAGCTGGTAATAATGGAGGCAAAGTCATTGTAGGTTTTGAGGTGTATGCGAAAAGTATCTATGGAGCTCATCGCAACGAAACTGGATGTCCTCTCGACGTGTCCGGCGACAACGAACCTTTATGTCTTTACATGCCATCTAATAACGGGGTTTTGAAGGCGCAGTACGCAGATTCGTCGTATGTCCCCGAAGAGGTGGTAGACATGAACGACGGTGCGACTATGACTATCCCCTATACTTACTCGGTCTACTTCCGGGAGACCAATGACGTTGAATGGGCCAACCGTTGGGATCTCTACTTCAACGATCAATCGGAGAGCACGTTTACCCATTGGCTGGCGATCATGAACTCTTTGATCATATCCGGAATCCTTGGCGCTGTCTGCATCGTGATCTGGGGTCGAACCACGCAAGGAGACGTCAAGGGCAGAGGTGACGGTGTACTCGAGGAGGCACGGTTGCGCATCGTCAAACGCGTGGAAAAGAAGAACTTTGGAGCTGGTCTTCTTGAGAAAATTGCCGAGACTGGACCAGACGATGATATGTCTTCAGATGAGGAACCCATGGAGGAGATCAGCGGGTGGAAACTCCTGCATGGGGATGTCTTTAGACCTCCACCATATGGTGGACTACTTGCTCCTCTGGTCGGATCCGGAATGCAACTCGTCTTTATGGTCGCTGGTCTCTTGACGCTCAGTTGTATCGGAGTGTTGAACCCGAGCTGGAGAGGAGGATTTTTGAGTGTCGGGGTCGGCTTGTTTGTATTCGCTGGCGGGTTCTCCGGATACTTCTCAGCACGCGTGTACAAGACATTTGGGGGCCAGAACTGGCGTAAGAACACCATGATGGTAAGCCAAGCTGACTTTGTTGTTTGAAGGAGCCGCCATAAGCTGACCTTGCACAGACCGCTCTTCTCTTTCCGGGCCTTCTCTTTACTCTGGTGTTTGTGCTCAACCTGTTCACATGGGCTCAGGCATCGTCGACAGCACTCCCATTCTCTACGCTGCTGGCCCTAGCCTGCTTATGGCTTCTGATTCAACTTCCTCTGGTCCATTTGGGCTCGTTTTATGGCTTCCACCGCTCCCCAGCTTGGGAGCATCCAACACGAACGAACACGATCCCACGTCAGATCCCTCCGCAAGCGTGGTACCGGAGACACCAGATTACGCTGGCACTCAGCGCGGGACTGGTGTCGTTCGCGGTGTTGTTTATTGAACTCATTTTCGTCTTCAAGTCACTCTATCTGGACAAATCGTCCTACTATTACGTGTTCGGATTTTTGAGCATTATATGTGCTCTGTTGACCATCACCATTGCCGAAACGGTGATCATTACAACCTACATACAACTTTGCGCGGAGAACTACCACTGGTGGTGGCAATCATTTTTCGTCGGGGGAGCGTCGGGGTTCTGGATTTTTGTTTATTCGGCATGGTATTATACGACGCGACTCCACATTGAAGGCTTCGTGAGTAGCCTCTTGTTTTTCAGTTACAGTGCGCTGGCATGTGCCGTTTATACCCTGGCGACGGGTACTGTCGGGTTTCTGACAGCCTACATATTCATTCGAAGAATATATGGAGGAGTCAAGGTTGATTGAAGCGGTTGAAGCACCACGATGCTTGTTGCTTTTTGGCTTTTCGGAACGAAGAGCCACTTTAATGTGATAGACGGGCATGGGCTAATGGTCTAGAACGTACAGCGTATCAAAGGACAGGCAATATGAATTAATGCAACCAGAATCACTCGTGATCATTGCTGAATAATTCAGGTCACTTGGCTGAACCTCGTGGGACATGGACAGCCTTGGCTTGTCGAGGGCTTCCGAATACGATTGAGGGTGTGCAACAGGGAGTAATGCGTAGTGAGTAAGACTGTCTCATATTGTCCACACCCGTGGTGCGTCAGAATTACATACACCTACATCGGAGAAGACGGAGATACAGTGTCGGGACATACGGGGTATGAGAGGAAGAGGAGGAGGAGCCTCGGTGGTCTGCCATGTACATGTACTGTATCTTCACACAGGTCGGACCGAATGCTTGGTGCTATCTAGACTATTGCCGTACTCAAGAAGAACTACCCGAACTGGATGAAGAGGTGTCTACCTGATCAAGGAGTGGGCAGAGAGGACCCGACTTCCACACATCACCCAAGGCAGAGAACGACAACATTGTTCTGCGTACTCCGTGCTCCGATCTATACGCCGGATGGACTCCGCTCAACGGGCCTCCCTCGCTTACTAAACTCACGGCCCAGCTAGTCCCACCATCCCAGATTTTACACCTCGCGGTGGAGTCTTGAGCAACAAAAAGTGGAAACCACATTGAATACTTTGGAGGACATCATCGTAGGGCGTGAACGTGGCTGGAGAACAAAGAGAAAAAAGAGAGACAATGTTAATGCCGATGTCCGTTATAATCCATGGCCATCAGCCATCCACCCAGCCATCTGCAGGAGCGGATGGATTATCAACGGATGGCGTTGACATCGCTATTCGGCGCTCGGGGCTCATTCTTGCTGGGAGTTGAGTCCTGTTTGGCTGTAGTACTCGTAGTAATAGCAGTCGTGAAGAGAGAGGTCTCATTCTGCACCGGCTGGCAAGCTGCAGCTTGATGTACAGGGCTTTCTAATGGCCACCGATCACATGTCAGGCTCTTCAGCGTGTGAACCCTGCGTAAACAAAGAGGCTACCTTAGCTAAAGTCACACAAACGTGTTTGTATGTTCTTAGTCCGGATCCGTCGACCCATCAACGCGCCTTTCGGCTTTCGCGATCATGTCATGGGTTCCAACTTTCACCATGGTGGTCGACAAACACAAACGCACGGCTTCAATCTTGACAGCCGCATGTCTTGGACCCAGGCACGGCACCCACGCACCCAGGTGTGAGTCACATTCCCGCATTCGCAATTCGCCCATCCCGTCCTTTCGGGTCTATGTATGGAGGCCATCCAAGAGGCGGGTGGGTATTCAGCTTCTTCTCTACGCCTTACAACACTTTTAAACGCAATACATAATACGACTGGTTGCCAATACAGGTACCCAGCCAGCTGGACCCAGGGTTGAGAGGGTGAAAAGTTGTTCATCAGTCATCATCAATCCATCCCTTTATCCATCCATCTTCATTCATGTGATAAATACCAAGGCTTGTCGTCCTCGCCTGATGGTCAGGATTTGTCTTGTCGATATTCACATACACAGCCAACACCAGTTAAGATCTGCGCTTAGCATCGTCACCTCATACTGATAACAAATCCTCCTATCGCCCCGTCGCTCACCACCCAAGTCACCTATCAGCTGTTGTCGCTAAACCCCCCCCCCCCCCCCGGTAACCTCTCACAGGTCACCAGGCTTGAAACCCCGCAAACTCAAGCCGTTTGGACGCTTGGAGCTTTTGCGACACCCTGAATCGTGATCCCAGCGTTCAGCGCTCCATCATCCCCGCCCGTGGGCCCTGCTTCTTTTATCTGGGCCGAACACGCGGCGACTCATTCTCAGTTCCTCCTTCCCATGCCATCAAATCCCCCACCCTCAGGAGCAATGCCTCCTTTCCTTACCACCACAATTCCCTCCTATTCGGGGCGCACCCGCTCATTGCCAGTCGTTCCTACTGGTCGGAGAGGGTCAGCAATTGCAAGCGCAATAGGCCTGCGCAAGAAGAGCGAACTCGACATCGTCCTAGACGGCGAACCGGACTATATCCACTCTTACTCCACTTTTGACCAGATCAACGGCCACATAGATATCAGATTCGAAAAAGATACTTTGTTTCACGACTTGAGCATCACGTTCGAGGGCGTCAGCACCACCTATGTCGAGAAAATCGCCAGCACAGCACCTACCACCGGTCGCACTACAGGAAGGCACACTTTCTTGAAAGTGCAGCAGCCTATCAACCCCGACTTACTCCCCCAAGATGGCCTTTTTGAAGGCGGCGTCACTTACACCCTTCCCTTCAACTTTGTCGTCCCTGAGCGACTCCTGCCATTCATCTGCACCCACAAGGTGAACCACGAAGAAATAAGGAAGGAGCACACACAACTGCCTCCTAGCCTGGGAGATCCTAGCGTTTCAGGTGAGGGTCACGTCCTTATGGATGACCTTGCGCCGGACATGTCGAAGATAGTCTACTCTATTCGAGCCAGAGCCACCAGGTGGAATGCAGTGGGCCGACTACTCGAACTGGCCGACAAATCCCAGCGTATTAGAGTGGTTCCCGCGCGAGAAGAAGCACCGCCCTTGAACATCGACGAAATGGATTCCGACCATGCCATGCGCAAGGAAAAGAACGTCAAAAAGGGCTTCTTCAAGATTGGCAAGACTGGCCGACTCGTGGCCGAGACAACCCAGCCCAAGTCTCTTCACCTTCCACATCCAAGCAAGCGAACAGGTGAGCCGGTTTCGACCATGGCCACCATCAATCTGCGCTTTGACCCAGCTTCACCTGAGGACGTGCCCCCACTGCTTGATTCAATTGTCAGCAAATTGAGAGTCTACACATTTTTCGGTGCTGCTCCCTACAAAGCCATCCCTGAGGTTCGCAGCTGTGATAATTGGTCATCTTTGCACGGTGTCTACCCTGAAACCATTTCCCTGTCTTCACGATGTTTATCCACTGTCTCCTGGGTGCGTCATGACGGTTCAGAACGACAGAGTTCCTCCTCGTCTTCGGCTCTCTCACGGCGACCGTCTGCATACTCCACCTCTTCCACTTCATCGGTTCTGGAACCGTCTTGCTTGTATCAGGCCGGGTCGCCCTTCTACACTGCGACTATCCTCGTCCCTGTCGCGCTTCAGAATGTATCAGGTACCAGCCGGCCTAAAGTGCTGGTTCCAACATTCCATTCATGCATAGTTTCTCGAATATATTCACTGGAATTGAACCTATCTTATCGCACTCCCGGTGCTAGCATTGCAGCGAGTCATGTTGTCTTGAAGTCCCCAATTCAAATCTCGGCCGCCGGCGGTACACCACCAGCCCATGAACCACAATCGGACCAGGCTATCCTTGCAGAGATTGAAGAACAATTCGGCATTTATGAAGCACAACAACTAGGAGAAATGGACCTCCAGCATGAACTAGGGTTAACTCTGGAAACTCCTGGTTACGAAGAAGCCGTTACAAGCATGACGGCCCCATTACTCGGCACACGGCATATGAGCCTGGCAATGCCGGTCGGACCCTCGAGACGAACTCAATCAGTATCAACACCACCTCTTACCGCTACGGAGACTTCTCCTCCAGAATATCACGTTGGCTCGGGCTTCAACACTTCCAGTCCTAGGGACAGACCAGGGGGACCTAGAACCACAAGTGTGAGTCATTTCGCCAAGTTGAATGCCTGAAATTGTTTTGCTCTTTGTCCTTACTCTCCATCCCTACCTCCTACTTTAAGATAATCCTTTTCTTACTGTCCTTGGTGTAAAGGTGAAAGATGAGACCGAGAATGCCAACGATGATGATCATGATGATCATGATCATGCAGAGACGATCCGAAGATCAAGAGCTTCATGTGAGGAGTGAGATCAGCTCCCAAATGCACGCGCAACTTTTTCTGCGTCATTTTTAGCGATTTTCTTAGATGGATAGAGTGTTGAGAATACACGCTTGATATCTGACTTGCCCTCAGGAATACTACGTCCTTGGAAGTCGTCGACCGAGGCAAAGGTCAACTCAACCTTGGCCTATGGGTCTTGTTGTCCTTGCGCTTTAAAGGATTTACAACACTTCTGATTTAGTTTTCGAGAGCCGGTGAAATATAGCTCTCTCGCGAGTGTCTTTGTGATCCACCGACACCGTGGGCGAGCAAGTCAACCTGAATCACTCGATGCGTCTTGATATGAAGACCCACCACCGTCGAGATTATAGCAGTGGTTCAAAAGTCTTTCCACCTCGACATCTCAAACTTGGAATATGGCAGCTATCCAGGTCCACTGCTGATTTGGACTCGACATCTCGCTATAATCATGAATCAACTTCTATGACTTTGAGCTTTCCTGGTTTAACAGAACCCAGAACCTGTCAGCGCCACCCCAAATTGCAACAGATTATGAGCATGTTATATATGGAAATTTTCTTGACTCGTTTTGAAAACGGAAAGAGGTTGTTGATTTGCTGGGGATCCTTCCTCTGGCGTTTGACGGGATGAATGAATCGATCAGTATCAAGCATACCCGGTTTACAGTTTTGAGCCTTTGAAAGTTACAAATACCCCTTTGTTTATGTTCTCTGCGAGGCACAGAGCCAGTCGATAAGTGACTTATGTATCCCTATCGCTATGAAATTAATCTATCCATTAATCTATTCTACAATCCCTTTCAAACGATCCTACACCTTCCTTTATTGGGTAGTTAGTAACTACCTATATTACTCGAGAACGAAAAACCTAATTACCTTCATTACGTAGTGGCCAGACTTAGTATCCGCCACTGAAGGAGTCTCGGAGATCTCCAATATTCCGAAGTCCGAGGCTACTGAACATCCCGAGACGCTAACCAAAACCACCTGGGTGTCCTGGGCCAGCTATTGGTTCGAGTATAGGATAGTGTCAGTTCAACCACAAACCATAGCTCAATGCGCCATTGATAGTTCTTGGCGCCCAGCTCTGCTGAATTTCCATCCATTCTCTCCAGTAATCCCTGCTATGTGGACGTGGTTGTCTCATCTCTTGAGGTACACCACCAGAGACACATCTTGTTCACCTTCAGCATAACCGTTGAATTAACAAGATACCTGGGCTTGTTTCAGTTCGGGATAGCGCTTCGAAGCATTGCGCCTGTCTATCTCGAACTTCCTGTCCCTATTCTAGGACGGTATCGCAACCACGAGGGTTTGCTCTTCACTCAACAGAACCTTGTCCTATAGAACTTGGCCCGAGCAGTTCCTGATATGGCATTGACAAGTCCTCTGACAACCATACCTCACCCCAAACCCAAGTACTCCCAAGCTTGCCAGTTTTGCAGGTTCAAGAAGGTGAGATGTAAGGATAAGTTTGGATGTTTGCCGTTATAATTCGCCTAACACCAGACAGGTGAAGGTGGACATCCCTGTAAGCAATGTATCGACCACTCAGAGGAGTGTGTCTTTAGTTCCAAAAAGCGTGCGAGGTACAGGGCACCGTCTGGGCGCGAGACGATTTCTCAGCGTATTCAGAGACTCGAATCGATGATCAAAACCGGGTCTGCGACAGCCGACAGCCGCCTTGATGGGGTCGCTGCAGCGTCTGCTTCTGGGGAAGATGCTCTCTCTCCTGGACAAGGTTCCATCCAGGCTACAGGTTCGGGGTCGCTTATCGACTGTGGCTCGCCAACGCGAGTTCGAGAATCTCAGCAAATGATGACCCCCCTATCATGTTGGTCACCATCTTTGGTTCTGACTGGTTCGGACCCAGGTCGCAGACAGACCTTCAATAAATCGACTCCGCTACCCAAATATTCTCAGTCAGACGAACACGCGCATCAACCTCAAGCTCCCAGCTTGAAAGTATCACTACTGGAGGATCGGTCTGCTATGTCAGAGGCGAATGTGACTAATGGTCTTCAGGTGGGTCAGGTAGCCGGTCTTGATCGTGTTCATAGGCTACACCCTCGTGCGAACTTGACAGCGCTTCAACCTGACGCAGACAACGTGGGAACACCAGAAGATTCAAGTCTGCACTCTCATGAAATAGTAAGTGCTTTCCAATCTTCCCGTACTTGAAACTAAAGTAGTCATACTCACAGACGAGTTGGGAGTACAACGGTAGGTAAGTCCACGGCACGTACTGCGACAGACTGTTAACACAACGGCGAAGGTCCACGGTGTGTGCTATCGATATGCTCACCACCGGGGATTCGATGGGTGGAAAGCAGAGTCAAGGCTCCAGGAGTCAAGGATTCGATCTCACGATTTGCAAGAGAAGTCACACGGCGGATGAAGGTTGAGCCAGGACCACTACTTCAATTTAAGCCTCGAGCTCCAGACCCGCCACACAATGTGGCTCGTGACTACTCGAATGGTATGTTCAGGGCAAAAGGGTCCACAGAGTGACAGCTTGCTGATAGCTGTACTCGATAGCATTCTTTGACAGAGCTTTCGAGGCTGAGACAGGTCTCATCGACCGAGGGTGGTTCGACAGCATGTTGACCGCACAACTCCACGGGACCAACAGTGGACATCAAGACCCTTCGTGGTACGCTACTTACAACACCGTGCTCGCCTTCGGGTGTCGAATCACATTGGCCAAAACGCTATCATACTCAAAGACTGTTGAAGCATCGATGGCCTTCTTTGAAAATGCTCTGTCTGTGCAGTCGGACATTCTGCAATGCCGCTCTTCGATCATCAGTGTTCGAGCGCTGACTTTAATGGTAATCGTGCATGAATTCATCCGCCACCACGATGGACCACTAGCCAGCGAGTACTGACAACATGGACAGGCCTACTATACTGAAGCAATCGGGAGTCCTCACTTGGAATACATTTTGGCATCGAACGCTATGCGTCTAGCCATTTCGAAAGGATTGCATCGACAACCTGCCACATCGTGGAACATATCGGAACAAGACACTCGCCAGCGGAACCGCCTCTTCTGGAACATATATGCTCTGGATCGACAGATTTCCCATCGTTCAGGACGGCCGCCGGTAGATACCTGAAATCTGGTATACGTCGAAGCTAAAGGCTAATGCTAAACAGGCAATCGATGATGATGACATCAGTTGTCAGGTGCCCAACACTTTATCGCCTGGTGAAAATATCAATATCCCATTCACAACGATATGCGTGAAACTCCACCAGATCCTTTCCCATGCGTATAAGCGGTTGTCCACTGCCAGGGCACTGCAGCAGTCCACAGCAGAATTGCTCAAGGCAGTGACTGAGCTCGACCAGGAGCTCGTCACATTCAAGCAATCCATCGAGCATCTTATTACCCTGGACGAGCCGTTGGACGAGCAGCGCGTCTTAGCGACCATGCCAACGTTTCAACTCCTTATGCTCCACTTTTTGTACTATGGGCTATTGTTTGAGATTCACGGCCCTCTCATGTTGCCTTGGTTCGACTGCACGATGATCAAGCAGCTGGAATCTTTTCGGTCCCAGGTGGATCGTTCGTGCGCCCTTGTGGCCAAGACTGCACGGGCGGCGATCTTGGCGACCAGACTGGTCCGCCTTGACGCGAATTGTCCGGTATTGTAAGTACCAAGTACCACTCCACTGAGTTCTCACTGTAGCACTAAACGTCTGCACCAGTCTTGCCTTGTACATACCTCACCAAGCACTTATAAACTTATTCACATATATCCTGAGAGATCCAACCTCAGAGACAGTCCAGTCTGATCTTAAATTGATGGAGATAGCGGCAGGGTACGGCTCCCGGGTAGAATTCGAGAGTGATGGCTCGATATCCTGCACGTTCATTCGGGAGTTCACCCACTTTGCCTATACTGCGGTCGATCGAGCAAAGCTGCATCTGTCGCATCATGGTGTCCCAGATCCCGAGTCAGCTGATGTGGGTGGAGTACCTGTCGATGGTGGGGAGTCTCTGATGGATGTTGATCTATCTTCGTACGATCAACAATACTTCCGAGAGGTAAGCCACCTACCGTGCACCGCAATTGGTGTTCCAACCAAGTTCAGCGTATAATAGGTATGCTGTTCTTCTTGAAAAGGCTAATTCATTTTATCTAGCTTGGAGATCTCACTTTCGACATTGATATGGAGTTGTGGAGCTCTCTCGTACCTGTCACAAGCTCCGAGGAAATTGAGGTGAACAGCTTTGCTGGCTGATGCCAGAAACCGCATTAAACAGCTTAATACGGATATTATGCATATCAAAGAACGGAAACCTCAAGCTTGAAATACTTAGCCAACTACTCTACCAGCCTACTATCGCTGGCTCTCGGACATAAGCACCACAAATTCGAGTGAAGAGGAAACCACATAGCTTCCACTACATGTTCTGGAGCTGGACACTCACGCGTCTCACGCGCCTAGTCAGTCTCCAAATTTTGGCGGTTACTTTTGCCTGTCAATATAACATGTCATCTTCCTTCATCATAACTAGCTCAGGAGAATTCTCATGACCAATCAAAGGTATAACAGTACCGACAATGCCGGTGACCAAGCGAATACTTTTCAGAGTACCCGGACAAACCCACAAGATATAGTTTGGACTATTCGGTGGCGTCATGCATCACCGGCGTCAAATACATCCAGCTCAGTCGTTGAAGACCGTACTGAGGTTCCACCAGTTCGCAGGTCCGGCAAGCCGATGCAATTGTGCTGATGTTCGACCGTGCCACTGTCAGTCTGGGTTTTACTAAATGACTATGCATCTTCATGCTTGGTATACCTACCATCCACTGATCGGGATGCATGTGTCTACATATAAATTTTAGGCAGAGGTGCATGTGGTCACTGGCAAGGTTTACAAAAGTCTCAGCCCTCTGATGATATAGCCGACTGAGGATTGGACTTCACCGCTGGGAATGATAGCTCTTCTCCTTATTGGCAGACATGAGACCGTTCTGGCGGTCATCAGAGCAGGATAGGATTCGGCGACTCGCATTGATAGGGCCAATGATTGTTTCGCAGATGGAAATTCGAGACTCTCACAGCTGACAGCGAAGATTTTGGTGTATGGAGCAGATCATCAATCAACGCTCACTGGTCATATGTTCTTCGACATCAGCACTTGAGTCAGTGCCGCACAATGAAGAAAGTTGGTTACCATTATGACTGGCACTCCCAATGGCATCGCAACGGCCAGGAAGCCACTCGAAGGTTTGATAATGGCGACATCTTAAAGGTTAATGTCGAACATAGTGGAATATAGTGAATCGTGTGGATTTCGAATGATAACCATAAAATTCAAGAGGTCTACTGAATTTGTACCTGTGCGTGCGCCTGCGCCTGCGCCCGTAGGTTCGAGCATAAGTGCATCGTAGGCTGCCGGCCATTTGTGATTACTCCGAGCTCCGAACTATAGTTGAGCTCGCCGCGGCATTCGGCCAGGCCATGTGTTATGAAAGTTCCTAGGCAATTATTCATTTATCTGCAGGCCAAGTGGCCGACTCCCTCGCCAAGAAGATCTGCAGACGATTCTTGCAAACGATGTTGTAGAGAATAAATACTGTGGAGTCTAAGGATCTTCAGGGGCAAGAAAATCCCTGTCCACCAGACCATTTAAATGACAACATCAGCGGTATTTACAAGAAGGCTATACACAAACCCAAGACCATAAGCTGCCCCGGCGTGTTACCCTAGAGATGGAGTTCCAAGGCAAAATCGTTGTTGTCACAGGCGCTGCTGCTGGTATAGGACAAGCTCTAGCCCGAGAATATGCACATCAAGGAGCTCGCGTGGTGTTGGCAGATATCAACCTCGCGCCACAAGAATCGACCGTCGTGGAATTGCGAAGATCCGGTTTGGAAGCTTACGCATACGAGGTTGATGTATCCAGCGATGAGCAAGTCACTGAGTTCGCCGCCTCTGTACTCCGGGATGTGGGTGTTCCATGGGTGATACACAATAATGCCGCGATAACTTGGTCCGGAAGTATCGTTGACATTGAGATCGAGGATTTGCGCCAACAGATCGACGTGAATGTATTTGGCTATCTCCGTGTCACAAACGCCTTTTTACCCTCTATGATTGACCGCGGCAGCGGACAGATTGCGATCACGGCATCCCCCAACGGCATTAATCCTCCACCAATGGTCGCCGCGAACCTGGCGGCGTATTGCTTATCTAAGGCCGCCAATGTCTCGATGGCACAATGTCTGGCGGTGACGCTGAAGCCGCTCGGTATCGCTGTCTCGCTACTGTTTCCTGACCTGACGAATACGCATCAGGGAAGGCAATTCACCGGGAAGGCATCCACGGAGTTTCACCAGATGCTCGCGCATATCATGAGCAATGCCACTGCAGCTGATAATGTTGCCAAGAGACTCATTGAGGGTATCAAGGTGGGCAAGTTTTTCGTGAATGCAATGCCTGGCTATGAAGCAGCGCTGCTGGAATGGGCGAAGAATGAGTTGGACCCTCATAGAGACTGGGTGGGAGAAAACACTCCGCGTTTGATGAAGAGCAGACTAGGCCAGGTTTGAGCGATTAGCCAGTCAATTGGTCAGACTTCAGAAAAGGATGTGATTATAGGTGGATAGATTTAACAATGTTGGCTGTGTCGGTGTGCTCAATAGTGAAAATCGATATCAGTCAATGCTTGAGAACTGAAAATGCAATAGAAAGTCTATGGATGGTAGCAAGAGTAGGGAAAAGCTAGCATTTATGGGATTTGGATGGCAAAACACACATCCTATCTTGGATTGAGGCGTGGGCTGCCCCATCCCTTCCTTTCAAGGTTTTAGGACAACTGAATTTCCCCAACCACGACATGTCGTGGCGGCAGCGTCGATTGCTTTCTCGATATCCTGGAGTTTGAAGGTGTGGATCTTCAAACCACTGTTTGGTCGGTCACCCAAGATGAGGCGACCAGTTTCCAATAATTTGATAGCGTATTCGGCATGATGATAGTCAAACATGTACCGCCCCTGTACGGTCAGGTTGTGCCTCATAATCAGTGTATACGGTATTTCAAGGTTGCTGAACACAGCGCCCATGAAAACTGCTTTTCCGTGCGGGCGCAGAGCTGATATGCATGAAGTGATGTGTTCGGAGCCAGCAGCTTGTGGGGGGATAAAATCAATGTACTTATCTGCACCTTTCTTGCCGGTAATAGCCTTTATCGCAGCAGTATCTCCGGGTGCGTCGCCAGTCAGCTTCACTGTCGATAGACAGCCGGAGCTTTCGAAGGTGTTGGTAATATGCGCCAGAGCTTCCTCGTTCCGTCCACATGCAATAACACTAGCACCCATGGCCAAGGCTGCGTGCACAGCAGCGCCGCTAAAGGTCCCTGTGGCGGGTGCAACGATCACAGTATCGGTCGGGAGGACGTTGATATCCATCAAGCCCGCGATGGCGATGCTAATAGTCCCCAGATGGACGAGTTCCTCGGAGCTGTAGTTCATAGCTTTGCAAACTCGTGACTCATTCAAGGGCCAGATTCGCTCCAGTGGCACATTGGCATATTCCGCAAATGTACCGTGTTCCCACGCTGCTTCAAGCTTTTGGTTTCCTCCAATATATCCTGCCAAAATACTTTCGTCTGGATCGTCCCTAGAACGTGTCCATAGATCGGTGAAGACGAGTTGACCAGGCTGAAGAAATGTTGCATCCACGCCAATATTATGGATGCGTGCAATGGCAGGCCCCGAAGGGGTAACCGGTGTGCGTATTGTGACAGGCCCAAACTTGCCCGCGAAGACGGCTCTACTGTTGGGGGAGACAGTAGTCGCCAAAACTCTGACGGTTGCTGAGCCAGGAGCAGGTGACGGTATGGGAAGAGCCTTCAAGATAATAGATTGACCAATGCCTTCCAGCACTGCTGCCGTGTGTGTTGAGAGCTCCATTTTAGAGCTTGATGCTGTCACAGTTTGATGCTGTCATATATCTTCTATGAGTATACCTTTGCGCTGGCAGGATTGAGCTAACAAAATATACCTTCCTTGTTCTCCCAGGAAGTATCAAGTCAGAACTTCCAACGCTCTTCCGGTCAAACACATCTCTGATGTAAAATTTCGGAGATTTCGTGGTGCCCAGTTCGGGGCTTCCGGTCACGTTAAAGCTGTATTCCCAGCTCCGAATAATGACGTGTTTTATGATCTGATTCCTGCCATGGTATGCCATGGGCGGGCTAAAATTCTGGCATGAGCGATGCATAATTACTAATGCCCGCACGTTTCTGCGCTGGTAGTTATATTACTTCGCTCATCATGTTGCGTACTGCAGATGAAAACAAGAGAACGAAGGTTGACCTACATTGGGCCTATAATCTATGGAGCACGTGTTATAATAATGTTGGAGATTAAAAACAAGAGGGAACATGGATGTGTTACTGATCCAGCTCCAGCGATAGTTTTCTTCAGCTAATGTCAAGAGTAACGCCAAAGCTGCGAAGTAGAATCGAATTGGCAGAAACATCATCCAAACTACCCCGACTCAAGAACTGGTTCAATGCTATGGTATAGAATAATATGTTTCCACCCGTCGAGTATGTACCGAAGAAGTGTATTGGACTGCGTCTAGTCTCAATGATAACCCATGTGAGCATTGCCCAAAACTTCAGACATTGAACCTGAAGCTAAACGTCGAGATGCGAGATGAGATGATGTTTCCTCGCGACAGGGGCAGGGTTCAAGTAGCGAGTGGGAGACTCTACGTTGACATTCATCATTTCTACTAGAGGAAAGCTTCGGGGGTGTTGACCTGTCCTAAGTGGTCATTTTCCCTACTCCATCTTTGAGTATCGAGATTAGGGGCTCTCCATTAAAAGGTGGTTGGTGGTGGCCGGCTCATCAATATATCTACAACCCTCCATCATATATGATCCCCGCGGACACCGCCAGCGTCATTGTTTTCTATTACTACGGCTATTTGGGTTTGCTGGCTGTAATTGATCTCTTCCCGAGAGCAATAACATGCATTGCTGGCTGTCCCGCCCCCCACCGGTGTGCTCTAAGGGCATAAGATTGCGAGGGAGAAGCGACGCCCTATTCATGCTCAGTAATGGTACTTTCATGACTTCCTCCGCTTACCTCAAGCAATGCTCTTATGTCAAACAGGCTACTTAGACAGTCCGAGTCTGCGTTATTTATCGCCATTTTGCCAAAGCAATGTGGTAAGCTATCGGACTCGGTCCCCGGAGTCTCGCAATAACTCCAAGAAACTCGAGCCGACGTGCCGAGCCCCTTTCGATGCATACCAAAACAGAAGTCTGCATATTATTATTGTGGGGAAAGCGGGTGTTTAGGTTTAGGAGAGGACGAAGACTTTGAAGTGCTCCAATCTTGACTGTCAGCCTTAGTGACACACTGCACCAAGAGTGATTGCTCTGTGTTCCAAATGGCACACGGCTTTCTCGGGAGCGGCTCTGTATAAAAACTACATCATTTGATCTTTCATCGCACTTAGACGGCTTCCCCGTAGCCTGAGCGAATCTTCCTTGAGACATTGAAGATAGTGTCGGGGTTTTCGAAGTTGTGCTTCTCTGTGTGTATGCCGATCCGATGGATAAACTTCCGCCCTTTGGTTGCGACGTCCTGGCTGCTGCCGGGCCAACATACCAGGCCTTTGGCGACCTGTTGCGGCGCCCGGAGCGTGTGGCACTACTAAATTCCGTGAAAAGGGAGGAGCACCACTATGGGACTCATCCGAGACAGATGCTTGATATATACTGCGGCGACTCAGAAAACATGGAGACCGCTGAAAATGAGCAACGAGAACCAATCCTTATCTTCATCCACGGTGGTGGTTTCACCCACGGAGGTCGGAGAGAACCTCTAATTGCTGATGATGTAGTGTATAGGGGGCTCGGCTATTTTGGAGCTCGAGAGCTAGGCTATACGACCGTCGTCATGGACTATCGACTCCTACAGCACGGAGCCAGCTTTGACAGTGGCGGAGAAGACCTGGACCTAGTTATCAAGTGGATCGAATCAAGTCTCTGTGGCAGCGACGACAACGACGACAACGCCCGTGATCTGGTCATTATCGGCAATTCCGCCGGTGGCGTGCATCTGATGTCATGGCCTTTTGATGATGCATTTACGGCGACGAGGTCCAGATTGATGCATGCCGGGGCTCACCTGCGGTTGAAAACGGCGGTGATTTTGAGTGCCACCATGCTCTTAGATCCTACGATTTCGGCCATGCAAGATTCTCTGTTGAGATACTTTGGCGACGAACAGCGAGTCATCTTAAACTCCCCTCTGAATTTGATGAATCTTGCCGCCGTATGCGGCAATGACGGTGGTCCTGTTGTTGGCGGCGTTCCTCTCACGTCCTGGCCTCCGTTGCTGTTTCATCACAACAGAGTACGACCCTCCATTTGTGGCCGACACGGGTCTAAGATTCGTAAAGGAATGGGTTGATATTGGTGGCCGTGCCGATCACCTTGTATTGCCGGGCCATAATCATCTGAGCCCTCCACTCGGTCTGGGAACGGGTTGTAAGGATGCCGAGGCCTGGGGTTTTCAACTCGGCGAGCAGCTAGCAAAATCATAATAAACACCAACGTATTCGCGGATGCTATGGCTATGGAGCTGTGGCTTGACAACGAATGGATGTACGAGCAAAGAAGTAGACTTAGGTCAAATCAAATATCCAGGTTGAATGGACCAACCCATGAAAAGCTCTCCCTGATACGTGCCTGGCTAGTGACTGCTTGGAGATTATTGGAGCGCGCAACTAATACCAAGGTCTGAGGAGTTCTTTGTCTCAAAGTTCTAAAGGGCCAACTGTGTCACAAAATTCATCGTTTGGCCTTATCGAATGTTCGATATGGTCTACGGACGGATCAGGGAACCTTGGTCAAGATACGTAACCGTTCAAGTTTTGTACACTTTACATTACTCATTGAACAGCGAAAGCAGTCACATTTTCTAGATCGTAGAACTGGGTCAAGTCGGCGGTGAGAACATCCTGCGCCTTGGAAAGATCAGTAAAGCAATTTATAGCAAGGGGTCCGTATATTATTGCTCACATGCAAGAGTTTTGAAGTCTCTGCCTTGTCCTCAGAGGCTATCTTGATCATCTTGAGGACTTCATCATTCTTCAAAGCCCCTGATGCCTCCTGCCTACATCGATTCAGATTGGCTGTTGACACTGGGTCGATGAAATTGTGATAGATCGCTCGCCGTTTCTGACAATATACCTCGAGAATTTTAAGGCTTGCTCTACCCTCATGAATGCCTCGAATGCAATCCACAAGACTGCCGACGTCAGCCAGGCCGCCCGTCAGGCCAAGGCCGCCCCTGTTCGGTTCATTCAGCCACTTACTGCTCCATTGACGTTGGCTCACTTACATCGGATTGCAAAGGTGCGCAGCATCTCCAGCCAGCAATACTCGACCTACCTGCATCCTTTCGACGCAACGTTGATGCATGATGAAAGGACTCCATCTGAGCAGCTCGTATTGCCCTTCTTTTGGATTTCCTGGCAGGATTGTCTCGAACTTTGCGGCCAGCTCTTGTCTCAGGCGCTCGTCGTTGATATCAAAGGGCACGCCGTAAGCAACTCGCCACAAGTCCGTGTTGTCCAACCGACATGCTAAGAACCAATGCTCGGGGTGAATGATCCATTGCACATCGGACCACCCGTGCTTTTTGAAACCGTCGTATCGTATCTAGCACCCAGAGATGTTCAGCCTATGGGAGCTTTTGGAAGGAGCGAGAGGGAGTTTAATTGTCAAACGCGGACCTACATTGGTTGCCACGATTTGAACATCCCACGAGAAACCGGGAAATGAGTCCTTGAAAAGTGCCTTTCTGACCGCACTCCGAGCCCCATCACAACCAATAACGAAGTCAGCGACGAGAGATGTGATGGTAGGTTGACCACCTTGGCTGGTTTCAACCTGTACCGTCACCTGACTCTCATCCTGGATCAAACCAACAAAGCTATGGCCCCAGTGCAGCTTGACATTTGCTAAGGCTTTTACCTCCTCGTGCAGGAGGCTCGCCAGAAGGTGGACAGGTAAGACTATTGACCGGTCGTCAAAGCCAGGATCTTCTAGCCTCGAGAAGCCAGCAATCTAACATAGAATATTACTTGTGGGATTCGCGAAAAGTTGGTTGATCTTGTCAGAGCAACATAACCGCTGCAGGAAGGAGGGTTGGACACGCCATCAAGATACATCAACCAAAGAGAATGGCACTAACGTATTTTCCCCCAAGCTCCCTCCAACACATATCTCTAGCCTCAAAACCTACTGCACGAACTTTATCGAGGACACCGGCGCGTCGAAGAACTCTGTTCACTTGAGTTTCAGAACAGTAATTTTCTCTTTCTTTCCAGAGAACTTGTTGACAAGAGTATTCTGTGGATTGAGGGCGTTCGGGGCATACCTGACAGCAGGGGGACCATAAGCCGCACCTCGTGGCCGAGGATCAATGCCCATGGCAGCGTCTAACACCTCTACCTCGCAGCCACTTTGACCGAGCATAAGTGCCGTCAATAACCCCACGGGGCCAGCGCCCACAACGATGATGCGTGTCGGCTTCAGCTTTGCCATGTGTCTTTCCTATGTGCAACTCAAGTTTCCCGAGTAGTTGACTCGAGTACGACATCAACAGCCAGCACCCAGAGTGTGGTTATTAATCCAATTTATTGGAGGTAGCCGATAACGTGCACAATATCAAGCTTGAAGGTTGATATCTTGGATTAGATTGTCCATTTGACCTCTGGAGCGATAGATTCGGAGTTGAAACGGGTTTCCCTGGTGTTTCGTTACTGTCTCTGAAGTTCTTCGATCAAGATCTCCTGGTTGTGCCAGCAAATCTCTTGCGTGTATCGAAGGTTTAAGGAGTTTCGGCATTCCGGTACTTCTCTACACTCCGGCCGAAACACTTGGCATGTGTCTGCCGAGAAACTGCTATGTCCGCCAACGTTTCTTTGAACTTCATTTTCCCGGGTTGGCGGGGGGACCACAGTCTAACGAAGATAATTGGCGTTGTAAGAAGGTATGGGGATCATTGACAAACTCCTTAGAGCAGCGGTTCGACCAAGATGCAATTTTACCCAATCCCTGGGGCATCGTCAACGCGACATATTCGAAACCATACCTTTCAATACTATATTTGTGATTGTCTATGTAGGCCATTGTTAATGTGCTACCCCTATCTCAATAAAAACACGAGTCGTACACGTCAACCTCTCATGTGAATACGGAGTCGTAAAGCACTGATATTCAATTTATAGCACGAACTTTGAGCTCATGAGACCAGACTTCTCCTTACTCGAAGAGGCATCGAGGAAGGCACAGCGTACGGCTCATCAAGCTGAGAGTATTGAGGCCATGAACGTCTGGTAGACCGCTCGTTCTCAATCATAAAACCCAGACTCATAATTAGATGGAAAAGATGAGTGTCTGACCCTGGGGGGACGGTCATAGTAGCGGAACAAAGGTCAGACCGGCCGTAAGAGGTTTAGTCCCTGCAGGCGTGCAACCATTTCCGATCTTATGGTGACCGAGACTCGAGTTCTTCTCCAAGTTCGAATTGCCTAGATCAATTCAATGTACTACTCAAACAAGGAGCGTGGTTAGAGCCTCTCGATGGATAGATGAATAAGTGATCGAGCGACTCAGACTATAGACTCCAGAGTTACCACCTTTAACCCCAATCTTCGAGAGACTACGAAATAGCTAGCACTACCGGGCCCCTTATTGAGGGTCGTATCGTTTACGGCCATAAGCGGAGCGAATCTCATAAATCTTGCTTCTTTTAAGCTTCTCAGTTCTATTTCTTTCGCGTTGAGACACAGAGCACTTGTTGGAGAATTAGAAATATTCTTATCACAGTATACCAGACGAGCATATGGAAAGGACCTCACAATTTTTCCGCAAGAAACTATTTGTCATCAAATTCGCCCATCCAAGGCTTTCGGAATGGGAAGGGTTTCGATCATAGTCCCCAAATTGGAGGGAAAACGGCTCAGGAAATCGAGGTGTCGGATGTCGAGAAGAGGTCGAGAAACTTGTGTGATTCAGTGCCAAATCTAGTGTAGAGATACCCCATTTATAGGCATAATAGTGGAGACAGTCTTATTTTAATTCATGAGGTAAGAGAGAGAAGGAAACGTAGTTTTCCGCCAACGCGAGGACAGCCACGTGAATAGGTGGTTACCAAGGAATTTCCTAGACGAAGACAGCCTTCGTGTAGCTGCCGAACGAGTCTTGCTGCGATGACCGCATAGTCAGTGTTACTTTTTCAAGACCAGTTTTTTCCTGTCTTGTGTCGTCTCTAAGGTAGAGTCTTGCTTATGGATTTGCTGTGGAGATGTTGAATAGCGCTTGGGAGGCATGATTTCATCGTTTGCGCTCCATTGATCAGAGCTTTGTCTGCGAGCAGGGAGAAGGTTTCTTGCAAGACGAGACGATGACCCGACGTGCCCGAACTCAGTTCCATCATCACCATCGTTATTGTGATGTATCCCAATGCTGCTGCATGAATTTAACTCTCTCGGGATCAAGAGGCACCAGATCGAATTCGAAGCGGTTTGGAAAGACGTTGCCCCCATTCGAGTAATCGTAAAATGGTACTGGGATTTCTTGACCATTTACGACCTTTTTGCGAATTTGACATGCCCAAGCTAAAGAAGCAATCTGAATAAAAAGCGCCTGCTCGGCGAGATCATAACCAGGGCAAATCCGTCGACCAAAGCCAAAAGCCGAATAGCGTCGGATGGTAGGATGCTGCCCATCGACCCCTTTACATGTTGTGAATTTTGGGTCTAACCATCGATCTGGGCGAAATTCTTCTCCATCAGGATACAGCCCCTTCTCACGGTGCAGACCCCACTGATTGGTAAATATCCAAGCTCCCTTTGGGATGTAGTAACCGTCATAGACGTCATCTTTGGTAACCACATGTGGTACCCCTGTGTATGGGATTACCGGTTAGACACACCAGTAGACTGAAGATAGAGGCCTAAGCCATAAGAACAGGAGTAGCTTACCTGCGGGAACGACAGGCCTCCATCGCAGTAATTCCTTCGCAACCGCTCGTACCAAAGGAAGTTGCGCAAGGTCGCCGAAATTAGGAATTCTATCACAGCCCACAACCTGCTCGACCTCCTGCCGAAGCTGACTTTGCCACTCTGGAAAAAGACACATAGCCAAGCAATAGCTCTGCATAGTGGAAGAGGTGGTGCCCGCTCCGCCGCCGTACATGGTTGCAAGGACGTACTTTGCCTCTTCCCAGTTGAGATCATAATGGTGCTTGTTTTGGAAATACATCCGAGCATATGAGGGCGGATCCTCTGGTATTCCAAGGTCAAATTTGTCTTTCGCTTCCTGAAGTAGACTGCTGAAGTATGCTGACTTTGCAGCGTAATGCCGCTTTGCTTCGCGCTTGAATGGTGCAAGCCAATCAGGCAAATACATGAGAACAGGAAGTAGATTGACCAGATATTTGCCTTGCGCCGACACCCGCTCGATTTCGCGCATCCGGTCCAATATCCTTCCGGTGTGATATTCACCAAGCTCGGCTGTGTTGAGATCTTTGCCATAGCCAGCACGGACCGAAACTGCGGTTGCAAATCTTTCAAGCCAGAGTTGATAGTTCTTTGGGTTTCGCACCATGTCCACCACCATGCGACTGGCTTCTCGCGCCTGCACACTCTGCCACTGCTTGACCGCCGTCACACTGAGCATGGACGTGGCAAACTTTCGTCCTCTTCGCCAGTAATCGTCGATCGGGCGGATGACCAGATCTCCTCGGTTAGTCATCATGCTAATCATCGGAAACTCTCCACGGTCAGAGTAGTGCACGCCTCTGACTGACAGCAGCTGGTCCGCGATCGCAGTGTCATTGATAATGACGAAGGTTATTCCAAAGATCTCGAGCTTATATATAGGCCCATATATGTCACCAAGCTCTTTGAATGCAACCCAAGCATACTTTTTTGGTATGTCAAGCAGATTACCAATCACAGGATAACCTTTGTTGTATTAGCGAGGCCACGTACTTGCTATGAAGGGGTGGCGGGAGGAGAATGGGAATATGCACACCCTTTGGCCCAGGAAGCTCGCGAACGCCCTTCGGAATCTTGTTGGAACAGAATCGCTGGACGAATAAGATAAACGCAAGCACTATGACGACATAGACCAGAATCGTGGCGGCTCGTGGCGAGGAATTCATGATGAAAAGGTAGGCTAAGGGCAAGATTCCTGTTGTGATCTTGATCCTTTGTCGTAGACTACTTATTGCGCCTACAAGTCGAGGAGCAGATGGTTGTCAGGCGCTGTCACACCAGTACCATGATACGGGGGGCTTATATTCTGGGTTTCCAAATCGAATCAGCCAGCTTCAGGTTTGGTGCCACCCACGACGCTCCGAGCTCGCAATTACCCCGTGGGAGTCCGGAGTCGTGGAGCCTTAGCTCTCCGTACAGCACTGAGATGTACTTTGGAGGCAGAGCAAATGGGCCGATGCTAAAAGTCGTTAGATAGATGAAGCTATTCCTCACTTTGGCCAAATTTAGCGGCTATGGGCCGAGTGCATGTTTTTCTTCGCCGGATCATCCGCAAACGCCGGACTTCGGTGAGTTGTCGGCCGCGGAAGAAGTCAGAGGTCGTCCAGGGCAGGTATACCCTCATGTTTTCAGCGAGAGAACCGTCGATCTCATTCACTAACGCAAGACGAGAGTGGTCAAAATACCTATTTACAAGCACAGAACTTGCATAGGATTCAATGAGGTTTTCAAACATCTTCTCGTGGTGAATCAGACTTGACATTTGCATACCTTATTGCTCAACAACAAGATGATTTACAGGTCACCTTACGAGGACATCTACATACCTGAATGCAATATCTTGTCTTACTTATTTCCACGGACGCCAGCTTGCTCGAAGCCTCTGTGGATCGACGCCAAATGTCCAGGCAAAAGCCTGTCGCGTGCTGATATGCTACTCTGGATCAAGAGGTTCGCAGTCGGCTTGGACAATCTGGGTATCGGACCGGATGAGGCAGTAATGGTCTTTACCCACAATCACCTATATGTCCCGGTGATATATCTGGGAGCGTCAGGTTCAGGGAGATATTACACGGGAGCTAATCCGGCTTACACTACGGACGAGCTCGCCTACCAGATGTCAATTGTGAACTGTGCCGTGCTATTAGTGCATCCAAGTCTCTTAGCAACAGGAATGGCGGCAGCCAGAAAAGTCGGACTCTCAACGACACGCATTTTCCTCTTTTCCGATGAATACATACCTGAAGAACAACAAGATGTTCAAGATTGGCGTTCATTCCTTGCCACAGAGGAGAATGCTGCTTCCTGGATTTGGGATGAGCTTGATGGTGGAGAAGCCAAGAAGAAGATAGCCACCATCAACTTCTCGAGTGGGACGACAGGGCTGCCCAAGGGAGTTTGCACCACGCACCATAACCTCATCGCCAATGCTTCGCAAGTTGTGTACGGTATGTATAGGGGCGCAACTGTATCTGGAATAAAAGAGAGATGGCTGGCTGCCTTGCCATTGTATCATGCCTTCTCTCAATTATATACAATCAATGTCGCCTGTCGGCTCGAGATACCTGTCTATATCATGGACAAGTTCGTCTTGTCGACGTTCCTAGCCAATATTGAGCGGTACCAAATCACCACAATACAGACGGTGCCCCCTGTACTAGCCATGATCTCGAAGAGTCCTGATACACCCAAATACAATATAACTAGTCTGAAAAATGTCATGGTGGGTGCTGCGCAAATATCGCTCGAGCTCCAACTCAATCTCATGCAAAAATTTGGGTTCTTCATTTCCCGCGGCTGGGGTATGACTGAAACCACCTGCGTAGGGACAAAGCTGCCGATAAATACGCGGTACGACCATAACAGTATTGGTTATCTGTTGCCAAATACAGAAGCAAAGATCGTGGACGAAAACAATCAGGAGATCGAACGAGGGCCGGGCGAACTCTGGGTGCGTGGCCCTCAGATGATGCTAGGTTACTGGAAGAATGAGAATGCTACTAAGGACACTTATTCTGACGGTGGTTGGTTGAGGACTGGTGATATTGTCATTGTCAAGGATAACCTTTGGTGGATCGTAGACCGCAAAAAGGAGCTGATCAAGGTGAACGGGTTACAAGTGGCCCCAGCCGAGCTTGAGGCCATTCTGCTGCAGATGGAGTCGATCTCTGACGCCGCTGTCGTTGGTATTCTGCTCGACGGAAGGGAGCTTCCACGTGCATACGTTGTCCTGTCTCCCGGCGAGCGAGACGACAGAACAAAAGAGCGAGAAGTCCAGGAGTTCGTGGCCCGAAAGGTGGCCAAGCATAAACGGCTTCAAGGAGGAGTGGCATTCAAAGAAAAGATTCCCAGACTTTTGAGCGGCAAGATAATGAGAAGTGCTGTTCGTGAATGGGCTAAGATGGACGCAAAAGCGTGGAACAAAGATCATTCTCGACTGTAATCAGAACAAAACAGAATGACAAGCAACAGACACAACAGCATACCTCGGCTGGAATATCACTTGTGCCACACGATTTATGTCCCTTGAATGAGTTTGTAGAATTTCATATATATTGTCGGAGTTTCACGTAGAAGGCAAGTACATTCTTGACTTAGCTATTTAGGTCGCGTTGAGTAAACTTTGGTCATTTCTGTCGAAAACATATCATCCCCTTCAAACTGAGCCATGGGGCACATCAAAGAGGTAATTTTCTGTCTGCTAGCACACGGACATGGTGGAAAATCAGAAACCGACTTCTGGTAGTTATGAAAGACCTTCAGGTAGACTATAACGCTCGCCAATCTCCTTCCTTGTTTTGATCCTTTTAATATCATCATTGCTCAAGCCCTCCTCACCATTTGGGAGAACTTTGGCCAAGATCTCCTCCGCCCACTCATCGGCATCAATCTCTGTCCCAATCGGGTTCATGCTGAACAGCGGGCCTTTCATAAACGCGTCAGCCTCTTCCTTGGTGTCGAAATTGTCGACTTGAAGTTCAACTTTATTGCCATCCGGGTCGCGGTAGTAGATGCTGGTCGTGGGTCCATGGTTGATGGTCCATACTGGTTTCCAGGGTCTTTCTCTCGATTTGAGAGACGTATACACATGCGCCAACTCCGTGAGGGTGGGGTATGTAAATGCCAAATGATCGACTTCGGCAGTGCGATGACCTTCAATCTTCGGCACATGGTCTGGGCTTGCGAAAATGGCTATGCGGTGATGTTCCTCGTCGTAACGCAGGAAAGTAATATTCGCTGTCTTGTGCACGATCTCCGCAGAGAGTAGATCAATGTACCATTGACTCATCTCCTCATAGTGGTCCATGGTCGTACGCAACACGGCGTGCGCGAAAAGGCCTGGGCTAGGATGTGGTTTGGTGACATTTGTGTGTTCAGGTACCATGGTGGACATTGAATTCGCTCAACGCAACTTTTGTTGAATAAGAATGTTAGGTCGCTAATTCAATCAAGCTGATACTTTTCTTCTTCGAGGACACTTCACGAGTCCATTGGCATTATCATTGCCTCGTCTCGGTACATTCAGGCCTAAAAAAGCATCGAGCCTGTGCATGGTCGTAGGTAAGGGCGTCGGCGTTCGGACTTGTTCTTCCAGTCCGGGGACAAACTAACTATTCTCGAATACGGTGTCGATCCTAGTTGGGAGGACTCAGTATCTCAGATTACTCGTTTTCATGCCGCTCCAGTCACAAAATCATCGGAAGATTCGGGATCAAAACGATCTCCGGCACACCGGAGACACAGCTGCCGATTTTCTTGCCCTACCCTACCCATGTAGGGATTCTCGTGATTCCAGTAATCCTCGTCAACATGACACGCTCCGAATTCATCGACGCAGCATAAGGGCAATGTTTTAGCCTAGATCTCTGCGGACGGGGACCCCAGAATCCAGAGCTCGGGGAAAACGGGGTTGCTGCACAAGCGAGGCTATCTTGGGCGATTCGAGGCAAATGCAATAAAAGCCCTTCCAGGTCCTCAGCAAAGACCGGAAATATGACAATCCTGTCACTAGCTTGATCGCCTATAACAAGTGCTTCGATTCTGTCCCAAGATGGTCTCAAACTGTGAGATGTCTAGCAAAGACGTCAATGGAGTCCTCAAAGCATCCCAAGTTGTATCCTCGAATCGCAATATACCCTCCTCGGACACAGTGGGAGAAGTAGTGACCAGTCCTGAAGGAAGGGTAACCGCCGGTGCCGTTCTTACAGTCATTGTGAGTCTGACTTCAATTACAAGGTTATCGATCGAATGTCCCCTGACACTAACCGCTGCAGGCCGTTGTCTTTGTCTACATGGGCCATATGCTGCAGATTAATGGACTGGGCTTTCTGGGCCAAACCATCACTAGTGATATCGGCGGGCAGGATAAAACTGCCTGGCTTGTCATCATCTTCGCTCTCGTCCCTACCGTTGCAGGACCTCCAATTTCCCAGATTGCAGACTTCTGGGGTCGCAAATGGTTAGTCGTCATCACAGCTTACATCAGCATGGTCGGTTGTATCATTTTTAGTCGCTCCGATTCCATCGGAATGGCATTGGGATCTTCTGTGGTGGCTGGCGCTTCGTCTGCTTGTCAATCCATTCTTCATGCCGTTCCGTCTGAGGTGCTTCCTCGCAGGTATCGCCCATGGGCCCAGACCGCAGTCATCCTGTCAGCTGGAATTGGTGCCATTTTTGGGCTGTACGCGGCAGGGGGAATGGTCGAGACGAACGTCTCGGGATGGCGACCATACTTCTATATGCTCGCGAGCGTATATTTCATCGGTGGATCACTCGTCCTTGTCTTCTATCGACCAAAGCCACGACAGGAGCAACAGCTGAGCCTCTCGGCCAAGCTGCACGCGCTGGACTTGCCTGCAATGGGTTTGATCATTGTCTCACTTTTGACCCTGTGTATCGGCTTAGGGTATTCAAACAACCCGTATCCGTGGACCAACGTACACGTTCTGGCACCGTTCGTTGTGGGTGTTGTCAGCATCGGCGGATTAGCATGGTATTCAATCTTCTACAACATTCACGGGCTCTTCGACCACGACCTTTACCAAACTCGAAACTTTGCCATTGCCCAAGCCGGGGTCTTTACAGAATCTCTCGCTTTCATAGCTGTGGCCAACTACTTCGGTTTCCAATGCAGCCTCATTTATGGACAAGGGCACTTCACATCCGGTCTTATATACAGCATTGTGTACTATGCGTCAATAGTAACTACTCTGTTGACTGGGTGGTATTGCTCCAGGACGAAAAAGGTTCGACCACCAGCCCTACTGGCCTTCATAGCCTTCGGAATATATTTTATCCTGATGGCCACGGCGACCCGATCAACACCAGTTGCCAATTTGTGGGGCTACAATGTCTTCATCGGTATGGGTCTAGCACTTTCGCTAAATCCTCTTGTTGTAGCTGCTCAATTGTCCACCCCTGCTCGTCTGATATCGACCGGTACTGGCCTACTCATCGCTACAAGAGCTCTTGGTGGATCGGTAGGGCTTGCCATCTTCAATGCTCTTTTTAATTCCACCGTTCAAAAGAACCTTGTCTCCAAGATTCTGGCAGCAATTATCCCATTGGGACTGCCGGAGGCCAGCGTCGAGCCCTTTGTCAGCGCACTGGCCGCTAGAAATGAAGAGCTGTTGGCCAAAGTTCCGGGAGTAACCCCAGATATCATAGAAGCTGGGTTGCAAGGGATGCTGGACGCTTATGGACTTGCTTTTCGCAATGTCTACATCACCGGCGCTTGCTTCAGCGCCGCTGCGTTTCTAAGTACGCGCCTCCCGATTTTTATATACTCCCCCTTTCATAACGATGGCTAACTATGTTACAGTTGCGTGGTTCTTAATAGACCCCACGGATCAATTCACGTCGAATGTTGATGCCCCGGTTAATCAAATTCACATCCTACACCAACATCAACATCATGAGCGTGAGGAAAAGGATAGAACCGCGAGGCCGAGCACGTAAATGCTTTATAAAGGTGCAGCTATCCAGCTATTCAAGAGAACTCGACAATGTTGTAGGATTGCTAGAAAAGCTGCCGGACGCCGAAGTTCTGTCAAAATGTCGCTATATTGTTTTGACTTAATTATTATAACCGTGATAATCGGTGTGAAAATAATACCAAAGGAGACTAGTGACACTAGCGATTCTTGCCTGATACACTATCCACTACGTCGCACGGATTTATCCTTGCTTATACTGTTATTCTTCCCTTTGGCCATGGAGATACCCATTCTGTCGTCGCTGCCGATTGCCAAAGGGGCTACTAGTCAGACCGGGACATATCCACTTGGGGAAAGTCGATTAAGCACAACGCAGACGGCTAAACAAGGTAGTAGGTTGGCGAAGGTGGACTACGCCGCTTTTGGCAAGCACTCGAGCATGTATGAGATCTCTGTCTCTTTCAATTCTAAGGACTCTGTTCTTGTTTATATACAAATTTATGAGGCTTATGAGGCATTTGATCTCCGTGAGCCCCTTTTCTGTAATTTCAAATCACTCATTGATTTCCAAGCATTGCAATGGCTGATACAATGGCAATTTTATGATGGGAGTCAATGAAGTCACTCACAGAGTTTAAGTATCCATATTTGTTAGCGCGTCACGTGTAACGTGAGTTAGTACGCGCTAGTTCGTTGGCGCTGACATAGTGTCACGCACGAGCTGGCTTGGCGATCTGCTGCCCGTCGATGAACATCATCACATCCTGTTTCTTAAGCTGAACGGGCACACAGAAGGCGTTCTGTAGTAGTCCAGTCTCCACCACTTGCATTATGTCTTCAAATCGAGTCTTCGCTTGCAGAGGGTATTGACGTTCTGGCGAATCGCTGTCATGATGCTGCAGCGAAGTTGACCAGACGTATCTCTCCAGGCAAAGGCGGCTTGACGCAGGTACAACAACCGTTCTTATCAGCAACCTTTGTACAAGGCAGAGTCCAAGTTTGTCAAGGCGTGGCATTCTCTCGGGGCTGCAATTCGAGAAGCACAGGAAATAGGTGCACCCCCACATCCGACACCACTAGTCAAATCTTGTACTTACTTTGGTAGGTCTGCATAAGGACTCGCTTGCGGGGAATTGCTCAGAGTTTGACCTCGAGATGAGACGGAGGGTATGGTGCGTTCTCTACCTATGGGATTGTTGAGTTTGCCATCTGAGATGTTGTGTCTTTTGCACTGAGCGTTTCAGGAAGGTACCTCTCGAGATGGCTATCCCGGCCTCCACTGATCGATCAGGGAAGCTGTTCAGTGACGATTCCCTGCATGAACATTGAACAATTTGATCAAAGCCCTGGGTTGCTTTCACCGTTCACATCTGCTGTGTTACAGTATTAGCTCGCTCTCGAGCTATCCAGTGACTCTAACAAACCAACACAGGACCCGATCCTAGCATCGACCATTCTAAAGCAGATCGAAGCGTGGGAAGTATCTTTTCCAGGAGTATGCCGATCGTCTGACCCGGACATTTCGTGGGGTTCCGAGCATCCCCATCTCCCGTTCCAGGGAAGCATCTCCACCTAATGGCAAACCTGTTTAAGCTGAGCCCTCCAAAACAGTTTCTGACCAGGCATCCTGGACAAGGCTTTACAGAACTTTAGAGTGACCTTTGTGCGGTGGCTGTCGATGTATGTATTCGCGTCATCAAGATAGGTCACGAGCTCTTCGAACTGATGTCCTCAACAGCCGCAAGGAGCTTCATTGTTGTTTGCGTAGCATTCACCACCACCACTCTTTTGATTTCTGTTGTCATACACGACAGAGGACAAACAATTCCATACAAAGAATTGATCTTGGAATCGGTACATTTGACCCTGGATATGTCATATCAGCTCAAGGGCGTGGCCAAGGCCGGAACGATCGCGTACAACATCTTGTCAGGACTCGTGCAATCCCTGCCGCTGTCTCCTGATGAAGCTGCGCTCGCCACATTTGGAACAAATGCGGCCCGAAAAGCGCACTCTAGCCTCTAGCCAACAAAACCAAATCGGACTCTTGACGAGCGATCATGTTGCAGCAGGGTTCGACGCGGCAGGCAATCTAGATCAAGGTCAACCAAGCAATCCTCCATCAGGCGCAAACAGTGATCACGTCCTTTCACATCTTTCCATGGAGAAAGATATTGTGCCAACGAGAAGAGGATTTCATTAACGTCGATTGGGGTGCCGTGGCAGAAATTTGGGGATCTCTTGATATCGTCGTCTCCACTAATAGACAAACGTGCGGTAGAAGGAGTTGGATGCCGGCATTAGGGCCGGCCGAGCGGCCCGAGTAACCAAGCGACACAGTGCGTATTCTTCAGCTAAGCGGCGCGGTGGGCTATGTTGACAAGATTATTCAGGAGATGGTACCTATAAGGTAGTATACTCGACTTCATTGATTGATTTAATTCCTACACCTACAAGCCTCTATTAGGCTTATATCGGGATATCTAGCTAGTTCTATAGTAAGGAAACCCGCCGGGGTAGAAAACCCTACTATCTTCATACTTCCCTTCCAGTGTTCCTCTATACTAGACAAGTACTCTTCATTGCGAGTAGTTCCAAGCATAATTAAGGAAGTACCTTGATCAATTGATTAATTTATTCCTACACCTTAAAGCCTCTTGGTAGGCTTAAATCGGGAAAACTATCTAGCTCTATAGTAGGAAAACCCTCCGGAGTAGAAAAACCTACTATCTACAATTACTACTTTATACTTTCCCTTTATACTAGGCGAGTACTCTTTGTTACGAGTCGTTCCGCCTCGATCCTCGAAGAACTTCGATAACCTTATTAGCCTTCTAGCCCTAGTACTTTCTAGAGTATTTTAGGCTATTTCGACTTAACTAGTTCCTTTCCTAGTACTAGAGCCTCTTCTCCGTCCTTTTCGATAATCTCTATAGAGCTTCTAAGCTTTTTCAGCTCTTCGGTAACTTTAGTAACTATTCTGTTACGCTTATTTTGCTGGTGGTCCCGGAGCTTAACCCCCTTTTGACCTCCAGTCTTCTAAGGCATTTTACCTTCCCCTTAGGTTTCTCCTTCTTCTTGATGCTTTTCTGACTTCTTCTAGGTCTCTTAGACCCTTTCTAATGTCTCCTAACTATGCGTAGGCAGATTTTGGTCGGTTTCATTTTTTTGCGTAGACCGTTAGATTGAGGAAGTACCATAATAGCTTTATTAGCCCTTTAGCCCTTCAGCCTGTGAGGGTTTAGCTAGGAAATTAGAGTAATTCATCTAACTACCGTATAACGAGGATTCTAAAGCTAAGGAGAGAAAAGAAAAGAGAAAATCTATCTACTGTACGAATGAAGGAAGTACTCCCTACCCTCTCCTATAGTGGATTTGTATAGTTTCCTAGGAGACAATCGATGGGAAGGAGTCACGTGGCGTCGGCTGTACAGTTGTACGGGCCAAAGGTGCACCACGAGTAATCGCTCTAGGGCGCACTCTAGAGCTTTATACGGGTTTAACCCGTGACACAGCCCCTGTGCCCATTCGAGCTCCCTCATGAGCTTCTCGAGGCCATCTTTCCCCAGCACCAGGGCCTCAGTTCCGTACTTCTCGATTATCTCGGCTCTAATTTGTGAAGACAGTGGCAAAGAGGCTTTGAGCCCATTGTAGAGAACCCGCTCTCACCTGCTGTTGAGTTGACGACTGCTTGAAGGACAAGTCCATGGACCACGGGACGAGTATTTGGAGTGGCGGGACGTGTTTCGAGCACTTCCGCGTCGTTGAAGATCGTTGCGTGGGCGTGGCCTTTGGGAGCACCCGACCATTTCGAGAATGTTGCGATCAATGCAGTGGGTATCCTGGCCCGAGAGCGTCGATAAAGGCCTTGCCTACTTGTATGCCCACCCCGAAGCCAGATATAGCCTCGTTGAATCACTAATACTCATGTTTTATAGCCCTTTGAGGGTGGGTTTTGGCGGGAGGCTATCCAGGACCAAGGGCGCGTAGGGTATTGTTCTCAAGGACCACCTGCTCCTCTAATCCTCTCTTGATAGCATACGTGCAGCAACTGTAGTCTAAACATTGAAGGTCATGTTTGGAAAGGTTCAGAGGAAACGGGCACTATCCGGCCCGCGTCGTCATCAATGTAATGCCAATGGCTGCTGAAAAACAGCAGCCACGCGATAAACTAATATGTATCACGAGAGCACACAACCCGTGGTCAATATCAGAGAAAACGGGCATTATCTGCCCGCTTCTTAAAAGCTTTGAAACCACTGCCTGTTGTAGCATATCTTCTGTGCCGCAGAGATAGAAGGACACAGCGCCAACCAGACAGTGGTCAATATCAGAGAAAACGTTGACTGATCTGAAGATAGCTTCCTTGGCTGGCCTTCGGTTGTGGTTCTGTTCTGCTCCAGAGATCTTGATACCAAGGTCCTGGATCCCTTTCCAAAAGAACGACACCCGTTCAATTCTTACAATAGTCGTGAGCTTGTATATATGATCGAGCAAGAGTGATGTCCTGAGCCCGTATCAGAGAAAACGTGCACAGCCCTTTTGCTATTCAGTAAGATCATCTTGCCAGAAATCATCTTCGACTCGCCACTATGCTTAAAAGCCGCCGGACCGATATCAGAGAAAACGCGCATTATTTAATGACACGGATTTCATCAGCTTTCCGACCCGTTAACCAAACAAGCGACTGTTAACAGGGATAACTTTACGGCAAACGACCAATTGAGAAGTGTGTCCGCCAGGAGGTCGCGAATAGCATCTCGGTCGATGGTCTTTTGGCGGGCTTGTACACAATCTGTATAAGTTGAATGATTGAAACATAACCGCTTGTCTGTAGAGAATGCTTTCCTAATCTAAACATCATGGATTGCTCAAACAACAGTAAGCCAATCCGTGGGACGGTCAAGCATACTTGATATAGAGCCCCCTTGATTTACAACAGGTGTTTTGGTCGTTGGGTAAAGGTTGTGGATAAGGACATGGGTGCAAGTACGATATATGGACATAGTTCGCTCTCTTCAACGTGCCTTGCCAAGTCAAGAGGTCCGTTGTGCACACAATGTTGTCCTGTATTGTGCTGGCGACCGTTGTCAGAGACAGGGTTTGGCTTCACCTACGAGGCTACTGACGCTCTGCACCACGAGAAGGTACCTGTCAATTGCAGAGCATAAAACACGGTAGCGAATTCGGGTTGGCAAAGGTTCAATTGCCATAGGCTCATGACAGCAATGTAACCAAAACCAAAATAGCAATTGCAAGTATTCCCAGTGGTGAGAACTGAGTACATCGTCAGCCGCCCAGAGGATGATAGTCTCATTCAAAGTGATGCCACGCTCTCTAATATCGAGGAGATAAGTGTGAGATATCAGATCCTGTTCTGTTCGTGGAGCAATTCTGATGGGAATCATGGGCAGAGTCTGAATTCTTAGCTTTGATTTGTTCTTTGGAGGTGTCGTCACGGTATAGGGAGGCCAAGTTTTCATGCTCCTTGTGAGCGGGGCTAGTGCGATTTTCCAAATGCCCATCCCCAGCCGGGGAAGCACCAAATGCATCAGTTAGACTGACAGGAGCCTGTGTCTCTTGCAAGCTTTGATAGAGCCTGCTCATGTTGCTCGGAGCAAAGCCTCCAGAGAGTGAATTTTGGCCAGTGTAGGTATAATCATTGTCTCGCTTGCTGACGCGGCAGACAAATGCTTTTGGGGACGGGCGCCTCCTATCTTGTAGACCTCGGACGTTGTAAGGGTCCACAATTCTTGGGTCTGGGAGGTCGTGATTCACTCGAATTGTGATTGGACTTAAGCTACAGGCGTGGAGGAGTTGCTCGGAGGAGAGGTAGACGAGATCGAACTCTTGTTGATGCTCATCGTTCTGAGCCGCAGGATGACTCGCTTTGGAGAAGGCGGCCGGATGACCAAAGACCTGTAAGTGCTTGACAATTGCAGTAGATTCGGCGAGCGAGGTGGTGGGCGGGCTGACCAGAACGCGGGCAATAAAAGGTTTAAGCGAGAAGCGAGGCATGTTAATTAGGATGGACTTCAGGATATGCCATTTTGCGAGACCACACAGGATAACAGTGTCCGTATGGAGTAAGTGTTGATCTGAGAGTCTGCGTGCGGCACACAACAATAATGCAGCAAGAATCCTTTGGAATTCGATGCCAAGACCAGATGCTACATTTTCTGATCTGTTATGTACGTGCAAGAGGTGAACGCGTCAGTTGTGGACTCATGTTGTGAAGGCAGGTGGCACCTGGCGCACTGGCAGGTGGGGTAGCTTCGAAACGCCAAGCCTTGCCGGTGGCCGTGCGACCTTCAGGATGCCACGGGATTGGTGAGAGGGGTATAGCCGCGTCCAGAAATAGAGGCGCAGGGATGCTTGAGGCTGGGTGCTGAGGTGTGGTGGGCTGAAAGATATAACGGGCACTGGGGCACTGAGGGCACCCGTGAGTTGGGGGAGGTGTAGGCGCAGCTGCACCCTTCGAAGCTTAGCTAGGCTTTAGCCTTGTCAGACTTTGGCACAACTCCTGCTCCAAGCCGTTTGCCGCAGTTTCCATTTTTTCTCCCAGGGCTCGTGACAGTCTTGGCCTCTACCAGGATCGCACCTAACGCCCCCAAGCCCCTCCCTAGGAGGTCAAGGGCGAGCAACCCTCCAGTCTCCATCCCTAATCCTTATCCACCACGGATACTCCGTACTTGTAGGTGGTCACTGGGTAGCCTTTTGTAGGGAGGAACAGTCACTGCTCTCTGCTGTAACATCTGGATTCTGCATCGACTTCTGTTTTCATCCTCTCAGCCCACCATTTCACTCACCACTGCACCTTCGTTCAATTCCTAGTCACTCAGCCATCCTTCGCATTCGCTACGATTCTACGTCCAAGCCCAACGCCGGATCGCACACGCGTTCGACCACGAGAAAAACTCGTTGTAATGCTCCGTGCTCCGTACTGATCCTCCTCTTCCCCAACCTTTCCGTCGCTTGGCGCCTCCTCGCGTTTCAGCCGCTGGAACAGACTTCACCTTAAACACTATACCACTCGCTCCTTTATCCTTCCACTTAACTCGTTCCCTCGAAGAACCTCATCCACTCCCTATCTCTTATCGACACACCGCATTGATCCCCTCACCTCTTCCTCATCGTCGGCGATCCCAACGTCGCTGTGCCGTACCACAACTCGATCGTGGTAACCTGAGGCATTTCCATCATCTCGCTCTCCCTACCTCCAGCCGCCGCCAAAATTCGTTCTCACGAGGCCCGAAGTTCCCTCCTCGGAGGTCAGGCCGATCGATATCAACCTCTACCTGGAGGTTACCATCAACGCGAAGGCTATGCTGTAGCCGCTCCTGAGCAACACCGCTCGAGATCAAGCATGTTCTTTTTACCAAATTCCAAATGGACCTGGGCGTTCACCTTGATCGCTCTTGTCCAAGCTTGTGTGGTGCTTGCGTTTGAATGGTTTGCCTTCCCCTCTGTTCTCTTTCGTCTTCGTTCTAACGGTGATCTAGCTACGTCTTTGCACACTTCCAAATTCATCTCCAACAATCAAACAACTCCGGAAACTCGAGTTCATCTCGAACCATCCCCACCTTCTTGACACTCTACATCTTCGGCTTCCTTTATCAGCTAGTCCTTGTCTGGGATGCCCTGCGCATGAAAAACACCATTCAAGTCATTGGTCTTGTTATGTATAATGTTGGTTTGCTCATCTATGGCGCGGTCCAGATGGAGCAGATCAAAGAAGCCATCTTCGCCTTGGCCGAAGATGAGGTTCTTCATCAAGATATCTGGTCCGACACGAAACCGTTCCTCATCGCAATTCCCGCCATTATCGCCGTCGGCACCATTGCCCTGGCCATCTGCGCCTGGAAGCTGTATGACGAGTTTGCATGGACCATCTATAAGCGAATTTCAGCGGATCTGAGAATGAAGCGACGATACCTGCAATACCAGATCTACATCGCCCTACTCAAGTTCGACTTTTTCTTTTTCCTCGGCTTCACTGTCCAATTCGTCGTCATTGTGACACAACGACAAATTGAATTTGCTCTGACCATTGCAGCCATGCCCGTCACCATTATCATCCTTTTGGCTGCAGCGTGGTTTGTCCGGAAAGAGAATCTGTGGGGTACCATTGCAGTTGTTGTAAGTTTACATGCCCTTCTGAACCCGCTTGTGAACCCCCGCTCATTACTTCACTCTAGATCCTCTATTTCGGTGGCCTGGCTTATTTCATTTTCAAGCTGGTACGAATGTACTCCTCGGCCCGTGAGGATGCTTACAGGCCTGCTCGTAAAGAGTTGGCGTCTTTTGCGGTGCTGACAATTATTCTCATTATTCTCACTATCACGAATGCCCTCATTTGTGCCTTCAATTATAACAAAGGCCTCAAGCCTTACATCTACAAGACAAGGCCTATCGAGGAGGATGAGAAGCCCATGGGAAGCGCCTATGCACCATATGCAACCGAGATGGAACCGGGTGTGGGTGGAAAGCGGCCTGTTGCAGGACCATCGAATGCTGGGAGGATGGAAATCGATTGATTCAACACATCCAAGATCTCCACCAGCAGCACCAGCAGCAGTTATTCATGTTTTCAAATTCTCAAAACAAACTTAGCGGGCGTTTTCTAATTTACCGGTATCACGCCCCGTGACTGACGACCATCAGAAAAGAGGTATATTCATGAGGAGTTCTGGGCACTGTACCATCTTGGCTTTTCTTTACTATCACTCAGGCTATACCTGGAGGGGTGGAATTTGTGGGATCAACAACAACAAATCTTTGGCTCAAAAACGAATGAATTGATGATCTAAAAGCTTTTTGAGCCTTTGGAGATCAAGTGCACAGCTGTCATTGGGGCGTGTGGCCGGCAATATGCGCTATTTATGATTATTGGCATATGAGTGAGACATGGTGTTAGGTCATTTGGAAACGAGTCGAAAACAATATCTTCACACGACGTGATCAAGATGAAAATTGCTTTTCAAGTGTTTTATAATTAAGCTCTCTGCCTTGTTCTACTACCTAGCTTCCGATCGTTCGAATATATGAGCTGTAAAATTGCGTTGCAAAACTGTGTCATGAGTGTGTTAGTGGAGGTGGCATTATTATTGGTATTTCCTCCCTAGTCCCATACTAGTTACTTCACGAGCAATCGAGAAAAGCGAGCATGGGGGAAAGCATACACGGATTTGAGATGCCCAATTGAATACAGAATGAGCTGGAAGCAGAAAGAAACGGGCGCCGCCCTGATCGCAAGATTCTTCCCATCGCCTCTCAGAGGAAGCGGAGTGGAAAAATGCCCCGGCCCCAAATCTCAGACAACCCCAATCCGTCCTCCAAATGGATAGAGCCCCGTTTTGAAGAACAGACAAGAGACAAAGCCAGTTCCTGTTGTCTTGCTTTGCTCTCTCTTGCGAGGTCATCGTGGGAAAGGGAAGCCCAGTATTTGGTCCCCACCAATTGTCGTATCTCTGGTGATGGGCTCGTTGTTGTTGTTGTTGTCGTCGTCGTCGTCCTCATTGTTGTTCTCGGTGAAATGGAAAGTCCCTGGCGCATTTGTATCTCGTTGTCACTCCAGTGATGTCACTCAACTCGCTACCTACGCGTGCGTGTGTGCTGTGTCCAGCAACATTGAAAACACAATTGCCTTCTCTTCCGCCGTCCCCACCACTCTCACTCCCACCAAGTCACTGGCTCGAAATAATGATATGCACAAGATCATGATTCCAGTGCGCCGCGGTGAACGTCTGCGGTTTCTCCTCGACGATATCGTCGCTGATTTTCCAGAACGCCGTCGGACCCGCGGGCCCGTGGATGTCGTAGTCTTTGTCGAACCAGTTGCCCAGCACGCCCCGGCCAGACCGTAGCCCGCCGATCTGCACGCCCTCGGACCGCCAGCGTTCTTCGCCATGGAAAATTGAAAACGTTGTCCAGCGGATCGCGCCGCCACGTGTTTGTCGGACTGTGCCTGTTTGGGAGGAGGGAAAAAGGTTGGTCAGTGGGTTGGATTGGATTGGATCGGGATAGAGGCTGAGCAGTGGAGGGGTGGGCGTCGTGGTAGTGTCGATGGGGAATGGGATGGGATGCTGGTTAGGATATATATTTTGTCGAAAAGGCTGCAGAACAAGAAAAAGAACAGGACATACCTCGAATTCTCGAGTTGGCGTTTGGATCCCACGCCATGAAGGTACTCTTACTAGTGCCCTGGAAATGAACCACAGGGAAGTCCTTGCCGTCGTCTTCGCCCGGCTCCTCGATGGCCGTGACTCTCAACTGCAGCCGGATCAGGCGGAAGGCCTCGCGCGTCGTGATAGGGTCGCGCTCCTGTGTCAATGGGATATCCTCGGTTTCGAAATTGAAGGTATACAGGTCGTTGTAGTCCAGGAAGCAGACGATCCGCGTCCACGTGCCAGTCACGCCATAAGGGTCGAGTGCGTCTAGCTCCGGATGAAGTGCTGGTGCGAGCGTCACGGGGATGAGCCCACCGACATCGCTCAAAGATTGAGACACGAAGCTGTCCTTTGCGATGCCTTGGAAGGGTTCGTCCCACAGTTGGGCACTGTGTTTGCTCGACGAGGCACGTGGGGCTGGTGTTGAAGCCGCTGACGAGGATGACGTCGAAGCGGACGACGATGTGGATGGCTGGGATGTGGTGGATGAAGAGGATCCCGCGGGAGAGACCGAGGAAGTTTGTAGACCCCTTGGTCGAGGTCGAAGACTCCGTTCCGTGTAGATGCGCAGGTTAAAAGCGAGGACAATCATGATGGCTTGGACTTTCTCCCAGTCGGTCTGCTGCGAGCCATCGTTCATGAATGGCCCCCACATGTTTCCGTCCGTGTATCGACGGAGGTCGTAGACTCTCGACCTGGCGTATGGATGGACGAAGCGGAGAGGAAACAGGTTCGGATTCACACCTTGCTCCTCCAGGATGTGAGGGCATGCCATCTCATCGGGACTGGGCCATGCTGATTCAAGATCCATGCCGCATAAAACATGAAGCTGAGCGGAGAGCTGGCGGAGGTTCTCAGTGGATCCTGCTGTCCAGATGGACGGCTTGGCCAGCGCGAACATGCTGGATCGGCAGAGGTATGCGCACGTGTTCATCGCGTTTCGGTATAGCCCTGTGAGGAAATTCTGGTTTCGACATGATGTCGCTGGCGAGTTGAGTGCGAGATGGATACTCTGCTTCAAGACCCGTTCAAGGTGTTCATTCTGATTTTAGATGGCAAGTGGTCAGCGCCTTCGCATCATCATGGTGTTGTCAAGGAGGATGTGGGCAGGATTAAGTTTCCATCATCCATACCTTTTCCTCATCACTATCTGACTCGAGGATTTTCTCCAGCTCGATCAGGGGTGTCAATCGGTCCCTCCATGATGATGAGTCGTCGCTATCATTTAGATCGTCCTAATTCAATGGGAAGACACCATCAGCTCTTCCTCACCGAAGCAAGCAGACACAATACCGGAAATGATCTAGCGGGGACGAATGATTCTTACAAATCGGGATTGGTACTGGAGCTTCCACATCAACTCGTCATTTTGGATGAATTGATGAAAGTATTTGCACGTCCGAGATAACCTGGCAAGGTCTGTGGTGTCGACGTGGACAAAGATACTGTGTAGTATTTCTGGCGATTGATCGCAAAGTTGCGCCATGGCCCATTCCAGAGTCCAGATGGGGGCGTGATTTGCCGGACGTCACTTAACTTAAAGCTGCCGTGGGGTGGAAGTCGGATAAGATAGCAGCGACGTCGGCGGGGTAGGATTGGAGACAAGGATGAGGCTTCAGAAAGGAACCACTATCAATGCTTCGATGGATAATCAGTGATGATAATGGGACTGATTGGGTAATTGTTCAACTCAGACGAGTAGAAAGATAAATAGTACACTGAAAGAAGGTAGTAAGAGGGTACGGATCCAGCAAACGCGAAATCCGAGCGAGGGCGATGATGATACAATCAATCCGCCATCGTCCGTACATTCCCGTGTGGACAAAGTTTCGGAGTTAAGACCCCCGGAGTTCCAATCGTCTCAGCCTGGTTTGGGTAGATACTAGAGAGTAGGAGACCGGAACAGAGGCCAGACATTGAAAGTGCCCAGATAGCTAAGTAGATAATTGCTTACCTTGCTAACTAGCTTTATGTATTCTATCGACTTGACTTATTGCTACTATTGCTACATCGTCATTATCATTATCATCGCCATCGCCATCGTCAAGCACGTTAACCCCTTCCCCCCCCCCCACCCCATCGTCAAAGCTCCTCCCACAGTTCGCGATATCTCTCTTCATCTGCCTGTCCCGTCCATAGGAACCGAGACACTGTGCCATGGAAATTCGACCAAGTGACTATTCCAAACTTCGTGCATGCTTTCCGAAGCATTTCCAAAAACTCAGGGCGTATAACGGGCGATGTACATGTGAAACAACCGGTGCTCAGAATCCAAACAGCGATTGAAGGGGAAAAGTCTAGTTCGGGGAGGCCGTCGTCCATGGTGAGTAGTGTATCGTAGAGCTGCGTTGTCAGCACTGTGAAGTGCCGATATCGAAGGGGATTTCCTCTCAGACTGCGATGGACATGTATCAGTGCTGCGAGAGCTGTTGCCTTCCAGAAAGGCCCATCTATCGCGTTGGACGACGGTGGTGATTCCGACTGGATGAACAGGCGTAGCCGCCTCTCCAGCTTTAGGCACACATCACACCGTATCATTCTTGCAGTGTCGTTGGCCTGCTCCAAGGGTTTCGTCTGCTCGGAATAACATAGCTGGCGAATATCATCCAGCACCTCGAGCACCGGATGCGGGTATATCTTGAAATACTCCAATTCTGCACGACTCAGTCCAGGCAACGGGCCGGAACTTTCTGGCAGGTCCAGCGTTGACCATGCTCCATTCCAAACGTCAACAAGCGGTGGAAATCTCAATTCTTCGTCGAAAAGCTCAGAGTAAATCAAATCGTTGAAACTGATCAACCGTTGCAGATGGGTCCGCACTCCATCGCCTAGGGATAGTAATCCTCCGCGCATGTTGATCACGGCATGCAACCCCTGCATATGCTTCTTGGCTTCCTCGTGTGAGTCCAGAACCAAGGCCATATTCGTCAGCGTTGCGACTGCTGCAATGCATCCGTCACTCACTGCTTGTCGTTCGTCGGAGAGGCGATCATTGATTAAAGCAATCGCGGCCAGCTTGTGCTGTATGATTCGCATGTCTGCCTCAGGATCCAGTGGTGGAATGGTATTCCCCTCGTGGATCCGGCATTTGAAATGCGTGCCAAAGCTGTACATTGTCGCGTGAAACACGAGTTGATCCGAATACGCGAACTGTGGCCAAAGCCCTTGGCCGTTGATAGGACACCAGGGCCAGCGTTCGACGGTGCGAAATCGTGCAAGCAGAATCTCATCCACTTCATTGAGCGGAGCGGGCAGGGTGTTGAAAGGATCATTTCGGGAATTACTAAGCCAGGTGATAGGTAGAGAAGGCACAGTAACTGACTCGTCTTCAGGTAGAGGGATTGATGATGGTCCCTCCCGGCTTCCTGCCCCTTGATCTCTTCTCTTGCTCTTTCGCAGGCGATGAGGGTGCCTCAGTTCCAGACCTCCTGGTGTTAACCTGAACCTCATCTTCTGGCCAGCCGACGAGCCAGCCTTGGCCTGATCCACGGCGGTTTGGGGCTCAGCTTCTCTGGAATGAGGTTTACTCGGCCCGTCTTTGGCGCTGGCGCGATCCAAGTAGTTGTGCATCACATGGGTTCGCACGGTTTTCAGCTGCTTTCGGTCGCGCGTCCCGGGCTTTTGTCCTGTTGAAGCAATAAACAGGAAGCCACCGAGGGCATCATCACCATTGAGAGTCTCGCTCGTCGCATCTGGCTGATCCATTGGTTCCTCGACTCGTACAGTGGCCTCACCTACAGGGGGAGGTCCTTGGCTCCATCTAGGTGGCATGTCGACAACCGAGCAGAGCCAATGATTACTATTCGCTTCCTCCAGGGCGCTGCACAACAAAGAAGAGGCCTTGCCTAAATTTCCCCTTTCAGATGTAGGTCTTGATCCTGAATTGTCAAATCTGGCAGTAGACCATAGCCGAAGGTTTCTCTGCTTGTTTCAAATAAACCAATGGACGATATTATAAGCACCAGTTCTTTCGAGTGCTGCCCAATCTATAAATTGCTGGTGTCTGCCCAGAAATTGATGCTAAAGTTTGGGTAATCTGTCTCAGTTGTCTTCTTTAGTAGTCTGCTGCCTCGATTCCAGAGCTGCCACCTTCTCTCAGGCACTATGTGAGGAATGACCATATATTCGAGATCCACAGAGGGTGCTTGGTCATGAATTAGTTATCTCGTGTTTGGGATTCTTATCCCTCAGCCGAAGGTCTCGACCCACAGACGTTCTCCCACCGTATTTACTGGTACTTGCTGGGAGTGTTTCACGGTTAATAGTAAAAGCAGCTGTTCGCAAGCACCTCACGCTCAAAGGATGCCAGTTTGTGAAACAGAGTCACAATTGTGCACTTGGGCTTTGCCAATGTTATAGCATTCTCCTCCCGACTGGGGTCCTTAGTTAGCCAGGGGATCGCTCGTCCGTTGAGGGCCTCAGGGCTGAAGCTAGTGGCGCCTTGACTGAGAATTAACTTGACTAAGCAGGATGTTCAAACTCAAAGCATATCTATCATACGGAGCGCCCGGCCGAGGTTTCGACGTCACGCTGCTGGCAACTGAGTAAATCGTGGGAGGGCAAAATGGTTCAGGCCGTGGGTGCTGAGACAATAGGGTTTGGCAAACAGCTTAAGCACGAGAAGTTGTTTTGGCGAAGTCTTGATTACTGATCCGATCTAATGCACCAGCCGTGCCGGCTCTGGGTGTGCGGGTTGCGTCCCCCAAGGATCCAATGAGAAATCAGTTCACCGCAGACCAGTTAGGGAAAGGCGTGATTCGCCAGCCGCTCTCAGAGCTGCAGATATATGGTATTTCTCTGAGCGGGAGTACAAGGTGCATCCTACCTACTAGTTGCAAAGTCTTTCCACCGCATTTTTCAACATTCATATCTTGTACAAACGCCCAAAATCTGGATTCGTCAGCAGAGGCTTCTCCAGATGGCAACTGTATACATACGGGGGCACGAGGTACTGTTTGAACTTTGACGAAGGAATCACTGGATACACAGGCACTTTCCAAAAGCACCACCTATCTGGCTAACTTGTGTTGCTGCGCGCTGGAGCCTCCTTCGCAATACCCTTCAGCCTTTCATGAACAAAAGAAGGCTTCGCCATAGCTAGACCATCTATCTCCATTCCACGCAAAAGACCCAGTCGCCCCCTATGCTGGTCGAGGTGCAAAACAAGTCCTAGAGCCAGACAACAAGATAGAGAGCTCCGCCCTGTCACGGGAACGATTTCCCTACGATGGAGGAGTGTCCCCAAGCGGTTTGCGTAAACCAGCCAGCGATCTATCCCTTGGCCAGGAAAGGGCCGACCTCTTAACGAGGTCTAGCATGGAAGTGACGACAGGGGTAAAATCGCCGCTCTGTGTCTCAGAATCGCAACTTCTCCTCCACAAATTTGAAGGCTTTTGGTACTACTAAGTAGAAGATCCCTTTTGGCCTTTGGCGCATTCGTGCAGAAAATCAGCTTCAGCGCAATTGACATCTGCAAGGAGCCCAGCAGAAGTGGGGTCCAGGAGAAGCTGGACTTCGAAGCCGCTGATTGCGGCTTTAACATGACTGGGGTTTTTGCATGCAAAGACGGACTTGCATATGTTCCCATACTGAGTACTCCGTACTTTTCTAGCTGTTGTTCCGTTGAGAAAGTTCACGCCAACTGCTTCAAGACCCATCGGGTGGAGATTTGAAAGACTGTCGATCAGACATAGTCAAGGACGAATCCACATCCACGAATGGACCCGGTCGCCCAGTGCCAGCCGATGAAGGAAGTGCTCCTGGGCGACAATGCTCGAGATATAATAGGTATGAGTACAGGAAATCGCAAATTAGAGTAGGTGTATTTAATGCCTGCTAAGCTGTTCTTAGTGGTTTCAACAATGAATACACACCCTGAAGTGGCCCGAGGCTCCACAAATTTGAGGCTTCCTGACTATGTTGTGAATAGGCACCTGATCTTATGGCAGTTAGCAGGGACGGGCTGGACACTGAAAGCAGTTGGAGGTCACCTTTAATCGATTGGGTGCACCAGTAGAAGATCTCATGTTCGTCGACATTTCTCAACATAGGAGGTTTCGCATCTCTTAAATCATACAACCAGTCGACCTAGACAATGGAGCGTTAGACTCGTGACAACAGGACAATAAGCGGTATGGCCGTACCTCAAATCGTCCAAGGCAGCCCACAACTATGGTGGTGTGACCGGATTCGAGTTTCGCTGGGTTTGAGCGAGTGTACGGTTAGTGGAGCCTTGGACCACCCAGGGCAGAGCCTTGTTTGTATCATATCAACTTCCCAATAGTAAAAGGCACCGCATCCGATCACAAGGTTCGAATTTGCCATTGTGACGGCATGCCTGCTATGCCATTGTCCACACTTTTCCACAGGACAAACAAGGAAAAGAATTGTACTTGGTTAGAACCTAGCGGAAAACTCGTTCCAAATGTTGCTCAAGACCATCTATACATTTGCTGCGCTCGCTGGATCTGCATATGTGCACCAGGCTGCGGCTTGTGTTCATGGGGTCCGAGATGTTGCTGCTCGTTCCACGAATGCTGCCACATTCCCCCAAAGCATTGTGGGCAGCGACGGCCCCTCAGAACCAGTAACAACGAGGTACTTCATCAGCAATCTTTGCATCAATGTCAAGAATACCACGAAGAGCCTCGAGTTATACTCCAAAGCATTCGGCATGCGACACATCTTCACTTTCCAAGTGACAGAGCACTTCAGCATATCCTACATGGGTCACAGCCACGGTGGGGAAAATGAAACCGGATACCAAACTGTTGATGAGTTGAATCGCGAGAAAACCAACGTCGAGGGCTACCTTGAACTCGTCTCATTGAGAGTGCCTGGCTGGAATCTGCCCACATCTTCGCAGATTCCAAACACATTTTCGCATATCCGGCTGATCGTGCCGAATGTGTAAAAGACGCAGAAGCGTCTAGAGAAAATTAGCGCCAACATTCTCAAAGGCTTTGGTGAGCCGCCGACCATGACCAGAGCAGTGTCATATGCAACACTGCTTGGTGATCTTGCGGAGCTGGACCAAAAGGAGATCGACTCGATTTTGGCGGCACTGACGACAGCAAGCACCCCATTGACCTACGTCGCCGATCCAGATGGCAATCTCATCGAGATCCAAGGACAGGACGGAGTTGCGTTGTAATAAACTAGTCGCCTGATTCAGCGGGCTGTCATGTATTTTTGGGCAGAGATGGATGGAATCTCGCCAGCACATGCCTGGGAGGGTCTACAGCCGATCTTGGATGGGAGGAAACAGCCTCGGCACTAGACAGCGTATGCGATCTATGCCGCAATGATCCTCGTGGTGCAAGAAGTGTCTAGGTAGAAGAAACAATGTGAAGAAGATCGAAAGCAAAGGATGTTTGCAGACGAGAGATGAAGTTGACTTCAGGGGGTGTCGTTTCATTACCATGTGCTTTCCCGTGATACCTCCGGCCATACAGACCACTAGCACAAGACCAAGTCATCGCCATCAAAAACATCGTCCTTCTTTGCAACTGCGAGGCTGCATTTCTTGTTGAGATCAAGAGCGGACACCAAGGATGGTCGTCCTAGCTATGATGACTCTGACAATCCTGAGCTCGGCTCCGTGGCTCTACCCAATTTCTGACAGATAAGATGGCGGCAACTCCTGATATCCATGTCCCCAATCTCATCACCCATGGCTGCAGATGGCCTTGTTGCGAGCCCCGATATTTAAATGGTGACACGCTTCTTGTCCAGGTCGAGGTCACCAAGACGAGTCCGCTTTTTTCCACGGTCGTCTTCCTTGTTTGCCTCGGCTACAACAGTTCCTCTCCAACTGTCGACCTGCCCCTTCCCATATCGTGGACAGCTTTCTTGCGAATCCTCTGTTTCATGGTGGTGCAACGAACAGTCGTATCTGTCTTTGGGATCCTTGAGTTTGTCTTCTTTCCAGTCTTTCTTCATTGTGTCGACTGCCAGGAAAAGACGGTGCAACAGATCTTGATGATTTGTCATAAAGTCGCCTCCGTGAGTTGAGCTGACGTGGTCTCCGAAGAGCTCTTGCCAATCCTTCGTAATAATGCTATGAGCTATGCAGTGGATCATGAAGTTACCTATAGCTGATCCGCCCTGCCCAACACTGCACAATTCGTGGTATGATTTCAGATACCACTCAGTACTTGCAGGAACACGCTGGAGTTCGTCGGCCAGCCAGTTGCGGTATTCTGTCGATTCGATCTCTTCTGCAACCAGCCACAGTTGTCCAATATGATAAGCCGGCATATCCCCCGTATCCAAAGGGCTACCATTATTGCCATACAACCAGCAGACGAAGGGCTCCAAATGGCGACCATCCTTCACAACAGGCAGAATTTTCATGTTGCGCTTGCTTGAGTTGCCTCGTCGTCCAAGGTAGTCTCTGAAAAGTGCCGAACCCTTCATCAGAAGTGACTTGTGGATGTTAAAGCTCCATTGATTCTCTCCGACACTGAGTTCGATCACTGGTGAACATACATAGCTTTCAGGGTCAGCATGAACTGTGGTCTTGATGATCAAACTCACTCTGCAAAGCGCATGTTCGCAAGACGCACGTTCTCACGCGTTCCGCTATTGGGTTCCAGGACGAGAGGATCAGGTTCCATGGTGGGTGGTTTAGGATTCTCACACAGCAGGGTTAGGGCCGTTGGTGTTGTTAACAAGCGAGGTGCCGGTAAGGTTTGTGTCCAAGAGATACAAAGCAGACGCAATTGAGTGAAAAGTAAAGAAGGAAGGGAGGGAGACACAAAGGCCAACGAGTGAATTCATGAAATTGCCTGTCATGTGAATGAAAAAAGGCGCGCTGCCAACACAGACCTACACCTGTAATCAAGATGAGGAGAGAGCAGCAGAACCTAAACAAATTCCCTCGACGTCCATAGAAAATCCGAGAAGGAAGACCCTCGTGTGAATTTTCTTGTCATAGGCAAAATGGGGAGGGCAAGTGACGGGGTCCTTGCTGAGCCGAGCAATTTATTTGCGAAGAAGGTTGGTGATATTAAAACGGCCCCGATCCTTTTTATCGATTTCTTCAATCTTGCACTTACTCGAACTTGTCTCGTGTATCCATACTAGACTCCTCATTTTACAGTTCGTGTAGCCGGATGAGTGAGGGCAACCAAGCAAATAATTCGATCAAGTACAATATGTCCATTGAGGAAGATGAGAACCACTTCAAGCAAGGACGCGTCACTATGTCTCTCTCTTTCAGTCAGGTTAGATACAATCTCAGAGTACTCCCGCTCTCCTCCCATAGAGCCTCCAACGTCACTCAGCGTCAATATATCCCCAAGGCAGTTTGAAGACGCTAATCCACCGCAGCGATTTGATGACCGCAAGTGCCGAGGATGCAGAATTCGGGTTCGTCACCGTCACTTTCGCCTTGAACATAGTCGAGCTCATACTCCTCCATCTCATCACGCTCGCGCCACAGCCAATTCATGTCTCCACCCTTGTCCGGGTCTTCGAACGGACCATGTGCGTTGGCCGCTATACCGAGCTCCAACGTCTCAGCAATGCGTAACGGGAAGCTTGTCGATCTCCGCGATTTCCTCAGGAACCGGTCGAAGAGCTCGAGCCCAATGACGCCGGTTGCAGCATCCCACACAATCTTGGAGAGCGGGTAGTCTACCAACATGGGGTCGCCGAAGCCATCGCGGTCGAATTAGTGTGCTTTCTTTAACAGAAATCGACGGTGGAGGATGCCCTCCAGAGCTTGGATCCTTTGCATGCAGTATTGCTGAGCCTTGGGCAATCGAATTGGCGGGTCACCACGTAAATATGAAGGGAGTCTTCGTCTTGCTCCACCTCAACTCTCCCGGTGTACAGCCACTCGGCTAGTTTTGCAAGGCCCATGGAGAAACACAGCGGAGAGGAACAGCATTGGTTGCTCCAAATCCAATACCCCGATCGTCGTGCTCTCGACTGATTCTCTTACTATGCCGAGTTTGCACGACAGTAATTGATGGAGATAGGTTAAGGCAACCAGATCTCCTGCGTTATCAGTGATCTTCCAGATTCGCAAAATTAAATATCCTGACTGTGTCATTAGTCGCATCTCTCAATGAGGCCAGATAGCACTTACTGGTGCCACGGAATCGCGAGTGAAAGTTCTTCTTCCCGCAAGTGGGAATCCTCAGACTGAGTCATGGTGAGGGTATCTGGTGCGTCGGATAAACAGTTGGTCTCACTTGGCACCATAATGATGTTGCTTGACTTGTTCGCGACTTCGTTAGAATGTGGATGTCTGATTTTGTGTCGGGAAAGGCAGATATATACACGCGATGGACTGTGGAATGAGAGGCGATTCACGATCAACTGCCTCAAACATCACCGCAAGCACTGGTAAAGAGATTCGTCGTGAAGCAGCTATCACAGTTGGGGATGACATGGATCGCCATGCCCGGCAGCCATCAAATTGTTCCCTAGTATCGATGAAGAGGATCTCAACAAGTGTAGACGCACACTGTGTGACGAAAAACATTCCCAGTCTCGGTAAGCGGCGATTTGTATTGATGCCGTGATCCTTTATCAGATGAGAAGCCCAATTGATGTCAATATAGAGAGTACTGAATGGCAACCATCATCAGTGAAAGAGATCTTACTCCTCCAAATAGTCATGCCATTTCACATCCTCCATCATGTCGGTGAATCCAGAGTACTGACCAAAGACAGAGTCCCACTTCTCCCAGTCAAAGCCCAGGTCAGCTTCAGTTGGAGGATTTTCTCGATGGTACTGGCTCTCCGGACGGGTACCATTGGTGACGGACTGGTCTTGCTGATGACTTTGACCTTGCACGTGAGCATTGACAAACGTGTTGTGGGAAACGCCGTTGTTCCAAATTTCCCCATTCTGGTTATGAACCTCTGCAGAAAGCCTATCGGATTTCGGCTCAGCCGGATGCTGAACCGAGGAAACTTGTGCCCACTGCCTAGGATCTGGTGGAGGATTTCCATTAAGCTTATGTTCGGTATTGTTTGCACCGTCGAGAAATCCATCCGATGGATCCTCCCGCGCAGAGCATGATAAACGTTGCATCCCCGGTCTTGGAACATGTGTGCCCAGACCCAGAAGATGGCCTGGGGTCTCTCCTGTATGAGCCGCTGAACCTGAACATGCCTCCAAGTTGGCACTAAGCGGGAAAGGCATCTTTTGCTGGTCACTTCGCCAGGCAAGCCCATGAGCAGGATTTTGTCGCTCATTATTCCCAATCTCCTGGAAAAAACGATCTCGCACGGCTTTGCCGCATTCCTGCGCTTCAGGCCCCTCGGTTCCAAGCATTTCATGCTGTGAGAGCCTGAACGCATAATGCACACCCTGTTCGTAGGAAACATTTTCTGCATCTGATTGGTTTTTTGTGGGATACTGATTGCTGTCTCGGTTACTCTCATAGCAAGCGTCTTCTCGTATGCTTTGAGCTATCCTTTGAGCATCGGTCAACGGCTTCACAAAGCCGATGTCGATTTCGTCAGCCTCTTTCCATAACACCTGGGGATCAAGGCCTGCCTTTTGCCAGGCGGCAGACCTTAGCCCTCTCAACATGTCCCACGCCTCAACACCTCCTTCGCGCATGGGTCGATGCACAGTTACACCATTTGGACCCCCAACAATGCCCCGTTCGGGAGAAGAGTACGCAAAAACCGAATCGATTAATTCTCTCGATCTCGGTGCTTCAACACTGCGAGGCCTCTCATACAAGTCTACCAAAACGATGAGTGCGGCGTGCATTGGGCCATACATTGCAGGCCAACTCCACCAGAAAGGTTCCAGCTCATGATCGCTGGCGACCGATATGAATTTCCTTAGGAAGCTGTGGCAATTGTGCAATGCACACTGCCTACCTACATTCCACAATTTGCTTTTGGTATTCTTCAAAAATGGTGCATAAGCAACACAGTGGAGTTTGTCGTTCATCATGGACAGATTGATTCTTGCCCATTTGTTGTATGCCGCACGCCTTGAGCGATAGAAATAGGCTGCAGCTGATGCGGTATCCGGATCACCTGCTAAATCGGTATAATGACCTAGTTCCCTGAGGCTGATTGGATCTGCCATGGACGTTTCGCGATCGAGAACTCGTGGTAGCTTCTGGTTCAGTCCATTGGGCGTAAAGCCTAGTTCAGGGAGACCTTTCGATGGGATCTGTTTGATGATATAGTTTACTTGTTCACTTGCTGATGTCATGACACGCTTCATCTCAGCCATGTCTGTGTTGGTGAGGGCTTTGGCGCTCAAATGAGTAGATACAACACTTCTGAAAGCACAGGATATGATGGACTTGGCTCTGGCAACGTGGGAGAAGGTGCGATATGACTCCCAAACTGAGCCTTGGGCCGGTGGGCTTGCGCCATTAGAGGACATGGGTTTGGAGGCTGTTTCAGAGTCTACGTCGGGCGTATCCTTATCGGTCAAGGCATCGTGATCCTCGCAGATGATCCTCGTATCACAAAATGTCTCTGAAATCAATGAAGGATAACCAGTAGCCACAACTTGGGAAACATCCAACTGAATGACATGCCACCACAGGCGGCGACGCATACCCTCTTCAGCTACGGACATATTGAAAAGAGTGGGTTCTCTGTGCAGGCCCATGGTCATGGAAAGCCGGACAATTAATTGCAAGTACAGAGTAGCTTGCGTTGGGTCTTCTTCTGATGCAGGAAGAGAGCAGATGATGATAAATGCTGCGAGTGTGTGCAGCGTGGAATTTCGCGAAAACTCTGAGAGATGTAGAGCAAGGACGACTTGATCGTGTAGTCTCGCGCTGAGTTTTGCTCGTGTCATGCCCGGGAACCATCGGTTGAATCCTTCGAGAGACAGACTAAGCGAGCCGGCGTACCAAATCGCATACATCAAAGCCGCAGATCCGAGGTCCGCAAACCCTGATCTGTCTGTCGCATTTGGGTCATTCTGCGACCAGAACTTCTCGTGCATTTTCTGGATCTCTGTTGGAATTAAAACAGGTAAGAGAGGATGCACGCCGGACAGCCAACAGCGAAAAAGGACATTACTCTGAGAACTTGAAGGCACATGTCTATGCAAGTGCTCCCTGGCGAGCTTCGGGGAGGTCTTTACCGAAATGTCCTGAAGAAGGGTCGACTTCGCGAAGGGCATCAGTCGACAACATGGGCATGAACTGTCCGGGTCGTAGAAACAGGGGACCTCAAGTCCTGCTTCCTTCTGGAAACTTTGCTGGTCGGATAACTGGTTCTTCTCTTGTGTCAGGTGATCCCGGGGCTCAAGAATCTCTGGCAGCTTCCCAGTGCAGGCATCATTCTGTATGCTAGTCGCGTTCACGTAAGTGTTATGTTGCCGACGCATCGCTTCATTTAACTGGTTGATCTCTGAGGTGATATGATTCCAGAACGAATCTTCAGGAGTGAGCTGCTCAGCCTGGCCTAGTCTAAGGCTCGACAGAGGCTTGCTAAGCTCTGACGCGTCTTTAACAGATCCATGGGTGGCCGATTGAAACATCCCTAGGCTTAGATTACGGGGAGGCTGTCCATCCTCTGTGTCTTTCTCTGAACCAGAAGCCATTGGCGTGAGCAAGTTCCGCAGCCAGGAATGCTCATCGTTGGAACTGTTGCTGCGTAGTGAGTCAACCAACGTGGACAGCCGCTGCAATTGATCCTCAATGGCCCTTAAATGGTTTGGCGATACTGAGCCTGCCGCTCCATTCTCATTGGCTGGTGACGTTGCCGAGCCATCCTGAATAAACCCGATCTTTCTCTTCTTCAAATCCAGGGCAGTAGATGATTTTGATTCTTCAGAAAATCCATTTGACTCTTGGTTTTCTGGTAAGGTGTAAAGACATTCCTCATTGGCCTTCTGGCATCCGCCACAAATAGGATGGACTTTATCGCATTTGACTTTGCGTCTTCTACAAGTCATGCAGCTGTAGCTTGTCCGATTGCGTGTGATCTGACGTTTGTCAATCTTGGACCCAGGGGGTTTCAACTTGGCTGAAAGTTGGCGAGCCGCTGTATCGGCCATTGCCTTAGGGCCGCTCGTGAATTGAAACATCAAGGCGAAAGGCCACCAATGGACCAAAAAGAGCATAGGATATCAGCTAAGTGCTGGGTTAACAATCCAAAATCCTCGTTCGGGAGATACCACTATCGAGCGGACAGCATTCAGCGGATGAATTTGCGGAGACCAATGCTGACAAATGCAGAAACAACCAGGTCAATTGACGGCGGTATGGTCCAGGCCTGCCTTTGGGCCTTTACATCAGGTCTGCTAGACAATCGTCATATGTTTGTGTTTAGGTCCAGCACGGGCGATATCATGGAAGAAGGCGTTGCCAATGTTCATGCACGGTGTGATTGTGCTTGATGGGTGGTGTTGAAGCAGGGAGGATAGTACGAGACGGTAGGATCAGGTGCGAATGACCACCTGCCCGGTTGCGATTTCGCCTTGCAGTCTTGGCAGGGCCGCCCGTCAATGGCCCGAGTATGAAAGTGGTTACGCATATTAATTATCGAGTATATGCGTCCTTGGTAGAAATAGACACCGCTGACTAAACTTTCGGTTTGACGACTGGAAGACTGGTGCATCTACTCGTGGTAGTAGTCATGACTCTAGAGTCGAGACTGGTACCAGGGTGAAGAGACATGAACGCTATGAGGTGCCTGGGATGGAAGCTGCAACCATCTGTCGACAAGATGCTGCTTCTTAACGGATCAATTGCATTTCAATCAGTCACTGAACCCTTCCCAGCGGTCATCGCCCTGAGCCAGTCCAGGGGTTTTCAATCTATCGTGGTGAGGTTCGGACGGTGTCCGGACGAACCCGCAGAGGAAGAAACCCATCGTACCCTGCTCATCCCCTGGATCACACCGTATGCAGGCCTCTAGAATTTCATTGCTCAATAACAACGAGCCGCCATCCGTGGCCGTTCCAACACCGCGATGCACCCAGTCACGAAGACCGGGGACTTGTTCCTGCCGCCCAAGCACAGACCAGCCTCGGGATATGGCTATCGGCGACTCCAGTACCCTAGCCACCACGGCTTCATTTTCTTCCACATGTACTGAGCACGTTGAATACGTTACCTTGAGGGCAGCAGGAAACGCAAAGGCGTGTTGAACAATCTTGGACTGCAAAGTCGCGAGTCTTTGCAGCCTGGCTGGGTCGTATGTGGTGTCTTTCGTTTCTTCCGCGCTGGTTTCTGCCGCGTCATCGTTGCTTTGCGGGCTCGTCCCCTGATCCCTCTTCCGCTTTTTCGAGCGCTTTGAATCTATCTCCCCGTTCAATTTCCGAGACTTCGGATCTATCGGCAATGACAGAGTGGGGATATCCTCTCGTCCCAAAATACCACTCCCAGAGCAACTTGGGTCGAGGAGTAGATGGGTCACCTTGGCGAAACGGGAATCCTTAGGATCGAGTGCTAGAAAGTCCTGTCTCTCGAGCACAGTGACATTTTGGGCGCCCGCCTTCTGAGTCATGCTGATTAGCGTTTTTGATCTCCGCTCGTCCTTTTCACACGCGTAAATATTGACCTCGCGCTTGGAGGGCCCGCACGAGAGAGCTGCAAGATGTGTAGTCTTGTTTCCTGGAGCTGCACATCCATCTACATAATCTCCCACCACGCCAGTCTCATTCTGATCGCCTGCCAGCAGGTAGGCAGGAAAGCAGGAAGCCTTGTCCTGCAGAATGATTGCACCATCTGTATATGCCCGCGTCTTTGTGAAGTTTGCCTCAGGTGGAACGGCCAGCAGGTCAGGAATATGCTGGTCAATAGCCAGAATCTTTGCCGTCGCAGGCGCAGTCGCAATTTGGTCGATTGTAGCATCGACCTTGTAATCTTGAAACGTCGTCGCTAGCTCATGCCCCAGACTTGACTTCAGGGTATTGATCCGTATCCATCGCGGTTGCAATCTATCTGAGAGCGGCTTCTCGCTCAGTAGGAGCGCCTTTAGCCGCTCAACCGAGGCACATCTCTTCCTCAGCCGAGCCTTTGTGAATTCTGCCTGCAGTCGTGCCTTGTGTCTCTCGATGGCTAGGCGAAGGGGATGATTCGAGGAGGCAGCGATCCCGCCTTTGGCAAAGAAGTAGTCGTGAACTAGAAGCAGACCGAGGGTAGGTGTTAACTATGGTGAAGGCCATCAAGGGCTGCGTCAGCCAGCAGCGACACAATCAAGGCTAAACGGACACCAACCTTAGGTTCTTGCGCCAGGAAATCCGCCTCGTCAATGACTTCTTTGAGAAAAAAGTCATATTTCGCAGTTTCTGAGATCAAGGCGTATAAATGTGCTGGCTTAGATCGAAGGCCCAGCTTATTGTCATAAATTCTAGACTTCAGAGACCCAGCTCGAGACGCAGCGCCGAGCACCGTGCTGGCATCATAGTATATCGACATATTTGAGAAAGAGGAGAAGTGCTGGCTGTCGGTTGGTGTTCGGTGAGAATGCTGGTGGCTGAAAAGGGCCAATCAGGGAGCATGATGCTCAGCCTTGTGCTAGCATTTTCTCCGATAAGGCTACCCACCTCTCATCCGCGGCTGCCGTTGCACTAGCGAGAATATCAGAGCTTTTGCAGCGTGAGTCATGCCATCACAGGGCGCACATCGGCTAGTTGGATTCTCCAAGAAGCTGGTATTCAAGACTTGAGCTTATCCACACCTGGGCTCTCGTCTGTTCAAGGTGCAAGACAACGGAACCATGGCGAAGCTACCTGTCAAGATTTTCATGAGCCCACCTCCGGGTGAGATTGTGGCTCCCGGAGGATTCCCAGCCGACCCACGCCCGAAAGGTGCGCCGCAGGTCTTCCTGGATGCTATGGAAGTGCGGATAACGGTCTTCTGTGACGAACAAAAGTGTTCCTTGGAGGAAGAACTAGATGTAGACGACCAGAGATCATGGCATTGGGTTGCTTATCTGCCGGACGAGTCTGGCAATGACGTGCCTGTTTCCGTCATCAGAATTGTACCTTTTCCGCATGGTCCCCACCCAAACGGCTACTCAGATCCGGACGAGGAACCATATTTCAAGATCGGCCGGGTTGCCACTTTGGCCAGTGCTAGGGGTAAAGGACTCAGTCGAGTGCTTACTGAGGAGGCATTTTCTTGGTTAGCAGCACATCAAGATCAACTGCCATCTGGTTGGAACGGGCTTGTGCTTTCTCATGCCCAAGTCGCCGTCGAAAAGATGTACGCAAAATTGGGGTTCGTGACTGATGTCAAGCTGGGGCGATGGGATGAGGAAGGAATCGAGCATCTTGGAATGTGGAAACGTTTGAACCAGGGGAAGTGACAGCATCAACAAGGTTAGTAGAGTAGTTAGTGTCACATCCCCCTTTCTTTTACTGACCACAGATCTCTTAGGACCAAAGACATTGCTCGTCTAAAGTGCTTTTCAAGTTGAAAGGCAGTCACTCTACGGCCAACATGAATGGCATAGCAGTGGTCTTTAATACCTGGCTATTCTAATGCCCAAGAAAATCCATTACGTCAGTTTGGGAATGTTGAGGTGCGACTGCACACATTGGATTGCCTCTGCCGGCTTTCGGGTTTGAGCCAGACTCATTTACAACTATCATTCATGGAAAAGCAGAACATCCGACGATGATGTTTGTGCTGGTACGATACCAAGCCAACTCCTGTTGCATGTCTTGCAATTCAAAACATGCCCTCGAATTTCTCCGTTCGAGGGTCGACGGGACTCCATTGCTGGCGTTGTTTGCAATAGAACTCTTGCTTCGGCTGGAATTGGGCTCTTGCCCGCTCCTCAAGGCAACCCGACATGACGAAGATGGCATCTTTGAGTAACGGATTGTCCAGATTGACCGAAAACAGATTGGAGCCACATTTCCTGCAAAATGACCGCAGTACGGTGTTCTTTGCGTCAGTATTGCTGTCGCGATATCCAGATATGCCATTGTGACCTTTCAAGAGCTCGAATTGCTAATCTGGGGTTTAGCTTACCTTACATTTGAGAGATATGGGTGCTGCATTGAGCTCGCGAACACTCACCTCGGATCTGAAGAGTAGATTAGCCTGAAATGAGGAACCGCTGGATTTTTGACAGTTGATACAATGGCAAAGAACTGAGTTCATCGGTTCACCGCGGATGACAAAGCCGACATCGCCGCATAGACATGTACCGTTGAGTTGCATGCTTTCTGATGGTGAACAAAACAGTCTCGCATACACATTCAATTGCAGCAACCAGCATGGCCGGTACTTGGAGCAGATGTAGGTCTATTTACATACACTGTCCGCCGGGAATAACTCTAACTCCGCCAAGCCAAGAAAATAGACGACGGTGAGCCCAGAATCTTGGGTTAATGTCCCTTTAAACCCGTCGAATGAAAGCCCCATCTTGAGAAGAAGGCTTGCATTAAAGCGGCTGACAAACCCAGACGGTAGGAGAGAGAGAGTGACGGATGAACTTAACGGATGAATTTCTCAACAAAAGCCTTGCTTGAATCACAAGGATGGCCTGGACAAACATGTAATCGAGTATAACTCTAAATCACTGTGCGGAATTCCGTGACCTAGCTGCAGTTATACTTGTCCAAACTACAGTGGAGTTTGCAGCCAGGGGATCTCATAAACCACATTCTAGCGCCTTCGCCCACACGTGATGTCTGTGCAGCAGTGCTTTTTCATCTCAACCGCCCACCGGAGTAGCAATCAACATTTTTGGGGTCCGCAAAATGGTATGGCTGGAGAAAGATTGTGCATGTAACTTCACGCGCCCAGAGACGCTTGAGATGGGCAGGATGGTCGGAGTACAGTCTGGTGCTAAGTTTCAGGCTGGCCAAAAGAAGCTTCCCGGGCTATCATGAGCAAGTACACACAAACAACATATTGCACGGGTCGTTCAGTAAGGATCTGTGTGCAGGTATAGCGGGAATAGGGGGATATATGAATCAGTATTTGATTTCTTCGGCTCGATTGGAGTTCCATGCGAGACACATAGACGTCACGCTTTTTCGGAAAGATGGAGGTGTCATCTCTCCCGTTGACCACCCCAATACTCTTATATACAGTTTCTCATGCGTGGTCTCACTCTCACCATTCACTGCGGTCAGGTTGTGCTTAAAACTCCCTGATGGTGTCCCCCTTTAACTTGGCTCGCATATCGTATTTTCCCTGCGGTTGGTCAGCCAGCTGGTCAAGTTCTGGCAAATAAAGAGTTGCTGGAAGCACTATATGACCACCTACATCTGTCTTCGCGAAAGTATATCCCACCACGGTCGGGACAAAGATTGCGTACATGAACGAGATCCAGGCTGTGCGGGGGGTCCAGCGAAAGTACTTCCATCGCTCCTTGTTCAACTCTGTTTACCTGCGTCAGCTACTTGAGCCTTCCAAGTTTCCGAGATACATCGGTTGAGGAGAGCACGGATGCTCGGTCGTGTGGCAGGAAACGTACGTCCGTATTTCTCGAGGGCGGGATCAAGACGGAGAGCTATTCGGAATGTCAAAGTCAGTAGCAGGTCCTTCTAAGGTGTTCGCAACGGGAGGAGTAGCGCATACGTGAAGGTCCAGCCATGTTGCAGTGCCTGTTGAGCCTTCGATTCTGCTCTGATGGTGGACTGAAAGCTTCCTTTTCAATCATTGAGGTCGAGTTGTGTCCGCAGGCCCAAGGGACTCCTGTGGCTGTGCGCTGTGGCTGGTGTCAAGCCAGGCGAGACAGCAAGTGCTAAGAGTCACGTGATACCTAGTTTCCACACGCCACATCAAGTGACGTCGACCATCGTCATTCCAAAACCTCCCTCGCATATTGGTTGCAGCTCCTGTGGGTTTCTCGTCGGGCCAAATGAGCAATATTCAACGAGGCTCAGTGTTTACAGCTGATTAAGAGATTGCTATGCTAGTTACGTTTGCATACCTCATCAAGTCTATTGCCTTAAACTTGACAGTTTAAGCATACGAAATTGGAAATCTTGCCCCACCATTTCTCACGATTTTGCCTTTGGCTCCAACATATCTATAAGACTGTATTCTTCATAACTTTGATCAATTTTGATCAGACACAAATCAATTGGTGGTTTCATGAACGTTGAACGTTCAGCTTACACCGAGTCATTCTCCTACCCTGTTCAGCCAAACCAGCAACGCGAAAACGACTTCGTCGCCGAGCCTCGCTAAACTTGAACGCACGACCAATTGCACGCCAGCAGAAGATATTCGCCCTAGAGTCTACCTCGTACGAGTACTTCTGTACTTGACCAGATACGAGCCCAGGAATCGCTGACTCGGGAAAGATGTCTTCCCCCACCACCAACTCAGAGGGGGGACCAAAAATCGTACTCCACTGGTAAGCTGAACTTTCTCTCGCTAACTATCGCCGGCGGGAGGCCCGAGAATCTGACATCAGCCAGGCTCGAGGTCTCGCGTTCCCACCGTATTATGTGGTTGCTAGAGGAACTCGGTATCAAGTATGAATTGAAAACTTACAAGCGGACCAAGGCAGGCCTCGCGCCTCCGGAGCTAAAGAAAGTACACCCCCTTGGTAAGTCTCCCATGCTTACCATCGAGCCCCCTGGCTCCACTACGCCTATCGTGCTTGCAGAATCTGCCGCGATTACCGAGTATTTATGTGACTACTTTGGGAAATGGCTTGTCCCTCAGCGGTATCGAGATGGTAAGGGCGGCCAAATCGGGGGAGAAACGGAGTCATGGTTACGATTTAGGATGCTTATGCACTACGCAGAGGGCAGCTTAATGCCCTTTATGCTGATCAGCATCATCGTCCAGAGTAGGCTGACTCAACCGTGGGAATATGCCAGACTTACAAAATACAGGAATCAGAAGTTCGCCCGTACCCTTCTTCATCAAGCCAATCACCAACGGCGTGGCGGGAAAGATTGACTCGAGCTTCTTAAGACCAAATTTCAAGACTCACTACGATTTTCTCGAGGGCCAATTGAAGACTTCGCCCGATGACGGTGGCTTTTTGTGTGGCAAAGCTATTACCGCCGCGGATATTATGCTATCCTTTCCCTTGCAAGCTGGTCAGAGTCGAACGGGTTTCACGAAAGAAGACTATCCAAAAGTGTGGGAGTACCTCAATCGCCTTCAGGAAAGAGAAGCATATAAGCGTGCTGTCCAGAAAATCATCGATGTTGAGGGAGAATTCAAAACTACCCTTTGAAAGGAGGTTTAACGCGAACACAAGCATCCATAGCGCTGCGTTCCCTCTAAAATGTTAGGCCGCGAGGCAACGTTTGACCATCACTGGATGCTGCTGATGGTTGTAAGATATTGAATGGACGGACGCTATTGACTGACGTGACATTCCTTCGAGTGTTTCATCTTTGGTCTTTGACCCTGAGCTGAATGTCTTGGATGATAGCGAGTATCAAAGCGGCCTTAAGCGCAAGGCCGACTCCCTGGCATCATGTGTAAAGCCTGGCCAGAGTTATCAACCAAGTACAACTTACTTCGGTGGTCTGATGCTACATCGCCCTCACTTCTAAAAGTCTGACTGTATTTTTCTGTTGCGCGCAGTGGGAGATGTCATTTTGAGCCCCTGCGGGCCTTCAGCCGCAACATTGGCGCATAGGTCTCGTCTCTCTTAGCGATTGAAAGCGTGATAGCTGGCGAATCTAGGTTGGGGCCAGGGAAATGGGGCGTCTTGAAATGCTGGCTGCATGGTATCAGGCCCTTTGGCCCTACAGTGACGTGCTTTATCATCCGTCAACTCTTTAGCTGCTTGTGAAACTGAAAAGATGGGATCTGAGATTTGATTCACAGGCGGGTATAAAAACGACAGTGTCGATGGCAGCCTCCTATGTGGATAGTTCAAACGGTCTCTGATCTAGGTCGATATTCCTGCGACAACAATATTGGAGAACACATCCTCGTACGACTTCTACGAGGGCCTCTAACCAAGCTATCCATGGCTATTTTAGGTGCATGGTGCTAATGGATGATCAATCTTTGTTTCGTCGCCTCCCTCGAATCACATTCCCTCGTTGAGCAACTTCGAAGATCTTTAGCCACAGAATTAGTCGGGCTTGCATCGCCAAGTTACCACCGGCACTGGCAAAGGCCACCTCACCGCCCACTCTTCTAGACCTGTTCTGTCTCGGTCTTCTGCGATTGGGGTTCCAGACTGAGCCTTTTCTGCGAGATATCTGGTACAGACTTGAGGAATTCCAACCCGCGGGCGCATTATTCCGCCCCTTTGGCTGACGCTTTGGCTGACCCTTGTTTAGGTGCCAGTCGATAACTTGTCCAGTCAGGCTCGTTTAGCTGGTCGGGCCCCGCCTAGCCAGGGGAATAGTCTAGCCCAGCTCTCGTGGCTTGAGAAAGCAGTGAACGGCTCCAGTGCCCTGCGTAGGCCATTCCCGTTCGTCATTCAGAGATCCATGGGAGAGGCCATCGTGTGACTTCGGACACGCGGCCAGCCAGGGCCTTGTCAATTGACGTGCTTGGAGACCTGAACAAACACAGCCACGTCAGGCTGTTTATTGTTCTATATCATAATTTCCACACTACTCGTGCCTTCGTCTCGAGGGTTGTGGTTTCTCTGGGAAGGAGCTAAGAGGGCTTGTCCCGCAAGTGGATATCGACCCGACAACCCCTCAGATTTCGGGGTAGGCGGTACTTGTCGTCCGTACTAAACCTCTGACTACGAAATTCATCATCCATAATAATCGTAAGTCTCATCCATCAAGTCCCTGAATCCTCCGTCCACAACTCCCATCTCCGACAAAGACTTCAATGGCGCGGCCTCTTGGTAATCGGCATGCGTCACAAGACTCATCTGAGGAAACTTGTCAGACCACCGCAGCCAATGAGGCCGCCTGACTTGGCATGACTCAGGGCTTACTCATCGCACGGTTCAGCCAAGAGGATTTGCCTCAAGCTCCAAGCAAGCTCAATCGCCGACGAAGGGCACCACAGCAGCCTACCGAAGGTGCCAAAGGCTATCAAAGAATCCCTCAGGGATCCCACCCAAGGTAGCTGCTTGCGGGCGCCAAACTCATCCCAGAAGTCTCCACGAACTTGTCGCGTTTTCCGAACCTTCTCCCACCAGAACAAAAGCTTCGAGTGACAAAGAATCCCCGCCCCTGCCCACCCCGACACAGAGCGAGCCAACCTAGCCCATGGTCCCCCTCGTGGGCATTCAGTCTAGGTGTGGACCTGGCCAGCTCTAACCGGAGTGCCCCGGAGTGTCGGTAGCTGTTTGTCTGGTGACACGGGCCCTGGCCGAGGGGTTCCTCCTCCAAAGTTCGATGTTGAGAAACCCGTAGACCAGGGAGCCGGTTAGAGGCCTAGTAGCCGGCTGATTTCTATGCTTCCGAGCCTGCAAAGGGAGACCTCAGTCAGGGTGATGACGGACCCACATCTGCCCTTCGATTTTGACAGTAATGTCACCTTTTCGGATACGACTGACACCAACTTGAGTTCCCCAGCCATCTCCATTTCGCCCACGCCTGATGGGCCTCGTACCACTGAAGCCGCAATCGCCAGTGCCCAACTTGACGGTCAAGGCTCAGGTGTCGAAGCTACTAATCGCTCCGGCACCGCCATTGATTCTGGCCCCTACTCAATTATCTCCCATCGTGGTGCCGATACTGCTGACACCGCTAATCCTTCCCCAGACACGCGACCTGTCGTCCTCTCTAAGGACCTAGACTACCCTACCGTCGCTGTACATGATACAGAAGCTCAACGCACCCAGGTTGCTTCCTCTTCTGCTGCAGCCCGCGCCGCTAGCTACTACCTAGTCACCCCAAGCTTTGGCTCCCAGCCGTGGATTGCTCCTCCTGGGCCTTTCCTAACCTTTGCGCCTCAGCCAGTATATGAGCCCACTGGTGAATTACTCCACGAACATATTCAGTCTTTCGACGAATTCCACGATCCTTCCTTTCCGAGGCTTGTTGTCACCTCCACCGCAGCTCCGAGTAATCCGGCGCCAACAACAACCAGCGTGCCCGAGGCGGCCAGGACTACCAATGGTTCTTTCCCGGTAACTCCTTTCGTTCAGCCATCGCTTCCTCGATCTGCCCTGAAGCGGAAGGCAAGTTCAATTGTGACGACCCCTACCGCTAAACCCGCTGAAAGGAAATCCCGCCTATCTGGCTCTGGCTCTGGTCCTGATTCTAGGGTTGAATCGGACTCTGCTCTTCCACATAGTCGTTCTGTTACCTTTGAGCGAATGTCAGGCATCGGACCAACATCGCCTGATGAAGGATCTACCTCCTCAGATTTCCTGGCCAGCTCCAGATCAGCTCTAAATATAGGGTCAGGGGCTCCCGCTGGCAACCGAAGAACACGCCAGTCATCAGGTTCAACTCCAAGACCGCCCGTGAATTTCCCGTCAACCTCATCACAAGGATCCCAGAGAAGGGCAGGAGGTAGAACCTCGTCTGCTCACCCCCCTTCAATTTTACCACCAGAGAAGGTCTTCCCCATCCAGATAGGCTCTGATCTCTTTAGGCTTTCAGGAGCTTCTATTTCGTCTGATGGTAACAATCCCTAATCCAATGGAAGCGACTCCCTTTGTTGACATTCCCGCAGCGCCCTCCTATTTCACCCAGTTCTTTGAGGAGCAGATCAGACAAAATGAGGAATCAGGAGGCGTGAGGACTCTTTACATTGATCGTGACCCTGCAACTTTCAGAGACGTGGCACGACATTTACAAGGTCCTTCCTTGTTGTGTATATATCTTGCCTCTGCTAATTCTCTACACAGGTTACTATGTCAAGCCGGTCGATGGAAGCCACTTCGTGAAGCTTTTTGCAGATGCGCAGTTCTATAGCTGTAAGCAGGAGACTCGTCAGAGCTTGGCTGGCGGCTAATGTCCCATGTCTAGTGCCGCGACTGATAGACCAATTGTTCGAATCCGAGATTTTCATACAAATTGGCGAACGACACTTTCAAATACCGAAAGACATTTTTTCAGAGCCCGGCAATTCGCCAAACTTTTTCTCCTTGGGCTTTGCTGTATTCTTCTCCACACCAGGAGAAGTATTCCCTGGTCTAGACCGTAGGGGCTTACTGCGACCGCCGTCAATTACTCCCCCTTATGTGCCCGGTCGATCTGCAGAAATCTTCGCTCAACTCCTACATCTTCTGCGAGGGTATCCTCTGTCCATTACAAACGAATCACACCGCGCTGAGCTACTACGAGATTGTCGCTATTTCCACCTTCGAGGTCTGGAGCAGAAGATCATTGCCCACGAGATCAGCTACAATCTGGAGCGGCAGAAGCAAGAGATATGCCTACGCCTCGAAGACGTCAAACCGTCAGGTGTCTCGTTCACCAGTGATGAGCAGGGGGAAAGCGGGAAGCCTACTCCAGGGGGTTGGGTCTACTATGCCAGGCCGTTCGTAGATGACACCTCGTACGAAATGGTGGTGGAGGTTGGTAGTGAGTCCACGGTTCTGGACTTGACGGATATGAGAGCAGATTTCCACAATCTGGCAAAAGCTAGGATTTCATCTCTCTTCCAGGTGGTTGCTAACAAGATGAATCTACCGACGAACGCACCCCTGGGTCTGATGATGCTTTCAGGTGGCAGATCTTCTCAGTCAGCTAGCCCCGGGCATACACCACTCAGCGAAGATCGTGTCAAAGTGCGGTTTGAGCCCGCGAGCGATATTACTCTGGACGGCGAAGCCTACGAGGTTGACTGGGACGGCCCCTTGGGACAAGCCTTTGCAAAGGGGCCCAACACGGCAGCAAGCGACTCAGAATCCGATTCTGACGCAATGAGTGAAGACACCACTTCCAAACTTTCCTCGTCGATTCCGCAGCAACGACGACCTCAGACCCGACAGGCGCAGGGTGGGCCTTCAGGGCAACCTCCTACGGGAGGATCACGAGGTAATCTACCTGTCCCACCTATCCAGACGAGTCGCATCGCCTCGACCGTGCCATCAAAGAAGAAGCGAAAACGCCAGAGTAGTCAGGGGGACTTGGGTGAGTGGATAATTCGCACAGGCCAGTGGCGACTACGTGTGCAACCCAATACTCAGGACTCAATACGAGGGGGCTACGAGATCATCTTCGTGGGTGTCAAGATCGATGCGTATTCCAGCGAAAGAGCGCGCAACGCAAGAAGAGGGTTTCTCAATTGAACGGTCGCCCGGTGCAAGAGAAAAGTGGACTCGATCAAGCTATCATGACGGAGGCACGACGTGAAATTAGCGAGCCCATGAGAGGATAGTTCTTCTCGACGACCCGGAGGGTATTTGGAGCCAGCCTTCCAGCCTATACTTTTCACTTCGCGAAGCCCAAACCCATGGGTCGGGTGGCATCCATATCCAGTCAATCACCGCCACTCACCGCTCTAGAATGCCACCAAGCTGATTTCATTCCTCTCCATCCAATACCCACTTCTCCAGCGCCACCCCGATATTTCCCCATGCGCCGCACAGGCCTCATCCATATGGGAAAAGTCTGACCGATGGAGTCTTGCTACACCTAATACTTTATAGCAGATTTCCACCGGCAGGATTGGAGAATCTAGGATGAGTGACCAAACGAGTCGATGCATTGTTGCCAAACCCACAATCACGACGTTAATGACTAATCATTTAGGCGGGCTGTGTTTCCGAACTCGAGGAATTTTTGAAGGGCATCTTGACCCAGTAGACTTGGTCATGTCATCCACATTGAGCTTTTGAAAGCCACGTGCCGGACCCACCAGCTTTATATTCCACCCAGGTGGAACCGATGCGACCCGGATTATCATCAACGAGAATGACCATGTTGTATCGTTGGATTCAGCGAAAGGCTTGCACTAGCGCTGCAGCTCCTGTTGGGCCATAAGCTACAATTGGTCTTGTATCTACTTCTGTTTTTGAGCGCTCAGCATAGCGATGCCATGGGTAATCTCCCCGCACTAGATGATGGCGGAATTATTTTTGTTTCCAAGGCATGGTCTGTCGCCTGCGTCAAGCTTTTCGCCATAACATGTGGACTTTGCACGCAGCGTCTGCATCCAGGTATATATGCTACTTATCTCGTTCATCTCGGAAGGGGAGGGATAACAGATGCGCAAGTAAAGCCACAAACGATGCCTCTGTGCTATATGAGTGCATGCATTGAGGCCTTTGATGAGACGGTCTGATGTCAGAGGTCGCCTTATTGATTCTGGGGCCCAACCCATCAGGGTGGGGACTAGGGCGTATTCCGAACAGATGGATGGGCAATCCTTATGAACGATGGACCTATGGCAAAAGTCTCTTGGGATACCTAGCTCTAGAGGAAAAGGTACGAGACTACTATAGAGGGAGGGTGGTATATGATTTGATTAGGCACACAACTCCCCACCCTGAACACAGGAAAACACCCCCGAGTTAGCGAGAACTCAAAAGTGTAGCGTTTCCCCCTTTTCCTACTTTGGAAAAGCGTAATAAAGATGGATGTTTGCCGTTAAGTTCTGTTGTACATGGCAAAACTATCCAACTACCGAATACTAGTGCCACTTCCCCATGTGATAATGAATCAGTGGCGTGGGCGCCAGAGAGGCAATGGTTCGGTGACCGTATACCGAATCGAGAGAGGAAACAGTTCCAAAAGCGTCCTCTCGAGCTACGAGGTACGGGAGGTATCACAATGTCAAGACCGGGAGTGTCTTGTCTGCGAACCTGCATGGAAAACCTAATACGGGTACGTTGCAGAGCTGGTTCCGCCATCTCCTCCTTCCTTACAAGAAAGTAGCCCGGGAAGAGTGGTGATCTTTTCTGGGAAGCTGACCCTGATGGCTGATGAAATATTATACGGGAGTATTAGTACTGGTAGATTCCAATTCCGCCCCCCAATTGCTACTTCGGTACGAATTGGCACTGCACACCACGAGGGCGGGGTGTGAGAATGATTTCTTGAACCTTTCCTAGACTGAGAGCCTGGTCATCGCCACGGGATCCTGTTGTTGCATTTGGAATTCGCCATTCGCCATTCGCCATACTGAGGCTCGCGACTCTCCACAATACGAGCAGCCATGCTGCTATCATTATTTGCCTCTTTCGGAATCGATTGAGCAATAACTGGGAGGTCTTGTGTACTCCGTACATAGTAATCAAGAAGAAAAAAAAGGACCCTGTGGTTTGTTGATTTGGATTGAATTATTGATATCATCCCCCCCTTCCCCCGGCGCGGGCCCCCCCCCCC